ACAAGAGTTGCGTAAGACATCGGCGCTGCTTCCGCTGTTACGGCGCCATTCTGTCCTACCGACGGCGTCTGCTTCGAATGGGGAGTCCCTGAGGCCTCAGCCAAAGCGGGATCCGGCGACATCTTCTTCCAGCTCAAGGCTCCCACATCTTGGCAATGGATCGGACTCGGTATTGGTACCCAGATGGACCACTCGCAGATGTTCATCATGTACCAGGACGGCAATGGAAACGTTACGCTCAGCACCAGGCCGGGTGCCAACCACGTCATGCCCACTTACAAGGCCAGAAACGACGTCGAGCTCTTGGCCGGTTCTGGTGTGGTTGACGGCAACATGGTTGCCAATGTGAAGTGTGGCAACTGCACCAATCTTGACCTGACGGGCCAGTCGAACTGGATTTCTGCATGGAAGTCGGGTGATTCCTTGGATTCGACGAACCCGGCGGCCATTCTCACACAACACGATAGCATGACCCAGTTTCACGTCAACTTGGCCCAAGCTAGCATCAGCTCCGACGCAAACCCCTTTGTCGGGTCCAGCAGCGACAGCAACAACGGTGGAAACTCAGGTGGCTCCTCTGGTAGCTCTGGTGATGGCGGCGGCGACGGCGACAGCGACGGCGACAGCGACGGCGACAGCGATGATGGCAATGGCGCCGTCTCAGGTGTCACCACCAGCTCGACGAACCAGACTCTGGCCAGTGCCCACGGCATCCTCATGTCGGTCATCTTCGTTATCATGTATCCGCTCGGCTCTAGCTTGATGCCTCTGCTCGGCAAGTGGTATATTCACGCATCTTGGCAGACTATTGCTCTCCTGGGAATGTGGGCTGGGCTTGGACTTGGTGTCACCATCGCCAGAAACCAGAACGTGGTATGTCTCTTCTCTTCTTCTCTTGTTACATGCACCATTCCGGATCTCCATACTGACAATCTTCGTCCTTCTAGTTCTTTGACCAGGCTCACTCTCGCTTGGGAATCATCCTTGTTCCCCTTATCAGCCTGCAGCCCCTCTTTGGCTTGATTCACCACATCAACTATCTCAAGACGCAGAAGCGTGGCCTCTTTGGCCACCTTCACTGCTGGTACGGACGTGCGCTCATGATTATCGGTATTGTTAACGGCGGTCTCGGTTTACAGCTTGGCAACGCCCCTACACGCTACATCATTGCCTACTCGGTCGTGGCTGGCGTCACTACGCTGATTTACCTGGTTTCAATTGCTGTTGGCTGGAGCCGGGCGGGCAGGAGAGAGCAGCAGTCGAAGCAGAAGTATTCATCGGCGGCGCAAGCCTCGTAAGGGAGTTTATATACGGCGAACGTTGTGATTATACGATACGATCTGGGATGAAAAGCGGTTTGAAATAGGCACATGAGGCCATTAGTATACCCACGTTTGATATACACAATCACGGACATGAAAATACGCAAGGCATGTTTGTTGGCGTTTGGAGATGATTGTTTTTGACTTGGGAGAGTCGGTCGCTTCTGAAGGATAATACAGACATGGGAATGAAGGGTTTATACGAAGTATATAGAGATGTGTGTGAGCCATCATATTTGCACGGGCAGCCTATGCCTTTATGATGTAATTAATTCATTTAACATTTGGAATTATTTTTGAATGCAACGAGCCTATTCTCCGTGATAATGATAGGTACGAGAATGTATGTAGTCCTGGATCATTTGCGTGTGTACTTGGATACCGGGAACTGACAGGTACCTACCAATTCAACTGGACTGAGCCGTGTTGTTTAGTTTTCTACTGTATCATTCTTCAAAGCTGCCATTGACGTCTGATCAAGGCTTCATGCCCCACATCTTGTCCAAGGGAGCTGCTCGGTTTGGCCGTACTGTAATGCAAGATGCTTGATGGAGCTCTTGCTGGCCCATTAAGAGTTGTTGTGCGTACCTACATGTAAGCGGCTCCCCTGCATGACGCCGCCTACCTACTAAGTAGTACAGTATATGGCAAGTAATTCACCCACTAAAGACAAAGAAGCAGTAACTAAAGTAATCAGAATGTGTATGTGCTGTAGAATGCATAGACATATCTATTGATGTTTATTTGCCGCAGTCTGTACTGTACTGTACTGTACTGTACTGTACTCATATAGCACTGGATGATATTCTTGATCGAGCTTCTGCGTGGCCTGACGTCGTTTCGGGACGATGCGCGACTTCTCCCGAGTCACGTGCAGCTCTCCCATCTTCGCAAGATCCCGCTAAATCCTAGCGACCTCAAGCACTGGAACTCGAGAATAACAGTGGGCATTAGTGGACGTGGTGGGCACCAGCACCCAACAAATAGCGGGCTCCTCATCCCCTCAAAACCTGAGGCACCAAGGAAGGGAAAAAAAAAAAAAAACAGGCACAGAAGCACCAAAAGAGGGAAGAAAAAAAGCCCGGCGCTCCGCGTGACGGCTGGGCAGGCTTTAGCCGGGGAAAGTCTCCCAAGGTTCGGCATCACGATTTTCACAAAACCCTCAGCCTGTCTCCATCTCTCTCCCCCCCCAAACCTTTGTCCGAGGTCCGCCCTTTTGCTCTCCGCCAATTGAGCAACGCATAAGCCATTTCAAGATGCTCAGCCAACTGTCCCGGGCCTCTGTGAGTTTTCCTCTGCCCTGCCTGTCCCATCAACCATCCCCGGCCGATGCGAAAAACCCTCTCCCTTTGCTGTTGCTGGGACTTTGTCCACGTCGGTCGCCATCGTCATTCTTCGCCCCTCCCCGCATGCGATGCGATGCGATGCGATGCGCTGGCCCGACATGAGCCTAGCCTTGCACGCCTCAGCCTGGAACTGTCCATTGCTAACTGCTTCTTGTTTCTGTCCATGTAGCGCGCTGTTGCTGCTCGCGCCGCCAGAGCAAATGCCGTCCAGGTGAGGGGCTTCATTGCCCCAACCGTCTCACGACGAGGTATGGAAATGCGCCTTATATCTTCCCTTTGTGTCCAACCCACATCATCATCTGCTGTCGGCCCGTTGTCAACTTGGAGATGGCCTGTCTTTCCCACTGCATTTTACATTGGCTGGGAATTCTCGAGAAGCTCAACGTCTGTTTTGTCACTTTTTATACCCTCCAAAAGCTATAGCCGATACCTCCGATTGCTACCTTGATTCATCTGGCCACCTTTGTTACAAGGAAGTGGCCTTCATCAAAACCACCAGCCTCACCGACCCGACACTCCTGCTTCGCCGAGATAGCATGACGACTCGAGCAACAAGCGTTGCGCTATTTCCCGCCATGCCTGCACACTCCAGCTTAGCTACACCAGCTTGATATATATGACCAAGGCAACATCAACCAGAACGTGTCAAAACTAACACAATTTATCATTCAGCCGACTTCGTTCAGGAGCTCTACCTCAAGGAACTCAAGGCCTACAAGACCCCCGCCGTCAAGGAGTCCGATGCTGAGGGCCAGGTCCAGGTCTTCGCCATGCCCAAGACCCCTGCCTCTCCCGAGGAGGCCAACCTGGCCGACAACCTCAAGGCCTACGAGTCCATGGCCGTCGAAATTGAGGGCCAGGATGCTTCCGCCCAGTCTGCCACTGGCGTTGCTCAGCTGCCTGACTGGCTCGAGGCCGAGGAGGAGGAGGAGCCCCACCACTAGAGGACCGAAAAAACCACGCTCTTGAATGAAAACAAGGAGAGAAGATTCTGTCAGCTGGGTGTGCAATAGAGTAGGGGAGGGAAAGAGAAAGAAGGGATAAATCCGTCAGTTTAGTGCAGAGAGCGCTCAAACGAGAGTTTTGATATACGAAAATGAGTGGTGGATGGAGAGACGAGAGAGAGAAAGAGCCAGGAGGGAGGCAGTGGCATACCGGACAATCCATAATTTCCTGGCCAGGCTGATTGCGGCCAGAAACAAGGATGCCGGTCTTGTCAAAAGGGATACTTTTTTTAACATATCCCATTGTACATTTTTCCTCAAACAGCCCTCGATTCAATGTAGGACATTGTTCTGAATGCCAATATCAATCAAGATATGCAAAATTGCCTGTGTGCCCGCCTCGCGGAGAGTGACAAAACTTGACAACTCTTTATAGTGAACAATTATCTAAAATGAGTTCTCTTAACGGCTGTTTCAAGGCATCTTGTCGCAATTGCCCGGGGGAAATACAATCACGTGGAATCTCATCAACGGCAATCGCTTTTGTTTCTGGTGATGGAAAACAATAGTCACCTCGGATCAAGATGATGACCACACCGCAGCTGACAACGCATCACATCGTGACCTCGTCATTCCGGCAAATGATATTAATTAAATATACATCTCGTTTTCCAAGATTACTAAAAAAAAGCTCCCTTCTTTGGTCATTACTCTCTCATCTTTCGTTCATGAATTTACTACATACGCGCCAGAGGCAGAAACAAGTTTCACCGAAATGGCGCGCACAAACAAAGAAGACATGATGAGATACAAAGGCGGCATGATCCTACTAGCCTAAGGAAGAAAAAAAAAGAAAAAGAAGAATGCTTATTTGCTTTTGATTTTGCCCTCTCTTCTGTCCGAGGTGTCCCTTTTTTGTTACATCTTGTGTGTGTGTGTGCAGAATCTTCTCTTTCTTTCTTCTTCAATGCCGGAAGTTTTTTGTTTTTTCTTTGTGTCTTCTTTTTTCCATTCTCGTGTTTCTGGAATCTGCATCAGACTTGTTCACTCACCTTTTGCGTGCGAGCCAGTCTGGCACTTTGAGTCAATTCCATTTCATCATCATCATCATACATCTTCGGGCTCAACCTGAACTCCAGGATCCTTTCCTGCACAGATAGCCATGGAACAACGCGCAAAATGCAAAAACCAAACCAACCCCTTGATGCAATTCATGCCATGATTAACCGTTCGTATCGACATCGTCGTGGTTGCTTTCGGGATATCAATTTCTGTTTTCCAGGTACAAAAAGTCGACCTGCATTGCCATGACACGAAGGAAAAACTAAACAGGGGAAAATAAACAAACGCCATGCAGCCCTTCCACTCTGTAACCAACCATATGCCATTTACGGGTCAAAATGCGCGCCTCCAACCATTTGCTCGTCGTGTCCAGATTTGGCAATGCCACTCATCCTGTTGGCCTGTCGGGGATCAATATCCTCTAGATTATCCCAGTCATCGTCACCGTTAGCGTGAGCGTCATCCATGTCCTCGTCATCGTTTCCCGATAAGTCACGCATGTGATCATCCAGTGCGCTTTCATCAACGTAGGTGAATCCATGGAAGTTTGCCTGCACCGAGGGTGAGAGCGGTGTAGAGGCAGCGTATCCTCTCGCCAGTGCAGCAGCCCGCTCGTTGAGAGAGCCGTTCTGGTCTAGGGCGGTAGTGAATTCCGGGTCGAAATATGACACATCCGTTGCCGACTTCAACTTTGGCTTGAAGGGTGGAGAGATGAGCTTCTTGGCGAGGAGGTTCCAGTCAATGTCGTTGAAGAAGGGATGGCGCTTCAGCTCTTCGGCATCGTCCGTCGCTCCTAGTCTGTGTTTGGGATTTCTATTAAGCAACCCCTTGACAAAGTTGCGGCCCTCCTGAGAAAGCGTGTCACGCGGGAACCGAACCTTGCCGAAGGCAATGTTCTTGTACATTTGTTGAGTGTCCTCGGCGTAAAAGGGGCTCCATCCGCAGCACATCTCAAACACCAAGACGCCGAGCGACCAGAAGTCGACCATTTTCGTGTATCCTGACTCGTCGAGAAGAACTTCAGGTGCGAGGTATTCCGTAGTTCCACAAAAGGTGTTGGTGGTGTCGTTTTTTGTGAGGTTTGCCTTGGACAGGCCGAAGTCACAGAGGGCAATGTGACCATTCGCATCGAGGAGAATGTTTTCGGGCTTGAGATCTCGATAGACAATGTCATTGTTGTGGAGATGTTGAATCGCCAAGATAAGCTCGGCGATGTAAAACTTGGCTCGCTTCTCATCGAACCGGCCTTCCTTTTGGAGGTGCCAGAACAGCTCTCCACCAGACATGTAATCGGTCACCAAGTACAGTTCCGATGGCGTTTGGAACGAGAACTTGAGTCCGACGATGAACGGCGAATCAGACGTAGCCGTGCGAACGAGAATGTTTCGCTCTCCGACGGTATGTGCAACCTCCTTCTTCTGGACAATCACCTTCTTCTGCAAGACCTTCATGGCATAAATTCGCTGGGTATCCTTCTTTCGAACTTGGTAGACTTGGCCAAAAGTGCCCTTGCCAATGAGCTTGAGGACCTCGAAGTCGGTGGGTCCGAAGTGTTTCCTCTCCGTTCTCTGGTACGTGACCTCGACAAATATCTCGCCCGTTGGGATGTTGTCGACAGTGGTGTTTGCGTGTCCCTGCAGCGCAAACCATCCCCTGACAGGGCTGTCCTTCTTGGCCTCGAGGTTGACATGACCTAGGAAATCCTCTCCATTTGTGGCATGGTCATATACTGAAACGTCTACCTGCAAATCCGAATCGACAATATCGCTACAATGGCGGTTAGCATCACCATCTCCACGGTGGACGGTGGCAACCATTTGCAAGTGGGATGATGGACAAACTCACAAGACAGCTTCTGCGTCCCACTTAGGACTTGAATAAAGGGTCCGGGAGGTTCGGTTGCGGAATGTGTTGTAGTCGCTAATGCTGGTGTTGCTGCTCTGACGGCTGCGCATTGGGATCGCCATCGGCCTGCCAGAATCGCTTACTTGACGCTTCATTGGGATTGCGCTGAGACCAGTCGGTGTTCCTATGACATGTTCCTCCTCCTCGATGGCATGAGGTCCACCAGAGATGAGCTCACTTCGCTGGAACACGGCCACGACGTACGGGTCACGGCTTTTGCGAATCCCTCGCGCCTCAACGATCTTGATGGTCAATCTCCCCTTGGCAGACGGAGCTGCTCCAGAGTTCTTGGGAGTCTGCGTGCCACTTGTCTCGGCGCCATCAGTGCCGGATCCGTTGGGAGTGTCCCTACTGTCCGGGGCTGGTTGGGCTGTAGAGAGGGCCCTGGTAGGAGTGGGCGGGCCGCTCTTGAACATGATACCACGAGTTAGCTCTTTCAGTCCTTGAAGCGAAAACCATTTAGTTTGAGTTGTGCCAAGCCCTGCCACATTTTGCGGGCGTAGAGTTGGAGAAGAAGACCTATGAGCTTGTGTATGTGGCACAGGATGAGGAATTGATGCGACGGTGGTATCTGAAAAAGGACGGGTAGATAATTGGGAAAGAAGTGGACGGTCTTGCAAACAACCCATAGACTTTGCAGGTTCCGAGCGACTAGAAGCGCCTGATGAACCGGCACTCCTAATCTCCTCGTCTGAAAAAGTAGTTTCTGGTGCTGCAGACCTCGTAGAAGAGGAGGAAGAGTGTGAAGTGACGGGGGGTGGACAAGAGTTTGTTGATCCCGTCAGTTTTTCCTGGCTAGCGCGCGTGCGAATAGTCAAGGAGTTAGACTGCCGGGAGCAGCGAGCGTCTTGTGTGCAAGGCTGAGAGCTTTCAGCATGCTCGAGTGACTGTAGTTTTGTGGATAAGGAGTCCAGCAACTGCTGGTCTTGCATCGGGTCCGGGGGCACGCCTCTCTCTGGTATTGACATTGTAGAAAAGCTCTCCTGGCTTGCAGGAAGGTCTTCACGAACCTGGGCAAAGTAGCTCATGATTCCGGGCAGGCGTTTATCTTGAGGGTCGGGGTGAGGAGTGGCTATGCCGGATCGAGGGGTTTCAAAGCCGATGTGATCCACGCCATCCTCCTCCGTCGCGGCGGTTCTTGCGGACTTGTCAGTACCCTGCATGGTCAACTGAAAGAAGGAAAAAGGAAATAAGCAACGAAGGAAAATGTGATAAAGATTTGGTTAGGCAAAAAAAAAAAAAAAAAAAATCAACAATGGCGCGGGGAAAATGGTTGATTGAGGTGGGAACACTAGTTCACGGCGGCGCCAAGCAAAAGGATGGATGGGAATTGAAGTCGTGATGTGCACTAACTCGTTAGGGGGAAAGATTGATTATAACGGACGAGGAAAACACGGAGGCGGCCGGCCAGGCAACCCGGACAGTCCAAGGGCTGAGCAGTCAGAGATGGGAGTTCCGAGAGCGGATCCGGCTGTACAAACGCCGGGCGCAACAGGCGCGAAGAAAGGGGAATGACGAGATGAAATTTGCTCCGACACGGCCACTTAGACGAGTGGGGATATCAAAAACTTGGTCAAGGCTGGAAGTAGAAGGCCTAAAAGCATGCATGCTGTGGCGGGGTTGTGCAGAAGATGGCAAGGGAAAAAATTTCAAAGAGGCTCTGGAAGCGCCAAGCGGCCGATGGTCCGGATAGGTTGAAGGGGTGTCTTGTTCTTTACTAATCTGCCGTGGAGTGAAACAGAACAGATTCGCAGAATAAGAAAGACTCCGGCAGTGATTGTGAATGTGAATCGGAGGGGTCGACCATGAGTCAGGAAATTGGCCAGATGAGCGCTCAAAGGCGGACGGGTAGCTTTCCTAGCCGTATCCTGGCTGGGCCTGGATATGAGTTGAAGCGCCAGGGTATGACGAGCATGGTTCCGCAAAATAGCCGTAGTTTCCAGGACGAGCTTGGTTCCAAGCAAGAGAAGTTTTTTTCCCCTTCGATTGGCATGTGCAAGCCTTTTCGGGTTGCCCGCGAGCAGTGGTTGATAGCAGTAATAAGCTCAACTCATCGACACCCCGCCACGGCTTGATAAGCGTTGCGTGAAATGACCGTCTCTCGGCGGAAAGGCTGCAAGGCGGAGCATAGACTGGAATATGCCAGAAGCACCAGGCAAACCACCAGTCATTGGCTCACGTAGTCAAGTAGCGAGACATTGTTGAAGTTGTTTCAACGCCCAACACCGTTGACCGTGTTGCTTTGTGCCAAACCCAGCGCCACTTGAGCGCCAGAATCTCCACCAGCAGCCGAGTCGCAGTCATGGTTGATTTCCTCATCCTGGCTCGACGCGAAAACTGGCAAAAGGAAAACAAGTGAAACAAGCAGATGAGGTGTGAATATCATTTCAATGTCTTGTCCCACTCAAATATGGCCCACGGAGAGCTACTACTTGGTAGCTCGCAAGGCTATCGTGGGAGAAGCTATGATGGCGGGGCCAAGCCGCTCTTCGCGGAACGACACGGACACTTCCAGAGCGCGGGATAAAGGGCTGAAGGACGGACAAAGACACAAGGACAAGACAAACGTACTTTGACATCATTGCTTGAGTTGCCCTCCTCAGAAGGTCGTAGCCACCTCCGGCGTGGGCGCTTTCAGGGCCAGACATGGTGAAGCCGCGGGGGGGACAATCGGTATTGTATACTCAAGGCTACGCAGCGGACTGGATAAGATGGATAGGCGGGGGAGAGGGATTCAGCGCCGTTTGCAGTCGGATGGCGTCGCGCTCGCCAAGGGTCGGTCGAGGGGAGAGGGAGTCGACACCAGGAGCGGTGATTTGCGCAGGAAAGAAGACAAATACAGTAACAAGATTGGGTGATGAGGGATGATGGGAGCGGCGCGTAAAGGAACAAGGAAAAAAAAAGTTGTTTGGTAATGGATGGATTCTTGGGGCAAAAGTGAGCCCAGGCGAAGAAGCTGCCGTAGCCTGTAGGCGTCAGTCCGAGTACTGGGCTCGTACAGTAGGGCCACTGACTGCTGTCGCTGTCGCAGGGCCCCGTACAGTGTGTGGGCCGGCTAGCGGAGGGCTCGCGGCGGCGGCTGTAGGGGTGGAGCGCGCTGTAGCCTCTGCCAGCTCCCCTAGCGCCAGTGCGGCAACGGCATTTCTATGGCCCTCAGCCTGCAGGGCCGAAGACTGGACATGGAAGACCCCCCTCCCAACATTTGCAACATCTCAGCCACCACCAGCCAGGCCGTCATCCACTGCGGAGTTCCCACGCGGCCGGCTGCTAGTTGATTGATTTGATTGAGCGAAGGCGAGCTGGCGATGGCGGCATCGAGAGCGCGCTCCTCGCATCGCATCTGGCCCAGCCCGCCGCCTAAAGTAGCGTGTATCTGTACCTGTACCTGTGCATGTACTTACACGGCTGGCCTGGCCTGGCAGTCCTGCTGATCAGCCAGTCCAGCCAGCGATGATGATGATGATCCATGATGATGAGCTGAACCGAAACACCAGACGCAAGTCAACGACCGGGGCTACTCATAGCGACGTAGACCAACTCCGTATTCGCATCCGGGGTTTGCTGAGTGGTAATGGTCATGCCGTGTCAGGACCGAGTACAGGTACATCCAGAGGCAGACAGAGGTACGGCATCTTGGGCTCAACGACGGAGGACCAAAAGTACCACCTCAGCTCGCCCCCTGCCCCCTTGCCTCTGTGCTGTTCAATGTCTCATCCCTTCACTGCCTTGCCTACATCAGGTAGCACTACTAGGTAATAGAACAACTCAAGCAAGGTACTCGTACATACATGTCGTGCTGCGTTGCAAAAGGTGAAATAACGCCGGTTGCCAATACAGACGTGGACGCCGTGGAAACGAATAGACTCGGCAAGGCGGTGGCTAATAAACTTGACAGGGGCCTGCTTCCGAGATCTTGGCCCGGGCGGCGAATCAAGCATCACCGCCGTCAAGGTTTTTAGAGGGCTCGGGTACCGCGTTTCCCGAGACATAGGAGGAGCAGCTTTCTGCCACCATTGCAACGCTACAGGCTCGGCCGCTGGCGGTTGATTTGCCGCTCAACTGCAGCATCGCATCGCGTTTTGGAGTCGGCGGCCCTTTCTTCACCGAGTGGAGATGACCCTGCGTACTCCGTACATACAGCAGCACAGTACTGAAGCATCTCATTCATACCCACAAACGACTGGAGAGAGCATCCAAGTACATACAGGGCATACGCATACTGTGAGGCGGGGCTGCAGATATTCACCGTCCCTCTCCTACTGTACTATACCAATCCAGGTACGAGGAGGTACACCGTCCATCGGGCGCTCAGCTCTCTCTGCTACCTAGCAGGTATGACACGTGTGGTGCCGAACCCGTACATTGCATTAGTCCTCGCACATACGAAAACGTGTGTTCTTGGTGGCGGTGTGAGTCAAGAAGGACGGATGCCGTGCTGCTGAGGAGCTGCAACATAAGTCCCGGCAATCTGGTAATGGTGTCCACGATCCAGGTCCAGTGAGAGCAACTCCCAAGCCACTCCTTGTACCCGCTATACTTGTAGGCTGGAACAAACAGAGGAGAGCATCAAGGATTGATTTCTTCAAGGTTTCATTGCTCAAAGCAGCCTTGGGCATATACAGTCTTACATGGTGAGCGATAACATCGGGCGGCAGACTAAGGTGGTATTGAAGCCTCGCTTCCATTCCCCAGCCTAGTGAAGCAAGGGAGTCTCGCGGTTCTCTTCTTACAGCACTAGCCACTTGTTCCTTCGTAACGTGAGCCAGTGGCTCCCCAGTATCACATTTCCCTGGGCCTCTGGGAGGTTTGGGGTTTTGGGGTATCACACTGTCTAGTGGAACTTGTCCCGCCACCTCCCAGCACGGAGCCCGCCAGCCAATAGACCCGACCGATTGCCAATGAAAAAAATGCCTATCAGAAAGCCGCGAAAGGGTGTCCTGCAATATCTTGATAGCTCGTGAGCTTCAAGCACGCCATGTATCGTGTGTTACAGATGTCTCGAAACACGAGGTACATGTACCCTGCGGTAGAGGCCAAACCCAAACCACAAGAAATTCCGTTATACGGCATCTGTACAGTGCAAGGCAACGACTCAGCTCAGCCACGATTCAGTCTCGCCACCGCAGCTTGTCGCGATGTCTGAATTTGTGATTGATAATTTCTCCATGACTTGCGACTCGCTAGGCAGAAGTCACCAACGACCAACACGACCCAGCCGCCAAGTCGTCTAGGTTGGTCTGGCGCTGTCCAGACCCAATCTACCTGAGGCGGAAGAAGCAAAGACTCGCATTTGCCACGCCATCCCGCATGCCACGAGTTACTCCAAGAAATGAGGGGGAAGGGCAGGGCAGGGATAGCTCTTCCAGGCAAGGGGACTGGAAGAGGCTGCGGGCTCAGCCTCGTCTGGCTGCAAATCAGCTGACGTGGGATCACATCTTGGACATGGGCATACATGATGATGATTGCATTCCTAGAGCTGATATCCAAGACGGCCGTATTCATTGCTCCATCGCCGCAAACTAGCGGTGGTGCCTGTTCGTTGCAGGCTGCGCACTGTGCCTTCTGCATCGCTGCCTCACAATCGGTCGAAACTTGCTGTGGCTGGAGTGTGGCATTTGAGTTTTTGCTTCTTCGACTCCAACAACTTGAAGCAACGTCGTGAGTATTCCTACACGTGGATAGTGTCATCGCCGGTTTCGCGTTAGGCCCTTGGGCATTGCAGAATTTTCTAGTGCCCTTCTAGCTTCTTCTCTGCTTGCTTCTCGCCAGAAGCGAATCCAGAGCGAATACGATACGACCAGTTCATGGCGCCGCTGGCTTTGCTTTGGAGTGGCAATTCGTCGGTAGCATATCTGTGACCGACGCCCGTAGGAGGCCATCGTGAGCCATCGTAGAGCGATTTTCTTGTATCTCTCGACTCTGGGCCCTGCACGATGTTACTCGAAGTTGGGCTTAGCGTGACCGTGTGACAATCGGGAGAGATCGTTGAACCCACCTTTCATCTCAGAGTGTGGGAGTGACAATTGCTTGGACCACAATAGACACAACAATTGCCCAGCGCGGACATGCCGAAAGCTTGCCTGGACATTGATTTCCAGGTAGAGCTGGATGTTCAATACCTAATGCCAAGCCAACGTGATACGACCTCTTTTATCTACCACCTACTTATTAGATATTACCTCCTTCTGAAATAGCTCTATTGTTCTGTGAGAGCAGCCATCTTATGGCGTCAAGAGCGAAATCAGAGTCAAGCACACAGATATCGAGTAGCATCCCCGTCATCGCCAGCTACAGTTGTAAGGAAAAGCTGTATACTCAAGTATAATACAGCTCTTTATCCGTGTTCGTTACATTGTGAAATGAAAGCCTCGTCAATTCCGACCAAATGCCCACCACGTCTAATATCCCGTAGTCTAAGTAGAACGATGCTCCTTAATGATAGCCAGCCACTTCTGCTCCATCTCAGGCGTCACACCACTTGGCCAGAATTGAGGGTCTGACGTCTTTCGTGGAACCAACGGATCTGCATAGCGGGCTGGACGCAACGGATACTCTCGGTCAGTATGTGTCACACCAGGGGGAACACGGAGGCAGCACGTGAATTTTGGAGACTGGACGAAAACTACTTACTGATGTGGAAGTGTTGATCCAAGAGTCGGCTCTTGATAGCCTCGCCGTCTTCCCTAAGCCTCTTGGAGGCATTTGAGGCTGCAGGTGCCGAGGGACTCGATGCTTCAGCCATGGTAGTTGAGAATGAGACTAGCGAGAGGATGCGTTAACTGAGCGGCCCATGAGTTGACTTTTCGGGGTCGGTCCAGTTTCATACCTTTTCTGTATCAGACTGAAGCTTTGAATACTCCAGGCTTTGGGTATCGTCGTCTAAATATGTAGGCAATAAGGTGCTTGGTTTAAACCTCATGCCAGCCAGCGAAAACTCTCTGCAGTCCATGAATTAACTGCAGAGCACCTTGCGAAGTTCTTGCCCCACCGAAAATGGCTCCCCGCAGCCCGAGAAGGACCCAGCGCTGAGGAAAAGTCCGAAAATAGATACCTAGATATACTTTGGACGAAGCGCCGACGCCGCAGAATTTGCTTTTCCAAAGGGCCACAGCCTCGGTACTTGGCAGGTACCGCGCGTCAAAATTATAACCACACAAACAAATCCCAACCTCAAAGCAGACCACCGGCTTCCTCTCGAACATCCCCGACGAGCCTTGTTCCATGCAGCCACGGGCTCTGATGCGCAGATTCACGCAGCTGGACAAGGGCGTCAAGGCGGCCTAGAAGCACAAAGCAGACGACGTTGAAAGACTGGGATTTGCTGTGCGGCGAGTGCCTTGGAAGCAGAGACTGGCGAGCCATACCCAAGTTATAACATCCGGCTCCTCAAGCTTTAAAGCTGCCTTTCAACGCTTCCATTGCTATCGGCTTCCACCAACTATTTTATTTATTCATTCCTTTCGCTTGTTCTTATACAAGATGAGCAGAGCAGGCGGCGTTCCCGATGCCTGGGACGACGACTGGGAAGCTCAAGCTGACCGGCTCGACCGCAAAGACACCAAGGAGCCGCAGGCCGTTCCGCAGCCCAGCCTGAACAGACAAGAACGGATGCAGCAGCACGCCGAGGCGAACCGGAAACTATGGGAATCAGCGTATGCAAGATGCTTTCACAGACTAAGCTGGCCCGTAATGAACTTTTTGCTGACTTTTGACTTTGCTTTGCTTTTGTCCTGCGGAAACAGTGATTCGACAGAGACCTTCCACTATATTGAAGCCAACGGCGGCGGCGCCCCCCTCACCACCACCTTCAAGCCCCAAGTCAAAGTCCTCAGCCGTAAGCCCGTCATCGCCAAGAAGGACCCCGTCACGGGCCTGGCCCAGATGTCCCTCGACGACGGCGACGCTCGGCCGCAGCAGGCGCAGATGACGCCCGACGAAATCCGCGCAAAGCAGAAGCGCGACCGCGAGGAGAAGCAGCGGCGCTACGACGAGGCCCGAGCAAAGATCTTTGGCGAGTCCGCCCCTTCGTCGCGCGGGTCGTCGCCTGGCACTGGTACCGTTACACCTCCGAGGGCTGAAGGGCGAGGGTCGTACCGTGGCCGTGGTAGGGGGCGCGGTGGAAACTTCAGCGGTGGCTATAACTACGGCGGCAGCGGCAGCAGCAATAACAACAGCAGCGGCGCTATCAACAACGAGAGCGGCGGGCAGCAGTTTGAGCCTCGGCGACCTGCCGCTCAGCCCGGCCCTAGGAGGGAGCTGTTTGACCCCAGCTCTGCCCCGAAGCCGGATTCGATCCGACGAGGAGGCGGCGATTCTCCCATGCGAGGTCAGGCGGGCCGAGACGAGCACCAAGCAATTCGAGCGCCCAGAGGACCAGATGGAAGTGGCAGAGGAGGGTTTGGCTTTGCACGGCGTGGCGGCAGCAGAGATACTTGAATCGTTGCTTCATTATTCCTATATAAAGCTACCTACCATCCGCCGTCAGCTTTACCGGCCAGCTGAGCGGCTCTCTCGGTGGCTGTATCCTTTCCAACATCACTAATCACCTCACGATAGCTCGTGAAAGCCAGTCTATCCAACCCTATACCTGTCATGCGGGACCAGTACGCCAGGGTATCATCTATATACGTGTGGGAAATGCCCCCAACCACCTTCTCGGGGCCACAGCCATTGTGTTCGACCAGCGAATCTTCGCCCGAGAAATATGCCTCATCGATTTCCGCCAACCAATCCTTTTGCTCTTGTGGACCTGGCTTCTCCGAAATGCTCTTGCGCTCAAGAATCACGGGATCGTCAACCTTGATTTGACCACCACCATTAGTGCAGCCGCCGGGGCATGCCATGACTTCAACAAAGCTATAATCGAGAGAGGCAGCTTTCCCTACCGGGCGGCGAGCACTCCCAAAGGGCTTCCCGCCCGGCATGCGGGACGGACGGGCCGGCTTCAAACGCCTGACGAGATTTTGGATATTTCTGAAGCCGTAGTACCGAGCAGCCTTGAAAATAGGCTCGCCATTTAGAGTGACAAAGTATTCGACTACATCGACGTTACGGCCTCGGACGACTTGTATCTCGGAGCCCGGCGTTTGGGCGGCCCTGGTTTGGAGAATGTGGTGTAACAGCCCGCCGGACGAACCAGCTACACGCGAGGGGTTCCTTGAGCCCTTGCTTGGAAACAAGAATGCCTGGAGCTTTTCATCCGGGAAGGGTATTGAGGGTGTGAGGGATGATGGGGATTTGGACATGTTAAAGAAGTCGAGTCCCCTTGACTCTGCCAGCATCAGAACCTCTTTGCTCGTGATGACACAGTCGACGTCTCGAATTCCCTTTCCAGGCAAGCCGGAGCGCGCCCATACTTCATCGGTGAGCTCTTCCCGGCTGGCCTCGAGCTTCTTATCGAAACAAGGCATGACAGCCACATGCCATATTCTACTGGGCGGGATGCCCAGCTTCCGGCTCAGCGATGTTTTCAGGATGGTGCCCATGAGGGCCTGCGGCGACTTGACTTTGGATAAATGTGGTAAAACATATGGATGAGTCTTTTCTGCATAGCACACCCAGCCAGGACATGACGAAGCTAGGATTGGCTGTGACGGCCTTGAGACGCCCGGTGTGGGGGAAGAGAGGACCTCGGCTGCACCGAGCGCAAGAGTCGCATCTCGGGCCACATTGATATCGACCACCCACTCGAATGAAGTATTCCACTTTCCTCCTTTTGCAAGCCCTTGCGGACCCCGTAGCAGACTCTCCAGCATATATCCGGCCTGGCTCTCGGAGACGCCCGGCCCGCACGCGGCAGCCAGGTTTGCCCTCGTTTGGGAGCTTACACTGGCAACGAAGAGCTTCGCGTCTTTGTTCTCCAGGCCCTCGACGGTGAAATTCCCGCTCGCATCGGGTCCTACTACGCGCAGCGCCGGGGCCGCATCGAGCGTTGAAATGACTTCGGTGTGGCTCTGCAAGCTGACTAGGATGGCCTCTGCGGATGTGACGCAGCCGGAGCAGGCGAGGCAGTCCGTGAGAGAGATTTGAGCGGGCGTGGCATTGGACGACGACGAGGGCTGCTGGCCGTCGAGAATGACTTCGTTTTCGTTGGCAGACTGCTGGGGCGCGGCCGGGAGGGTCTCGATGGGCTTGATGCAGGCGACTCCGGGGGAGATGAAGTCGTTGAGATCGTCGGCGGAGAGGATGGCACTCATGGTGCGGGATTACGGCAATGCCGTTCGCTTTTTTGTATTCTCGAGATGGATAGGTTAAACCAGTAGATTGTCTTGTTTGATTTGGATTCTTTCTGTTGTCTTGTCTCCGTGCTTGTTCTGTGAATGTTGTATGCAGGTACTAGTTGTGTTGTTTTGTTGCAAGTGGCGAGTTTTGCGATTTCCGTGGCGCACTTGGCCTTCTTGATAAGCACGTGTCGAAGTAGCAGTGATTCAAAAATGCAAATAGCCAAAGAATAAAATGATGAAAAGGAATTTCTAAAAAGCGAACAAATCAGAGTATCTTCCTTTCTATTAATACCAGAGGTGCAGCAGAAGCTGAGTCTGGGGCGCGCAAATAAAGAGGCGAGGATTTCAAATCCGGGTTTGGTCAAGGTACGCAGTATGAACTCGAAAGAGTTAGTGGGGATGCGAAATCGGCGGTGTTGGGATTTTTGGGGGGGTCTCCGCCTTGGGGATGTTTTTTTTTTTTCCCGAGGAAGCGTTATTAAGGCGGTTGACGATTGTTATTTTGTTGGTTTGGTCATTTGGGTGGTTGAAATTGTGTAGAATTAGATTATTGTTTCTCTTTGGAAAGTGATTATTACAGATATGATATTTATGGCGGATAGAGAAGAAGATGAGAGGCTGCGTCTCATCTGCTGATCAACAAGGATGTGGTGATACTGCCATAATAAAGGCAGCCGAAGCAAGATAGAAATCAAGTATTGTATTAGTATCGACAAAGCAAACAAGTCATCTTGAATCATCCTTTTGGTATATTTCATTGCTATCTTACACCACACGACCCAAGAAGAGCCCGAGAGCACATCCTCTTCTGCTCCCCTGCGTGGTATGTATCTAAAGTCGGACTTCCACGGCTGACCTGGAGAGTAAAGAAGCGCAAGGTAAAAAGCAATAAGAAAAAAACAGACAAAATACTGGAAAGAAGGAGAAAAATGAAAAGAGACAAAGACCAAGATCACAGTTGCTTCTCAGCCCGCTTTTGCGTGTCCTCTGATAAAAAAAAAAAAACTCCCAAAACTCCTCGTTGCATTTTACATGCACGCCCATCTTTTCGCTTCAATTCCTTCCCAGCCCCGTCCGATGGCCTTATACACCGAGATTCCTAGATCCCGCGTTTATCATTTTCAGAATACACAGATTCCTAGCGACGACTGCGTCTCCTAGGCTCATATGCTTTGTCAGCAGTCTCCTGAGAACGACTGCGTCTCCTAGGCTCCTATTCCTGGTCGACAGTCGCGGAGACGGCTTCTTCTTTGTGAACGCCGTTACCAGTCTCTTCGTCTCTCTCCTCCGTGCTGCTAGGAAGCTGCACGTCAGCAGCGCCAGAGATGATGGCTTGGCGGCGCTCATGCCAGTCCACCTCGCTCTGGATGACCTGCGCCAACAAGACCTCCTTCTCGAGCCACTCCTGGTAGTAGGCATCTTCCCACTGCTTGCACTCGTTCTTGAGCGCCTCTCCAACCTCCTCTGCCCACGTCGCCTCCCAGTGGCACTTGCGCCACAGCTTGGGGAGGGGAAGCTCGAGCTCTTCTTCGGTGAAGAGCTCCGACGTGAGGGCCGTGAAGCACTCCGACGGGGGGACCTCGCCGTTGGCGTCGTCTCCGTCGTCTTGTCCGGCGGATTGCGATTGGGGAGTTTTGATGATGATTTTGAGCTTTCCGGTCCGACCTGTTGGCCCCGATTGCATGGACTTGGGCACGGGGTCGGATGGTCGGAGAGCTTCGGTTTCGTGCACAGTGCGCATGTGTTTGGCTAGAGCATCGGACCTCGTAAATGAGCGGTCGCATTCTGTTGAGCAATTCGTTAGTTATGACGGATCATATTGTACGAAGAAGTTGCGAGTCCCCCACCCAAAAAGGGCGAAAAGCAAAAGGGACATGGTTCCCCAAAAGACACATACCAGGCAGGTAGCAGTAAAAGGGCTTCTCTCTGGTGTGGCTCCGCATGTGAGCCTTCAAGGCATAGCCACTGGCATGAGGCAAGCCCTTTCGGTTGCAGCTTCGCCATTCGCACGTGTACTTCTTCTGACGGTTCTCAATGTGCGAATTGTGAATGTGCTCAACCAGCTTGTCCATGTTGCCCTGGTCCCCCGCAGGGCAGCCGTCCCAGTCGCAGATGGTCACCTGGTCCTGGAAGTCTTCCTCCTCCAGCCTGGCGTTTACGGGGGAGCTCGGGATGTCGCCTGACGTGTCCGACGATACGTCCGACATGCCCTCGAGGGGATCGGGCTCTGGCACGGGCTCGTGCTCGGCATCGGGGATCACGGCCGACGATGTTGTCGAGCCGGCCTCGACCTTCTGGCGTTTGGACGGCCGCAGCGTCGTTTCGTCATCGTGGAGATCTTCCTCGTACGGCTCTGACGAGTCCATGGCTGAAGACAATGGCGAGTCTGGGGGCGAGTAGTTTGGCGCCATGGTGGTTTGGCGCGTTTCGCTGCGGGTTGGGAGTACGAAGGGCGAGTCGCGTGCAAAAGAGCAGTAGCTCTCGTTATCAAAAGTTTTAAAAAAAGGGTCAGGAAGGAGAAGAAGAAGATGAAGAAGCAAAATAGCCTTGGAGGCGAAGAAAAGAAAATCGAAGGAGTGCGCGATGCCCTTGCGCTGGCGAGGGATCAATTGATGGCTGATGCGTTTGGAATAAAGAGAGTGTCGTCCTGCGTCGTGGGAAAATTGGCCTGGCCTGGCTACGGTTGCTCGCCCAGTGTTCTATACCGTACAAAAAGTACATAGCCTCGCTGATGCTTGGCTGGATCAAGCTAGGGGGCCTTGCTGCGTTGCACAGTGTGAGCCCCGAAAGGCAAGGCCGTGGTGATGGCTTCATGCCTGGAAACGGCAGCATCTTGGTGCGTCTGTCAATTATTTTCTGTGTCACTTTCGAATTCACTAAAATGTGTATTGTTTCCATTCCATTCGCCTTATTCAACTGTTGAACCGTCTCTCCCATGTACACATTTCCGATAGATCCATCATTTCTCTGGCCTTGTAATTGACTGTGTTGAACCCAAAAAAAACACCCTGAAACTTTTGTTATGCATATATACGCCCAAGGGGGTGTTTTCAACGCAATCCACGCCTGGTTCTCCATCAAGCCCCATGTAGAAAAAGAGAAAAATAATAGTGCCACATCTAACCCGCAGCCCGGCAAAACTTCACACGCTGGCATCATGACGGCAAGCAATCAAGTAACCTGTCAAACTGTTGCATGTCCGTAAAGGGACGGGAGTCATGGAGATTGCACAAGTCTTGGACACTTAGATGCTGACTCCCAAAACCTTTCGTCTTTGCTTCACGGCCTCGGCCAAATTGTCAAGCACCACTTCAGTGTCTGCCCAGTGGATGCAAGCATCTGTGATACTGACGCCGTACTTGAGACCGGACTTGCCCTCCTCTGGCACCTTTTGGTTACCTATTAAACTAAGTCAGCACAAACTTCGAAAATGAAAGTTTTTTTTTTCTCGTGGGGGCACTCACCCTCGCCAATGTTGCTCTCAATCATGAGACCCATGATAGCGGTCTCGCCCTTGGCAACCTGTTCGGCGACGACGCTGGCAACCTTGGGCTGGTTGTTGTGGTTCTTGAGTGAGTTGCCGTGGCTGCAGTCGACCATCAGCCTGGGAGGAGCTCCCTTCTTGTCCAAAGAAGCCTTGGCCTCGGCGATGCTCTCAGCATCGTAGTTGGTGCCCTTGGTGCCACCACGCAGAATGACGAAGCAGTCATCATTACCCGTTGTGCCAACAATGGCGACGACACCAGGCTTAGTGACTGAGAGGAAGTGGTGAGGGTGCTTCACGGCACCCATAGCGTCGATGGCGACGCCGAGCGAGCCATCGGTGCCGTTCTTGAAGCCAACTGGGAAACTCAGTCCACTTGCCAGCTCACGGTGCAGCTGGCTCTCCGTTGTGCGTGCACCAATGGCGCCAACGCTGAGAAGATCGGCCAAGAACTGGGGAGAGATGGTATCCAGCATCTCGCTAGCAATGGGCATACCCTTGCTCGTCAGGTCGACGAAGAGCTGGCGCGACAATCTCAAGCCCTTGTTAATCTTGAAGCTACCGTCGATATCTGGGTCGTTGATCAGGCCCTTCCAGCCGACGGTCGTACGGGGCTTCTCGAGGTACGAGCGCATGACGATAAGCAACTCATCCTTGTGCTTCTCCTTAGCCTGGAGGAGCAAGTCGCAGTAAGCGAGGGCAGCGGCAGGGTCATGGATCGAGCAAGGGCCGACGACGATAAGAAGGCGGTGTTTTAGGTCCTTGCCATTGACAATCGCCACGGCCTCGTTGCGGCCCTCGATGACTGTCTTTTTTGATGCTGTCGTCTGCGGAATCTCGTGTTGTAGCAGATCGGGAGGAGTTAGAGGGTTGTAGCCGCGAACTAAGATTCGATTGATTCAGTAAATACGAATGTCTACGTATAGTCCTATGGGAGGATAGACTTACTGCGCCAATCTTCTGAGTCGGCCTGGTTGCCGACATTCTTGTTCTCGATGTAGAACTAGAAGGGTCTGGTGAGTCACTCACTACTAGGTAGGTACACACGCAAAGGCCAAGAGCTGGTGATGGACAGCGCCAATCGCCAATTGGGGATTAGAAAAGAGCACACATACGGTAGACATGATGAAGTCGTACTCTTAGCCAAAAGCTGGAGAGAGAAAGAAGAAGAGGAGAGAGAGGTTGCTGTACTCCAAATTGGAGAAGAAGAGAAGAAAAAAAGTTGTAGATGGAGGGTGGTGTGACGTCAATAGGAGCTGATTGACGGGATCTTGGCGGTGGCTTGATTTGGCAGCCAATGCAGTAATACTCCAAGAATGGAAGCGTCAACTCTCTGCCTCTCTCTGCCTCGTCTCTTTGGGGTATCGATGTGAATATAAACGAATGAATGAGATAAATCTTGACAGCTATCCAGAAATCAAGCGCCGGTTCTTCAAGTGCCGAAAATATGTAGCAGGCCGTCTGCATGTGCGCCTAATGCATGCAACTGCCAGGCTTGGTCTAAGACGGGCTGCCATGCCCCTGCTGGTATTGTCTCACTCTCCCACATGCAATTGATTGCAATGATTGTCGTCCCCCGGCAGCGGCCCTGAATTACTCACTCTAGTTCCCGTGGTCCGACGTCGGTGCTTTTGGCGAGCTTCTAATGTTGTCATTGACGTGGAGAATACGAAGCGTGTGATTGGCTCCGTTGACAACATGAATTGACAATCGACATGACAGGGGTGGTAGCCTTACGCCCTTGGCACAATCTCGCCCTATGTATTACTGTCTTCGTACGACAAACGACAAGGGCTGATTCATGTTGTTCAATCGTGTGATATCGTTGATGCTATGGCAAATAAAAATAAAACAAAAAAATATGACCGCTTGCTCCAACACTAGGCAAGTTGCAAGTCTACATGACATCAATGTTGAGAATCTTGATGTCCTCCTCTGGCCTCTCCTTGTGTGCTCTTGTATTCTCAATCTTATGAATCACATCCAAGCCCTGTGTCGCACGTCCGAAAATGGTGTGCTTTCCATCTAGCCAAGGCTATGCGCAATACAGAGTCAGCTTTCTCATCTCCTTCTCATCAAACAACAATTTCTTGGTCAAATACTCACAGTCTTCTCTGTCGTAATGAAAAACTGGCTGGCATTGGTGTTAGGTCCTGCATTCGCCATGCTCACCGTATAAGGCTTGTCGTGTTTCAGGCTGCTAAATTCATCCTCAAAGTCGCGCCCCCAAATACTCTCGCCGCCAGTGCCATCACCAAGGGGGTCGCCGCCTTGAATCATAAACTTTTTAATCACACGGTGGAATATTGTGTTGTTGTAGTAGCCGCGCTTCGCGTGTGTGACGAAATTCTCCACCGCCTTGGGCGCGGCGTCGGGGAAGAGGCGGATATGAATATCGCCATATGTAGTGTGTAGTATGGCGGCGGTGCCGGTCTCGACCTTCTTGGCTGCCTGCGCTTTATCCTTGCCTCCCAGCACAGTGGGCTTCTCGTTCTGGACGTCTCGCGTCGACTTGGATATCTCTTCCTCATTCGTAAACATGTAGAATCGAACTTTGCCGACGCCGGTGGCGACCAGGATCGGATCGCGAGCTTCTGACTCCTGCAGAAGCGGGTTGCTCGAAGCACCCATCTCGACCGACACGATGCCCTTCTTTTGAGGCTGCCCTTGGTACATGCCCAGATTCACGGCGCGGAGGTTTTCATCCTTGCCGTAGACCTTGACAACCTGATTTGTGTACGTGTTGAGGACTTTGATTCCCACCATTGAACCGTAGAGGATAAAGTTTCCCGACTCGTCAAAGATGACGTTTGACCGGTTTCTCAGGGCCTGAGACTCAATCTCCCGCTCCTGAGCCAGCCGCCTACCAAATTCCACATTATCCAGCTTCTGTGCTGCTGTATCCGCTCGTTGCATATCTTCGGCGACTTGGAGCGATTCGTCGTAGGTTCTATGTAGCTTGGCCGTCGCAAAGTCAAAGATGCGTATTTTCCGGTCTGGCAATGAAAATGCAGCAAGGCTCTTCCCATTGGGGGATATCGTAAGGCATGTCGGCACGGATTTAGCCTTCTTGAAGTCAAATAGGTTCGTCGAGCTTTTGTATTCAAAGACGTTGCTGGGTTTCTCGTAAGCCCCGCTAGGCTGCCAGTATTCGACCATGCCGTTCTCATCTGCCGAAACAACACAATCGTATTCGTCATTGAACGCCATAAGATGAACTGGGCTTCTGTGTAGGCCCTTTATCGTGTGGATCGCATCCTCCTGCTCGCCCCGACCGTCGTAAATGTGTATCAATGGCTTGGCCTCCTCCGACACAGCCAACAGAGGAAAAGACGCCCCCTTTTTGTGAACCCAGCAAACGCACTTGGGAACATATTTCAAGGTGATCATGGATAGCAAGTCAAAGGTGAAGACGTCGAAGATCTTAATGGTTTCGTCGTCGCCAGCAGTCGCAAAGCTTCGCCCATCTCGACTCACCGAGACAGAGGTGATGGTGCCATTGTGTGCCTTGAATTGCTTGACAAACTCGATGCCCTGCCCTATCTTCTTCCAGAACTTCACAACACCATCGGTAGACGACGTTATGAGGAACTCGGTCAAGGGGGTCCACGTAGTAAAGAGCACCTGCTCCTTGTGCATCAGCGATTTCGAATATCGGGCAGACTTTGGCAGCGCAGAGATGTATAGCTTTTCGTAAGGCAAGACGCGGCGCTTCTTCTTCGGGGCCTCGGTGGGGAGCTGCGGTCCCATGTCATCATCTGACGAGGAGTCTATCAAGAGGAGAATCACGTTGATTAGCCTCGCGTACGCCTATTGAACCTAGAGGGAAGGATTGCCCTTACCCGAGCCGTCTTGCTCTGCATACTCTGCATGGCTGCGCTTCTGCGAGCGGTTGTCGTCTTCAGCTGCAGAATCAGCCATGGCCACCAATAATCCGAGATGATCTTGAATTTCCGCGAGAATCAAAGGGACAATGCCGCCTGGAGCAATGGCCTGTCGCGGGTTGAGAAGGCTGAAAGCGTGTGGGAGAGCTGCGATGGAGTGGGCGAATTAGCTTTGAGCATTGGCTGTAAGCTCTGCAGCCTTGTAATTCGCATTTCCGGATGGATACCCCGAGTAGTCCGCACTGTATTCCACACTGTCCGTTCACAAGAGCGCAGTGATATCGCGTAAGAGTCTACATAGAATAATTTGATACGGTAGCTCAGCATAATTTATTGAATATACAGAACAATCTCTCATTTAGCTATCCACATCCCGTTCGCAGTGGGAGTGGTTGGACACTACATATGTAGGTACCTACTTAGACATCGTGCACGCTACTTGTTTATAACGACGGTGATTCAAACATCAACAAGAAAAGTGCCACTCAAAATTGCCAAAGAAACGCCAAACCTAAATCTCTGATATTAATGAATCATGAAAATAAACCTCGGGAAAGAGTCGGAAAATTCATATGATTATTATATAAGTGCTCGGTGTTTCCACTCTTATAACTCTCTCTACCTAGTAGGTCTAAGGAGTGCCTTCAATGTAGTAAGGAAGACGAATCAGATAATAATGGATCGTATCAATGAATCTTACTAAAACACCGCTCATGATGAGTATCCTTGGCATATATATAGGTATGTGTACCTCATATATATCTCCTCTAAGCCGAGGGATGAAAACCCTCCACTGCTTATAACGTCGATGTAAGTAAAGCACCCCACCTCCGAATTTACAACGCTGATCCCAATTCAATTCACAATTAATTGATATCATTAGAACATCCACCACTACTCTTCACTCACAAAACAATGGCTCGACGTCCCCTCCAGCGATTCTCATCTCCATCTCGTAGACTGTCTCTCCCCTTCCACTTACTCAGCACCGCTGATTTCGCCTACTGCTTCTACTGTCTAACACGCTGGAAATATCCACGGACAAATGGCTTTGAATGGCACTTCCAGTACATCACCAACATTGGTCTGGGCTTGTCCACAATCTCCTTCGCCCTTGGGAGCACTCACCGACATTACTTCGAACTCAACCATTTTCAAGATTAAGAGCGCGCTCTCAGTCTTGGGCGCGCCTCTCGAGGTCACCGTTACCATTTTATACTGGGGGATCGTTGCGATGGGCCGCAATCTCATAGTTCAGGCTGGTTTCAAGCTTCCCCTACTTCTTAACTTGGGTTTCCACTTTGCGCCGGCAATTTTTCAAAGCTTGGATTACATTTTGTTCAGCCCACCCTGGACATTGCCCACCTCTGGGCTTGTGGCTCTGAGTGCTACCTTTGCTTACGCGTATCGATGCTGGGTTGATTATTCCCACAGTAGAAACGGATGGTACGTTTGTTGCTGGTTCATATAAGTAGCGAAGCTGACAATTTTTGAAGGTATCCATACCCTCTGCTTAAAGTCCTCAACACACCCCAGCAGTTGCTTCTTCACGCTCTCACCGGAGTGCTCGTCTTTGCTTCGTCTCGCGTCCTCAATTGGGTTTATACAAAGGCCAATGGATCTGCACCTGTTGTAACAGAGCAGACAACTGAATGTGAGAAGAAACAAGAGTAGTGGTTTTCTTGACTGGTACCAGCCGGAATCTCTGTGCAGGATCTTGCTGGGAGTTGGAAGCCCTGATGTTGGTTATTTTACCACTTCACAGTTGTGTGTGGCATAGGAAAAGCCTCAGAGCGTAATATACAAGGATGCTGATATTTCACCATGTATAGATAGGTATGTACAATTCTATCATCAGTCGTGGTGGATACATGTAGACAATTATGAATCGTCTATATGGTTGAGCCCATAAACCCGCTTGTTTCGCATTGTCGCATAGACAGAATCCTTCAAAGATTCGACTTGACATCTCCAGAGTGTTGAATCTTTCGCAGCATCGATCTCTTTAACTCCGCAATGTTCTTGACTCCAGCAAATCCCATGGTTAAATCAAGATCGGCCAGTAATCCGGCCAACACCGCCTCGGCACCTTCTTTACCATTAATACCCAGTCCATAAACCACCGGTCGCCCAACAAAGACGGCCTTGGCTCCAAGAGCCAGAGCCTTGACAATGTCGGCGCCGGTGCGAATGCCAGAATCCATCATGACGGTGAGCTTGCTGCCGACAGCATCAACGATTTCAGGCAGGGCGTCCAGAGTTGCTATGGCGCCGTCAATTTGTCGGCCGCCGTGATTGCTGACAATGATTCCGTCCATGTCATGCTCAACAGCCAGCTCAGCATCTTCGACACTGAGAATGCCCTTGAGGACGATGGGCCCATCCCAGTGCTTTCTCAGAATCTTGAGATCCTCCCAAGACCGAGATGTCCCTGAGTAAGTCTCTCCAGTCCAGTACATAGCCGCCTGTAGCGTGTTTTCCTCGGGAGTTCCACCGTCGCTCATCTCAGCAAACTTGCGCCTAAAGACAGGATCAGAGAAGCCGATCCGGTCTCCTTGACCGAGGATGAAGGGAACATTGGCCGTATCAAGATCATACGGTCTCCAAGCAAGGGTCCAAGTATCCAAAGTCACTACAAGCGCTGTGAAGCCATTCTCCTTGGCTCTCTTGAGGAGCGAAGCTGTGATCTCTTCGTCATTGGGCCAATATAGTTGAAACCACTTTGGCGATTCCGGAGCCGCAGCCGCGATTTCCTCAAACGAAGATTCAGCAGCCGTGCTCAAGGTAAACGGGACACGTAATTCGGCGCAGGCCTGGGCAACTCCAATCTCTTTGTCCGGGTGGAACAGTGAATTGACCCCGACAGGCGCCATGAGAATGGGAACGTCTTTGGCAACCGGTTAGCTTATGTTCGTCCGGTTTACAAGAAATGCTGGGAAAAGATGGGGAAGTAAAAGATTGTCACTTTTTCACATACCAAATTTCTGGCCAAAGATGGTGACACTCAGATCCCGCGGCGTCGTGGGCTTCAAGACACGAGGAACAATCTTCCACTGGCGGAAAGCGAGGCGATTGGCATCCATTGTTGCCGCTTCACCAGCCCCTCCCTTGATGTAATCGAAGCCCGCCTTGGTCATCTTCTGCCTGGCCTGCTCTTCGAGCGAGTTTGGGTTTGTTGTCACAATGGGCAGCTCGTTGGCCAGCAGGCCCTTTTGGAGAATGGCCCGCAGGTAGGCGGCATAAGGCTGGGGGCCATCGCCATCCTCGTCTGCCATTGTTGTTTTTATGAAGGATGGATTATGAATCTAGTTATTTGTATATAATGAACAAAAGCAAGAAAATGGGCTGTTCGTTTGCTCAATTGTTTCAAGTGACAGTTTCATGGCAATGAAAGCCATCCATTTACCCCAGGATTGGGGTGTCACTGCTTTATACAGATTCAGGCACCACATTAGTAGTCCTTGTAGAGAGGAGACTTGCCTCGGCCCAGGGATTGCATCCGGTGGTAAACCCAATTCAGCTCTGGAGGTGCATCGTACCAGTACTGCTTTAAATTAGTGTCGAGTTGCCACATTAGGCTTTGCTCAATTGGCGATTAGCAATTCCATTCCACCGTGTTTGCATTGAAGCCTCTGTTGATGATGTGTCCATTTAATGTTCTTTCTTATGTAGGTATGACAGTGGATGTGAGATCATTCATCAAATATTAGACCTCGACTTAGACACGCAAACTTGGAGGCTCAGAACCGCTATAAATTCGCTAAATTGAGTCCGCCATAGCAGCTCTGCAGCGTCCGCTGACAGCGACCTCGCGTCTACCCCAACATATGTACTCGGTACCTCCACATCCCACATATGGACCGAATCTGGACATGTAGATTGAACCAAGGCACACTAGAACCCCACCACAGAACCTCTGTGCTCCAACCTGAAGTTTCAATCAAGGGCGGCTTCACTTAAGGACCGTCCCTTTGAGATTTGATACTCCGAGGTCCGAGAGCAACATCGTCCGCCATGGATATCGATGATATCCTCCGAGAGGTTGATCCCGCCTCTCACGGCATCCCGCTCGAGACTCGAGACTTGCAGGCCTTGACGCGCCTTTGGGTCGCCGAGAGATCAGCGCCGGAGCTGCTCAAGTGAGTATCTACATCGACCTAGATATTCGGCATCTTGCATGTGTTTTTTGCATCTTCGAATACATGCCATCTTAAAAGACTGTTGGTGTTTTTCTTTTCGCTAATCATGTCGTATTGCACCCTAGTTGGCCTGCTGATGGCCTGTTTGAGCGAGTCAACTCCAAGATCAAATCTCAGATTGAAAAGATTGAGGACATGACCGGCGACATGGATCCCAAGACCAACTTTGCTCTCATTGTCATCCAGACTGAGCTTGAACGATACAAGTTTTTAGTACGAAGTTATTTGAGAACACGAATAGCCAAAGTAAGCCAAACACAAGCAGACGTCCTTGTTCACACACTGCAAGAATCTCACACATCTGTTTTCAGATTGACAAACACACTCTCCACTACCTCTCAACCGAAGAATTAAGACTGCGCCTCTCTCCCACCGAACTCGCCTACGCAACGAGACATCAAGCCCTTCTTCATAATCACTACCTCTCGTCCTTCCTCTCGTCTTTTCCCCAGCGTCTTCAGAACCTCAACGACACGGCTGGCAATGTCAGCATGATTGATTCCCCTGACCTGGACACGGCAGTCTTCGTTCGTCTTTTACGTGATAAAGATGTTTTTGGCAGGGGAACGGATGTCGATACCATTCTCCCGGCGGCAAATGGGGATGTACTCATCATGAGGTGGTCAAGCGCCAAAGGTCTTGTCGAGGATGGCGATGCGGAGCTTGTTTGAAGAGATTTCATTTCAGAATCATATTTGAAACAAACGGCGTTTACTATAACATGGGAGGAGAGAGCTAAAGGCGTTTTCACGAATCAGGCGTGAGGGGGGGGAAAGGAAAAATACCCTTAAAAGACTTGAAAAACCGGAACGAGTTAAAGAGTGCGAGGAATTCAGTCATGATAGCAACTCGAATGAAAAACAAACAATCCGCTCAGAATTTTGTATTCACAACATCCCATGTCTAATTCCTAATCTCCCACAGTCTAATTTTACCCGTGTCATTACCCACCGCCAACAAGCTGCTCTCCTTGCCGAATGCCACCGTCGTTATTCTCCCCAGCGGCGTCTGTGCCGTAGGCCAATTCCTGTAGACTGTGCAGCTCGGGAGGTGCGCCAGTCTTAGAGCATCCTTCTGGGCCCTGCTGCCGAACGCGAGGAGCTGGCCGTCGGGGGAGAATGTGAGCACGGTGATGGGCGTGACAAGCTGCTCAAACACACGTGTAGGGGATGGCGTCTCCTTGATGATGATATTCTTGTCGGCATCTAGGGTGAGAAGCCCTGTTCGGTCGTAGATGTTGGTGATGCCCGTGTTGGAGCCGACAGCCACCCAGCGGTCGTCACCAATCAGTTCAGGGCCCTGGTGACCACCGAGGGCAACGACGATGCCGCCGATACAACCGTCGTCGCGCCAGAGGCCAACGAAGCTTCTGCTCTCCACGCTGTACTCGCCGACTTGGCCGTCTCTTCCCAATATGGTCATGCCATTTCCGGTGCTCCACCACGCAAAGTCTGCGATACCGTTTCTGCTGGACAGTCTAGCAGCGGCAATCCACTGCAGTGAGCCGACGCTGAGGATGTTGACGATGCCGCCACCTTTGCGGGTCGATGCGATAATGGCCATGTACCTTCCGCAGGGGCTCAGCTTGAACCGCTCCATCGTCTTGTGCTCCAGGCGGTGGCCCAGAATCTGCGCCGTCTTCTGCACGACGCCGGATTTGAGGTCCCAGTGGTGAAAGTATTTCCTCCGTCCACCAATGAAGATCTTGTCGCCTTCGGGGTACAGGAACTCTGCTTTTCGAATGTCGACGCCCTTGACTTGCACAGATGTTAACCGGGGGTTCGGCACCGGGTGGGCGTCGGGGGCGATGTGATGTAGATACAGCACCGATGCAGTGCTGGCCGACAGCAGGACAGGGAACTCGGGGTGGAAAGACAGGCACTCCACGGGCGCAAGGTGCTTGTCCGAGATTTCTCGCGTCCTCTGGATGTCGATGATTTCCGGCCTGAGTCGTCGCTGCTTGGGGCCGCCCGCTCCAGACAGGCTCTTGACATCTCGCAGGAACTCTTCCAGAGGCTGGGCAGACGCTTCGCCGCCGGACTCGTTGCCGCTCTCCTCCGAAGAGCCAGAGGAAGCGGACGAGCGCCGCCGCCTCTTTGTAGGGCGCCCCTCTGCCTCCTTGGCCCACGCAGGGGCAGGATGGAGCTGGAGATAGCGCTGTCGGAGTCTTCTGCTGTACTCTGTGCCGCTCACAATGTCCTCGGCCTCGGTTAGTCGCAGTTTTCGTAGTCGTGTATGGTTCGCAAGAGAGATTCCTAGTCGTTCGTCGTCGCTGTCCTCCCAGGCGGCCGGATCGCCCTGTTCTGACTTCTTCGCAGCAGAAGCAGCCGGTGCGTGAGGGACTGCGCCGCTCGGGGCGGTATCAATCATGAACAGATCGACATCGTCGACGTCTTCCAGTCCACCCGTGTCCGCGTCGGCCAATTCCAATTCTTTTCCCTCCTTTTCCTCTGACGTTCCAAACAGCCCATTGTTCTGAAAGAGACTCTCTCCAAAGCTGACCTTGCTACCGAAAACCAGCCGTTCCAAGTCTTCCTCGTCAGAGTCCTTCTCCTGCGGCGCAATCACCGGCTTCTTTCTTCTTGGTTCGACATCAGAGTCAATTTCCGACGACAAGGGGCTTTCGGACAGTTCGTCCTCTGAGAAATCGGGATCTTGAGGCTGGGCCATATTTGCTGCTATGTGGAAGCGCTGAGTAGCGGTTGATTGGTTTGCCCTGCAAAATTTCAATGGGAATCTTTTTTTCTGCATATTTTTTTCTGGGTCTGGAGCTCAGCCTTGCAGGACCAAAGCTGGCCCAAGTGGGGCGGCGGGGCCATGACAGCCTCTTCCGAGACGAGGCTGACAACATCAGATCAATCTCATCATCGTAACCAAAATTGTTCCTTTACTATCGTGTTTATATACGTCATTATCATTATGCTGCTAGCGAAGAAAACCAATCCAGTCTACTTCAGCAATGCAATTTTTTCCAGTTCGCTCTCCAATTTTGAAACGTCTTTGCTCACAGACTCTGCGCATTTCAGCGTGTACACGGCGCCTCGCTGAGCAACATCCACCAGCTTGTCCACTCTTCCTCCCTGAGCAAGGCCCGACACCATGACACCAAGGAACGTATCGCCAACGCCATTTACGGAAACGACATTTTCCACCTGCTCGACGGGAGGGAATAGTCGCATGTAGATGCCGCCAATCGCAGGGTTTCCATCAAATGATCGAGTCAGGATGTATTCGTCAGACTCTCGGTCCCGAAGTCGAGGGTCGTCTTTCCCGAGGATCGTCGTTAGAAGGACGCCCTTGGATCCGAGCTTTGTGATTAACGTCGGAATGTAAGGAAGCAGCTGGATAGACTGCACCGGTACACCGGCATCCGTCAACTCAACCGATGTAAGACGGATGAACCGGTCTCTGGCTCCACGCATGCCAAAGGAATCGATGACCTCGAACCAGTCCGGGCTGTCTAGATAGCCGTTCTCCTTGGCTGCAGAGTACATGGCCGAGAGCTCGTAGACGTTGGGCGAAGAGAGGTCGACGCTTTGGTTAGGGTAGACGCCGAGGGTTGGCACTCCGCGCTGGGGGCCAAAGAGGCTCTTGGATTTCTCCACCGAGACCGGTTCGAAAGCGACCTTGCTTCCGTGCTCGTTGGCTGAATGGATCCACGACCTGATGCCCTTGGGGCTCCAGTTGCCATCCACCACAAGCCACTTGGGATCTGTCGCCTTGATGGTTAATTTCCAGTCTTCGGGGAACAAGTGTTGCGTGAAAATGCCCATGTCCGCCATGGCCATGACGAGGTTCTTGCTGCCGTCGTTGATGGCCACGTACTGGGCGGTTCGACTTCCAGGATGATTCGCCTGGTCAAGTTTCTTGACATATGTGGAATCGAGTCCTGAGGCTTTCAAAGCTGAGAGGACTGTCGCACCCGCACTATGTAAGTGTTAGCAACGGAATCGCGTGTAAAGCATCTGTTTTTGGAACTTGAGAGCCTGCCTACATGTCATCGCCCACCATGCTGCTGAACTTGACTTGAGCCTGCCTGCTTGCTCGATGAGCAGCTAGGGCAACATTGTGTCCCACACCACCTATCGACTGGGTTATACTGGCGGGATTGGACGTATGAGGTTGAGGCTGGCCATTCCCACCCTTGAGACTGGAGTAATCACAGCTAAGGTCGACAGCAACCGACCCAGCGACAAGGATATCAGCTTTAGAATCTGCTCTCAGCGGAGCCAAAGGTTTATTCTCGGTCTTTGATGTAAACGCCACATTATGATCTGATGAACTTCTATCTAACCGATTAGAGCCATCCTCGTGAATAGTACTAGTACAAATACAAACTATGCCCCCCCTAAAACAGAACTTACGAGCTCGTTCCCTGGCTCAGCAAGCGCGACAGCTCCACCGCTATGTTGGTCGCTCTAACAATGTTGGACCGGACCAGTGCTTTGTTGGCAATGACTGCCCTTTCGCCGGTGAGCTCCTTGAGCCTCTGCAGGACGTAGGGCGTGTTGGCGCTGCCCGTGAAGCCCTTTTCGTTGGCCTCCGCCACGGCCAGCTCAATGTGATGTTGCATTTCCTGCGATGGAACGCCAAACTCCTCGGGGATGGGATTGGCAAAAAGCATGCCTGACTCGATGCCGAGCTTCTCCTGAGCCAGAATGATGGCGGCGGCCTCCTTTTCGGTGTAGGTGACGGACGGGCTCTTGACGCCACTGTCCCTTGCCCAGAAGGCCGGAAAGTCAATCTTGCCGGTGCGTCCATCAGCAAAGGTCGATACCAGGGCTCCCTGGGTCTCGAGATATTCCAATGTGCGGGGGATATCCAAGAAACCCTTGCAGCCGCTGCTGATGACGGCAACTCGTGTCCTTCCTAGCTCCGTAAGGTCGGCAGAGATGTCCAACGAGTCTTCGCCGCCGCGGTGGACACCACCAAGACCACCGGTTCCAAAGACTCGGATACCGGCCAGTCGAGCCAAGAGCATAGTGCCGGCAATGGTTGTACCGCCGTGCATCTTGCGTCCTGCGAGGCCCTGGGGAAGTGGTCAGCTAAGGACTGTATCTTGCAATAAAAACCAAGTTTTCTGATATGATATTGGTAAAAACGGCAATCAATGGCGTAAAGGGCGTAGACTTACCATGCCAACCAAGTAGGCAATATCTCTTCGTGAAGCCTTGGAAGTGCCCTCTTCCTCAATCATCCGGACAATCTCATCTGTCGAAACACCCACTTTCGGCACACCATCTACAATGGCAATAATAGCCGGGATACCGCCGGTGCTCCGGACCAGATCCTCGTGCTCCCGTGCCAGATCCTTTCCTAGGGCTCCATGGGTGTAAATGGTCGACTCCAGAGCAACAACGGGCTTGTTGTTTGCAATGGCATCGGACACCTCCGGGGACACCTTGAGGAGGTCACGGATGGCATTTGAGCCTGCGGCGGCGCTCAGACTGCGTCGCTGTAGAGCATGACTGCGGAGATGGTGAGCTGACTGCAGCCGCAGATGGGCTGATGTAGATTGTCTTAGGAGGACGGAGAGCCGTGAAGTCTTCATGGTGGCGGATGAGTGAAGAGCCAAAGCTCTATATGTTGTTCTTGAATCAAAGAGACAAGGAACCCCCCACCCGATTGCTAGTTTGTTCCCCCACTCTTTAGCAAGCTTGTGTAAGTTAATAGGCCGTTTAGTCTAAAGACGAGTTTGCATCCCAATGCCCCTAGCAATGTGCGTAGCTTGTGATGTCCTATTAACTGTGTAGAGTAGTATATCAGGAAGGATATCAAGAGTTTCAACAATTGAAAGGTTGAGCGACATTGGTGTTAGTTAAATCTCTGATAAGAGGCCGTTGCCGGAGCTTCTTGTCGTGAATCGCCGGCCTCCGGGAGAGTCACGCCGGCTAGCAGTGAACTAATTAGCAATGATATCCGCAAATAATGCTCTGCCGTCTCCAGCTCTTCAGCGGGTTGCCAAGTGATGCTGTTGATATCTTGGTAAACCGGGGCGAGTGTTATTCGGCAAGACGCATTAGGAAATTCTGCGGTGTCAAGGGCGCTGTTAGTGCAATTGCTTGCGCCGTACGCCAATGCACTACCACGAGCTGTATTTTATTCACCACGGCATCTCGAAGCGGTAATATTGAACATCGAAACCAGAGCCGTGAGTTTCGGCCAACAAAAACTATCTGCAGCTTCTCCACCTGGTTAATTAGCTCCAAAGACACCCCCAACATGTGATGGCGCCGCCATTCGTTTACTTTTACCCGTGCACGCGATCCAATCTTGGCTGGAGCAATGCGGGGGAGAGATTCGATACGGAGCCACGGGGCAACTGCTGGTACTGTATGTGCTTTGGAGTACTAAAAGGACGTCGATTCGCATCTTGAACAATTGAAAAGGATGCTCCCCGCATTGTGATGAAAGTAAAAGCCTCGGCAGTTGCAGCGTATGAGACGCTCAGGATTGCGCAACTCATGGCCGGGATAGTTTTAGTGCTGCCGTGTTTGGAAATGTTATATTAGGCTTGACCGGCTGTTCAAATGCCGGCACGCGCTGTCCTTTTCCAAACAAAAAGAGAACAAGACAAAAAAATAAGTAAATCACTTCTGTCGTGGTTACATCGCATTTTTTACTTTGTATTCGCACCGTCGGATCGGCTGGATGCTCGGCAGCTTTTGCGGCGCGGCGTCATCAAATGATATATTCATCTCCCAATCCAGGCACGCGAGCTCTGTTCGAGATTCCTTGGAAAAGCTACACAAGCAAAGGCAACCTAGGTGTTGACTAAGCCTCGAGATAAGAGCTTCACTTCACCTTTTACGTCGGGTCTTATACGATATCAGCAGACATCACACCCTCTCCCATCGCGATGCCGATGCACAAGGGCATCCTGCCGCGTGAAGGTCTGTGTGCCGACGTGGTTCTCAAGCTCGTTCGCAGAACACTTCTGAATCCGAACCTCCTGCTGCCTCTGCTTCTGCTTGCCCGCTATACCAAGAAGGGCCGAGACCTCTCGATCCTGCATCCCAAGGCGGCCCGGAGGCTTAGGCTGCTCTTCTACGTTGCCGTGGCGCGTGGGCTCAGCGGTTGGCTCTCAGACAAAGTCCGCAACAACTGGGTCGGCGACAGGTATGACTGGTCCAAGGAGATTGTGCTCATCACGGGCGGCGCGGCAGGAATCGGCGCCTCGATAGTGAAGCTGCTGGACGAGCTCAAGGTCAGGGTGGTGGTGCTGGACGTCCAGCGAATGACATATACGGCCTGTAAGTCCAACCAACTCCGTCACTCCGACTTCAGCTACATATACACTGCATTGCATTGCAGGGCTGACAAGGTGCAGCCTCCAGAGTCCACCACTTCTACTGCGACATTAGGTCGCCAGCAAACGTGGCCGCCGTCGCCGAAAGGGTAATCGGCCAGATCGGGCATCCCACGGTTGTCATCAACAACGCCGGCGTCGTCCGCGGGAAGACCATTCTAGCTGCCACGCCCGAGGACGTGAGGCTCACGTTTGACGTCAACGCCTTGGCCCCTTTCTGGGTGGCCAAGGCCTTCCTGCCGCACATGGTGGCTCAGAACCACGGCATGGTTGTGACGGTGACATCCTTTGCCTCGTGGGTCACGGTCCCCAACTTGGTAGACTACGCGGCGTCCAAGGCTGCGGCCATGTCGTTCCACGAAGGGCTTTCAGCTGAGCTCAAGACTCGATACAACGCCCCCAAGGTCCGCACCGTGGTGGTCCATACCGGAGCTTCCAAGACGGCGCTTTTCACCGGCTTCAACCAGGGGGCGCCCTTCCTACTGCCGTCACAAGAGCCCGACTCCATTGCCGAGGCAGTCGTGAAGCAGATCCTCAGCGGGCGGAGCGGTCAGGTCATCATGCCAGAAGCTGGAGGGATGCTCCCCGCCTTGCGAGTGTACCCGGATTGGCACTCGTTCCGCGTCCGAAGCAGAGGCCAGAGATCCATGCTCAACTATAACGGACGACAGGTCATTAAGGATCCAGCTGCACCCTTTGAGGCCAACGACAGCACGGAGCCCGTCTCCACGGCATGAATGAGGAAGCCGGTTTGATGTAAGTGTGGCCGAAACACGATGTTGTCGATGGCCTAGGAGGGCGATTCAAACCCCTTTCGGCCAGGTCTTACTTGAGATGCTGGAGAGCTAGGTTCATAGCACCTGAAACTCGTCCCACAATGGCCAGAGGTGAACGACTAGTGGCCTAGCAGTGTTACTCTTTAATATGCAAAGGATTTACTATCCATTATTATTCTGGGGGGGGACCCCAAGTTGGTCATCTTGCATCCCAGCGACAGGATGTTCAAGTATATGCTGCTGCGATGTTAGTTTTTCCTTAGTATACTTTATGTTACCATGCTACATTTTTCCTAGTACATACTACTATTGTTACTTTCTCTTGTTATTATATGCCATCCGCTAGGTATTACTGCTGTTACTTGTGGTGCCGGCTAATAGCAAGTCCCTTATTCCTACGAGTGATGGATGTTGGCGATCTCGGACGACAAGCCCCATTCCTAGCAAGGTGACATGCAAGCCACCGTGGAGTTTTGCCAGAGTGTGTGTATACGCATGCGTACGTGTTCAGGCCTTGACACCCAACCAGATATCTTGGTGTCGAAAATGGCATGAGCTGGCGGGGAGGAGATTGCTGTGATCACGCGATGTTGGCAGAAGCGAAAGAAAGGGGAGTCGTTTGCTACTTAGATGATTGGCGAATCATGGACTATTATACGTGACTACTCCGGTACTTGTGTGCCTGATCGTATAGTGGCGTACAAGCAAGGTTTTGTCTGGAACGAACTGACATCGGAGCAAGATCTCCTATACGGAGTTAGCGAGGGGGGTCCGTAGCCACCGAATGGCGATGCCATTGGGGAGTTGAGTTGTTATCATCAAGGCCGTTTATGCTTTGTTGCAAACAGACAGACCTGCACCGCTAATGTAGGTTAGTTCTTGGTAGCATATGATGGAGGAGAAGTCGGCGAGTCAGCATCGTGCCCGGAAGACAGATCACCATCAATGCCGTGCTATTAGTATATCATGTACTCGTAGGCCAAGGCCCGATAAGGCGAGATAGCAACGCAGGATGCCACAGGTGCGAATATGGAGTGCATATATGGGCCACGAGACAAAGACAGACGACTGGCTGCTCAAAAGAGCCTCATTCTACCCAAGATATACTGTAGACGGACGGTCGACATCTGCTTGCAGTTGGACGGACCAGAGGAAAACCACCCAGTGCTAGTACTACCTAGTAGTACCTGCAACCACATGCGGCATGCCACCATTGCAAAAGTATATCTGTGCCACAGCGCCGTGGCGCCGCTTGTAAGTTGGAACCCCGACCAGGGTCCGTGTTCAATTTGGAAGACACAAGTGCCTCGTACATGTACATGCACTCTGTGAAACCGGAGCCGCTGACTCGGCCGCGACGGTTGAGGAGAAACACAGAGAACGAACTGGACCCTTGAGACCCCTTTGGGAAAGGAAGCGTCCGGGACGAGATGGACCCTTGGCGGAAACTGAGCGAAAAAGGGCGAGAGAATGCGCTTCAAGGGAAATTGTCAAGCAGGGTGTATGCGATGTAACGGGTTCCTTCCATGACTCTCTAGAATCTCCAGCAGATTCCCGAGCAGGAAACAAGCAGGAGCACAGCAGCAGGAAGCATGAGCCAAAAGCATGCCTTCCCTTCACTCTTTTTTTTTCTAAATCCTCGTCTCCCGTTGGACGGATGGAGCGGAGTGGAGCCGCATTCTAGAGCAGGCGCGGCCACGGTGCAAAATGGCACCACTTGCCCTCTCCGAGGAAGGTCCTGCAGCCAATCAGCGGCGCGCAAACTGAGGCTAGGCCATCGGTAAGCCAGCGCCTGGACATGGTGCAACGCCAATGACAATTATCTTGACGGCAAAATGGGCTGATCTTGCTCTCAACAGCTGTCCAGGACGGCCGTCTGTCATGCCACTTTTGCCGTACGTGCGTCGGGCTTTACCGGGGCCATGAGCTGCTGTGTCGCTCCTTCCAGCCTCCCCGACGTCTGCTGGGGCCCGGCCTCGCAGCCGCCGCTGTTGAGCTGAGCCAACTCGCTCGCTGTACGTGTACGATCCAGGTACTCGCGCGTTGCGTCGCCGGCACAGCGTCTGCGCGAGTACCGGCCTCGTACTCCGTGCCCTTTTTCGAATCCCATTTATTACCAATTCCCTTTCCCCCAGCTGCCTTGCCTTGGGAACCTTCAGGTACTGATGCTCCGGCCTAGGGAGACGAAAGCAGTATTAGTAGCGGACGCTGGCCAATTCCCCTCCCCCAAAGCAACAGCCCAGGAGAATAGATAAAGGCGACCTAGGGAAATGGGCTCGGGGCTGCTGTGTGCTGTAAGCGTCTGTCTCGACGCCGCGTGACACCCTTGGACCAAAGAACGACTTTCCATCCTCCTGCGCTGCCCTGCTGTGCGAGTTACAGCTACAGCTACAGCTACAGCTACAGCTTCAGCTACAGCTTCAGCATCAACCCTTTCTTCTTCTTCTCCTTCTTCTTCTTCTTCCTGCACTGTCGCATCATTCTGCGTTTCTAGCCCAGACCCTCCAATCACCAACCCCCCGATCCGGGCCCCGGTATCCATCCAATTCCTTGCAGCAAAAAGGCCAGGGGGCCAAAAAGCTTGAGAGGCGGCACTTGTACTGTGCTGTGGCTTTGCCGTGCTGTGCCGTACGAGGATTCGGACAAGGTCGAGCACAAAGGCCCAAGAGGATCCCTAAACCGCATTGCATTGCAGTTGCAGTTGCAGCAAGGAGAGAAAAAAAAAAGAGGTGTGGTGGAGACGGTCGCAACCTCTCCTGAGACGATCCGGCTGAGACAAACAGGCCAGGCCCATCTCTCTATCGCTCTCGCTCTCATCGGGCACAGCGTGCTGGAGTGCGCAGAAGCAAAGTTGGTCATTGGGCGAGCCCGGCCATTGAAAAGCAACCAGGCTCCTGGACAGTGGAGCGAGCTCGTCTTTTTCGGCTGCCCACAGCGTCCAGGTCGAGACTGGACACAGCAGAGAGGCCCGGCTCGATCGAGCAAACCGCAGTGAGCCTTCAAGCTGGCTGACAGATCAGCTCAACCTTCGTCCGTCACCATGGCGCCGGGCGTCGTCAGTCCCTCGCCAACCTCCAGGAACAACAGTCCCGGCCACATGGAGGAAGAAGCGCAGCCAGGCCCCTCGAACCAGGAGATGCCCATCGACGAGGAGGATGCCACCGATCCTCTCGCCCTTCTCCGGAGCCTGCCAGAGCCGCCCACCACCTGCCAGGTGTGTGTCGTTGGCGCTGGTCCCGCAGGCCTCATGCTGGCAGCGAATCTCGCCCGTTTCGGCATCGACGTTGAAGTTGTAGATGATAGGGCGGACCAGACGCCTGTTGGCCGGTATGTCTGTCCCCAATGAAGAAAAAAAAAGATGCCATCTATCCCTTTCAGCTGGCCTCGAGCAATCTACCCCCTTTTTCTTTTTTTTTCCTCTCCCCGTTTTCTGCCCATCTACTGCTGCAACTTGTAGTCTGTAGGCTTTATTCCTGCTCTGTTCCAAAACACTGTTCAAACTCTACTTGCAAATTCCATTTTTTGACGCTAATGTGGCGAATACAGAGCCGATGGCTTACAGCCGAAATCAATTGAGACGTTTCGGCAGATGCGATTGGCTGATCCGCTGCTGCAGCGCGGCGTGAGAGTCTTTGACATCTCCTTCTGGCGCAGTACGGCAGATGCACCTCTGCACCGCCTAGGGCGTGAAGTGCACTACCCTCCCGTTATCGATGTCTTGGACCCTTATATCCTCCTTGTCCATCAGGGCATGGTCGAGGGCCTGTTCGTCGACGACCTGAGGAAGCGCGGAAAGGAGGTGCGCCGGAACACGGCCTTTGAGTCTCACTATGTGCCAAAGTCAGGGCCTGTCCAGGTTCGGTGTTACGCCAATGTCAACCAGGACAAGAAGACGATTTTGACCGATTATCTCGTTGGATGTAAGTCTATTAATTACCAAATCTAAGTCTAAAGAAAAAGAAAGAAAAAACCCCTTGGCTAACATGGGAAACTCATAGGCGATGGAGCGCACTCCAAGGTCCGCAAGAACATGTCCAACGTTGAGGCCGTGGGCATGTCCCGCCCAGATATCTGGGGCGTCTTGGACGGCGAGCTCATCACCAACTTCCCCGATATTTGGTCCAAGACTCTTGTCTACTCTGAGGAGCACGGCTCGATCCTCATTGTTCCCCGCGAGCGCAACATGACGCGCTTCTACATCGAGCTCAAGGCTAGCGCCCGCGCTGACCGCCGTGAGCTTGGCCAAAAGTTTGTCATGCAGCAGGCCCGCAAGATCATGGCGCCCTTTGAGCTGGATTGGAAGTACATTGAGTGGTTTGGGCGATATCAGGTGGGCCAGCGCGTGGCGAGTCGCTTCACGGATGTCAGGACCAGGGTGTTCCTTGCCGGAGATGCTAGTCACACTCACTCTCCCAAGTCCGCCCAGGGCATGAACACATCCATGCACGACTCGTGGAATCTGGCCTGGAAGCTGAACCTGGCATGCCGTGGATTGGCCAAGCCCAATCTTCTCGAAAGCTACGAGGTGGAGCGCCGCAAGATCGCCCTAGACCTCGTCAACTTTGATTACGAGCATGCCAACCGCATCGCCGGTGGAGATGCCGTCGCCATGGCCGAGAACTTTAGGGCCAACGTGCGCTTCATCTCCGGCATTGGCGCCGACTACAGCGAGAGCGCCCTCAACATTACTCGGCCAGAGGACAACTCGGCCATCCTGGGCGGTGCTCGTCCGGGATGTCTCTTGCCCCCGGCCAAGGTATCGCGATACATTGACTCCAACCCGGTGGACATTCAACTCGACATTCCCATGCTGGGCCAGTTCCGTATCTACCTCCTTATGTGGGATGTGATACAGGCAAGGCCCTTCTTGGAGACTCTCTGCCGCACCATGGCGACGCCAAAGTCCCTGGTGAGCCAGCTTTCCGCTGCCGCAAGCGCATCCTACGCCAAGCAGCCAAGATTGCCGGCTCCGGAAGATGTGTATACGCGACCTGAGAGATACACGGTAGTCAGCCACTTGTTCACATTTGCTTTGATTAGTGAGTAGCAGCCAGCTTTGCGGCCCTTTCCCCCCTTACCTTTTCAACTTGCTCCCAGTGTGCCTTTTTGCTAACCAAAGGGATGCGTCTAGCCACCATGCCCAAGTCTGAGATTGAGATATCAGACCTTCCCGCACTGCTGCAAGATAGCCGCTGGACCGTCTATATCGACAACGTCCCCGAGCTAGACACCAGGGGCGCATTCTGCACAGACAAGTGGCTGGGAAGTCTCGGCCCCAGCGAAGTCGCTATCGTCAACGTCCGTCCCGACGGCTATGTTGGCTGCGTTGGCCGATGGGACACCAACGTTGACGAGGCCGGCGAGCAGGCGGCCGCGTGGTTGGATTCGTATTATGGCGGATTTATGGAGGTGCCCAAGAATTGAAACAAAAGAATGTGAGAGAAATTTGAGAGTTGAGTTTTTTGAAACTGAAACGAGTATTTATGAAATGGAAAAAAGAGATGGCGGGCAAAAAGAGGAGGAAAACGTCAGATGAGCTCAGCAGAAACCTCGCTGCTTTTTTAAACGCACCATCTCTTGTTTGCTTTTTTTTTGTTATAAGGGCATTGCTGATGATATACTTTTGACAACTGATTTGATGGCTTCGTTGTTGTTGTTATTTTTTATCTGATCACGAAAGGGGCGGGAGCATAGTATTTATCTTTTTTTGGTTTTTTTCTGCAAAACATTGTTCTTTTATATCTGGACAGTTGTAGATACAGCGAGTAGCATGTAGAAGGGCTTAATGGAAACCGAAAAAAAAATTGGGCATGGGAATACGAAACAGTCAAAACGCGCCCCCAACATACGAGTGGTGACGCCACGGATGGACTGAGAAAACGAAACACGGGCATGGCGAAGCAAATGAGTGAATTATTTTTTTTAATATCTCGTTTCTTCTAAATTCTGTGGGTTTGAGATTTGAGAACGTGACCTTTCGAGGCATGAGATTGGGAGGGCTAACGTGATGGTTTTTTTTTTTCATGTTCCTGGCATTTTTTAGTTGCCGTTGCGTTGCGTTCCTTGCATAGCCTCCTCGTTCTTTATGCTTACGCATTATGAGGGGTTTATTTATATCGTATCTACTTTTCTCGGGATTGAGATCCGATGAATGTGTATATTTTTTAATATCGCCGTCAATGCTTCCCCTTTCCGTGGGCAGTTTTCAAAAGACGATGATGGTGACATCCCCCTTGGCGTCCTCCCCAACGAGCCACCGCTCGTCTCCGCAGATGAAGCCCTTGGCCATCATCTCAGGCCACACGTCGTCCGCGAACTGGACCTCCTGCCCGTCTGGGCCCTGCGTCGTGACGCCTCCCTTGCCGCTGCTGCTGCTGCTGGCAGGGACGGTCTCATTCGTCTGGTGAGACGTGTTACTGCTATTGCTACCACTGCTGCCGCCGCTGCCGTTCCTGGCGGCACTTGGTCTTCGTGTGCGTCTTCTTCTGCGTCTGCTCGTGCGTGACATTGTGGTTCCTCTGGCGGTGAATTTGGCGCCGCTCTCGCCGATGCCCTGGATGCGGATCTTGGGCCGGATGTGCACGGATAAGGTCTCGAGCATGAAGCACTCGCGGGCAATGACGCGGACGCCGGCGGCGGCGTCAAACACCTCGGAGAGCGTCACGTAGGGCCAGTCGTCGTGGCGCCAGCAGGGGGCGCGGCCGGGCCAGGCATGCGAGCTGTTGTTGCTCCACGCCTTTTCTGGGGAGTAGTCATTGCCATCGTAGATGTTGTCGTCCGTCCCCGCCAGTCGTCTCGCCCACCGGCCGTCGCAGCAAAAGGGCAGGTTGACGCCGCCTCCGCCGCCGCAGTCGTCCACCCACCGCGGGCCTTCGCCCATCAGCGGGATCCCCGTCGTCTTGACGCGATGCAGGCGCGGCGGATTGGAGCTGCTGTGGGGGCCGGCAGACCAGCGATGTTCCTCTTCGGTGAAGAAGACGTGGCCGCAGGCAGAGCCCCTGGCGGCGTCCCAGGTGCAGTCGTCGAGGGCCATGACACGCAGGGCCGGCGTGTCGCTCTGGCGAATGGCCCATTCGCGGAGCTGGCCGTTTGTCATGCTGCGGATGATACGCGGGCCGGAGTCGTCTCGGCTTGCTGTTCCAAACGGATCTTGAGACGGTCTGTATGTAGAGGGACTTCCAAGCTCCCATATGGTGAGCCGCTCAAGGGGCTCGTCTTCCCAGGGGGAACGCGCGGGTTGCCACGTGTAGACGACGTAGTGAGTAGCGTTGTGCGTCGAGAAGAAGCGGTCTTGGTGGCTGACGGGCAGACCGAGGTGGTGAATCTTGCACTCGCAGAGGAATTCAAAGCCCCAAGAGTAGGCTGACACTTGGCCATCACGCCGGGGGATGACGCCGTCCCAGGGTCCGACTCTGCGGACGGTGTAAGCGGTTGCATAGTGGCGATGTATCGCTGCGTCTCCGTTGCCTGCACGGCTTGGCTGTTGCTCGCACCACTCCATCACGAGAATCCCGTGGCTGATGCGGACTCGCCTCACAATCTTGCCGCTCATGTCAAAGGGCACATCCACCTCAACCCCCGTCTCCAGATCCCGGGCCCGAAACCCGGCATCTTCCCCCAGCAACGCCGGATACACCAGCAACCCCTCGGCCGAAGCCACGGTCCATACCGGGTCCCAAAAGTGGAACGGCGCCGTCTTGCCGTTGAGGCTCAGGAACCGGTTCCACGGCGTCACGCCGCGGAGCCGCTTGTCGTCCTTGAGCACCGGCACCTTGACGACCTTACACGGCACGGCGTTGCCCAGGTGAAAGTACCGCCGCGCCAGCCTCGCAAACACAGCGGCCCAGTCGCCGCGCTCGAGGGCCCCGAGGTCGCCGGCCCGGAGAAGTGCCCTGAGCCGCCTGCCCTCGAGCGAGCGCGGGAAGTGCGTTAGGATGAGGCTGATGCAGAGGTCGTTTCTGGTGAGGGCCTCGCGGAAGGCCCGGGAGATGCGCTGGCAGAGGATTGCTTCCGTGGCCGAGAGGCGGGAGATGATGTCTGTGAAGATGGTGTATGGGAGGCCTGTCAGAGTGAGGGCCATTGCGATTTAGAACATGTATATACTGTTTGGGACTATTAGCGGTATGTTTGAATTTTATGTTGATTGATTTGTAAGAATATGAACTCTAGTTGATGGCGATGTAAAAGAGACGGTGCAAAGATGAGGTTGCAGTTTGGGTTGATGCAGGCTATCTTGCGTGATAAGTAAGAAGTTGAGGAGAGGTGAGAGAGGTGGCATGTGACATCCCTCAATAGATAGATTGCCTAATCTCGCACCTCAGCAAACCGATGACAAACATCACCGTATTGATCGTTCACAATACTGAATTTAACGAAGATTTATTTCATTCTGCCTGAAAATAAAAAAAGGGCAATTCCCATGCTGTCCAGCCCATCTGCTCGTGGCTATATTATGTACAGTACATGCATGTTCTGTGAGACAACCGCCCTTCATCAGGGCATCATCAATTTTCCAATCATTCCGTCTTATTCCACACACACACACACACACACACAAACAATCCTAATTTCACCCTCTACTGCAGCGTGGGCATGTGCACCGCGGCCTTCTTGGCCACGGCGTCGGCGCTTTGCCACAGCGCCGTCACCGTCTTGAGCTGCGTGTAAAAGTTGATGCCGGGTCGGCCATAGAAGGTGTTGGCGCCGCCTCCGGCAATCGACTTCTTGTTGCCGGTGAAGGAGAACATGGGCAGCGGCACGGGGATGGGCACGTTGATGCCCACCTGGCCGGCCTCGATGTTCTTGCGGAACGTCTCGGCGGTGGCGCCCGACTTTGTGAAGATGGCAACGCCGTTGCCGTACTCGTTCTTGTTGATGAGCTCAATGGCGTCGTCGATGGTCTCGACGTTGAGGCACACCAGCACGGGACCGAAAATCTCCTGCTTGTAGCAGGTCATGTCGGGAGTGACGTTGGAGATGATGGTGGGACCGATGAAGTTGCCGTTGGGGTACTTTTCGGACTTGAAGCCGCGGCCGTCGAGCAGGATCGTAGCACCCTCCTTCTCGGCGCTGTCAATGATGCTCTCGATGCGCTGCTTGCTCTGGGGGGAGATGACGGGGCCCAGGTCGGCGCCCTCCTCGAAGCCGCCATCGACCTTGAGCGCCTGCGCGTGCTCAGCAACCTCGGAGAGCCACTCCTTGGTCTCGCCAACCATGACCAGCGTGCTCAGGGCCATGCAGCGCTGGCCGGCAGCGCCAAAGGCCGCTCCCACGACACTGTTGATGAAGTGGTTCTTGTTGCAGTCGGGGAGGACGGCGGCGTGGTTCTTGGCCCCCAGGTTGGCCTGGACACGCTTGCCGTTGGCAGAGGCCCGAGTGTAGATGTACTCGCCGGCCTTGTTGCCGCCGACGAAGCTGACGGCCTTGATGGCGGGCTCGTCGAGGATGAAGTTGACGGTGTCGTGGGCGCCGTGGATGACGCTGACAACGCCGGGAGGGAAGCCGGCCTTTTCAGCCAGCTCGACGAGGATCATGGCGGCGCCGGGATCCCGTTCCGAGGGCTTGATGACGACGGTGTTTCCGGTGATGGTGGCAATGGGGATGGACCACAAGGGAATCATGGCAGGGAAGTCTAGTAAAAGAAAAGAACGACTTGTTAGCTCTCATTGTCGTCTAGTTTTCAGGAACCAGTGATCGGGGGAACTCACTAAAGGGGCAGATGGCGGCGGTGACGCCCAGAGGCTCACGGTAGGTCCTCGTCTCCATGTCCTTGGACACCTCGAGGACCTCGCCCTTGAGCAGCTCGGGGGCGCCAATGGCAGCCTCGGCGACCTGCAGACCACGGAGCACGTCGCCCTTGGCATCGGCAAACGTCTTGCCCTGCTCGAGCGTGATGCTGGCGGCCAGTCTGTCCCAGTTGTCCTTGATCAGCTGCACGTAGCGGAACATGATCTGCTGGCGGAACAGCACCGTGGTGTTCTTCCACGACTGGAAGGCCTTGTCGGAGCTCTCGATGACGGCCTTCATCTCGGCCTGCGTCATCTGCGGCACGCGCGTCACCAGGTTGTTGGTGGCCGGGTCGGGCAGGTCGATGAACTTGTCCGTCGTCGACTGGACAAACTTGTTGTCGATGAAGTAGGGCGTGTTCTGCACGTTCTCGATCTGCTCGTGCGTCGTGGGGAAGCTGGTGGCCGTGGACGACAGGGCGTCCATTGGCTTGAGCTGCCGCGCCGTGGCATGAATCCTCCGGGCGGCCGTGACGGCCTGAGCCTTGGAGGCCATCTTGGCCAGGGCAATGGTAGACCGAGGGGAAGCGGCAGTCAGTCCGCGGGTGCTGGCAGAGGCGCTGACGGAGAGGAGGCGGCGCATGATAGGCAGGCGGTGATATATCAACGAGGAGACAACAAGACAGAAGACAAAGACTGTGGACTGCACTGCTGCCCGCTCCTGGTTACACCTAGGCCTAGTCGGTCAGCACTTTGCAGCGACGAGACGAGAGTGAAAAGGCCAGCGTTCCTATTTATCAACCTCCGTCTCTTCAACCCAAAAAGCAACCGGCCGTAGCCGTGTGTGGGGGAGGAGGCAAAAAACGGGGAACCCAGCACACACACACGGGGGTTTGTGGTTTGTGTGGGGAGCCCGCTTAGATTTGGCTGCAACTTGTTAAGCCGATGCCGCAACATGCCGAAGCCCGTCGTCCTTGGGGCAATGATTCAGGACGCCGTTTGAGATTGGGATTACTGTCGTACCGCGCTTTTTTGGTTTCTCATTACCTACAAATTGCCGAGCTCTGGCCCTCCGATCCCGGGCAGCTTTACCGAGAAAACAAGCTATAAACTGACTGCAATCAGCTGCTAATCGCCCGCCAGCGCCAACGCCGTTCCATCAGCAAGCAACGGGCTTATCTGCCATTCCCCCCCCCCTCTTAATCGTGTCAATGGCCTAAAGGCGCCAGTTAGTATGGACTCCGTGGTATATCGTGGGCTCATTAGGTAGCTTTCCTCATACGGCCTGGCGCTCCTCCGTCAACGCCCTGTGACCAAACTTCGAACACGACTATCATCGTAACCTCATTTCATAGAGTTTTTCAGCATCGTAAAAACAATCAATTCAGCTTGGCGAATGTTGATCATGAATAGGTACAGAATAAACCGTGTTGATAGCATCTGCCTCTGCCGTCTTAACATTGGCAATGACTGATCCTCCACATCGGCTTTGCTAGCTGGCTTGCACTAGACTGCCTTTGTACAATCATCGCGATACAAATAGATCTTACGTGACTCTAAACAATTGATTCCCATTTTTTTTAAATAACAATTTTTGCAAAGTATTCATTTTCAGTCCCCTTGGCTTCCCAATTCCTCTTTCGGACTTTGGCCCCAGATGCTGGTATCTTGGATATTTCTGTTCATCCCACATCTGGCCATTGCTTTGATCACTCACCGCTCTGACAAAAGAAATACACCCAACCGTTTACGACTGGCTGCGGGTAGTTCGCTTGGTAGCCTCTCCCTTGGACTTGTCAGCACCGCTGGCAACAGCCTCGGACTTGTCTTTTGCCTTGTCCTTGGAGGTGGCGGCGGGCTTCTTGGGGGCTGCGGAAGAACCACCAAGGCCGACGAGAGCGGTGATGATGGCAATCAGGGTGACAACAACAGCGGCAATGCCACCGGCGACCTCGGGGACAAACTTGATGGCCTCAACGGGGTCCTTCTGGGCAATGGTGAGGAAGAGGTCAAGCTTCTCCTTGATAAAGGTGACAGGGTCGTCAAGGAACTTGAGGTCAGAGGGAGACTTGGGGGTGTCGTCAAACTTGGGCTCATCAGCATCGGCAAGAGCCTTCTCAATGGGGTGCTTGACGAAGAAGGTCTCGGCGGCCAGCTTCTCGGCATCCTCAACGGAGTGGCCAATGTAGATGTTGTCGAAGAGAATGTCGTTGGTCATGGTCCAGATCTCGAAGCCAATCTAGTAAAGAGGAAAACGGTTAGTAACCAGGCTTGAAACATAGTGGTACTAGATAGAAAGAAGAAGGGTGCTACTCACAGCTCCAATGGGCTCAAAGTTGGCGGGGTTCTTGTCCTCATAGTAGTCGGGGTTCTTGATCTTGCGGGGAGCCCAGACGCCCTTGTAGGCGGGGTTGTCAATGAAGGGGGCAGACCACTTGCCCTTGTAGTCAGGGTTCTTGATCAAAGGCTTGGACCAGGGGCCACAGCCGGAGACATCGTCACACTTGGGGTTGGGGACGGTGGGAGGAACCCAGTCACCATCCTCCTCATCGTCCCAGTCCTCGGGCTTCTGAGCCTCGGGGTCAGGAATAACAGTGGCCTCATCGACAAGCCAATCCTCAGGCTGAGTGGCCTCCTCGTCAACAATCTCGAAAGGCGCATCCTCATCCCAGTCCTCGGGCTTGACGGCATCGGGGTCAGCAATGCGAGCCTCGTCAACCCAATCCTCGGGCTTGGAGTCCTTGGGATCGTCAATCTCCTTGGGAGGGTTGATGGGAGGGGCCAGGTCCTCGAGAAGGCTACCAGCCTTGGTCTCGACACCATTCTGCTTGATGGAGAAGGTGTTGTTGGGGTGAACAATGAGAGTGTACAGCTCGGTGGTCTTGACGATGTTGACGGAGGGAGCAGTGTTGAGGTGCTTCTCCTCGTACTCGCCAGTCTTGGGGTTCTTGTGGTTGACAATGAAGTGAACCCGGTTGTTGTGGCCGCACTTGTCGGGGCCAAACATGATGACATAGGGAGTGGTGTTGCTGAACTCGTCCTGGTGGAGAGCCTTGTTGTCGCGCAGGAGCTTCATGTAGGCACCACCGCAGTCCAGTCCCTCTGCAAGCGCACACAAGTCAGTTCATGTCCAGACGCCCTCGTTTTCTCTGTAGTAGACGCCAACTTACTCTGAAGCTTCACCTCGTACTGAACAACGAGGGTCTTGCCCTTGTTGTCAATCTTCTTGGGGAACTTGGCCGAGATGGCGTGGTGAGCGGCGGCGTTCTTGATGACAAGACCCTTGTCGCCGTCAATTCCCTTGTACTGGTAGGGCTCCTCAACAGCCCACTCGCCAACGTAGGCCCATTCCTCTTCCTCCTCAGCCTTGTCGGAACCGCTAGTGTCCTTCTTGGCGTGCGAAGGCTTCCATCGGGACTCCCAGTCATCGGTGAACTGCTCCAGGAAGTCCGCCTTGATGGTGGTGGGCTAAGCGACGAATCTCCGTTAGCACACGGCCGGTCATGTACGCATGTCGCCAGAGCAGCAGCTAGAGCTTCCAATCTGGAGAGAGAGAGAGACAGAGAGAGAGAGCTTGGCTTACAGTAAAGGTGGGAATCTCCGGGACCGCCTTGGACTCTTCAACATCCTCGGCGTATGCGACACCAGCGAGCAGAGCCGCGGCGGCTGCGACGGTGTTGAACTTCATTTTTTCAAGATTCCTATACCAGCGGTTTTCTTCGGAGAGCGGGAGAGGGAAGAAGAAGAAGAGAAGGAAGCTGTGCCAACAGGGCAGTCCCAGCGCTGAAGCAGAATGAATGAATCCCAAAGAAGATTGAAGATTGATTGAAGAAGGAAGAGGGAAGATAAATGGGAAGACGTGCGCCGTTGAAGAAGGCCGGGGGAGCTCTTGAGGACACGTAGAAGCTGTCAAGGGCCACGACGGAATTTAGCTGCCACTTTAGTTGGTCGATGCGGGGGTTCGAGCTGCCAGGCTGGGCTTAACCCGCCCAGTACGTACCCGGGCTGCTGTTCCCGATCCCCAGCCAGGCCAATGGAAGAGGCCCGGATGAAGCAGCTTTTTGGCGCCGCTGCAACCCACGTGTGGGCCTGCTGATATATTTCATATTCCGAGACGGGAAGAAGAGAATGCGTCTCGATGGCATCAAATCAATTGAAGGCGCAGCTACGGGGTTAAAGGTGGAAATACAGCGCAAGGGCAAAGATTAACAGTCATCCGGCCTGTCTGGATCATCCACGTCTAATCTGCCCGTCCCCAAGCAAAACCAATTGACCGGGCATTGCCAATGGCATCATCGCGTTTCCCTCTTTTTTTTTTCCCCCGGGTGAGACTTGGAGAAAAAAAAATCGGGGAGGGCGACCAGGTGGTTACACGGAAACAGAAGATGCCACATATCCAATTTCCAAGGCGCTGAGGTAACCCCGGACCAATTGTCGATGCTGACACGAGAACTCCAGCAGTAGCACGGGATTTCTGTCCGAGTGTCAGATGAATCGGATGCGGCATGTCTCTGCTCTTCCTTTGCAATTTTGCCTTGGCCATCAATCCCCGAAAAAATAGAAATGTATGGAGAGCCTAAAAGTTAGCACGTTCGATATCTGATCTGATGCATAGAGCAGATGCCCCATTAATGTGACAGGCGCTAAGGCCTTGCCGCTATTACACGAGCCTTGATGCGTTACTACAAAGAGTTCCATGATATTGAATGCATCGACGTGATGCGGTTGCGCAGTAGAATCTTAGTGTGTCGTCAGCGTGCTGTATGGCAAATGCAAGACACAAGTGCACACATGAATACGAATCAATATTACGAGATACAAGACGTCCTGGTTGGGTAAGTCAGCAATAATAATGCATGGCACCGACGTCTACGATCTGCGCAGGGTCTGTGGCCCATGCTTCACCCTCATCACCCTTTTCACAACGAAAATCTCCCCACATCAGACAATTGCTCCAGGCGCACAAGCCAGAATGGCGACCTGCCTCGGCTGTTGGATCAAACAACCACTCGAAAGTATATCAGGCGTCTACAATGAGATGGGTCTACGATGAGATGAACAGCAATCACATGAGGCTTCATCCAACTTGATCGACTCATACGATTTCAGCACGGTTGGTTACTCGACAGCAAGCAGCAGAGTCTTCTTGTCCCAACACACACCTTTTATTACCCAATCCCGCCTTGGATGTAAATACACAACCCCAATCATTAAATCCCCGAAACCCGAATTAAACCCCTTCCATTAACCAATCCAAACCGAACTGAAAAAAAAAAGATGACATGAAATCAAGGGGATATCTCAAAGTTTACAGAGCCAACAGGGCAGCAATGACACCAGCCAGGGCACCGCCAGAGGCGATGATGGCGGGAGCAGCGTTGGTAGTGGTTGAGGTAGAAGCAGAGCCAGTCCTGGTAGGGCTGCCAGACCTGGTGCCAGTTCCAGAAGAGGAGCCAGAGGAAGAGTCAGAGCCAGAAGAGGAGCCAGTGGGAGCAGCAGCGGTGTCAGTGCCGGTGCCGGTGTTGGAGGCAGCGTGGTCGCCAGCAGCACCGGTCTGAGAGGGAGTGCCCTCGGAGGTGACAAAGTAGTGGTCCGAGATGCACTTGTCCACGCACAGCTTGTAGGTGTTGGTCTGGGCAGGGCTGCCGTTACCCTGAGGGCACTTGGCAACGCAGGCAGTGGTGGCGTTGACCTGAGACTGGTCGGGAGAAGGAACCTGTAAGAGCATGGCGTGTAAGTCAAAGTCGTCTTTTTGTACACCATGTATTGACACTGGGAGAAACGAGAGAGAGAGAGAAAAAAACACAGAGGGGATTCAACATACACCAATGCAGTGAGCCTGGCAGTCGACATCGCCGGTCTTGCAAGCGTGGAGACAGTTGTACTGGGACTGCTGGGCAGGGTCGAGAGAGACAGAAGAGGCCGGAGCAGCAGAAGTGGGCGAGCCGGACTCGGCGGCGGCAGCCAGGACGGCAAAGAGGCCGGACAGGACAACGGTGAAACGCATCGTGATTGATTAAGTTGTTGTTTGTTGTAAGTATTAAGTGAGTATTGAAGAGTCAAGTGTAAGTCACAAGGAAGCACCGAAAAAAACGAATGTCGATAGCACGAGACGAGCGAGAGACTGGTTTAGAGATCGAAGATGGGGAGAGAAGAGAAGCCTCCGCGCCAGGGAAGCAGGACAATCTCCCTTTAATACTTGCAAAAGCCCAGGCGCGTAGCCAGCAGGCAGAGTTCAAGGAGACCCAATCGCTCCAAAAGCATCGCCGGCGTGTTTTTTTTTCCGCGCACAGTACGGGCCATGTACCGTTGGAAATCTCCTAGTCTGCAAGTACGAGCATGTACCGTAGCATTGAATGAGAGAAGGGATGGAGGCAAACCCGGGCTTGTCTGAGGGCCCCACCCGAGCATAGCATTGCATTACATTGCTTGTGCTTGGGTGACCTCACTTTTTGGGTACTCGTACATACATACTTGTACATGTAAACATTGGAGAACAAGGGCGTGTGCTGCAGGAAAGCTTCAGTTTTGCAAGTTGTATCTCAAACATCCACTGCCATGATTTTTTTTGTGTTCTTGTGCCTCGTACGTCTGCGGTTGAGGAACTGCAACGCCTTTTCCCCCCCTCTAGAAGCGCCGCATTGTAATTTCTAATTGCGTGGCGTCGTGATCAGCCGCAGCAATACATACAAAATTGCCGTGCCCCTTTGAGGCGCTTGGCCGACCCGAATCGAAAAAAGCAAAGCATCCATATTTGATACAAAAAAAGAAAAAAAGAAAAGAAACTGACCACTTCCCGATGCTGTGGCGTTTTCCCTCATTGTCTCGATGCTACTGTGCTGTTACGTTCGAGGGGCCTCGTATTTGGCGTGACGATCCGCCTCATTCTCCTCTTTGCCTCCTCTTCTCTCGGTCACGTTGGACGTCCTTTTTTGCCATCTTCTGCCCTCCATCCAACCTTGCTCTCCAGGCCGCGGGTTGGAGTCTGTGCGATGCGGTCATTGATTTTGATTCTGCTCGGCTTCTCGGCCGCGGCCACGGCCTAACAGAGGCTGTGTGCGGCCTGTCCTGTGGGACCACCAGCTGGTTGCAGGCCAGACCATTTGCTTCCCGCTGTGTGCATTGGAGGCCGTGATTTGTTCTCCCGGGGCTTGCTGCTGCTGTAATTCATGCGGCGACACCTGTGCTGTACAGTATTGCCTTGTTTTCTGGCCGTCTGCCCGCTTCAACTGCTACGTTAAGCACCTTGGTGCAGGCAATTGATCCATGCAACACGGTGAAATGACGCTCTTCTCACTATGTACTCACCCCATCTTCACCTTCATGGCCCAGCTCGTCTGCCATCGCAGTCGTGTGTCTTTTCTTCCATTTGGCTAGCGCCTGCAGGGGCATGAAGCGGCACTAGAGCGGGCCATCCTGGCTTGGTGTGCTCGCATCCAATACTAGTGACTAAGACAGCAGCAGGTTCAGGCTTGTCCTTTGATTTGATCGTCGCCTGGAATCTGTCACATGGTGATGGGTGATTTGTTTATTAAGGCAACAAAGCATCAACACCAATGTCAACATCAACATTGGCCGTTGCCACCCATATCTTGCCAACTGAACCAACATCCATTGTCCGTGATACGAAACAAACAAGAGGCCCACGGGGGCTCGCTTTGCTTCCTGCATTGGCGCAGAGCCCAAGGAAAACTCAATCTCCAAAACACTGGCAAGAAATCCAACGTCCTACTGCCTTAGCCCTGAAAGCTAGCACCTTTAGCCTGTGGCCTCCGGAGCCGCCAGGGGTTACGATGCTCCGTTTGGGTGAGATACAAGCCCAGCCCAGTACGGCCCGGAGCCTTTCGTACTGTGCCTATTTGGCTTGGCCTTAGCAAAAGGCTCCTCGCGATACGAGGCACCATTGGCGATCGGTGCATGGCCGTGCCAGTACGGGGCAAGATTCCGAGGGGGGGATCTAACCGGCTTGCGGTTGGTGAAGCTGACTTGACCCTTGGCAAATACAGTAGGGAACATCTGCTCCTTGCGCAGCTGAAGTCGTACGGGGGCAGCGATATCCGTACTTGTCAGCGGCACAGGCAATTTCCACAAAACTTGGCCGACGATGCTTTTTGCGCGTATCCAATCGTTGGAACCTTGGGATCCATACGATGACAGGTGCTGGCGGAAGATGCTCCATCACGCTATGAGTAGGTCTTTCACATCTTTAGTTTTGGGAGCATCCAGACAGCCAGCTCGTCCTAAAGCTCGAGACTTAACATGACATCGTATGAGAGAGCCGTTTCCCCCCTGAGAGCTACAGCAACCAACTTTGCTTTGCTTTGCCTTGCTTCGCACTAATACTGCAGGTTCCTCGGCCGTAATTTCAGGACCAGCTCAACCCTACTTGTGTCTGAGACATCTGTATCTCAGAGTTGCCAAAGAAGCAGCGACCGTTTCTCGCCCAGAAGGGCTCTCATTTCCCTCCTATCCTTGAGGCGTGGTGCGAACGCGAATGTGACGCGCGGGATAGGACGCCTTTGTGTTTGAGCCAATGGTAGGGACTCAATTCAACGTCGAGAAATTGCGTAGACATTTTGAGCGCCGACTTGCGGCTTACTAAGTAACTAGGGGCGACCATCCCAGCCAACCACATCGCAAGAACGGCAACTTTTGATGAAATATACTTTCAGGAACCGAGCGTGCTAACGTTCCCGGTGGCACAGAGCAGGTACCGTGCATGTACTGTAGCCGCCCATCTCAATCGAGCCGCGACGACGATGCCATCGAATAACTTTTGGATGCGCATTACCTCATAGACAAAGACAGAATGTCCTTCTACTTGTCGTCATTTATCTACTTTTTTGTTCTTATTAAAAAGCTCCGTATTCCGCACTCCGTAGATCCGATCAAATCTTAAATTCAACCACCGAGATCGTGAGATAAAGTGGCCCTTGCGCCTCCCACGTTTTTTTTTTTTTTTTTTGGTTTTGGCCAGCTACCTATCGCAGTATAAGCTCGTCATTTTTTTTCCCAGATGGAGGGGCAGCAAAAGCCACTAGAGGGGCAAAAGCTCGCATTCGCATCTTGCTTCATGTACGAGCAGCTACAAGAATCTACACAGCTGGACTCATAGAGAGAGCTCATACTTTTATTCAATAATATTTTATAATATTCTTCACTTCTTGTGAAGCTCACGGCTGTTTATCTCTCATTATACAATGGCTGCTGCTCATGAGAACCCCGATCAGCTCGTTACGTCTTCGGACCCTGAGCATCCTGCCAACCTCATCCCTTCGCTGTGCGCCAAGTTTTGGACCTTGGGATGGGTTACTGGCACTGGAGGGGGATGCTCAATTAGAGACGAGTAAGTACATCCCTTTTCCTCTTGTTTGGCACTAGGTATATCCCTCATTGATGAGCTTGAAATGAGCTCTCATGTCATCTCAAGCGGAGTGAAAACGAGGACGAGGCCGGTGATACGCTCACTCTCTCACTCTCACTCAAGCCCATATCACATAGTACACATCATATACAACACAACACCTATCCCCTATACTTTCATCATTAGTACCTACAAAGGTTCAAGTCACAACTCCATCGCTAACCAGCCACCAGCAACCTCGTCTACATCGCCCCCTCCGGCGTCCAGAAAGAACTCATGAAACCCGCCGACATCTACGTCCTCTCCCTCAAAGACCAAGAACCCTCCCTCAAACAACGAACCTACCTCCGCTCCCCTCCCCTCTACAAACCCTCCCAGTGCACGCCCCTCTTCCTCGCCGCCTTCACCCGCCGCGGCGCCGGCTGCTGCATCCACACCCACTCCCACTGGGCCGTCCTCGTCACCCTGCTGCTCGAGGCAAAGGGCAGCAGCGTCTTCGAGATCAACAACATTGAGCAGATCAAGGGCTTTGGCAAGGGCATGGGTAAAGTGGGCAACTTGGGCTACCACGACACGCTACGCATTCCCGTCATTGAGAACACGCCTCATGAGGAGGACTTGACCGAGTATCTCGAGGCTGCCATGGAGGAGTATCCGGACACGTATGCCGTCTTGGTGAGGCGCCACGGCGTCTATGTGTGGGGAGATAATGTCCACAAGGCGAAGACGCAGTGTGAGAGGTGAGTTTGGATTTCCCCCCTTTTTCTTTTGTTGGGTCGTGAGTTGGTCATTTGTGCTGATAGGGTTTTGTGAACTCAAAAGCCTCGACTATCTTTTTCAGCTGGCGGTTGAGATGCACCAGCTGGGTCTTCCTTGGATCAGCAGCATTGCCCAGATTGGGCCGCAGAGGTAACGTAATGAGGCGGAGCAAGGGGAAAAAAATCAAGGGGCAAAAAGCGAGATGTGTTTTCGAGGTTACATTGGAGTTTTAAAAGCCGTAGAAGCATCCAAATCTTTGACTTATTTAACAATCATCGGGGGGGCTTATGAATATTCAACCTATTTTTTATTCCATGTTTACATTTGTTTCTCACAGCTCATCCCTAGGGCGTGAATCTTCCACGACGACTTCTGCAGCATCTCCTTCGTATAGCTTGTCGTCATGATCACCTTCAGGCCCGCCTGGTATCGAACCCAATTCATCCGCTTCCTGCACAGCATCCACAATCTTGCCCACCTTCTCAACCATAGACTCATCATCCCCCTCCACCACTTTCGAGTCTCGCCCAACCACTGCCGTTGGCAGGCTCTCATCCGGCAGTCCGTCCACTCTAATCTCCCCATCAATCACCACCCCAGCCTTCCCAGACTGTGCAGGACTCCGACTATGCATCACTGCGCTTCCAGCCTTTGTGCCAACCCCAAACAATATCCGCAACGGCAACCACACAAGCCACCACAGAGGCCCGTACAAAAGCCTCCTAAACACGAGCCATCCCGCAGTCACCATGAGCATGTACAGTGCTGTCTGCAGATACCATGTGTCGCTCTTTTGAGACCTGAGCAGTGTGCCCAACAGGTCTCGGGAGCTCGCCAGCATGCCATCCAGCGAAGTATACGACTCGTCTAGCTGCCTTAGTGCAGCCGACGACTCTGTCAGTGTCTGATGTGCGAACTCGCTCTTGGTTAGTTCCGCCGCGATGAGGGCGTGTGTCCGCCGCAGGGCATTTGTAACGTTGCTGCTTGCCCCGACCGTCTGCCGGTCTTCTTCCGATAGACTCGATTGTAATTGTCGATTCTGGTTGTAGTTATGCCGTATGGGCCGAGCAACAGCCTGTGGTTCTTCGTTGCCGCCACCTGCGGACGTGTTCATTTCGGAAATCGGTTCGACAAAGGATTGCACCATAAGCTCCCTCTCAAGCCTCCGAGCTCGCTCCAGGTTCTTCTTTGCTGATAATCGTGCCTTTCGAAGCGTTGATCGATAGCTACACAGGGCAATACTCATTAGCACATGCCAAACTTCTCCCCAGAATGCCTTTCACGAGGAAGAGAAGAAGAGTTCATCCTCTTACCTGGCCAGTTCACTCCCCACCCTCTCAATGCCATCCACAAGCCTCTCCTTCTCATGTCCGCCCCTCCGCAGGTACTTGGCCTCTTCGCACAGCAGCTGTTGATCCTCCAACCCAGTCTTCAGTATCAACCCAGCCTCCGCGCTGAGCTCTCCGCTCACACTCCCCTCCTCCTCGATATTCAGCGGCACCGATCCCGGCTCGAATTCCACATTGGCCAGCCGGTCGATTAATTCTCTTAGCTGAGTCGTAGTCTCCTGCAAAGCAGCCAGCCGCTCCTGCAGCCCTTCCAGTGACATTTTCTTCCGCCGGCGACGTGCAGAAAAACAAAAATTGGTATCGCTGGCACTGATCTTGACAGCTTAGAGCAAAGTTGAAAACTACATGTCATCATTGGCTCCGGCAGTGTGGCAGCGACAAGTACCTTGTACAGCGATATGCACATACCGGGTCTCCACTCTGTCCACCAAATTTCGAACATCCCACCATGCGCAAAAGTTCGAATCAAAGCGACAAATCGCCCCAATCCCGCCCCTCCGCCTACGTCGTTTTCACGCCCGCAGCGGCTCCTCCGCATCGGCAAGATGATTACGAAATTCATGACCGAGGTCACGGCCAAATTCAATCCCTTCTCGACCTGCGCCAAGCCCGCCCGCCTGTTCCTGACCTTTCTCCCGCCAAACGTGCGTGCAAATGGAACGGCCGTCCATACCAGCTTACTCCCGCGAAATTCCCCAGAGAGCAGCTCATTAAGAGTCAAATTCAGTACGTTTGGGATATACCGGGGGCTGGGGTCAAGAAATAAGCTAATTAATTGGCGCAGAGGACGGCAAGGAGATGGACTTCAACTGCTCCAAAATCAACATCAAGGGCTTGGTCGAGGAAGTTGATCGTCACTCGCGCCAATTGCAAAAAGCAGCTGATCTGTCCGAATAAAATCTACGAGTCTTGTGTCTTATACTACCAATGCATTGACGGCGTTATGAGGGGCGGGGAATTTCAGTCTGGATGAGGCCAATCGCGGATAGCACGAAACGATGTACGATATAGTGTCATGAAACTTTTTTTTTTGTACTTTTACTGCAGAGCTTAGATTTCTTCCTTCAACTCTGGCAGGGTATACCATCAAAGACTATGCATTTGATACACTTGACGCCATCAAACTTTCATCATAAATCAAGCATACTAAGCAGAAGCACCGCTGATGAAGAACCACTTGTCGATGGAAGCGTCAATCTTCTCAGGGGGGAGGTCCTGGTGGGGAGGCAGGGGAGGCAGAGACTCGGGGGCCACGCGGCTGGGAGAGTGCTGGACAGTCACGTTGGTGCTGATTGAAGAAAACAAGTCAGTCCATCTGCTCATTCATGGTAGCATTCATAGGTAGCTGTGACTTACGTGGAGACGCTGCCGGGCTGGGTCTTGCCAGTGATGAGACGCTCCCAGGCCTCAGCGCACTCGCGGATGACGTCCATGGCATAGCTGTGATGCTGTCAGTTTCACACTGGGGAAAAAAACCAATAGGGGACCAGGCACTACTTACCTCTTGTTCTTGCACTCGCCGGTAAAGGCAAATTGGTTCTCGGGCTTGCCGTCGGGGATCTTGTAGATACGGAACCACTCGTTGGTGGCACGGAGCAGGCCAGGCAGGTGGCGCTCGACGTCCTCGACGTCGTTGAGCTTGGGGGCCAGGGGGTCGTTGACGTCAATGACAATGACCTTCCAGTCAGTCTCCTCCTCGTCGAGAAGGGCCATGACACCGAGGACCTTGACCTGCTTGATCTGGCCGGGGTAGCCAACAAGCTCACCGATCTCGCAGACATCGAGAGGGTCGTTGTCACCCTTGGCCTTGGTCTCGGGGTGGACAGTGTTGGGGTCTTCCCAGGTCTGGGAGGCAAAAAGATTGTCAGCCGTTGTCAATCATAATGGCGCGTGCCCCGACCGATTTGGGGGTAAGGGATTTTGGCATCAATCGCATACCTGGGGGAAGGCACCGTAGTTCCAGAGGTAGCCCTTGTGGGGGAAGCAGTTGCGGACGAAGCGAAGCTTGCCCTTCTTGATATCCTGCTTGATGGGGTTAAGGAGCTCCTCCTTGGAGATCTAATGGGTAGAGATGAAAAAAAAAGTCAGCGATGCCTAAAAAGGAGTGAGGAGGAGATTGGTCAAGAAAAGGCGGCAAAGGGCTCGAGATTTCTCCCCAAGCCCGTGGCCTCGCAAAAAGCCATCTTGAGCGAATTGCCAGATCTTGTCTTGTTGATGGCGTACCTCGAGCTTGCCATTGGTCCATCGAGGAATCTCGACAACCATGTTCAGGACGGTCTGCTCCTGGTTGGCAAAGAGAGGAATGTCGTGGAAGGGCGACACGGGGACGCCATCCTTCTCGATGTAGACGCGGTGCTCCAGAGTGTTCTGGGCAGCAACCTTGCGGACGGTGTAGCTGGACATGGTGGCGGATGGAGACGAAGACGAAGTCGAAGAATCGCTGCTTTTCTCCAGGTGACGGGCAATTTGCGCAGTTCGCTGGGAGGGTTGGGAAGCTTGCGAGGAGGCGGAGGAGTTTTGACCAGATGGAGGGGGCGGGGCACGGAGACCCATCCTGGCCAGCGAAGCAGCAGCAGCAGCGCTGGGAGTGCTGATGCCTGTAGGGATAGCGATGGGGATAGGGGCAGCGGTACCTGTACCTGCACTGTCGGTGCCTGTGCCTGTCGCTGTAGTAATACCTCGCCCTCTACCAAGGCTCAACCCAACGTCAGAAACAGCAGCAGTCCGTTGCGTCGTCCACGCTGCGCAGCTCTGATTGGGCGATATGACGACACAACGCAGACTCTGCCACCTGAGTTGTAGTGCTCGTCGGGGTAACATCAATCAAAACCGCAGCGTCTCGCCCTCGAGGAAAGTCGGAATGCAGTGCAATGGGATTTTGAGCGAGTCCTCCGGCCCAGCGGACGGCCAATGGGTTTAAGGCGGCCTGGTGGGATTTTCGGATTTTTTCAGAGCCCCAGGCCAACAGGGCAGTTTCGGGTCTTTGGGGCCATTGACCGAGGTCCGTAGGGGGCCTGTTCCAGTGCCGGTGTGCCCAACGGCTGCCGGAAATATGGGACTGGGCTGGACAGTATCAGTACGAGTACACGTATCGCTGTTTCGATCGAGAAGCGGTAAGACGGGACACTCGACAAAGGCGCCATTATTGCGGGTCTGTTAGGGGAGAGCCCTGGTGCAGGTATCAGCTCTCGTTGTTTGTGTGCGATGGTACGCATGAGTCGTGATGGATTCATCTTGGCGAGTTGTCTTGAGGTTACCCTACGATATGATGCATGTAGTAATGGCAGCACACGTAATAACCCACATCTCGTTGTTGATAGTATCATGGGCTACATGAATGAGTAAGACGTGCAACATTTTCTCATTATCAATATTTTCGATCAAGTATTGCCCTACTATCCGACACGCTTCCCAATGGCCATCGTCTCACGTACTCTCTGAGTGTCCGGATACATCTACCACGAGTGCTGGCCCATTGAATGAGGGAGTTTTTGGATGCAGGCTTACCTAGCAGATGTAGAACTTACATGTACACATTCGACCTCAAGAGCCATCATTCAGCATTCACCAACATCTTTGGGTACCGCTGCAAATGAACAGCGTAGTTAACCGGAAATCAACAGGTCGCATCGATTGGATATAACTAGATATGCCACCAAAACGTAACAGCGCGTATATAAACCTGAAAAGCATCGCCAAACCCTCCAACAAAACTCCCAACGAGAATGATTGTCGAGAGGGATAAAGAAGATACAAATAAGAGCGTTTTCCAGAGTCAAAGTCATACAAAGTCGCAACACCCGGCTTCATCTCACAGCACTGCCTAAGCGCTGGGTTCAACCGGACTCTTGCCCTTGGATGTCTCTGATCCGTTTTCGCTTGCAGCCTTGTGGTGGTGGTGCTCTGGCTGCCATTCCTTGAGATCATCTTCAGCATCATTCAGCACCTGGCGAGCCTGAGCGCCGTTTTCATAGGGCATGCGAACGTCTCCCGGCGACAGCGCCTTATCGTCCAGAAGCTCCAGGAGACGACGACCATGCTTGGCCAAAATGATTTGCTTCTCGGCGCGTTCTATGATTGCGCTGAACTCTACATCGTATGCTTCCTTGAGCTTTTGCCGAGTCTGTAAAAAAACAGATTAGTAAGTAGAATTATATACACGAGGAACATGCTAATCTGCAAGAGTCCCCATCACTTACAATGTTTGTCAACTGCGCCTCGGCGACCAGATTTTCGGCCTCTGCTCTAACAAGCTCCTGCTCCAGCAAGACCAGTCTGGCACTCTGAGGCTCCTTCGCCTTGAGCTTCTGGAACTCGTCGTAAAGCTTGCTCTTTCCATCGCGGCTTGGTTGAACGCTCCTCTCGGTGTCGCGGATCATCTTGAGATGAGTGCGCGACAAGTCCAGCGAAGCGACGTACGTTTCCTCCAATCCACCCATCTCACTTAGGATAACGCCAATCTTGTCGGATATGTCGTTGACAGCCTCATCGCTGGTCTGCTCACCCCATTCGGAGAGCTGCGTGGCGATGGCCGTGCGTTCGCGACCCGCAGCCTCGTGTGTGTGAATGAGATCATTCTCAAGCTTGATCAGACGGAACAGCTTGCGAGAGAGCTCAGGCTGAACGGACTCGCGGAGAGAGAGGAAAGAAAACCCACGACCGCGGCCCTTTGAGGGAGTAGATTTTGTCTTGGTACGGATGGAAAGAGCGCGGTTCCTAATGGGAGCAGCGTTAGACCAGGTCTCATGGGAGCCATGTCCATGGCTTTCCGGTGGGTTCGACGTAGGTACATCGGAAGATGGCTGATAGGAGTGTTGCGACTGGGCAACTGGAGTTTCAAAAGGAGCTTGAGACATGATGATATGATATGAGTGGGGATAGAAACAAGCTTCAAGTCGGAAAAAAAAAGAAGAATGTTTGGAGATGGAAAAGTGATGTAGATGTAGAAATAGAGAGCACGAGGAGCTGTCACTTACATCATGACGTTAGCTTTCATTTAGCAGGTAAATCCTTGGGACTGCGGGTGGCGTTATGATATAATTCGCAGGAGTACTAGATCCAAGGTTCCTTCCACCTAGGCCTTGATTTCCGTTTTATACATGGACGAGCTGAATAGCTTCAATAGTGCGTTTCCCATGGTTGAAAGGCTTCACGCTTGGGTGGATGGCGATACAAAAGGTGTTGGTTGCGGTTCTGGAGATTTAAGAATGGCACAATGCAAGCGAGATGAACGACGGACAACAATTTAGTGACCACTGAATCAAAGAAATTTGTTTCCCTTTTGTTGTATGGCAAGGCTATTTGTTACGATCCACGAGGTGGCTGCCATGTGAAAGGGTCAATGGTTAAGGGTCAATGGTCAAGGGTCAAGGGTCAAGGGTCAAGAGTCGAGAGTCAAGAGTCGAGAGTTCAGCTGCGCGTGTTCAAAGCCATTGAACTGGTTTCACCAGTACTTACAGGCATCCTGGAGGGCACAGGACCGACAGCTGAAGGTTGACAAACATGTCACCGGATGACATGGAAGGTTAATCAACCAAGATATTTCAAGACGCTTGGAGCTTGCAATGATGGCGTCTGGCGAGCTTCGCTGCGGTGGCGGATGTCTTTGAGACTATGATGTCATTTGCTGGCTAGCAGATAATGGCAGTACTTGTACATACTTGGCAGGACACTTGAACCATGCGCAAAATAATATAGTAGTCTATGAGGGATTGCAAAAGAGATACTGGTAGTTTAGTGGTGACGATGAGATAAAGGGAAACCCCGCCCTCTTGGTTGATCAAGGCCAGCTTTGCCAGCTTTGGCTGGGAGGCTTCTGATGAGGCGCTCATTTCATGGACGAATTAATTGGCGGTGCAGCTACGACTTATCAAGCAAGGCGGGTAGCTTTTGGACGCAAACACAGGCAACGTCTGGTGTGTGGACTACGAGGCATCTGGAATGTATCTCATGTATTTCAATTCATTCAAAGCGTAAAGGCGAAATATATGTATCCAACGCCGTCACCGCACTCCCGGATTCTCGTAATCTTCATGAAGCCATCGCATGCCTCGGGTTTCCATCCCAAACCGCCCATTATTCTAGCCCTCTAACATGTCTCATTTCCCATAACCAGTACCATAAGAGTCGTTGAAAAAAAAAAGAGTAAGGAAGTCACAGGATATTCTTGATCCTAATCAAAGCCCGTTCAGTACCGACTCCGCGTCGTCTCCTCATACACGACCCTCGAGGGCACGCTGCGTCTGTAGCTGCTGGTGCTGACCCGCGGGCTGTAGCGCTCAACCGCCGAGTAGCTGGCCCGCGGCGAGTGGTGGTGATGGTGGTGATGATGGCGGTGCGGCCGCGAAGGAATGATTTCCTCCTGGTAGTAGTATTTGGCCTTTGGCTCCACGCGGAAACACATTGTTTGTAGGCTGTGGTTGTGTCGCTTTGTGCAATCGTTTGGACTGGGTAGCACAAGAGGTTCTAGATCTGGCGATTGGATCTCTGTGTTGACGGCTTTTTTGTTGTCTTGTTCAACAGATTTGACTTGAACACCTGCTTTACGTGTGTAGACAGAGCGAAACGAACGGTTTCTTGCAAGAGACGCTGCAGCTTACCAAAGAAGGGATGAATAAAGCTTCTTTTTGGCACAAAGGGAAGACGCCCGTTTCCTTAAATAAACACAGCTCGGGTTACGACACGACACACCCACTGCCTTTGTCTCGATCCCGTGGCCAAGTTTCTAATCCTTGTCCACAGCGCCCTGCGCCACTCCACCATCTGCACGTACGAGCCGGACGCAGGGCATTTGGCTTCGTCAAGGATGGAGACGTGCTAAAAGACACCTGGGACCTGAAAAAAAAGGTGTGTCTTGCTGCTGGCACAGCCTCATCGTTTCTTTCACGCTGCTTCTCGCCGTTGCCGAATCTAAGCAACCTTTGAGGCTGAGCTGACGCATTTCGACGATATCGCGTCGAATAAGTGAGGCATCTGCTCAATTGGGCTTTTTTGCCTTGGCTCGCAGCTTGAAGGATCAATCCATGCTCGTACCATCATCGCGAGGCGCTAATGGCGTCATCGCAGTGCTTGTAGGTCCTGCATTGTCCAATGAGGAGCTGGACAAGAGGCCATCGTCAACATCACCGTACAGGTACACCTAAATGACATGTGCGATGCCGAAATAGTGACATGAACAAAAAAAAAACAGAATCTTGCTTGTAATTCTACCACTGGCTCGCTATACTGCTACTGCAAGCAGGCTGAGATCTGGCGCGCCATGCATCTACACATCGCATCTATCATTTGCTAGATCGCGCATGCTCTGAAACGCCCACTTAATGACACATCTTTCCTACACACCCATGATTTCTTTTTTTATCCGACAAATACGGCAACCCAAAAAGAGCTATAGATTTAACCCTGATGATTTTTTATTTGGAGGAAAATCCCACCTGCACCTTTCCAAGTGCCCACGCCGCGGCATATACTGCAAGCATGCTTGCAAAGACCACCACGGGCTTGCGGAGAGTGCCAGCCAACGGAGTCTCGTATGTGATGATGAGATCACGGAATCGGAATTCGTCTCCTAGGTTCTTGGCCTTGATGGTCACGGATGTCCGGCCAATGGTGTCGAGATAGGTCTTGTGAACACCAACGGATGTTTCAACAATCGATGAGTCGGGAAGGCTGGTGTAGAATTTGACGTTTCTATCTCTCTTGTTAGCCACTGATGCATGTAAATTTGGGGAGGCACTTACTCAGATCCCTCGGGTAAGAGGACTCGGACGTTGACTTCGCCGTACTCCACACCCTCGGCCTGCCTGGGTCCCTCCATAAAGGGGATCTTGAGCACATGGCCTCCATCGGCAGTGTTGCGCAAGATGTTAGCAGCGTTGGTGTTCCAGCCAATGGTAAACGGATACTTCCAGCCGCCAAACACGGGGTAGCGTGGCTTCAGCTCCAGCATGGCCTCTCGCTTGCTGCTCCTGAACCGAGAGGTTGACACGTTTCCGATGGCGTCTGTGAAGTAAGGGTCAACGCTCCCAATCTGAAGAGGGAACTTGAGCTCCTTCAAGGCTGTGGAAGCAGGGTTATAGAACTGAGATTGCGCCCACTTGACGCGGTTGAATTGGGTAGAGAGGTTGGCACCCAGATGGTACAGAGTGTATCTCTCCTCAAAGGCAACGTTGCCACCCCAGTGGCTGACTTCGATATCTCTCTCGAGAGTCGACACGTGGATCACGGGCTTGGTGAACTCGAATCTGACCTGCGCGGGGAAGAAAGCGCCGGCAGGCTGCTCGTCAAAGGGACCGTATAGCATCTTGCTGCCAAGCTTTTCAGGATACTTCTGGCCTTCGGGACCGAATGTCGTGGTGTAGTCTGGGATAGTAACGGTCGAGAACTTGACCTCGGTCTTTTGCTTCAAGGTCGTATAAGCCGATGGCGCGAAGAGGGAGAAGTCGTACACCAGGAACTGCTGCTCGTCCTGGCCAATCGAGGCCGGCAGTGGGCGATACGAGTTCAAGTATACCCAAGAGATGGCCAGAGGGTACTGGCCGCCAGCCTTGAGAGGCGTGGGCAGCGTAACGCGGTAGTACTGGACGTCGCTGTAGGCACATTGGTTAGCAACAACGTCTACCTTTTCAATTGGGGGTTGAGAAGCGCCTGCACGTACCTGAGAGCATCATAATCAACCAGGTCAACTCCAAAGGGTCCAACGGTGTCATCCTTGCGATGCTTTGCTTCGAGGGCACCAACTCGGGCAATTTGCTCGGCGGTAAAGGGCAAAAAGTATTCATCTTGAGGCTTGTCGGAGATGTTCTCCAGCAGGACGTTGATCTGCTCTTTTGCGTAGGCCTTTTCAACCGAAATGACGTGCACCAAGTTGGTGTTCTTAAAGACTGGTGGGGGCTTGAAGTTGGCAGGCAGAGCGACGGTGGAAAAGGCGCTGCAAGGACCGGCGGCCAAGAGGCCCAGCAGCGCTGCTATTACTGACAACGACTTCATCTTGACGAGGGCATTGATTGGGCGTGCCCTGCGCAATGGGACGGAGGTTCAACAGAGTTTCTGTCTCTCGATCGCGAGACTGTGGCAGCTTTCGCTCTGTTAGTGCAAGCCAAGAAGCATACGTCGCCCATTCGATAACGATAGCGAAACAGCTACAGGGAAGCTCGGGGCTGGCCAACCAGAAGCCGCGCTGGGTGCTGTCGCGGCGATATTAATTTCCGGGCCTCGGAATATGTACCGCTTACAGGCAGCGCGGGTGAATTGCCCACCGAGAACGGAGTACCCCATACCTGTGGCGGCCAAGACACCAGACCTCCACCTCTGTCTCCGAAGTACCAAGGTACGTACGTACTCGTAGGGCACCTCTTGGTGCTAAAGAAACGCCCTGCTGGAGCTCTCCAGTAAGTCTTTGGGCGTCCATGGGAGGAATAAGAAGTGGAGACATGACGATAAGCGGTGCGTCGAGTTGAGTTTGTTTGTCTGAGAGGACAAGCGGGATCGCACTAGAATCTAGGTACTAACCGGCAGTGCTTGAAATTGGAAGGCTATCTGAGAAGACGAAAACAGCCTACTACCTTAGATGCTGCACGTGGGTATTCAGAGATTGATGGTCATGAGGAATTGGAAAGGGATGGAAAACAAGGATACAGTAAAAACCAAGAAATCGTACTGATGATGCCGCAGAAATGCTACATACTATTGAGAAATATGTACATGCCATTGCGGCGACGTGGTTCCAGTTAAAACGCTCACTCATCATGTCTGGTGTGCGATGATCCGGCCTGTTCGTTTAATGGGTTGCCTAGAACTTGGAAGCCCGTGTGCTGTACCGGTTGGATCCAATGGGGCAAACAGCCACCAACACCGCGCTGGGAGTAACCTTGAAAGCCTAACAGCACAGTACGGCAGCCCGTCTTCGGCAGCCCGCCAACCAGAACTGGAATTGCAGGCTAGGGGACCCAGCTACCCAACCTTGGGAGCCTTTATAGCTCCAACCTGCTTCCCTGTGCTTCTGACCTTGGGCTTGGTGTTTTTTACGATTTTCCTCAAACAACAATCTCTTTCCACCTTCAGAATTGGATTGCCGCCTGCAACCAATCCATCTCGTGCCTCTTCACTCACTGTGTGTGCTTCACTGCCATACGCATCTCCCCCGGGGACCTCTCTTTACACTCCCAGCTACCCCGCCAGACCCCGCGATCAAGCTGTAAAAATGGTCGGACTTGGACCTCGCCCGCCTCCCTCCAGAAAGGGTACGTCGAAGATACACATCCATGTGTCCTAGGTCCTGGTATTGCAAGGCCTGTGCTCTTGTATTCCCATTTTCCCTCTCCCTGTTCTACTTGATCGGCCATCAGGGGGGACTGGCAACCTGCTGTTTCTTTGGAAACTACTTGTGATGCCCGCGCTTCCCGATATCAGGCCATGTTTGCCCGAGACAGGGATTTTGGCGGGCATCAGAACGTCGACATGACTGATGCATTTGGGCCATTGTCCACGCTGCCATCGGAAAGACACGAGTGAGGCGTGCTTAGCCTTCAATGGCCAAAGTGTCTTGCACTACACGCCTTGGCAAGCGGTTGGATAAGCAATGCAAAGGATTAGATCGTCCAGCTGCAACGTCATCGCAAAGTTACACAGGCACTCAATCTGGCTCAAAATACGGAGCACCGCGTCGTGGCACAAAGATCCTTCAACGAGATCATTTATAGAGACTTGGCGGTCCTCTTTTGTACCTACTCTTCTTCTTCACCATTAGCATTCAGAGAGCCAGACCTTTGTCAGACCCGTTGCAGAAATGCTGACCACCATTGTGCTAGGCTCCAAGGCGGATATCCCCAAGGATCTTCTCGATGAAGTCAGGAAGCTGGAGGAAATCTTCACCGTCGACACCGGCAAGCTCAAGGAGATTACTGACCACTTCGTCAATGAACTTGCCAAAGGTATGGTGCCACCGCGTGCTGATCATGCTGATCCTCGTCGTCATGCATGCTAACTTTTGGCTTCCAAGGTCTCAGCGTCGAGGGTGGCAGCATCGTGCGTAAAAATGCCCTTTCGAAATGAATGTAGGCTGTTCTAACAAAAACCTTTAGCCAATGAACCCTACCTGGGTCATGTCCTACCCTGATGGGTACGAGACTGGCTCTTTCTTGGCTCTCGATATGGGTGGAACCAATTTGCGTGTCTGCGAGATCACTCTGACAGACCGCAAGTCGGAGTTTGACATTATTCAGTCCAAGTACCGCATGCCAGAGGAGCTCAAGACTGGATCCAGCGAGGAGCTGTGGGAGTACATTGCGGACTGCCTTCACCAGTTCGTCGAGACTCACCACGGCGACTGCAGCAAGCTGGAGCCGCTACCTCTTGGCTTCACATTCTCCTATCCGGCCACTCAACATCACATCGACGAGGGTGTTCTCCAGCGCTGGACCAAGGGGTTCGACATTGCTGGCGTTGAAGGACAAAATGTCGTGCCAATGTTTGAGGCTGCTATCGCTAAGCGTGTAAGTGACGTTGGGCACCACCCAGAGAGACTTGCTCACGCGTTATATAACAGGGTGTCCCCATTAAACTGTCGGCTTTGATCAACGACACAACGGGAACATTGATTGCTTCAGCATACACTGATACCAAGATGAAGATTGGCTGCATCTTCGGAACTGGATGCAATGCCGCCTACATGGAGGATTGCGGCTCCATCCCCAAGCTGGCGCACATGAACCTCCCCCCTGACTGCCCCATGGCTATTAACTGCGAGTGGGGTGCTTTCGACAACGAGCACAAGGTCTTGCCTCGCACCAAGTACGACATCTCAATCGACAACGACTCTCCTCGCCCTGGCCAGCAGGCATTCGAGAAGATGATTGCTGGTCTCTACCTGGGCGAGATCTTCCGATTGGTCCTGGTAGACCTGCATGATAACAAGGAAGTCCATGTCTTTGAGAACCAGGACATCTCCTTGCTCCGCAGACCTTACACTCTGGATTCATCTTTCCTGTCTGGAATTGAAGAGTAAGACTCAAGAATTCACATTAGCGAGTTATTACACGTTTGCAAAAGCGGAGACTAATGCACCATCTAGGGACCCCTTCGAGAACCTTCAGGAGACTTATGATACTTTCCAGTCCAAGCTCAACATCAAGCCTACGGTACCGGAGCTTGAGCTGGTCCGCAGACTGGCGGAGCTCATCGGAACACGAGCTGCTAGGCTCTCCGCCTGCGGTGTTGCGGCCATTTGCAAGAAGAAGAACTACGAGTCTTGCCATGTCGGTGCTGACGGATCCGTCTTCAACAAGTACCCTCACTTCAAGGCCCGTGGCGCACTAGCCCTGCGCGAGATTCTCGACTGGCCTCAGAAGGCTAACCCCAAGGACGAGGATCCAGTCGAGATTCTGGCGGCCGAGGATGGTAGCGGTGTTGGAGCTGCTCTGATCGCTGCTCTGACCCTCAAGCGTGCCAAGGCGGGCAACTTGGCTGGTATCCTGCATCCTGAGCATTTTGTTTGAGCCCGAGGTATCTAAAGATGACAGCCAGAAAAGAGAACTAAAAATAGAATCTGTTTCTTTTTATTGACAATGTTCAGCAAGCATTGCGCCTGGGGTATCTGATTGAAGTCTAGGTATCTTGTTCGCTTTAACCCATAAAAGTGCACACAGGCAGTCGATACTCTGTTCAATGTTAGCCATCGCGTGCATGTAAACGCCGCTAGGGGCGGGAGTCTTACTATCCAATGTCCAGTATCGTCGTCGAACACCCTCCCATTCTCCTTGGCCGTCTTGGTTGAGCTTGGCCATGTCAACGTCGCTCTCCTCCCATTCCACATCCAGGCCCGCATCGGCACAGTGCATTTCCACGACCTTTGTGTATACATCATAGCACACTCTGCGGTCCGCACCAAGCCCGTTGAAGAAGCTGAAACGGCCTTCCTGATCCAACAGCGCGGGCACGTATTCCATGAGGAACATGCGAAGCTGCGAGTAGTCCTCTCCAAAGGTGTCAAAGTAGATGGCATCGTAAAGCTCCCCTTGCTCGAGGAGCTGGAGAACGGCTTCCTGCCATTTACCGCCATAGACCTTGTAAGCACCTTCTTCGGGTCCGCTCTTCTCCCATGTGGCCCCGAACTTGGACTCGGGGCTGGAGATGTGCTTTAGGACGGCTGGGTGCGCCTCGATGATGTGGTGTTTTGAGGGCTTGAGCTCGGCGAACATGCCATCAATGATGCCCATGCCGAAGCCGATGTTGAGGATGCGCTTGCCGGGCTGCGCGTCGGGGATGAGCGCGGCGACGGAGCGGCGCATGATGTCCGTTTCCCAGGCCATCATGACGCCGTTGAGGTCTGAGTCGAGGAGCTTGTTATCGTCGTAGGTGAGGTCGGACTGCAGGTACTCTTCGCTCGTGACGGGCTTCTCGTTGGCATCGGGAGGGACGAATTTGAGAGGCTCTGCAGCCTCGACTACTTCGACGTCGCCGTCTTGGGCCTTTGCTTCGTCAGTGGCGGCTTCTTGCTCTTGGTCTTGCATGGTTTCGTCATCTTCGTCTTCGTCATCTCCGCCGGAAGAGAGCTCTTCGTAGCCGTCCATCAAAGCAAGGAGGATCTCTGCGCGAACACCGGCATCAACGCAGAGGTTATACAGGGTCTTTCGGCCGAGGCGGTAGGCGACGCAGGCGGGCGTCTCATTATTGGCATCGACGTCGTTCCAGATGGCGCCGGAGAAGAAGAGCTGGCTCACAACCTCACGAGCCTCTTCCACACACCCGTCCTCGCCCTCATCTTCCTCGCCGCTCGGTTCGTCGGCCGGGCCACAGGCGCGGATCGCGGCATGAAGCGGGGTCTCGCCGGTCTTGGGATCCTGGAGGCTGGCCTTGCTGCGGTCGTCGAGGAGCTTCTTCAGGCCGCTCAGGTCGTGGCCCCATGCGTGGTAGAGGACATCGCGAGTCTCTTGGGGGCACTCGGGGGAGACTCTGGCTTCGAGGGAGTCGTCAATGGGCGCCGGCATGGTGGGAAAAGGATATTGATATGGAGGGGTAAATATAATATGGATATCTATATGGAAGTTGTTATTTCAGCCCGGGCCTAGCTTTTGGCATCGGTGATGTTTGGTGTTAGCCGAAATAGGTACCTGGATATGGATGTAGACTCGTACCTGCTCTCAGTACAGTGGAATCTAACCAGCTTGATTGGTACCTCAGTACTTCAATGTCAAATCCTTTAAACCTTCACAGAGAAAATACCATCCGCAGCAGTCACCAAACGTAAAAAAAATTAAAAAATTGGGATCAAATTGATTGCTCGCATTACCCCACCCAGCCCAGCCGTTGCATGTGGTCATCCAGCTAAGCAATTGATGCTAGTCGATGCTTGATCGATTGCTCTAGCGCTGTGATTTCGCCGGCTAGCTGCTCGTGTAGTGGGGCAACCCTCTGTAGCCTCTGAAGCTCCAGTGGATCTGGGCGCAACCCGAACTCCGTACGCACGTCTATCGAGCGCTGTAGGCCGCTGTGGGCCGCTGTGGCCATCTCACGTTGCCCAGTTGGTCACCGTGATTCGCCCAATCTAGCTGGCGATTGGCCCGTCGGTGGGGTTCCAGGTTTATCGATTTGCAGCCAAGGTTCGGACGGCATTCAAAGGGGCCTCGAACTATTTCCTCTTGCAGCATCCAAGCAAAGAGAAGGGAAAAATTCTAAAGCATTGCGCTGAGTGAGTAATTTTGGCTGCGTCTTGCTTTTTTGCCTTGAGCAAAGATACGATTCGTCGCATCCACCCTGCCGGCATCTTTCTATTCGCTGCAGCATCCTTGCCCCATCTGCAAGGTGAGTTACGACCTCGGAAACGGCACCGACAAAGCCTGCATCGCGTTCTTTGATTTCCTCGCCTTTCGCATCGCATCATCCCTGTTCTTGCTGCGTCAATTGGAATCGAGTCTTCCAGCCATTGCGTTTCCGTCGCCTGCGATTATCCTTGCCAGAGCTCGCTAGCCCGTGTCCCCATGCTGATTGCGAAAGATTTAAAGGCCATCGACAAGAATTGGAAAGCCCTCCGACCTCGCGGTAAATCCTCCCAAGTTGGTCCGGGCGTCGTCGTCATGAAGTTCGGCGAGCAGTTGCGGTCAAGCATCATCCGAGAGTACCAGTGGTACTACATCGACTACAATGGCCTCAAGGGCGAGCTGAGAGATGCCACGGGCCCTCTGGCCGTTAACGGCTCCGGCCATAAGGAGTGGACCGAGGATGACGAGACGCGCTTCGTGGGCAAGCTGGAGACGGAGCTTGAAAAGGTCCACACCAAGCAGCAGGTCAAGGCCATGGAGATTTCTCGCCGCATTGCCGTCAGCGAGCGCGAAGTCAAGGACGTTGTCAACCGATTGAACGAGCGCGGCCTCGGCGAAGATGGCCCTAGCGAGGAGGAATTCTTGCTGCTGGAGGAGGACCTGAGTGACATCATTGCCGACGTTCATGACCTGGCCAAGTTTGTCCAGCTCAATTACACCGGCTTTTACAAGATCATCAAGAAGCACGACGTGGGCGAACTCCTTCTTTGGTCTGCGTTTGTCCGTTGCAGCCTTGCTAACCGACGCGGCGTATTAGAAATTGACCGGATGGCACCTCCGTCCCGCGTTCGATACCCGACTCAAGGCCAAGCCCTTCTACAAGGAAAACTACGACGCCTCCGTCATCAAGCTGTCCAAGCTGTATGATCTTGTCCGAACACGAGGTAACCCAGTCAAGGGCGACAGCGCGGCCGGTGGCTCCCAGGCCAGCTTTATCCGACAGACGACCAAATACTGGGTGCATCCCGACAATGTGACGGAACTCAAGCTCATTATCCTCAAGCACCTGCCTGTCTTGGTTTTCAATGCTAGCAAGGAATTTGAGCAGCAGGACCAGGCCATCACATCCATCTACTACGATAATCCCGAGAAATGGGACCTCTACGAGGGCCGCCTGAAGAAGACCGAAGGTGCGGAGGCTATTCGACTTCGATGGTATGGTGGCATGAAGACTGAGACCATCTTCGTCGAGCGCAAAACTCACCGAGAAGATTGGACCGGAGAGAAGTCAGTCAAGGCTCGATTTTCGATTAAGGAGAAGAATGTCAATGCCTACATGAAAGGCGAGCTGCTGCCTGCTGCTATTTTCGAAAAGGCTCGCAAGGAGGGCAAGAAATCGGAAAAGGCCATTGCCGAGGACGAGAGACTTGCTGCGGAAATCCAGTACTCTGTGCTGAGGCGCGGATACAAGCCTGTCTGCCGCTCTTTCTACAACCGAACCGCTTTCCAGCTGCCTGCGGATGCTCGTGTGCGAATTTCTTTGGATACCGAGCTGACCATGGTTCGAGAGGATAACCTGGATGGCCGTGCTCGCTCTGGTGACAACTGGAGACGCATGGACATTGGAGTCGACTACCCCTTTTCGCAGCTGCCTCCTGAGGATGTCGTGCGCTTCCCCTACGCCATTCTTGAGGTGAAGCTCCAGACACAGGTTGGACAGGAGCCGCCGGAGTGGATCAGACAGCTCATCTCGTCTCATCTGGTGGAGGCTGTCCCCAAGTTTTCCAAGTTCATTCACGGCACTGCCTGCCTGTTCCCTAACCGTATCAAGCTTCTTCCTTTCTGGATGCCCCAGATGGATGTCGATATCCGCAAGCCCGTCACACATGACTTTGGCATCCGTCGACCTGATATTTCTGGAACGACGACAACATCAGATGACGAAGAAGAAGAGCTCGATTCTGATGATGAAGAGTTGGATGCTGTCCGTCGCGGTGCCGGTAACGGCGTATCTAGCAGACACGGCGCCAGGCTTCGCGGCCCTGCTGCCGACATGGAAGGCCAGACGGTTGATTTGCCGACTGCAAACGACGACTACCCCATCTATGACTCTGACGAAGAGTACGACGAGAACTACGAGCTGGAAGAGGCCCGCAGAGTCGGTGGCTGGCACTACTACCAGGTCCTCTTCTCAACAAAGGCCAGTGCCGCTGCTTCGGGCGCTTGGAGCGTCTTGAAATACGTCGTTCCGCACCCTCACGGAAGCGAGATTCCTCGATCCGACAGACTGACAACGCTCTTCCGCAACAGCGAGATCCAAAACAAGAGGTTTAAAGCGCCTCCGGGCAAGAAGATTTACGTTCCGGTTCGCGTAGAGCCCAAGGTGTATTTTGCCGCCGAGAGGACGTTTCTTGGATGGGTATATTGAAACGCATTCATAAAATCATAGCGTGAGGGATTTTTTTTACTGACTTTCTGTGTCTAGATTGAGTACTCGATTTACATTGGAACGATTGCCACTACTCTTCTCAACTTTGGAGAGCACCCTACCCCGACCGCGTTTTGGATCGCTGGCATCTTCACCTTTTTAGCCATCTTTAGCCTTCTCTACTCCGTGGGCATCTATCTCTACCGAAGCCGATCGATTCGCAACCGCAAGGCTGCTCGCTACTACGACCGCTGGGGACCTAGTGTGCTCTGCGTTGCTCTGTTTGTGGCTGCCGGGTGCAACTTTGTGTATGAAGGCCGAGAGAGAAAGTACTGGTAAAAGGAAGGGGAAAGACAAATCTGTATATGGGGGCTAAGTCACAAAGACTGTATAATATGCGCGTCCAGTCTTCCACTGTAGATGGAAGTGCATCGCACTTGTAAAGTCGGATAGTAATTGTGTTGAGCTGGCGGGAGAAGACTGGACGATGGAGTTGAGCTTTTCTTATTGTTTTAGGATAACAACTTGTTTGAATTCACTTTCTCATATCTTCCTTTTATTCAAGTCTTTTGCTAAACGAAGTAACAAGGCTTCATGCTCTCGTGTGATCTTGAATTAAGAATGACTCAAACTGCCTTGCATTAGATTATCTAGCATTCTATCCCCTTTTCAAATTGGCCATCAGAAACAATTGCGTGCCCCGAGTTCATAACAAAAACCAATAAACCCAAAATTTCTTCCCTTAAATCCCTGAGAAACCTTCTTCAAACAACGGCCGTAACTCTCCGAACACTCTTTCTCGCACCCTCGCCAGACACCATGATGGCATTCTCAGCCTCCAGCGCTCTCATTACTTCATTAAACTCAGCCGTCTCGATGGGCACGCTGGAAGATTCAGCCAGTCTCCTGGACACGTCGTTCCATCGGACGGTGTTTCCGCCAGCAGTCATCTCATCCAGCAGCCGGAGTGCCGCGTCCTTGAGTTCGCTGCGGCGCTTCCGTTCCGCGGTGCTGGTGCCTTCTGTGAGCAGGCTCATGTCAATTCTACCCTCAGAGTCCGTAGCGGCCGTTTTAAGGGCAGACTGAATGAGGCGGTAAGCTTCCTGAACGTCGTCCTTCGTGACGGTCTCGGAGAGACGCATCTTGGCGTGGGCTTCGGCGAGACGGATCATGCTTTCGAGTTGTCGAGTGGTGGCCGTGATGCGCTTCTCTGCGGCGCGGACGTCTTGGCCGAGAGCGCGCATGGCGACGTAGCTGTCGACAAGCTCCTTGGCGGCTTCTTCTGAAATCACGGGCTGAATATTGGCGCGGGCGTACGAGATGTACAGAGTCAGGAACTCGACAGGGAGGATGTCGTTGCTGGTGGGTGCCGACTGAGGCTTGTCTTCCAGGTACATGGACAAGAGATGCTTTGCCATCCGACGGTCCGTCTTGTCGTCAACTCGATCAAGGATAAGATAGATGAGGTCGAAACGGGAAAGTAGGGTGGGCGGAAGGTCGATATTTTGAGGGACGGACAGGTCGGGGTTATAGCGACTGCCGATGGGGTTGGCAGAAGCAAGAATGCTGGTTCGAGCGTTGAGAGTGGTGATGATGCCGGCCTTGGCTATTGACACTGTCTGCTGCTCCATTACCTCGTGAAGGACTGACCGAGTCGATTCGTTCATCTTGTCAAACTCGTCAATGCAGCAAACACCTCCGTCAGACAGTACCAAAGCACCAGATTCGAGAACAAGCTGTCTAGTCTCGGGATCACGAGTGACGTATGCAGTCAAACCAACGGCCGAAGAACCCTTGCCACTTGTATAAACACCACGAGGAGCAATCTTGTGGATATATGACAGCATTTGCGATTTAGCGGTAGACGGATCACCACAGAGGAGAATGTTGATGTCGCCTCTGTATTTGGGGCTGCCACCCTTTTGGAAGGTCTTATTGGTGCCGCCAAAGAGCTGCAGCAGGATACCCTTCTTGACGTCGTCCATTTCATAGATCGAAGGAGCTAGTGATCTGGAAAGGAGCTCGTAAATGTCAGGGCGACGTGACGTCTCTCGGATCTTCAGCTCATCCTCGGCCGTAATGCGACGAGTCTCTTCCATTTCATCCTTGCGTGTTTCCACCTCATCTTCGCCTTCCACACCAAGTGTGGATGGGTCAGCTCCAAGGCGCTTCTTGTCGACTTTTTGAACATGCAAGACATCCACATAGGTCTTGTAAATGCTTTTGATGGCCCTTTGTCGCGGATTCACTCGCACAGGACTGACGCGGAAGATGCCAGTCAACTGAACACGATCACCAGCCTTGCAGAAGTCAACAAGCTCGTTATAGACGCATACGGAGACGGAATGGGGCGTCTGGCCGGCAGGAATGCTGTCTGGGGTCTCTTGAAGCTTGATGACTTGCTTATCTTCAAATGAGCACCTGTTGTGGACGATCTGCATCGAGTTCTTGGAGGCGCACATGGGACGAGGACATTCAGTAGGCTCTCGAATCTTGCCCCTGTCCAACCCGACGTTGACCGAGTGGTTGCAGACGTTGCAGCGGAAGAAGGCATCTTTCATGTCGGGGATCACTGGTGTGGTACGAATCACAAGGCCCTTGATAGATACAAGGCGATCCATGTCTAATCCATGTTAGCTATGATTTGTTTTTCTTTCACTTGACGAGGCCAACAAGAATTCTACTCACCAGAAGGGTTCAGGTCTCTCAAATTAGTCATATTATCAAGACCAAACGGACGCACGACGTAAAGTGAAGCTGCCACTTGATCCTCCAAGGTGGGTTCTTCGTCTCGAGGACGGGGTGTAGGAGTGATGCCCTCGTCAGGCCTGTCAGAGCTAGGAAATACAGGCTCAGAGCCTTGGGTGCTTCGTTGAGAAGCTTGCTGTCCGGCACTACTTTGTGACGGCCGGTTCCTCATCGTCTCAGCCTGAGCAATGTCAAGCATCAAGTCATGAACAGACTGATCCATGACAGGCACCACCTCCTGAGGGTAGGCTTGGATCTGATGCCATAGCTTCCTTGTTGGTGGGTAGAGATTCAAATCCGAAATGTCGAGGTAAAGTCTAGTGGTGCCAAGCAATAGCATGTTCTGCAGAGCCTCCCAGTAAGGCTTGGATTCGGCGTCGGGGGCAGCATGCACCTCGGCATCCGTAAGACCATCCCTATACATGCGGTACTTGAGCGTGAAGTGTCGCAAAAAGTCTTTGAAAGTGGCAAATGTATCATCAATGGACACAGTAGTACCCCAGATGAGACTTTGACCGGCGCCACCCAGATGATCGGCCTCAGAGGTATTGGGGTCTCGGTTCGCGAAAGAGGCAGCGTCGGAGCCGGGGGCTTGGCCCTCTCTCATTACTCGCCCTGCTTCGTCCAGGATAACATGTCGAGGAGCACGAGGGGTTCTGACGGTGTCTGAATTGATGTCTCCACGTCTGTAAGGCGTCCCACGGCTGGAGCCAACAAAGAGGCCACTGCTTTCGCTGCGCAGATCCGAGTGCAGCCTCGGGGTCCGGCCAGGACTAGAGCTAGGTTCGTATCGAATGGGAGAAGATTCTATGCGAATTCACCGGTAAGCATGGAAATTTCAAGTCTGTCCGTCTGTACATCTGTATATAGTAAAGCATTACCTCCAGCAAGGCCTGCACTGGCTCGCGGTGTTCGTTGGCCAGTCGACTGAGTATCAGTCATCTGCCTCAGCGGTGAGCTCGGCGCATGCCCATTGGTAGGCTGCGTGCTCTGGCTGTTGGACATCTGCCGCAGAGGCGACGAAACATCTCCCATGACCTCATCGATGCCTTGTGCGGGAGCTGGCGAGGACTGATAGAAGAGCGGGCTGGACACCAATTGCGCGGGGGTTCCGGCCTCAGAATTCCGCGTTGAGCGACGGGGCGTCGCAGACTGCGAGTCCCTCTGCCTTCGGTTTGGCGTCGACATCTTGGAGCGGTGCAATGGGGCGGGGATTTGAGGCTGGCGATGGTCCAAAACGAGCTGGGATTTTGGCAGAGCTGGGGGTTTTGGGCAAAAGCTACGGCAAAAACGAGGGGCAATGCGAGTGGCAGGGCGGTGGGAGTCGCGTTTTCTGCCCAATTTCCCATTTCCCTGCGCAGACGCGTAAAGTGCTTTTCCCCAGACGCGACTCTAGCGGCAGCACACGTTAAGGGCCGGAGCGGCGAAAGGTTGGGCCGAGGCCTGTCGTTTTTGGAGGGGCTCGTTTGGGGGACACCTTTTAGGTGAAGCCAGCCGTTGCGAGTCGGAGCTTGAACCTGGTATCGCTATCACTATCACTCTCGCAGCATCACAATCCGCACAACCGCCAAGATGTCTCCCGGAATGACCCTTTTCGCCGTTCAGGCAATCCTCATCCTCGGCACGGAGGATGGCTCTAGGATATTCGCCAAGTACTTTTCTCCGCCTCACGCCGCTCCCTCTGGTATGCACACGCACCCATAGGATCAAGCTGGACAAGACAGCTTGCGCCCCGAGTATTTGTTGCAATGCGCAATTGCTAATGACAGACTTGTTTGATAGGCAGCGCAAGCACATCGAGCCACCCGTACACCGACCTGAAATCCCAGAAGGCGTTCGAGAAGGGCCTCATTGACAAGACCGCCAAGCAGACGGGCGACATCATCCTCTACGACAACCGGATCGTCCTCTACAAGATGGAGTCCGACGTCATGCTCTACGTGGTCGGTGCCGCCGACGAGAACGAGATTCTGCTCTACAACACTGTTCTGGCTCTTCGTGATTCCCTTCACCTCCTGTTCAAGTCAGTACTCTCTCCGTGTTCTGTGGCTGGAAACGTTCTTACTAACGCCCCAAGCCAGGCAATCCGTTGATAAGAGGACCATTGTCGAAAACTACGACCTCGTCTCGCTGGCCATTGATGAAATTGTCGACGACGGCATCATCCTCGAGACCGACCCTACCATCATCGTCCAGCGGGTCAGCCGTGCGCCCACCCAGGACGTTCCCCTGGGCCGCATCGATTTCAGCGAACAGGGTGTTAACAACCTGGCGCAGCTCGGCAAGTCGAAGCTCACAGATTGGCTTCGCCAGGGGCTGTAAATACAAAACCTGGGGATCGGTTGGAGTTTAATGTCGTTCACAGCGGTCTGTTGCACTAAAAGATTACGTTTATAGTTGATTATTCCTTGCTTTCTTATTCCTTGAAATGCGAGATCGGTTTATATACAAGGCAGGGGTATAATGAATATATGCATCTTCCTCTTCTGGTTCTATTCCGGCATTGCTTTTCTCTCTCATGACCTAATCTCCGAAGCCGCCTTACGTAGGCGGTTCATAACGGCAGCGGCAATATCCAGCTCGCCTTCTATGCCATCTACAAAAATCGTGTCTATGTTTCGTCGATCCAACTCCCGCAAAGCAGAGAACAGCCCCTGAGCTATCCTCTTGGTGTCCTGTCCCAAGTCTATGTCGAAAAGCTCGCCGACGACCTCTCCCTGGCTGTTCTTGAGATCCCCCTTATACACTCGATATGCAGGGCTGAGATACTCGTCGTCGTGCGCGTCTGAGTTGACGGGGGCTGGCCGTAAATCGCCGCACTCGAGGCCCGCCCCCGACTTCCACCGCTGTGTCCGGATGATGCCTATTCTCTTTGATGAATGGCCGTTTGTTTTTTGAGTATTGCCGTTTTCTGTAGCGCCGGTAACTCCAACATCGGACGGCAAAACGCCATCGGAGCCGTCCGTGTAGGTAGACTCGTAAAGCACCACCCTTGCCTTGGGGCTATAGTGCTTGTACTTCATTCCCGGTGCCCTCGGCGCTGCTTTCCCCTCCTCACTGTGATCCTTGTAGGCCTTGACTACGTTCTCCCAGCCAGGACAGCTCCGGAGCTCCTCCAAACCGATGCCTCCAGGACGCAGCACCACAGGAGGTTCGCAGAGGCCGTCCACGACGGTACTCTCAACACCAACCTGGCACGGACCGCCATCGAGAATGATTTCAATCCGCCCATCCAGATCATCCTTGACATGCTGCGCTGCCGTGGGTGACGGCTTGGTCGAGGCGTTTGCCGAGGGCGCAGCCAAAGGCACACCAGCAAGCTTGATGAGGCTCAAAGCCAGCGGCGACGACGGCATCCTGGCACCAAACGTCGAGAGTCCCGCGGTAACCTCCGGCGCCAGCTTCGAAGGCTTCGGGTTAGGCAGCAGAATCGTCAAGGGACCCGGCCAGAAGCGGTCTATCAGCGTCTGATACCTGCTCGGGATCGCCTCCTCATCGTCGCTCTTCTTGCCCAGCAGCTCCCGCAGCATGTAAAGGTCCGCAACGTGCACAATCAGCGGGTTGTCCGACGGCCGGCCCTTGGCGGCGTAGATGCCCTTGACGGAGCCGCTGCGAGTTGCATCGGCGCCGAGGCCGTAGACCGTCTCCGTAGGGAAAGCCACGGGCGTGTCGCTGGTCTTGAGATAGTTGGCTGCGTCTTGCAGAGCGGCGATGGCATCTTTTGCTTCGGGCAAGATGCGCCATTCCTCGACCTTTGAGGTTCCGGCAGAGGCTTCGAAACGGCCGAGCTGAGTGCCCTTGCCGGGGGCAACGTTTACTATTCTGGTTTCCATGGTGGCTGTCATGCGGGCGTTTGCCCGGGTGCGAGAGAGTGACACTGTCGAGGCTGTAAGTGCTCGAGGCAAGCCTCGGTGATGAAGTTGACGTAGGGAAATTATGACGAAGGTGGCGGGGTATCTGATATTTTATCTGTGCACTTTGCTTTGAATCTCTGGCTGTGAAATGGTGCTCAGAATGAATAAGAAGTTGTGGCAGTTCTAGTTGAATATTTGAGTGGTTGAAAAAGCTGTCAAGACTCATTCATATGGAAATTATATATTGCGCCGGTTTCGCCGTGCCTACGAAATGTAGGGTGGGCGGAAAATTTCATCTGGCGGCTTACACGTTTGAATCAGACGTGCATTAGTAGCGATTCCGACGCCACTCCGAGGGCTGAGCCACTGAACATCCAAAATGCACTGTAGATGTTCCTTCGTAGCAGCGTTATGTAGCAGGAAGACAAAAGCTCCAAAGAATTGAAAGAAAAGAGAAAGCTTTTCAATTCTCACTCAGGCGGTGACGATCCAAATGCTGTAGCCCTCGCTGTCTAACACTCTTTCTATACTCTTGTTTTGCCTTGTTGAGTGCATATGTCTATCTATATACCGTATGTCAAACAACCACTGAGCGCTGCCAGCAAACTCAACACACTCAGCAAATCCACCTATATCAACTACCATATATCTGGCTCATATACTACAAATGCCTCCCTTTTCTTTTCTCTTTCTTTAACCTCTTACCAAACTCCGCGCTCTTCGCTTTTCGTCTTCCGTCAGGACCCAGTCGATGCCGTCTTCTCCGTCCTGAGCACAGATTTCATCCCATTCCTCGTCTTCCATGTTCGCAACCATGAGCAGTTGTGTCACCCTACTGAACACTTCCTTGACGCTGTAGTTGCCTCGCGAGACCACGTCCACTATGGAGTTGAAATCCCTTTCCATGCGAATTGCGCCGTATGCGCTCGTCTTTCCACCGTAGCCGAGAATCCTCTTCTCCAGAATTCGAGACAGGTAACGCGCTGTCATGTCCATGAGGCTGCTGAATGTACCCGGCGTCAGGAGCCGGCCAATAGCCTTCATGAGTTGATCCCATCCGTGTTCGAAGCGCCGCGAGACTTGATCCAGCATGGCTCCTTCTGCTTCGTCATTCTCCTGGGCGATTGCCGCAATGTCTTGCTCAGTCAGCGTATAGTCGGCGTCGCGGAATGTGTCGCTGAGGACCGGTCTTAGCCGTAGCTTGACCACTTGGTTAAATAGGACCTGAATTGCTTCATTAAGCAGTTCTGTCGTCTTTCCAATAAACGCCGTCTCCAGTGCGCGCAGTGCGCCCACGACAGCCACCACATCGCGTTCGAACGGGAAAGCTTGTTTTAGCAAGGCTTCGATTTCTTCTTTTTGTTGTGCTGGCCCATCCGGGGAGCCAATACGGCCGTGAATGATTCTAACCAGATATTCATTGGCCATATCCAAGCTGTTGATGAGAACAATGAATTGTATAATCTTTTCCTCCGGCGGGAATCCTCCTTGGATAGCCGCCTTTGGGTAAGACTCGTCGCGCATCTTGCGCTGTATCATACCCACAAAGTCGCCGGTAAGGACTCGACTGACCGATGGAACGACAGAAGTAACAACGTCCTTCTGCGAGGTGGATAAGCACCTCTGAAGCACGGCGTTGACAATATACATAACATCATCAACCGCGAGTATTATGTAGGGAGTGTTGCCCTCTATTGGTTTATTCAAACTCAAGGACAGGCCACTGGGGTACTCGTCCAGCTGAAACGCCTTCTCAACGGATCGACGGAAGAAAAAGGTAGACATGACGTTGTAGGGGGATATCAGTTTAGAAGACACCTTGCCGTAAAGTTTCGATTTGACAAGCAATTCTGCTAATCTCAGAGGTGCATCTTGATCCGCTGGGTCCTGTGCGAGAACGGTTAGAGAGGGAGGGAGTCAAGCGGGAGGAGAACTATTATCTGTAGGTTGTACATACCATGGACTTTGCTGAAATAAATCTAGTGTAGAATGACCACTGCGCAAGCATGACGGAGATCTCATGCAGCAGGCCATCAACCTCCTTCATGTTGACTCCCTCGTCCTCGCTGCTACGAGGATTGTTTCCCATGCCTGCCGCAGGTGAGTTCATCCTGGGGATGCCTCCTCGAGGAGGCTGTGGTAAGAAGCTCTGGACCAGAAATGAGAAAGGATAGCTCTTGACGTCTGTCAGCTTCTTGTCGACTCCGCGCTCGTCGCCCCATGTGTCGAGAATGATGCCTCCCTGAACATCTGCCTCCATCTGGATGCGCTCGATAACGCGTACCATCTTCCCCGCGCCGTAGTGTCTCTCGACGAGCCCTCCGTGGCCCTCGACAATCTGTGCGATGTGCTGGAAGAGCCTCGTCAGGGAGTTGGCGTAGATGATGCCCTCCTTGCGATTCTGGCCAGCCATGCCGTCCTTGAGAGTGGCTCGAGCCGTACCCGCGACACCCTGGCACACGTATTTTCCGTAGACATCCAGTCCAACCTCGGCTCTCCCGATGAGAGGGAACAGCTTGAAGAATCTCGTCACCTTGGCGCCGTCGCCTTCAGACGCCGCCTTGTCAAACTCCCGCAGGAAGAGGCCGCACAGGCTCTCCTTGGCCGTCTCCAGCGTGACCCAGGGCGCATCAGGCACCTCGACGCTGGGCACAATGTTGGCGGCAAAGGCTCCCTTGGTGATGGCCTCTGGGATCTTGCTTGCGCGGGCAATGTACGCCGCCGCCGCCTCCCAGTCCTGCGGCGCCCCCATGGATCCAACCACGCCATTGACGCACGCCTTGAGCTCGGCCACCTGCTCCACGACGCCCAGCGTGTCCTCCACGCGGCTCTTTTCCAGATCCAGCTCCTTGACCCTATTGCTGAGCCGTCCGGCCGTGTCTGCCGCCGTAGAGAGCATGTCGTTGCTGATGGATCGAGCCGCAATCACCTGGGCGCCCAGCCCGGCACGCAGGAGGTCCAGCCTGCCCAGGTCCCGCGACAGGTCGGCCTGCGATTCGAGGAGCGCATCGAGCCTCGCGGTTATGGCTGCCTCGCGTTCGTGAAGGGCGGCGAGTGTTGCGCGTATCTCGGCCTCGGTGGTGGCATTTTGGACGGCCGACGCTGCTACAGCATGGCTGCCGCCGCGAAGGACGCCGTTAGAGGCTGACATTGGCGCTGAGAACGAGTATCGAGGAGGCGCATAGCTGCCCCTGGCAAGCGTCTTCGAGGCGGGTTTTGCTGGCCTTTGGAGTCGCTGCACCGCCCGAGGTCACCAGCTGGCGGATTGGGAGGTTGCAGTTGCAGCTTTGTTGGTGGTGTTCTGGTGACAGATAAGCTATTTACTACGGGGGGTGTGGTGGAGGGGCTAACTTTGGGACTTTTAATTGCTTTTATTGCTTCTGAGCTCGATGCCTGAGACTGAGTGGAATTGACAGACAACACACTCGTATGTAAACAAGATGAACAAAAATTCCAGCGTCTCATATATGGATTTAGCTTCAATCCTCATCAATTGTGTCGTCGACTCTCAGAGGGTCTGGATTTGGACTTCTCCGTGCCACCACCACTTGGTTTGATTGCTACTGGACACAGCCAGGCCACGTCCTTCAATTTTAAGATTCAGCGCAAGGCAATACTCGTCATGAATCATTTTCTACTCCACCATATATATCAAGAGTCCAATGCGGTGATGCTATGCAAGAAATACATATCAATGCTAACTACATGTATGTGTAGGTATATAGGGGATCTACTCTATTCCCCTTTTAAGTCGCCTCTTGTCCTATATCACAATCCTCTTGAAACCCCAATCCGTCCCTTTTTTCCCCTCTTCTCTTTTCCCATACCATGCGCTCTTTTTATACCGCTTGACTGTACCCGCCGCCCAAACGCCGCCGCCCATACTTCAGATACTTTCGTAATTCATCTGCCCAAAACACCGTGCTGCAAAGGATGACGAGCCGGAACAAATCACCCAGCCCAAGGGCCTCTGTCTGGAAAACCTCTTGAAGCCATGGAAGGTAGATGACAAGTAGCTGACCGACGATTGACAGAGAAACTGCCCAGTTAAACAAGTTATTCGAAAAGAGCCCCACCTCGCCACGCAGCACCGATTTCGATTCAGAGCGGCAGCTAAGAGCGTTAAACATGTCAAAGAAGACGAAACAAGTAAAGGTCATGGTGGTATCCCGGCGGGTGACGACGCCGTCAGCCATCTGTCGCCGGTACGTGAGCATGGTACCGACCATGATGATGGCAGCTGAGGTTAGGACTCGCTGGATGAGTTTGTTCGTGAGAACTGCATCGTTGCGCTTTCTTGGCGGCCTGTTCATTACATCCGGGTCAACGCTTTCGACGCCCAGAGACTGAGCAGGAGGGCCATCCATGATAATATCTGCTTTCATGTTAGTCAAACAAAACACCTCCTTGATAGAGCGGGCAATTGAATGGGAAATCTTACTAATCCAGAGAATCTGCATGGCATTCAAGGGGCTCTTGAACCCGAAGCATGTGCAGACAAATACCAGGGCCAAACTTGCCGCACTCGTGCTAAGCTGAAACGTGAGGAAGTTTTGAATGTTGTTGAAGATGCCCTTGCCTTCTTCAATGGCCCGTAAAATGGTGGAAAAATCATCGTCAGTCAAAATCATGTCCGCTGCCTCTTTAGCAACGTCGGTTCCATGACGTCCCATTGCAATACCAATATCGGCCTTCTTCAGGGCTGGCGCATCGTTTACACCGTCGCCTGTCATTGCTACAATGTCTCCCCGGGATTGGAGAGCGCGGATAATCTTCATCTTGTGGTCCGGGTTAGTTCTGGCGAAAATAGTGGTGTGCTGCATCGCTTCGGCGAGGTCCCCATCCGACATCCTGTCAATCTCATCTCCTCTCAGGACAGCCTTGACTTCGTTCTGGCCCGGCAAATGAGCGCTAGGAATAGCGACATTCATTCCTAGCTGTCTACCAATCGCAAGCGCCGTAGTCTCTGCATCACCAGTAATCATGATGACTCTGACGCCGCCTCGCATCAGTCGTCGGATGGAGCGTTCTACGCCAGGCCTAGGGGGGTCCCTCATACCAACCAAGCCAGCAAATGCGAGTCCCTTGTAGGTATCATCGGAACCCAGAGGAATGACCGGACTGGACGCACCATCGGCGGGTGTGTTGCTTCGCGTGTCAGCTGCCGATGAGCGCGCTCTTGAGGATCTGGCCACTGGACCACTGGCAAAAGCAAGCACTCGAAGTCCTTTAGACGCCATAGCATCAGCCGCTGCCAAGGCCTCTTGGCGTCGAGCATTATCCAGTACAATCTCCCGTCCGTCTTTTTCCATATATGTGTCGCAAGCGGCGAGAACCTTCTCGATCGACCCCTTCATGTACGCATACTCTCTTTCGCTTCCAACAGTAACCCCCATCCACTTTCTCTCCGAGCTGAAGGGTACTTCTGTAATGCGAGGGCCCACGGAGTCTCGTACATCGTGTTCCTTGAACTTGTCAAGCAAATCGAGCATGGCTACATCCGTCGGTTGGCCAACCCAGCGAGTAAAAGTAAATGCCTCTTCGCGGCCCATTGTTGAGGACAAGACGGCACTCGTGGCAGCGCCGCTCTCAGTGTAATTCTTTGATAATCGTGCATTGTTTGCAATGTTTCCGATTCGTAGGATATGTAGAGCCGCTGGCGTCGGTTTGAATTCTTCAACCTCGGCGTCTGAAGCTACCTTGAACGAGCCGTCCTCCCCAAAGCACCACATTTCAACGGTGGTCATATGATTCGTTGTTAGTGTGCCTATTTCCACCGAGGTCAGCATCCAGTGCAGCTAAATTCACGAGCGGTATGTGAAAGAAGACTTACCGGTTTTGTCAGTGCATACAACATTGACGGAACCAAGGGTTTCAACTTTGGGCATCCAGCGCACGATGGCATGATGCTTGGCCATCCGATGCACACCAAGAGCCAGAGTGACGGTGACAATGATGGGCAATCCTTCTGGGATGGCTGCAACAGCCAAGGAAATAGAAATGGTGAATATTTCCAGCAATTTCTTCCCCTGTAGCCAGCCAACAAGCGAAATCAATCCGATGACGACAAATGATGCTTTGCTCAGCTGTGAGCCAAGATCATCCATTGACAACTGCAGAGGTGACCTAGGGTTTTCCGTCCCAGAAACATCTGAAGCAATAGATCCGAGATGAGTATTTCCGCCAGTTGCGAAAACAATTCCTTGGCCGTGTCCAGATCTTACCAATGTGCCCATGTACGCAACGTTCTTAGCGGTGCTCTCAAGCTCAGCAGCATTCGTGGGTGCTTCCGGGGCAAGGGATGTCTGCTTGTGGAATTGATTGAAGCTTTGAGTGCTAAATCCGTGGTGTTGCGATTCGGTCGTTATCCTTTTGGGCTTTGTTTCACCAGTGAGGTTAGAGACATCAATGGTCAGGTCGACCGCCTTGGTAACTCGAATCTCGGCCGGAATACGATCGCCAGTAGTAAACAGGACCAAATCTCCTGGCACTAGTTGAGAAGCCGAGACTTTGAATGAAGTCGCATCCAGAATATCTTCGATTGGTGTGATTAAACCAGAGCTGTCGGCGGGGTCTGGAAGGCCGCTGACGTTGGGGGGCCAGCTGGGGGGTTTCGGTAGACTAGAAGACTTGTTTGGCGAGCCTCGTACAAGGTGTGCATGATTCGGTACTAGGTGATTGAGAGCTTCGATGGATTTCTCCGATCGATACTCTTGGACAAACCCCACGGAAACGACAATGGTTACCGCCACGGTGATACTGATGGCATCATCCATGTTGCCCAAGAGCAGCGACATTCCCGCGGATACCAGCAAGAGCACAATCAATGGCTCTTGAAATTGTTTTAGGAACCGCAGCCAAAGCGGTTCTGGTTCTTCGTGGGGGATCTCATTGGGTCCGTATTCGCTGAGTCGTTTCAAGGCTTCGTTGGGCGTGAGGCCGTAAGTAAGCGAGGTTCGTAGTTGCGCGGCAGCTTCGCTGGGGGTCATTGAGGAATATTCCTTGGCCACTCCCTTTCATAAAATTAGCAACCTGCGCTTGTGCCAATGGGAAATCTCCAGGCTTACCAGCGCATGCGCCGATGGTGTCCGGGCATGTCCTGGCCTTGACTCTGATCTGCCCAGCCGCGGCGAATCGCCCGCATCTCCGGTGATGATGGGCACGCCAGCCACTGGCAGCAGAGACTCATTGCCAGAGCCCTGCCCTGCCCACGGCAGCTGCATTTTAGGTTCTCGATATGGCGTCGAAGATGGAAAAGGGGGGCCGGAGAGTCAACAGCCAAGCTGATATCAAGGGCCAGGTGTCATGGGGGAGGCAGAGATGGGATGCGCAGAGAGTCGTCGGTTGCGCATGCGTCGTCGGAATCGCAAGAGGGCGCTGCGTGGGAGCTCCGGGTCTTCGTCTTGCAGCGGCCACTGGCGGTCACGATCCTCATCCCCTGATGAAGAGGCCAACGTACAGACCGGTGAAGCATCAGCAATTGGGATCATGGATGGAAATTGCATGGAAAGGTGGTCTTCCAAGGCTCCAGTGGAATGGATGCGCTAGCCTCGCCACTGGACTGGGGAACAAGGAGCGCTACAGGGGGGCTGCAGGTACTGGCGGCGCCAAGTAACGCTGTGGTTGGGCTTAGCGGCACCGCGGCTAAACTGGGTGGACAACGCGGCCTATCTCTTACGGGGCTTTTTGAACCTTGAACTCTCCGACTTTGCGCCATAACTCAATATCAACATGTCCACTGGTACCTAATACGTTTCTCTTATACCGAGTACCTGTAATGCTCGGCAGTTTCTGTTCAATTGACTCAGTTACCAGTTAGTACCCAATAGTCATGTACTTCTCGAACGCCTCTTTGAGCCAACAAACCCCCCCAACAGTAACATATTCTCCGCTAGTCAGGCCTCCTGGGCAGCCAACCTCAGCTATGGACAAGTTGGATAGTGGATTAAGCCTATTCGAGGAGCTGGACTTAGAAGAGGGACAACCTGCCGCTCTTAATGGAAATTGAACAGAATAGCACCACTAGGGGGTCACGAGAGGCTTGTAGCATTAATGGTAGAGTCAGACATGGCTGGGTAACATTATGCAGATGGCTCTGCGTCTAAAGATAGATTACCCAATGCCTGAAGCGTGCACATGTCCAGCTGCGGGTGTCGGAATACAAAGTGGCATGTGCCAGAGATGGGATGTTGTGGCAGCAGTGATCCTACAGTAGAACGAGATACAGGGAGCTGCAGAAGGACTTTAAGGCTCTTGGCATCAGCAGACAAGCCCAGATTGGGCCTGCTACAGCACATTGATAAGTATTCCTATCGACAATGGCGGGTGGTTGTAGGACATTCGAAGAGGCACCCGCGTTAAAAGAGGCATTGATGTAATACTCCGTCACACCAGCATGTGAATGAATTTGATGCTTCTGTAGATCGTTGGCTGATGTACGAGGTCGCCTTGAGCTCTACGACGGACGGAATGAGAAATCACATTACTGTTTTTTTTTTGTTATAGCATATTAAAAGTTAGAACCTCGCACATGATTTCGACAGGATCTTCTACTCCTCGTAGTACAAGCAAACTTTAAGCTCCATGTACCTACAAACGGACAACTTACCACAAGCCATCAAAGCGCAAGTAATTCACGGCCAAATTAGGCAAGCCATGTGGTCCACCGACTTCCGACGGGCGGAAACCTCCACTCTGGCGCCGGAAAAGCTAATGTTCCACCTCCGGACACCACCGAAAATGGAATGGGAGCTAGAGAGGTACTTAGGTACCGGGTACCAGCCACTCCTCCCAGCCACGCAATTTACGGCAGCATGGCCGAAGCGTCTCCCCTCGCCAACCTGAGAGTTTCACACAACCCATTGCTTTCCCTCGCCGTTTTTGCACTTCCCATCGCCACCCCCGTCGCCTCGCCCTCGCCGCTCCGTCTCGTGCGATTTCTGCAGACTTGCCCTGGGCGACTGGATTCTTTGACTTGATGAGTTTGCGCGGCTGCCATCGCGCGTGAGCCAGGCCCAAACACGGTTTAGGCGACTTGTTTATCCGCCAAAACACGCGCCCCTTGTTCCGTGTTTACTCACCTCACCTCCACTCTTGCTCCAAGCTCGTGTCCCTGCACCGTTTTCACTGGCTGAGCTTTTATTGCATATTCGCATTCGCATTCACAATCACATATACATTTACATCCACAACCCACCTCGACTTGCTCCAGCACCGCCGCCACCATGTTCTACTCGGAGACGCTCCTCCAGAAGACCGGGCCGCTTGCCCGTGTCTGGCTGTCGGCCAACCTCGAGCGCAAGCTCTCCAAGAATCACATTTTGCAGTCCAATGTCACGGACAGTGTCGAGGCCATCATCACGCCGAACCAGGCGCCCATGGCCCTGCGTCTCAGCGGACAGCTCCTGCTCGGTGTCGTCAGGATATACCAGCGCAAAACGCGATATCTGCTGGATGATTGCAATGAAGCCATGATGAAGATCAAAATGGTGGGTCACTTTTGCCTTCTTTCACCGTTAGAGTTGCATAGCATGTTAACAATTACTTACTAGGCTTTCCGATCCAGTGGAAACAACGATCTGGCTGCCAACCTGCAGGTTACTAACCGCGAGGCCTTGCTTCTGCCCGATCGCATCACGCCGTACGACAACCTCGAATTGCCTCCCCCGCCTGATGCTTCATGGCTGCTTTCGCAAGTCGAGGATGTGTCATCCACGCAAGTAGGTAGGAAGGGACGCGTCAGCAACAATCGAGACATCAATTTGCAGGAGGATTTCGACAACAGCCAGTATCTCCAGGGCGGCATGACGCTGGATGAGGACGCGCTTGCGCCCATGGATGACCTTGAGCTCGAGCTCGACTTCGGTCTCGACATGGATGGTGGCCCGAGCCACAGCATTGAAATGGGTCGAGATGCTCCCGCTGCCCGATCAATTGAAGACGATGTGTTCAGCGAGCTTGACATCATGCCCCGATCCAAAGAAGGCGCTGGTCCCGAAGACTCTCGCATGGATTTGGACGGTGGCGTCAGGATTGCAGATGATGAGGGCGATATCCAGATGGGCGATGACGATTTCCAGTTCAACCCTGACGATCAGTCTGCCGTCCCTGGCCTGGCTGCTCTCGATATTAATCGAGAGAGAATTTCGGAGTCTCCTCTATCAGACATTGATGATCAGTTTGCCAAGGAGATTGAAGAGGAGTATTCTCGCCACGGCCACACAGATCTTTACGAACCCCAAGATGACGTGGAAGATTCCCCCGTTAAGCGACCTACACAACGCGCTAGAAAGCAGCGCGTCATGATGCCGGATGACGAAATTGCGCTGTCTAGCACTCACATCAAGCAGCAGCAGGCGCACAGAGAAAACATCACCAAGCCAGCCACATACCTGCCTCGCGATCCTTTACTTCTGGCTCTGGCAGAAATGCAGAAGACGGGCGGCTTTGTGTCTTCCATCATGATGGAAGGTCGAAGCATGGGATGGGCACCTGAGCTGCGTGGTATGCTATCATTGGACATGGTCCGTGGTGCGAATGACCTGAAGCGCAAGCGTGACTCTGGCGTTGCCGATGTGGAAAGCGAGCTGGGTATCAAGTCTCCCCGTCTGGAACTGGGAGATGATACCGATTTCACTCTCGACGGAAACGCCTTCGGTAACCAGAGCGTGGGAGCTGACGGCACCATTCTCGAAATTCCCGCTGACGAAAGCGCGGCTCACTTTGACGATGATCATGCGGATGGAGGCGACAGAAGCAGCCCTATGCCCGCTTTCGAAGACACGACCTTGCCCCTCGTTCACCCTGCCGATAGCGGCCCCGTCTCTGTTGGAACTAAGCATGCTGTTCACATTCTGCGAGACCTGTTTGGCTCCGAGGCCGCCAATGATGCCGACAAGAGGAAGAAGTCGGCGGTTGTCTTCCAAACCCTACTGCCTGAGAAGCAGACCACCAAGGCCGAAGCTACCAAGATGTTCTTTGAGTGTCTGGTTCTTGCAACCAAGGACGCCATCAAGGTCGAGCAGACCTCTGGTCTCGGTGACCCTATCAAAGTACGAGGAAAGCGAGGCCTTTGGGGCGCCTGGGCCGAGCGGGAAGCTGGCGGCGAGATTTCGAACCAAGACCAACCCGAGTCCGTTGCTCCCGTGAGCGTTGCGGCGGTTGCTGTCGAAGCATAACCGTCTGCTTAACAATCACCGGGAAAAAATGACAAAAAAAAATTGTGCATGTAAAAAAAAACTACAATGCTGTGCATCTTGGGCAACGGGTCTTTTGTTTGTTTTTGTTCAAATCGCCCATGGCGGAGTTGAAGGCGTTCGGGAGATACCATGTAACCTTGGAGGTTCTCTGCTCTGGATAAAGGAAGGAGGGGAAAATGACAATTCGAGCCTTGGATGTCGAAACAGGACAACTTTTGTTTCTTGATTCTGTGTGTTGATTAGCTGTTTAGAAAAGGTGTTTGGGAGGATTGGCTATCATTCAAGGAAGTCATCAATGTGATGTTATGAGCTTGCCGTGAAGACGGACTTTGGAGGAATTTCGGTGCTTTGAATGCTGTTACTTACCTATGATTTTGCGATGTCTGCTTTGCAAGCATAAAAGTAGTATTGGACATGTAGCGATGCCCAGTTGTGGCAATTCAACTGTTCAACACGTTGCTTATACAAATGTCTAGGTGTTCTACTATAATCAGTAAAATGAAGTTTTTGGTGATGTGCTACTCCGTACTGTAATCGCTGATCTGCCCCGCCATGGGTCCAGGAACCCCACGCCAGGGATTCAAACCGTCTACCTACTAGGCACCTGCTTACCGCGGTCTTGCAACAGGCGACCCAGATTCTCCAAGACAACAAACCCTTTCCCGTCGAACTATAAAGCTCGGGCCCGCCGTGCTTTTGCTTCTCTTCCTCAGACAATCTCCTCTCGATCTCGACAGCCTCCCCCCTTTTCCCGACTCTCTTCCAAAGAAGCAACCCCCAAAAATGCCTTCTCCGTCTCCTCTGGTCATCGCGACGGGCGCCGTCAACCGCCTCCTGAAGGAAGAAGCGTCATATCACAAGGAGCTTCTGGCACAAGAGGCCGATGCCAAAGCCCAGGAGGAAAAGATTAAGAGCGGGCAGGACGACGAAGACGGCAATGCGACGTACATCTTGAAGCAGCAGGTATGTACAAAATCGCCAATACGCTAATGCATGGTATCAAGGTTTATGGAACTGACGTGTTTTCTTTCTTTTTAGCAACTGGTGGTCGAGCAGACGAGGGCCGTGTTCAAGCCGCTGAGAGACCGAATCAGCCAGGCCGTCGAGAAGCTGGAGGATCTTGTCGCGTCCGAAGAAAAGACTGGGAACGCCTCGGCTGAGGAACTGGCGAATGCAAAGGCGGCGCTGGAGAAGGCCAAGTCGGGCGACGTGTAAAGGAGATGGGAAAAGAAGGAGACAAAAGGAGTTTACGGACGATATAATACATGATACACAATAATACACAGCGGTGGTCCACATCACCGGATACCCAACAATGGTATGCCATCTCCCTTTTGGAGGGGGATTTCAATTCGGGTATCTTAATTGTACAACGATCCTATCCATCGTTTTTTCTTAAAATAAAATAAAAGCAATGCTATGCATGACAGCCCAATCTAATTGTCAACCTCCATCTTGTCATCATTTCTCGCGCCCACCAGTTTGTCGTCGTCTTCGTCTTCCTCGCCCTCTTCCTCATCCCGTTCAATCCGTGAATCGTCCATTTCAACGTCTTCTCCGGTCTCGGTGCCCGAGTCATCGTCTCGTAACGGAGGCTGTGACAATTCTCTCGTAGACGCCCTGCTCCCTATTCGGGAGGTCGTTCCGGCATCTGTAGAGAGAAGCTGCAGTCGGTCTGGTCGAGGGGAGCCCGCTGACGGTGTCGGTCCGTCCACCGATATTGCTGGTTGAGGCGTCTCTTGCAGTGTTCCGTCGCCATCTGGACGTGGTGTCCCAGTATTACTTGGTTCAATACCGGGTGTCTGGCCGCCACGCTGTTCCTCCACCTCGTCCTCCCCACCTTCGTTCATACCTTCTCTCCTATCTACTTCCTCCTTTTCGTCTCTGATCTGTCGTCTCAGCAGCATGCCCTCCTCCATGATTCTGTTAAACTGATCTCTCCGCTCTTTCCATGTTCCGCTGTATGTTTCGCTTTCCCGCTCCAGCTCCTTGCATTCCTCTTCCAGCTTCTCCAGGGCAGCAAACTGGTCTTCGCGCGGTCGTAGCAGCCGGTTAGACAATATCTTCTCCGCCAGCTCGTCAAACTTCTTGCGTCGTGCCAGAGTTGCCTTTGCGTCCTCCAACTGCTCCCGCAGGCGCGCATTGTTTTCTCGGGCGGCCTGGCATTCTGCCAGGATGCGCTGCTTGTCTGCCTCATAGCGTTCTCGCTCTCGCTCGTTTGCATCATGAAGGAATTGGAAGCGAGCAATGCTGCTGTCAAAGGCGGCGAAATCGAACGTTAGGTCTTCCTGTAGCTGAGCACTGCTCGAGGTCTGGCCCCCATTTCGGCTTTCGGTGTCGGATTGAATAGCGCTGGAGACAATCGCAGAGATGGAAGACAATCGCTTGGTGATGCGTTTGAACGGCTTTTCCTCCACGTTAAGAAGTCGGCTCTTGTGAAGCTCAGACTCGCCCTTTTCATCCAGCAGCTCCCAAGAAGCCATGGCTGGGATATGCAGAGAATAGGATCAGATTGTGCAGCAATGGATTGTCGATGGCGAGAGTAGGCGCGGATAATATACAGGATAAGTGGCTGTTTGCTTGGACAATTCGCAAAGAAGTTAGGTAATGAATGTTCCAACTTGTCTTGTTACTCAGCCTCGCACTGCAAAGACGTGAGCGCGTTGATGACTAATCTTGCTCGCCACTTTTCGGCCTAATCTGCCCACAGGCAACTCGGTAGCCTTGCATTTCCTTGATCCAACATACTTTCGCCTGCTTCTTGTTTGAGCTGCAAATCGCTGCCAAAACACACGAAAAACCAGTGCATCTTCTCAAAGCCTTTGCACTGAATCAAACACACAGCTCGCGACGCAAACCTTCCACCTCAAACATGTCGGAAGAGGACAAGGAGCTCTTGGCGCGTATCGGCCAGCTCGCAGGTAGGACCATCAGCTGTCCCGCGATGACTTCATAGTGCTCACTGCCTTATCCTAGGCCAAATCAACCGACACAAGAACCAGCAAGCCGGCTACCAGTCTGTGCCATCATCGCATCACCTACATCGCCATCGAGGTTCGTATAGTCTCAACGCGTTCGGACGAGGACGAAACTGACGCTGCCATAGGAAATGTCTATCGCCAAGCAAGCGCACCATATCCCAGCAGAGGGTATAGCAGCCGGCCAGCGGCCACTCACCGCCACAGGACTCTGCATCTTAACGCTTCAGGATCTGCCTCTGGATCAGCTTCCAGCTCGGCCGCGCCCAGTCCCGCTCCTACAACCTCGGGCTGGGTATCCAAGAACGACCGCCACCGCCAACTCATAAACGCCAGTATCTACGAGAAGGATAGCCAAAATCGGGCCAAAGCTATCGAAGAGACGCGGCAACGAAACCTCAAGGAGCGGCGCCTTCGAGAGAAGAAACGATTCGGCGACTATCTTCGCCATCAAGCCGGGGTTGCGGGTACGAGCATGAGCGCTAACTCGACAGGTGTGAATGAAATCCCGGTCAACGGCATTCGCTTCCGCGTTCTAGACGGAGGAAAGAAGCTTGTAAAAGCTCCTGGTGAGTCATGCGTCACTGTCTGTCGTTTTCTTGCCACTATTGCTCACGAGAGACTTTCAGACGATCCCGCCTCCCCTGCCATGACGCCAAAATTGACTATCATTGCCGGCGTCAAGTTCCATCGTACCAAGACCGGAAACCTTGTCGCACAGAGGATAATTAGAGACCATCGGTATGTTGAACCTCCAAGGATGATCGTGGCACTAACGTATGCAGTCGATCCGGTGCGGTTAAAAAACTTGATCAACGGTGCAAAATCTTTTCCACGACCGGTAATTGTTACTTCTTTCTTCTTCACACCCGCGGCGACGAAACATCTTACAGCTCTACGAGGCAGTGGCATAGATGGGAGGGACGCTAACCACTAACTTGCCTTTCTCTTCTAGGTTCTTGTCCGAAAGGCCCAAGCTGCCGATACATTCACGACCCTGACAAGGTGGCCCTCTGCAAAGATTTCTTGAAAGACGGCAAGTGTCCCAATGGCGAGGCATGCGACCTCTCCCATGCGCTTACTCCAGAACGTGTCCCGAACTGCTTGCACTATGCCAAGGGGCAATGCTCCCGGCCTGACTGTCCCTTTACTCACTCCAAAGCCTCCCCAAGTGCGCCCGTGTGCGCGGCATTTGGATTCTGCGGTTACTGTGACAAGGGTGCAGACTGCACCGATCGCCACGTCTTTGAATGCCCCGACTTTAGCAATACCGGTATCTGTAAAACCAGGGGATGTAAGCTGCTCCATCGCGAGAGGGCAAGCGTCCTCCGCAACCAAGCCAAGCAGCGTGACGAGGACGACGACGTCTCCAGCGAAGATGAATCGGTCGATTCAGACGATGTCGACTCGGACGAAGTAGCCGAGTTTCTTGAGGGCGACGATGATGACTCTGACTTTGAGAACCCAAAGGACTACCTCCCCCTCTAGCCGAGTCGAGCAGCCACCGCCCGTAGACTGGTCGAGTCGAATTCGATCCAACGCGCAGTCTCATGGTTTCCTTATTTTTTTTTTTGGGGGGGGGGGGAGGGGGGGGGGATTTTGAGACGATGTGCCCTTTCTTGATCTATTTAGCATGCGATAGGCTTCGTCGTCTGTTTTTCTTCTATAGTACCGACGAGGCAACCATGGCATTTGATGAGGTTGCCTTCTTTCTTTGTTTTTTTCTATTACCCAGGGATGGGTTTTATACCAAGATACCCTGCTACGCAGCACTTTTTGATATCAATCATTTGCCTAGGGTGCAAAGAGGAGAAAGAAAGAAAGAAAGAAAGAAAGAAAGAAAGAAAGAAAGATGATTTGCAGTGCGGAAGAACGAGACAGAATAGATGAGAGAAAGAAGTCTCTTTGTTAGGAAAACAGCAACGTGTTGGTAAAGAAGAAATTTAATAATAACAAGGACAAAAAGAAATAAAGAAGAATCAAATTGATATAACAAAGTATCAAGTCTACTTTGACTGTAATGAATCGGTGTATACGGAGTAACTGCATCTGTTCCCCCCCCCCGTCCTTTGTTCTCTCGAACATTGACTCTTAAATGGAGACCCCCGGCCGCTGGGCTGGTGCTTATTTCTTATTTCCTCCCCTAACCGACACTTGCCTTAGCGAAAGGCGGCCTCTAGAGAGCTTCGCTGATCGGCGCCCACGGCAGCCAGATACCGCCCCGAGCGTCTCCCCTAAAATGATGGAGCAGAGAAAAGACATCAAATCCATCCAGATGTGTACGAGTAGCTCGAAGGCCCTTGTCTAGTTCACGGATCGATTATGAAAAATAACACCAATATTAATTAACCTTGAACCTATTTCTTTTTTTCTTTTTTTTTTTTTAAGCTGGCCTTCCCCCTCCCCCTGGTTCGGTGCTATTGGAATACGGCACTTTATTTTGCCAAGGGCGACAATCCCAAGAAAAGAAAAGACGGGACTCCGTAATCCCAGATTGAGGGGGTTTTTAAATTCAAATCTTTTGGCGGAGTTTCCTGGACCCAAGTTTCAAAAGGGATCGGGGCGCTTGGCTCTTTTCTCTCCATCTCTTTTCCCCAATTGAACTCCAACGTGTGCTGTGTTGCTCCTCGTAACCCGTCGTCACATCAGGCGCCGAGCTCTTTTTTCGATCCCTTTTTTTTTTTTTTTTTTGCTTCTCTATTGCCGCGCGGGAAATTTCGAGCACTGGGGGGGGAAACTTCATTGCCACTTGCTTGTTTTGCGACGTCAAGCAAATTCGTGTCTCCTTTTTTTTTTCAATCAATTGCTCTTTTGAAAGGAAACCCCGAGGCGGGCCTTTTGTTTGCGCAAAGTGCATCGTGTCAGTTCAGTGCTACAAAGAGACTGACACCGACTAACCAACATCAGCCTGGCTCTGCCTCAGCCACTGGGCTGACTGCCTTACGGGACCCTGAACCTGCATCGTTCGACGTAGAGCAGCAGCATATTCTATTTTTGGGGTGACAGACTGGTGGGCTGGGCATTTTTCATGATCGGCATCAACTGCGGCGTATCATTGCGGATATAGAAGAGCCCTTTGCTGTTGCTGCTTTTTTCCTCGTGCTGTGCTGGGCTACAAGGACTCGGATCACCAGAGGAACAGGACAGCTCTTCACTTACAAAACATCAAAGAAAAAGAAACTACTAAAGGCAAACTCTTGCAATCATGGGGCTCCGGGATGCGCTGCGGAAGAAGGAGGCTATAGAGCATGATCAGGGCCCAGACATCACTTTTGTTCGCTCCGATACCGTTTCGCAGCAGGTGATTATGGCGCCGGACGGGGGCGGCCACAACGACGGCTTGCTGTCGCCCACGTCGACCAGCGGCGAGCACCGAAAGTCGAGACGCAGCTTCGACTTCTTGCACTCAGACCAGTCGCGGAGCGCCTCTGCCTCGTCGTCGGCGTCCAACAAGAAGGAGAGCGCGGCGAGACGCCTGTCGCACAGGCTGCATCTAAGTCGGCCGCCCGAGACCTCTGACCATGTGCCGCAGAACCTGCCGGAGATTGTGGTCCCAGCCGACGTGCAGGATAGAGACGCCGCAGAGCTGCAGTGGGAGAAGCGGGCGACCATGCTGGCCGGGCAGAACGACCTCGCCAGGAGTCGGCCGTCGTCGAGAGACGCCTCGGACGGCATGGCCCAGATGAGTCTAGACGCCTCTCACTCTCGCAGCCGAAGCCCCTCGGCCAACTCGGGACCGGTCTTGTCCAAGGAAATCGACGCCGACATCCAAGAGGCGATTCGACTGCATGAGGAGGGGAATTATGCGGAGGCGACCAAGATGTTTGGGCGCCTTGCAGACGAGAGCGGCGCCAACAATCCACTCAGCCAGGTTCTCTATGGACTGGCACTCAGGTGAGTGCTACCACGGCTGGATCCCAATTAGCCTTTTCATTTTCCATTTCTGCGGTGGCGATGCGCTGCTGCCGGTGAATCCTGAGAGACGGAGAGAGAGCTCCAGCTCCCCCTCATTGCCTTGATCATTTCCCCTTGAGCTCACATATCACATCACATCATTTGATTTACGTGACATGGCCATCATATGATTAGCAGGCGATTGATGAAAAGAGAGCATCCGGACTAATACAGCCATGCTTTCTTCCAATAGGCACGGCTGGGGTTGCACGCCGGATACTGAGCGAGCGGTCCACTATCTAACGGCAGCGGCCTCTAACGCTGCATCGGTCGAGCAATTGGCCATCCAGGCCGGTATCAAGAAGGGAGGGGCTGCAAAGGGAGAGCTAGTCCTGGCCATCTTCGAATTGGCCAACTGTTTCCGCCACGGCTGGGGCATCGACAAGGACCCAGTCGCTGCAAAGCAGGTATGCATTTGCCTCTTCGATATCTCAGGGGGTTGACTGGTCGGCTGCTGGGCTTTGCTGATTAGATACTGACCACTGCTGGGGAAAACGAACAGTACTATGAGACAGCGGCAAACTTGGGCGATACCGGTGAGTTGCAGATGCAGCCCTGTGTCGAAAAAAGCTCCGGATGCTGACGAGGTGAACAAGACGCCATGAACGAGGTTGCCTGGTGCTACCTAGAGGGCTACGGCTGTAAAAAGGACAAGGTACGTCGACGATTAGTCAAAATATCGATGACATAACTTGCCTCTTGCAAATCCAACTCATGGCACAGAGGAGAGCCAAGCCTCAGGCCAAGGCACCACAAGCTGTGGCTTGCCAGTCGTGGCCAGTCTGGCTGACAAAGGCGAGGTTGATGCCCAACGTCTGACCAGACCCCCAGAGTTGGGTGCCGATGAGGAATGAGCGGGCACGAAGAGGCGCAAGTTGCTCATGTCCAATGGAAAATGGCACGGGCAGTGGCCGCTTTCCCCCTCCCCGCAGACTCCGATCCGTTACATGAGGCTGATGTTTGACCCCTTATTTGGGAGTACAGTTTGCTGCAGCCCAGTATTATCGACGGGCTGAGAATGGTGGCAACAAGACACTAGGAAATACATGGTAAGTCACCAACACGCATCCATACTTGCTCGTCGGGTCAGCTGTGGGCGTCCCTGTGTGTGCTGTGATGCATCACTCCCGAGTGGCCGGGCCTCGCTTGCGACCCATCCGTGCCGCTTGATCACACTGTTCCTCCTGGAGGAGGCTATGCATGGCTGCGACGGTCTGCGATCTCATGATAGTGGCCAGGAGCTCCGGAGGATTGTGATGTGCTACACCGTCCAGCCCCAATGAGAAGACGAGGGCTCTGAGAGGTGTCGATAGCTAACGGGTTTGCAGGATATGGAAGGACAAGTATAGCCCAGAAAACCGCAAGAAAAAATAGGGGGGGGGGGGGGGGTCACAGGTAGGCAGATGTCCTTGACTCAATGAGGGCTCAGTAGTGCCTCCCCGGCTCTAGGCCCTCTCTCCCTCTCTCTCTCTGCGTGTTTCCTCTCTTATTCAGCGGCCGTTATTGGATATCCAAGGGCATGGGGTCTTTTTTCTTCCCACTGCCGCATTGCGTGTCCCTCGTGTGGCTTTAAACAGCAAGTAAGAAGGCTCCATTGTGACCCATCCCGCGTCCTGCGGTTCACATTTGCGGGGTGCTGCTGTTGTACCACTCGGAGGCACGGACGCGGCATAGTTCTAGGCGTTGTGGACGGCTCATGTAGCAGGCGATTGCGGCATGTATGTTTTGTCTGTATGTAGCATATATGGATATGTATGTAAACTGCGAGTATCCGAAGATGTATGGCTGTGAAGCCACAGCATTCTGTTCGTCCGTGTGTGTGTGTAGCGTGGACTGTCTGTACTCGTATGCGGCCACTGAAGGAGCAACGCAACAGCCAAACAAACCAGCTGCTGTGCTTCATTCCCAGAGAACTCACTAACATGGAAAGGGAAAGGAAAGGGCCACAGAGGCAGCTGCAGCTGTAACCCGGAGATTTGGAGCAAATGGGAGCGCGGGTCTGGCGATGTCCTCTGTGCGGGCGGCTGTTTTACCAGCTTTGCCCTAGCTGGGGGGGGATCGTTTTTGATGCCTGATTGCGCATGTCGGTACGAGTAGGTGGTCTGGATGCATGTGCGTGCGCACGTACATGATGTATGTGTATGTACGTATGTATGTGTTGTTCAGCTGTCGCCATGAGATTGGATGGAAGACGAGACGGCCAGAAAACTGCTCCTCTCCTGCTGTGGAGGCGGCCAGATATCGAGACCTAGTACGAGTGGGCTGGCGCGAGAAGTGCTGCCGAGCCCTGCTTCTATTGTAGTTTTTTTTTTCTCTCTCTCTCTCTCTCTCTTGCTGTCGTTGGCCATCCGCTTACCAATGGCCATCGGGGCTTTGGGTATCAATTCGTGAGTCATCCATCACAATCAAGTCGGCGTGCTCACAATTCGACGTTGCTGGCAGACACTCTGCTAGTCCCGGGCAAGGGAGGTTCTCAATGGAGGTGTCACGACCGTTGCAGCTGTAAGGGACAAGGGCAGCTTTGTTAGCATTGGCCCTCGGCGGGTAGAGGTCTGTACGAGCATGCAAGATGCATGTATGGTTGTTTGTATGTGCGGTACGAGCATGTAAGTGAGTATGCGGGTATGCGTATATGCAACCCAGGCAGGTCGGTGGATGTGCCTCTTGTCATGTAGAGGAGATGTGACCGTCTGCTTGCCACCAAAGGGATCCATGGATAATGCTAGGTAAGGTAGACCAAGATTAGTAGATACCTCCCGCAGTTGGAGCACACGGCAGAGGTACTGTATGTACTTTGATATTCTGGCGCCCGGGTCGCATCAGCAGCCAGTCTCTCCACGCCTATCGATTTTTCTCAAGGCGATGCATCTTTTTAGTCTCAAGGCCACCAGGATCGGCCCGAGGGGCGTGTATCAGCAGCGGCCGTTGGCGTCGTGTCAATGGAGGAGCCAGAAACAGAGACCCGGGGCTAGCAAAAGCCATTGATGGCCTTGTTCTTCCAGAAGCGTACCGTGAGAAGCTGCCATTCGCCTGAACTAGAGCGGATGCGTCTGGACAAGTACAAGTAGGTGCGCGTGCGAATTGGCTGGGAGGCGTAGGCGTTTCATCCATTTCGCCAAAACCCCGAGGTTGTGGCCGGCTCTGGGAGGGCATTGGCCGGCGACAGAGCAGATGATCAGTTCTTGCAGATGGAGAATGGCTCGCCGATTCGTGGATGCGCCTTGCAGGTTAGTTGCTTTTAATTATGGCGAATGGGAGAGGTGGGATGGACTGGAAACAGGGAGGGCGAAAAAAATGAGGGGGCTGGGGATTTATTGGGAGTCTAGAGGTTTTTATTTTGCTCGATCTATGTTATTCCGTGGTAGGTTAGTAGGCAAAACTCGCCCTCTGTTGTTTGGGTAATGGTTTTGGATTATTCTCTTTATTTTATTTCTATTTTTAATTTTAATTTTAATTATTTTCATTTGTATGGTTTCTGGAGTCGTCGAAGCAGCGTTGGACTCTCCCCGTCTCACCATCTCCCAACCAAGAGCCGTCGGTGTCAAGGGCGAGCGAGGCAGGCAGGTAGTAGCCAGTACAAACTCAATCTCGTGATGGCATCATTCATCCGCTCCCTTGGGAAGCATTGGTTGTGTCAGTGACAAGGAATGAGGCACACACACACACACACACACACACAGGCACACACACACACGGCCACTGGAGTACCGACCAGGTAGTCAGAACATCGTTGACTACGCATGACGTTTGTGCGAGCTTTAGTAGACCGTTAACTTGGTACGAGTAGCAGGTAGTGGTAGGTAGATACGAAGTAGAGTGTAGCACTGCGGCCGCCAGACGACCACACGGTACCTCCAAGTCCATGACCACCTCTTCCCTCCATCTGCCATCCAGACTCTTTCTCCCAAGGAGGCTTAGGTCGCAGCAAATACAACGCCAAGTCCCGGACTAAGACACAACCAACCGTCTGCCTCGCTGGCGGTGTGATGTCAACCCAATGCCTCCCCTCAATCCAAGATGAGCCTTGTCTGTCCACGGCCCAGCTTTGCATCACGTCGCTTCCAGGTCTGTCTCACGGGCTCCACCCCTTTGTTTGTTCATCCTCGTCCCGGATACACTATCCTGGAGTGGTAGTAGCAGGTGGTAACATGTGGTGCCGTCTTTCAAGGCACACGGCCGTCCATGCCGTGCTGGATGCTGGAGATGGGCAGGTCGATTTCCCTAGAGAGCAAGCAAACTGTCGAGGCATGCATTGTGCTTCGGGTAAGGGCGTCATTGACTTTTAGCCCTCGCCCAGGCACAAGGGCATGGGCTGCAGCACGCACACCACCAGTCAGACATACAGTGAGGTAGGTAGTACGACACAGGCACAAGGTTGGATGCAGTCACGGTCACGGTCACGGCAAAGGGGAAGCAAGGCATTGTGAATGTAAGCTGGATCTGTGTCCATGTTCACATTGAAGAAAAGCTATCTGAAATGAAATATGTCGTCAAAACCCAAGAGGCCATCTGTGTGGCGCGTTCCAAATAAAAAAGCTATGTCCAAAATGCCGCCCAAGTACAAAGGAAAGCCACCCAGGGATCTTTTTTTTCGTCGCTGAGGTGGGTTCTCAAGAGAGTGTCGGGTAGAAGGAGCCCGTTCCAGGTGCTCGCTCTCATCATCGTCAATTTGTTTCCAATCTGTCATCATTCTGTATCGGCATGCCTCGTAGATATCATTCTTTCGGTGCCAGGTATCTCATCCCGCACCCAGATTCCCAATATCCGAAAAGATATGCCTTTCAATAGTACAAGCATGTACTGGACTGGGGCCTGTAGCATGCCTGTTGTGCTGCTGCTTCTGCTTGTGTCCTATGCCTTTCGACCCACCAGTTGTCGAAAGGATCCAGCAAAAAGAAAAGGGGGGTAGAAAAAGAAATGCTGAAAGCCATCCAAATATAACACAAGGAAAATAAATAGCACAAGGAAATCAAAATCAAATCAAAATCAATCGCCAAAAAAATCAACGCTTGCTCGCTCGCTAGATCCGCAAAGAAATCGTAAGAGACTCCAAAGTAGATGGTTTTCATGAGAAAGCGGTTTGTTCAAATTCAAGAAGATGGGGGGGTGAATGCGTGAGCAAAAAATCTCAAATAATGTGCATGTGGGGGAGTCGCCCCGAAGCGACTCAAAATAGAGGCCAGCCTATCCAATCTGTTGGAAAAGGGCTGTACGAAGAGAAGAGTAAGAAGAAGTAGCATAAGTTTGTCGGAGAAATGAAACTGAACAAGACAGAATAGAGGGTGGAGAGGGTTGATCGTTGCATTACTGTAGCCATTTTTTGATTCGTCATCGTGAGATTTCTTGTTTTTTTTTTGTCTTTCGCGCCGTGTCTTTTTTTTTAAGTCTTTCATGACCTCGCTTCGTTGCATTGCTGCGAATTCTGAGCGCTATTGCACTCTACAACCATTCTGGCAAAGTTTCGGACCACGTCGTTGGGGATCTGGTCCCAGAGGAGAGTGCGAGTGTACACCTCGGCGGCGCCCGACTGCTTGGCGGCGTCCCGCATCTCAGCAAGAGACTGAGCCAGGTTCTTGCGAGCCTTGGTGGGCATCCTACCGGCGGCGTCGCGGAGGAAGTCGTGGTCGCTGACTCCGTTGTACTGGGCGGCAGAGAGGGAGAAGATCTGCTCGTTGGTCTGCTGCTGCGAGGGCTGGATGAGGCTGTCGCCGAGCTCAATGAGCATGGACGGCGCAACAACGCCATCGGCGGCCATGCCGGCCATCACGCTAGCGCTAACGGGCTGTCCCCAAGAGACGCCGGAAGGCTGAGGAGCGATGGCGGCCATGCCGGTCGAGGGGTTGACGCCGGCATCCTTGAGCACGTTGTCGAGAAGAGTCGCCGACGCAACTCGGACATCCTCCGACACGCGGGGGATGGAGGGCATCGAGCGGCTCGACATGACAAAGGCGCCAACAAGGAAGAGCATGAACAACAAACCGCCCTGGGAGGAGCTCTTCTCGGAGTCGGAGGTGAAGGGGTTGGTGTCCTTCTTGGTAACAGTCATGGGCGGCTTAACCTCATCGAAGTCGTTGAGGAAGCCATTATCCCAAGCACCGGCCAAATCCATGGCATCGTCCATGTCGTCGTAGGCACCGGAGAAGCCGTTGGCGGCAGCGTTGGGGGGAATGCTGCTCTCCAGGCGCTGGACATGGTCGGTCAGGACACCCACCTTTTTCCTCAGCTCACCAGTCTCGATAGTGTGGGTGCGGATCATCTCGTCCTTCTCAAGGGTGAGGGTCTCGATGTAATCGACGCACTGCTGCTTCTCGAGCATGAGCTGCTCCACCTTGGTCTTGAGGCTAGCCAGCTCCTCTTCCATGTCAGTGATGACGACGGTGAATTGCTTCTTCTCATCTTCCAAGCGCTCAGTGTGCTGCTTCTTGCGCTGCCGGGAGTCGAGACTATTAAAACGGTTAGCTTTCGATGCGTGGCGCCGAGATGATGCGGAGAGTGCACTTACGCTGCCTGTCGGTTTCGCAGCAGTCGCTTCTGTTGCTTGAGTTCCTTAATCTCCTGCTCATCCGTCGACTGGGAAATCAACTGGTCGATGTTGCTCAAGTTCCGCTCAGCGGGGATCTCGAAGCGAGCATTCTTCTTCCGAATGCCATCGCCGCGTCGCAGATCGTTGTGCGATCGGATGGAGGGGCTGCTGGGTCGCATCTTGGCGGAGGCAGAGTCTTTCATGGACTGGCCATCGGCCAGAGAAGCGAACATGTTGCCCGAGGTGGGGAAAGGAGTGGGAGCGTGGATGGGCTGCTGGAAGATGGAAGTGTTGGCATCAAAATCCGTCGCCATACCACCGAAGCGCTGGAAAGGCGTGGCTGCTCCGGAGCCTCCGTTCATGGCCCAGGGATTGCCCGAGGAGATGAAAGGGTTGGCAGAGGGCTGGTCGAAGCGCATGTAGGGATTTGTGCTATGCGGCTCGAAGAAGGGGTTGTTGGAAGGCAGCGACTGCATGTCGACCGAGTGCCAATCTTCCGTCTTGGGAGAGAAGAGAGGCCCTCCGATGCCGAAGGACTCTCGCCTGTTGTCCATGGGAGGAGAAAGTTCCAGGCCTGAATCAATGCCGCTCTGATCAAGAAGGCTGTCATCCAGACCGTTGGTGTCCTCTGCCTTGAAGTACTTTTGCTCATGGCTCGCGTCCATAGCCATGGATGCTGAAGAGTAATAGTTGTCCATTCTGAGAAGATGTGACTGTGTGAGGGGGGGCCGTCGAGGGCGACGGAGTGAGGTTGAGAGGATGCAAGGGTCGACGTCAAAGAACCGAAAGAGAAAACAATGACCCGTAGAAGATGAAAAAAAGAAGAAAGAAGAGGAAAACTAAGAAGAAAGGGGATGGAAACAGGTACAGTAGTCGTGATGTGCTGATACTGTTGATAGTCTTCCGAGGACGAGATGTTAGCGAAGGGTGGCTTTTTATTTGTTGGAGCCGAGCAATGACAATGTGAAGCGGGGTTGAGAAAGAAGAAGAGAAGAGAAAACCACAAGCAACGTGCGTAGGCAGTAATTCGTGACAGCGTTAAAGGGTTATGCTGGAGGGGGAAGGGTCGGGAAACGCAGAGCAGATGCAAGTCATGAAGTCGTCAAGCAGCGTTGAAAGGTGATGGGCAGATGCAAAGTGTGGGCGGGAAGTGTCGAGTGATATAAGATGGAGGCTGCTAAAAAGCTGCCAGTTGGGTTTTGGGTTGGTGGGTTCAGGTGGTGCACTGGGGGACATAGCCAGGGCTAAGTCTTAGCGCTAGAGGGTGGGGTGGTTTAAGTGCGGGAGGAGACGGACGGGACAGTAAGTGGTATAGGCCTAGTAGGGTAGTGTAGCGCAGTGTAGTGGACGGAGTAGTGGGAAGTGGGAAGGAAAACATTGACTGATGCGAGAGAGAGGAGGTGCGCAGGCGGGCGACCAAGATAAAAATAAACCGACGACGCGCGACGGGGGGAGAGGAGAGTGAAGGGGAATGGCGACGATGTTGGACGGGACAGGATAGGATAGGATAGGATAGAACATCGTCCGTGTTATGATTCCAGTACATCGTTGTATGAAAGCAGTAACGACGAGGATGCTGAGGGCTATCTATGATGACACAGCGCTGCACTGGGCAAACGCTCGTCGAACACAGGCCGGGAAGAGGGGGCCGGAGCAAAAAAAAACAAGAAAAAAAACAAGGAAGAGACGAGGGCTGACTCACTGATTGCACTCGTAGCACAGCTGCTGTTACCACTGCTCTCTCTCTGCTAAGCAAGCAAACAAGCAGGCAAGAAAGCAAAGGATGGCGTCGAATGGCGTTCAATGTTTGGATTAGATAGCAGAGCAAAGACTGCTGCTCGAGGGAGGAGGGATTTCTATATGTACTCAAAGGGCTACTTCGTCCTGCTGTGGGGAGGAGAAGAGGCTTCATGGCAGCAAGTGCTCGTACTGGTACTAGCCACCTACCTCCACGCTACTTGCGTCGACCTCGCAGCTCGATAACAGGATAACAAAACACCCGACCCCGTGGCGATAACAGAGGCCGGCGTTATCGCCTGAGGCCGAATCTTGTCGATCGATTTCTTGCCAACCGCCGGCGATGGGGCTGAGAGTGCTTAGGCTCTGCCTCGTAATAGGTACACATCCTCCGAGGATTCCACGCTTTCGGGCTCCCATGTACCGTACTGTATGTACTCTGGAGGTAGTGTGTATGTAATGCACATGTACGTACCTAGCACGCATGTACGAATATGTACGAGTGGGTGGTGCTGCGCTTGTGTTGTTTTGGTGATGGAGGTCCTCGAGGTACTACTCTGTCTGTCGTAGCTCGTCATCAGTTCTGTCGGGCCTCAAGCAGATTTGTCTACTAGGTCGTATGGGCCTGGTGCTCGGCCTAGTGACAGGGGTGCCTGTCGTGAGATTGCCTCTGCCTTTGCCTCTGTTGGTTTTATTTTTTTGCCTTGATTTTTTTTGTTTTTTTATTTTTATTTTTTCCAGATATTGTTTCCAAAATTTGCACCTCCGTGCCAGTACCCCATCCTGGGACCACCATGCGCCCGTACGATTAGGACGATTACTAAGTGCCCGTCATTATCAATAAGTGCGTGCGTACGGACACTCGGAGCAGCCCCTATACCCTTTGAGCATGGCCCAATGGATCTCTGGCTAGGGTTATGGTGGGCATAGAGACCTGTGTGTACTGTCTGCCGATGTGATGCAAGTCCAAGTCATTGTCGCTATGTTTGGAGCTGGGACTCCTCCATCTCTGTGCTTTGTCACCCTTGTGTCGCGCTCGCTCTCGTACGAAGTACTACTACTCACCAAGCCGGGTTAATCCCTGGCCCCCTCCCTATCTCATGTGGCACTCGGGATGGGACTAGTAGTAGTATGTCGTAGTAGCAGAGCATCTTATCCTGTACTCGTACTCTGCTTGACTGCTACAGTACGTCTGCTAGTACCAGAAAGCAAGTCGGCCTCGGCATGGTCATCATCGAACAGAGGCCATCCACACCTGATCGGCCTGGGGGAAGCTGTCTCTTGTGACTCGAAATAGCTTCTACCTGCCACAGGTAGCGCCCATTATGGGAGACCGTCTTTGCCGCTCTGTTCCCGGCGAGGATCATCCTGACCAGATGGCCGATGGGCATGACTGTCGTCATGGCCAGTCGCTCAGTTCAGCAACATTCAACCCACGACGCCATCGTCAACCCATCAGCCGCCCAGAGAGAGAGGGGGGAACAGAGACAGAGAGGAAGACTACCTCCGGCTCGACTCGCCTGAAGCAGGGCGGGTACTGAAAACGAATGAGCTTTCCCTTTCGTCAAGACCGGCATGGCGCATGGCTGAATCTGTCAAGGCCGGTACCTCTAAGCGGGTCACGACGGGATGCCATCCGCGACGCCGCCGGGAGGCAGAATCCAAGATGGGGAGAGCAGATGCTCGCTCAATGACAGGACGAGAATAGGTTGGGCACGAAGCTGCCCAACCCAAGCCCTCCAAGGAAGAGAGAGCGATGGGACGGCGCTGCTGCTCCCGCACAACCCGACGCCATACCCGCTACTAGTTGACTTGTGACCACTGAGCAGTGAGAGGGCTCGGAACAGGCCAGTCGTAGTGCGCATTGAGAGAGCCTTGCTAATGAGAGCGCTTGCATGTTTGGCGTGTTGCTCGTACGAAGTGGTGGCCTGCGAATGACTGGCGAGGGAGAGTCGATGGGGGAGATGGCCTTCCAAAGTGGTCTGTCACATCACGGCCCCGATCCTATTTGCCCGCCCGCCTTGGTCGTGAGGTGCCGTGCCCTCGCGCTGTGTCTGGCAACTGGTCAGTCAAACCCCCCCAGTTCTCCGCGGTTCTTCCAAACCACCCCCTCCTCTGCTCTCTATCGGTCCATGCTATCGTATCGTATCAGCATCCGCCAGGGAGCTGTGACGGGATGTGTCAATCGATAGGCAGATACCGGGCTGTTTGGGTGTCATGGTCATTGGTGCCCATCAGGCGAGCAAGATGTTTGGTCTGGCCTGGGCCACTCACGCCTCGATGTGGTTGGATCTCCCGCAACTGCGACAGAACCCACCCGTGGGCTGACAACGCAATGTACCTCCCAGCCCAATTTCGCTGGCAAGGTACGGCCAGTTGGGCAGGGGGGCTTCGTACTGTGGACCAGTCATGGGCTGCCAGGACAGTGCCGCAGCACCTGACCTGTGATTACGTGAGGTACTTGACTGTGCACGCTGCGGTGCGGTGGCGGCAAGTACCGCAGCTGCTGCCACTCGCATGACTAACCCTTAGCACGAGCAGTAGCAGCACAAGCTCAAGCACAAGTAGGGAGAGCATCATGTACGAGCGCCTCTGGGCAGCCAATTTAGAACACACGATAGTGTCATCCGCTTTGCCGTTTTGGCGCTGCCTCGCATCCTGCACCACGTATCAGGCAAGTGAAGCCACCAATGCATGGCGATGCAGCTCACCAACCAGACGGGGACAACACTGACTGACACCATATTAGATAATCATAGTCACTTATCGATTGTGCCCCATCTTCTGCAGTCTCTAGTCTCTACCTGCCTCCAGTCTCCAGTCTCCAGTCTCCAGTCTCCAGTCTCCATCCATCTCTGGGACTCCTCCTCCTCGTCTGTCCTGCTCATCATCATGCGCCATGCTGCCTCGCGGTGGCTGGTGCATGCCTCTAACACGGGCCTTGGTCTGTCTCTGCTGCGATGCCTTGCTCCAACCAAAGCCTCCAGGCTCCACTGTGACTGACGGCCGCATATGAGGCCGCCTCCGCCAACTTGCACCATCTCCGCTGCTGCTTTGTCGGTGTGTTGTTGCTGCCCATCACGGTGCTCTTTGTTTGGCTGCTCCTGACGCGTTGCGCGTCCGTCCTGTTTCATTTCGGGCATCGACACTACTTTCTTACCCCCTTAGGCCCGTCGACCTCACATCGCCGCCCTCCACGACGAATGACTGCCCTCGCAGGCCGCTGCCTCGCTCTTCGCGGAGACGAGGCGGCCTTATCCGTTTGGACGCTGCCTCGGAGAACCTGCTGTGATCTGTGAAAAAGCGTCCAAAACGGCCCATTGGCAGGACCCAAAGTGCTTGCGTCTTCGGACCAATCAATCGAGCCTGATTCACCGGATTTGAAGCTGAGAATGCCCTGCCTTTCTCTGTGCGACTTTGCACAACAGCCAGCAGCTTGGCCCCGTTCGAGCCGCTCATCATCCAACCGCGGCGATGCAGCTTGCTGGGTCTAGCCTCGATCAGGACTGAGGCGAACTTGAGGTTTGGCCATCCGGCCCAATCTTGCTCAGCGGCTGTCTGCGGCTGTCTAGAGAAAAGTCTCCTGGTGGTGCCAGACGAGAGTCTGCACTTCTTGATGTCTCAGTTAGGGGTCGTGGCATGATTGAGTGCCACCTGGGCCGGCTCTGACGACACAGCAAGGCCGGCTTAATTATACAATTTCATTAACCCCAAGCTCTGCAGTTATGTTCAACTACGTATCTGCCTTGCTCAGTGGCCACGCCATGAGGATCTACAAAGTCGGATTCACGGAGTACTTCCCTCATCGAGGGCTTGACTGCTGCGCCTCCCGGAGGTACGTACTCGTACCTACGAGTGGTTTTCTCGACACCACATGTGCTCGTACCGGCCTGAGGAGAAGGCCCCAGATACAAACAGGAAAAGGTTACGAGAAATCAGGCTTGGCTTTCGTACCCAACCATACAGCTCATCCTCAGCTGTCAAGATGTACGACGTCGAACGCCTAGAAGCCTTCTTCTCGCCCACAGCCCTCGTTATCTCATGATAACAGCTTGACTCGTGGGAGGGTTGGCCAGCACGTACTCGTACTCCGTACTCACGTGTGCCTACGCATCATCCTCGACTGCGGTTGGCTCGGCTGGAGAATTTTTCTTGCTCAGTCCTCTGTAGCCATTCACAGTCCTGAGGCAAGCAGAGTCGTACCCACGCCCAACTCGTTTCCCACAACGGTGGCATCGACGGCAGCGCCCAACTAACGTCTAACAGTCCGCCGCCCGTTTACTTGTTCAATTGTCTCCGTCGATTGATTAATGACTTGTACACTCGTCGCCCTTGCATAAGAGGACTGGCCATTATTAGTGCTCGTGCTAACAGTAGCCCGTACGTGCGTAGCTTAATGGGCCTAACTACGATCACTGAAGCACAACCGACACGCTCTCGTTAACATGGAGTCGTCAACTTTAATTTACGCATTGATACTGACTCGTCGACAGGGCAATTCATGAGCCATGTTTTTCTTTTTCTCCAATATGGTGGAAATCACACGAAAAATAACGAAAGAAAGAGTCGGCCGTTTTGAAACTATTCCAAACGCCGGGATAGCGTGTATGCCGTCAACGAATAGACTCTGGGAATAGTGCGCTAAAGTCCCAGCTGAACTGGGATTATCATGCACGCTACGAATGTGCGGTCAGCATCGCAAGAATCCACCGAATATGGAGTACTGTACGGAGTACGAAACGGGTACATTTCTCTACCGTTAGCCTTCCGTTTGCAAGTACTGGTCCGTATGGAAGAGTCCGAGAAGCAGTGTTTAGCACGAAAATACCAAGTGTTACCTGGATCGTCATCATACGTTGTTGCATTCTTGTCTCGCAGAGTACTCAAGGAGCTGCCCCGAAAGGCCGCGATGGCTGAGTGTTAGTGCCTTGTTAGCCAGGAACGAGAACGAAATCCAGTCCTCTAAGCGTAGATGGGCGATGTTGAAAACGTGGTTTCAAGGCCAACGAAAGCATCGGCAGCCGACAAAGACTTGCTTTTATTTGTAATTGGCTTTCGATTGCATGCTCGATCAGACGCATCGGTCTTTGCTCCACCTCGGGCGGTGATTAGACTATTCAGGTACGAGTATGCAGAACGCAATGCGAACGCTGTTACCCAAAACACCAAACTCGTTTGCCATAGATGATACGCATAGCAGCACTTACGTACATACGAGTACAAGTATGAGAGAGCTACCGAGACAAAGATTCACGTCAAGCTAAGATATGAACAGCCAGGGGCAGAGAGTAAGCGGGAAGTCTCTTCCTCACATGGCCGGTCAATACCGAGCCGACGCAGAAGCACGACTTTCATGCTCACTGTCCGTATCACGGGGGAGAAGCGGAACCCTAGGCAGATGAGTCACCGAACCGCCGTTCGCCGGAGAGCCCCATATCTTTGCGTACGGCATCACGACGACCCGGACGGAGCTTCTGTTCTTTATGGGGACCGAAGTTTCACGCTACCCTAGAGACACAAAGAAGAGAACAGAAATTGAAGTCCACACGGCGATGAGAGATACCGGAGCTTCTCGTTTTTGAAATACTGCAGCGCAACACTTGAACCATTTCCATCACCGCTTTGCTACTGTCCTTGTAAGCTTGTGTGGATAAACTAGAATTCTGAAACATGCTTGCACAAGGATGATAAGCGTATAAACTAAATCCACGGCGGTGAATCGACCTGACGGATCTTGATGGAGACTGAATGATCACGTCCTCCAATCACGGACTCTGCATATATTAAATCACGACACGGAAGATTTACAGAAGCTTCTTTCTTCAACCAGCGAAAATGGAGTTTCCAAACAGATGCTACGCGTTTGCCATGGGCAGCTACTGCAAGTGTCAAGCAAACGGGGCTTTGTCATGCCAATATCTCATGACGAAGAAGTCGGTGTAGTCAAAAGCCGAGAAGGAAAAGAAGCCGGCAGGCAACACACTTCCGGTGGCACACACGCACACACAGACACATGGGCAGATGCGACAAAGGGCCATCTTCCGTCATGTGGAATGACATCCCAAGGTTTCACCCGTGATCTTTGATCCATGGACTATACAAGTCATCCTTCCTGATACGGCGGCAAAGACAAGCGCCTGTTTGTTCATATGGACAAGATTCTCCGCAGCACAGATCACTCCTTGACTCTGAAAGGCGCACCAACGATGCGAGCACGGCCTGCGAGCACTCTGGGCAAACTTGGCATTCCTGAGGCTCAAACCCTTGCCCTCTCTCTCATAGGCAGCTGCATGCTTCTGCTGCAAGCATGCAGCGGGAAGCTGGGGTTGGATCGTGACCAGGCTGGTCTGTGGACGCCCGGTCGTCTCGCCTACGGCTTTGTCTGATGTGATAGGGTTGAACATGGGGGACCCGTTGCATCTCCAGACCGGCACCCGTCACCTATCGCCGTCTCTTCTCCCTTGGCCCTTCACCTGGACGCTCCGCAGAGCCATCCGCACGCATACGAATTGCATATGTACGCCGTGGGTTAGCATGTGCTCCGTACGGGCGCATGGCATGGCGCGTAGGAGCATCGACCGACTGCTCTCTTTGTCCGTGGTGGGCGCTACTGCTACTGAGCTTGGTGTCGTCGCTACGACGTCCGTTCCCGCTTTTGCCGGAGACGATTTCCCTTCAGATTTTTTTTCTCCCTAATTTCTTATTTTCAGTTTCTTTGTCTTGCTTGAGTTCCCGGCATCTCCCGCGAGTAGAAGAAGCTTAGAGCCGATTACACTGGCGGTGAAGAGCATCCCAAGCCTCTTTTAGTCCGGGGGTTAGTTCCCGAGTGGGCGTGAGCTTAGAGGAAAAACTTGGATGAGGATCGCGCACCGATTCATTGCCCTGCGCGTCAGGGAAGAGAAAATACAATACTAAAAAGGTAAATAAAAGTAAAAATCTTCGGGGTCTTCAGCGCAGGGATAATTTTTTCTAGTGTATTTTTATTTTATTTTATTTTCCTGTGAGGCGAAGGAAAAGTGCCTCATCGGCTATGCGAATGAGGGGGGTTCAAACGCCCTCGCTCCAACAATTACTAAGTTGGAATGCCCGCACGACGCACAGTTGGAGAGCGACGAAGGGCGATATCGTCTATTTATGGCGATGAAGGTGATCACGCCGCCCACCTGAAACTGATCATGTACGGCGAAGGGGGTTAGTGGCGATGTCGATGAGAGAGGCTGAGCTCGGAGCGTCTGTTGGTTAGCAAGTGGTGCAAAGTGACGATGGGGGCTTACGATACATGTACGAGCACACTCGCCTACAGTAGGCTGGCTGGGATTACCAAAGACTCCACTCGCAGGCCATTTGATGGCAACGGCTTCTGCAACTGGGCGAGGACAGGATTGCGGACTACCCGAGCCCTTTGTGTTGCTCGGAGGTGGATTGCCCGTGGTCGATGCCCTCGGAAGGTTTACTACTGCAGAGGCCAGGGTTTTGGATGCCCGCTTTGACAGGTATTTTGACTTTTTTTCTACCCTGGACGACAAGAGACCTCCCTTGTTGAAACAGCTGCAAGAGAGTTGCAGTTTCGGATTTGACCTGTGACAGGCTTGAGTGTGCCATTGCTCGAGCCGGCAGCTCCAGGATAGCACATGTACGTCTGTGAATAGCTCCATGTATTATGTGAAGAAACCTGGAGACAGTTAGTCGAGATGGGCCCTCTCTCTCAATCGCCACTGGGGGGGGGGGGGAAGGCCCGGCATTGCAGGGCCAAGCTGCAGAAAACCCTGCTTTTTCCATACGCACCTAGCAGGTGGTAGTTGGATGATAGTTGATAGATGGTGCATGAGACGCAAGATTAGGTGCTTCCGAGGCCTTGCTCGGACCACAATGGCGTCGAGTCCGTTTGGTCTGTGTACCGATTACCCTTGTGGCTCGGTGGGAAAGATTTCCCTTGTCTCTCTCTTCCCGGTTCTTTCTGTTTGTCCGCTGGGGTTGAAGAGGGAGAGGGTCGTATTGGCTATTTTGCCACTTTTTGATCTTCCTGGGTAAATTGGAGGGCGATTGGATATCGTGAGATGCAAAGTTGGGGCTTTTTGCATGGCTAGCCTATTCGATAGTGGGTAAGACTATCTGACGTCTGCACGAATGAGTGTGAGCCGTCAGGTTTTTTGGGAGGGTGTTGTGTTTAAGGGGATTGGTTGAGCCTTATGCGTTTTGTGTATGCGGCTGAACAGAGTTTTCCGAAGGAGTACATGAGAGATATATACTGTATGTTGTATATTCACTACGAGTGACAGGTAATGTGGATGGAACTTTGTATATAGGAGGTGTAATGTTTTTAAAAAAGATTGTGGAATGGAAGGAGTAAAAGGTAGACTAGATGAATTCATATGGGTGCTTTACAATAGGAGGGAATGTTGTACCATCTCAAGAGCCTTGGGTAAGGGCTGAGCGATGTTTCGAAGATAAATGACATAACTTGCTGCCAATAAATGACTGGATGTTCATAAGTCTGTTGTTTTCTGTCTTCAAAAGTAGTGAATACTATGGAGATGTAAGCTGCATAGGTAGTTCATGAACGTCAACACACTTTAATTTACCTGTGATAACCTTCTATTTTTCAAGATTTTCATGTTAGTATTGAACCTTCAATGTGTTTTGTTTGCATTCGTCGTACCATTGACGTAGATGACTCTGCGATATCATTTGCTTGGCGATGAGATCGATGCCTTTCTGAGCAACATCTTAATCCTGTATGGTGAATGGACTTCCATTGACTCATCATCCCAATAAAACAGACGATGCTCATGGTATAAGTAGTCAAAAGGTCATTACAGAAGAATGAAGCAAACGAAGCATAAAAGTAAGGGTTGAGAGGTTTCGCTGGAGTAGGTCCCTTTCTTGAAACGAACGTCGACCTGATGGTAAAATGAGATCCGGTAAACCATGACGCTAGGAACTGAAGAGAATGAAACAATAGATGAACAAAGGGTTCCAATGTTAACCGTGAGTGGCACTCTCAAGAGATCCTGATCTCACTTGGACTCTTTGACCTCCTTTCTACCTACGAACAGTTTCATAATGAGTATAGATAGGGCGTAGTTCTGTTTATAGTTATAGTAGTAAACACTAAAATATACAACTACAGTAGCAGTTACTAAGGGTATATATATATAGTAGCTGTTATTAAAGAAGTGTAGATGTAGTAGTAAATACTGGAGGAGATATAGCTATAGTAGCAGATACTTAAAGAATAGGTATATAATTTAACGCTTGGGGTCTCGTAATCTTCTCGGTCTCAGGTTTTCTGTCCCCCGCTCCGACTCTTACCAATACCTCCAAGAACGTTGGGAGCCAAGCAGAAGTATGATAGAAAGTGAGATAAACAAAGAGCTTGTAGGTATATCTGCGCTGGTATTGTTAAATTGTGCTGAACCTGACTTGTGATCTGGGGCTTGTGTGGCTCTGCATCTGCAACGTGAAAGCATCATGTGTCAAATTCCGGCCGAACAAGATATACGGGAGTCGATATTACATGCTATGATTGCTGCTTTCATGTTTCGATGCAGCCTCTCTATGTCATATATAATAGCAAACTTTCTTTTTTATTGCTCTTGCGCTCGAAACAGCCATTTATTATTTTGTGATTACATGCACCCTAAAAGAACAAAATGCTTCTCATCTATCTGTCTTTTAATAATGGCACCTGCATTCCGGAGTAAACATAAAACCAATCTCATACCAAATCCGCAAATCTTGTCAAAGAAACCAGTTTACTGCGCGACGCCTGCAAGCTGAATCAATCGCTCACCAGCCCGGATGCTGGCATACTCGTAGACCTTGGACTCGGGGGGAAACGTTCCGTTGGCCGCCCAGAGGTCGATCAATGGCTGCATTGGCTCCAGCTCCTGCTTCCCCAGCATGTCCAGCGCAGTGGCCGTTAGCAAGAAGTGTGAGAAACAGCTGTTGAGCTGCTTCTCCAAGTTGAGGTGGTAGTAAGGCTCTGAGAAGTGAGCCCAGTAAAGGTGGGCGTAGACTCTGAACATTTGGCGGAAGATCATCTGGCAGATGTCAATGAACTTGTCCGGGAAGCCAGATCGCTTGCCGACCCAGTCAGCCTCGCCTGGGTTGGTGAGCTGTGAGAGTGGCGTCGACGACATGGCGGAATTGTGAGAGTAGGAGACGCCGGAAGGGTCAGTTGGGAAGATGGCGGTGTCGTCGGTCTTGCCGGTGATCCATCGCTGCATGAGTGTCATGTACTCATGAGCTGGCAGTTCAACTGGCTCACGACGACTGTTGAGCCAAGTGAAGGAGTGGTTGCTAGCGGCTGGTGTGAGCATAACGAAAGATGAGTTTGAGGTGAAGAGCAAGGTCGTTTACTTACGCTCCTGCGGACATGCGAGGGCAAGTTGTTGGGTTGCAGATGGTGTTTCCGTTCTCCTCCTTGGCGTGGACCACCTGAACGAAATTCCAGAGGTTGCGATAGTGCTCGACAACTACGCCATATCGGTCAGCAATGGATGAGGACCAAAGGTTGACTACGTGGGAGACTAACCTTGATGAGCAACCCACTCCCCCTGCTCAACCGTCTTTGGTCGAGCGCTCAGGGTCATGAAATTTCCCTTGACAATGTGCTTTGCGCAATGTGAGTTGAGCCACAGCGGAAGCGGCCGCGGGAGGTGGTAGGAGTTGATGATATCATCGCCGCTGGGGGCACCCGAATCAGCCATTCTAGCGGGTTGGGCGGGAGAAGTTGGGGTAGAAGAAGAAGGAGTTCTCTGAGGTAAGTTGGCTGAAGGTATCTTGGGAGATGAGGCGACGTCGGAGGAGGGATGCAGGGGGGGCTGGGCACTTTGTGATGGGGATGGGCTTTTGGGCCCGCCTCGGAGACGAGCGTTGCTAAAATTGAAGCCTGGTTAGCGGAAAGGCATATATTATAGGTGATAGATGACGGTAGATGCAAAGCACAGTACAGCAGGTCAAGAGAGAGATGTGATGAGATGGTGCAGTGAATAGCGGAGTCCTCGTAGAGATTCGAGTCCCGTAGAGACAACGTGGGCTTCGCTTAAAGCGTGTCTAGCGTTGTCGAATGAGGCTTAAGTTGAGACGAAATGCCGAAGCATGCAGGGACTGAGGGTGCCTTTTATAAATAGAAAACAAGAGGGAAAGGGGTAACGAAAGAGGAAATAGATGAATGAGGATCAGGGGTGGAGATTTGGTCTTGTTGTCTTTGGTGGTCTGCTGGGAGCATATATAATTGCTGCGGGATGCATCTAGGACGTGTCGACTCGACAGCTCTCAAAGCTCAGCTATCGACAGCCGCTCCGTAACAGTACTTGGCATTGATGAGACGTGGGAATAGGGACTCATATTGAATTCCTGTCTGATGAAACGAGCCGGACAGGCAATGCCGATGGAGCAGCTCAGATGATGGGCTGTCATTTGGATATCGATAATGCCCAAAAGTGGCACCTTGGGAGCTCCTCAGTCCAGGGTGCCCAGCCAGACTGTCTCAAGCCATTGAACGCATCTGAGCAGTGCGAGACAGACGCCCAAGAGCCGAGAGATTTGCCATGACGAGTGTTTTCCAGTGGCATTCCAGGGCGGTTGGAATTCGACTGCGATGACGATGATATTTGGGATATCAAGTGTGAACGGCGGCTCGAGACACTTGCCCCTCACCGCTGGGAGACGCTGTTTCAGGACCCCCTCCCTCAATGAAGCCTAATCAGGTAGTTTTCTCAACAAGGCAAATGCAACAGCTGTGCTGCGTTACCGTTGGAGTCTCTCCCGGAAGAAGACAACGTTGAAAATAGGACAGACGACGAGAAAGCAAACCGACAAGCAAAGAAACAGCCCGAATTCGACGGCCTCACTTACATCCCAGAAAAGAGGTTGGACATTGTAAAAAGGCGGGGTGCGAAAGGGCGGGTGCAGCAAACAGATGGACTGCAGACGGGGCTCCAGCCTTGTCACGGGATCCTATGCAGGCAGAAGATAGGGGTGCAGAATGGCTGGTCCAGGGCTGAGAGGCATGTGCTCGTTACCGCACCTTGTCTGTTTCTATTGGGATTGCTTTCTTGAAGGGATAAGGTGAGGATGAGCTGTTAAAAATGCTACAAAGGACCAGCGTCGAACGGGATGTTGGTCCCAGCACGGAGTTTTAGACTAGCACGAGTTACTTACGACGACTTTTGCGAGGCCGTTGCAATACTGTACAGTACTATAAGGAAAACTGGACGGGCGCTATTACAAAGTACAAAAGTCATGTACGGAGCCTCGCGGGGATTGGCACGGGGGGAGTTAGTGCCGTTTGGATCGAGTAATGAGGAACAATCTCGCTTTTCCCTTGGCTAGTAGGAGCCATGGCTTAGGCGTTGTGGAGGTTTCAGGTCAGCCATTAGCGGCGCGTTTGGGGACTTTTGAAGCCTATAGCTGCTGTGTATTTTGGGCGGTCGTTTTGACAAAGTGATTGTGAGAGGAAAGATGTGGATTGTTGGACGAAGCGAATAGGATGAATATAATCCATTGGTTGACTCTTTCAATAGGTGGCAGTTGAAAAGAGATGCTTCTGAAACCCAACATCAACATCACATGCAATCAATCGTCACTCAACGCTCAGGTTTTGGCACTGACCGATGCCTCTTCTCCATAACTAGCTTTGCAAAATTTGCGATTAGCTATATTAAAACCCATTTACACACACAAAATGGCGCCATCTTTGAATTCTACTGGATCAGCCTACCTACAGCATCAAAGGTTTAGCCTTGTAGATGTGCAGCGTCAAGGCTGGTCTCGATACCCAGAAGAGAGGCCCAACTAGGCGCAAAATCTGACTAAGCAATCAAGCCAGCCAATCGTGCCTCGTGCTCCGCTGCCCAAATCGCAGGTGTGGCTGAGCACAATGCATCAGCCACAAACGCCGAGCTGCTCGAATTGAGACCGCGCTCTGCAAACGTGCCTCGCGCAGCAGATTTCGAAATCGCAGTGTCGCCAATATACCCATCCCGGCGCATCAGTTATTCGCCCCATTGGTGCACTGAGGCTCTCTCCTGCGCATACAAGGTCTCGCAATAACTCTTTCTTAGCCCAGTCATTCGCAGCAGCACACAATGTCCGATTCGGAGGATCCCCTTGACGCCATCGACGAGGGCGGCGATGACCTTTTCGGCGACGAGGGCGATGAGGTGGACGCCTCTCCCCAGGCGCGCATTCTAGACGACGATGATCTCGCCTCAGACCCCGAAGCGTATGGCGATGCCGAGCCGCGAGAGTATGATGGGAGCCAGTCACGACAGGAAACCAAGGATAGAATCGTCATGGCCGTGCAAGCATATCGCCATCGCATCCCCAAACCGTCCGACGACTCGGTAAGTTCTTTGCAAGCAGTCAGACTTTTGTTTGAATATGAAAATGCTTACAGATGGGCCAGCTTCGTGTGATGCGAGTTCCGAAATTCGTCAGGTTTCTCCCCGAACCATACGAAGAAGAGACCTTCCAACCCTCCGCGTTCGATCTCGAAAATGCAAAGGCAGAGCACCCAAAACATGTCGTCCGGGTCCGCAGAGATGCAAGCACAAACGAACTGAAAAGCAATACAAACATCTACCGGTGGAGCGATGGTTCTGTTACCATTTCCATCGCCGGCGAACACTACGAGATCAACAAGAAGGGGTTGGCCCCAGGCCCCGGACAGCCTTACGATGAATTGAAGGATGGCCATTACTATGCTGCCGCTGCTGAATTAAGCAGCAATCTATTGATGACTGTGGGACACTTGTCAGAGCAGTACACAATCAAACCAAACAAGGCTGTTGGAGACAACGCCCTGTCCGTTTTGGCGGAGAGAATGGCTCTGGCCAGCAAGTCTTCGGCCGGCGGCGAGATGATTATCAAGACAGTGGTCGATCCCGAGTTACAGAAGAAGCAAGCCGAGCTGGCCGAAAAGGAGCGGATGAAGGCACAACGAAAGCGCGACAATGCTGTGGCCAAGATGGATGGTGGAGTGGGACGATCCGGTCGTGGTGGGCTGTCAATTGGTGGTCTGGAGGGCGCCAGGTCTGGAGCAGCCCGGAAGAGGGGAGCGCCTGGCTCTGCGCGGCCCAAGAGACGGCGTCCAGAGTATGACTCTGATGACGACTTGCCCCAGGGTGTCTCGCGACATGAAGACTACGACTTGGACGATGGCTTCCTGGTGGGCAGCGATGAAGAGGAAATGGAGAGCGGTGTCGATGATGACGAGGAGGAAGATATTCTGGACGATGAGGATGAGGCCCCACGATCCAAGAGGCAGCGGACCAAGGAGCCGGAGGATGATGAAGACGCGGAGGGAGATGAAGTGGAACCCATGGAGACGAGTGGCAGATCGGGCAGACGGCGAAACGTGATTGACGACGACGATGAATAGGAGGGCGTTTTCAGGAAGAGATTCACACGAGGAAGACGAGAGCCATTGCTTCCGCCAAGCCTCCACTATATTGTAAACTAGTAATTTACCAGCTGGGTAGTCTGATATTGGGACAAAAGATACAAAAGGGAGACGCTGGAGTAAACTTGCATTTGATAGGGATTTTGAACAATATTCTCCAACATGCTAGTACGTACCATTGATTGATGGGCGACATATCAGTCTGTCCAAATCGAACGATTGCGACGATACTGTGCTCTGATATTACTGACTCTCTGGGTAAGCCAGCAGCTAGGCTGCTCCGTGATTTACGAGTTGAGACAGTGAATAATATGGAAGACGCTCCCCAATGCCGTTTCGATCCAGGCACTTATTAGCGGTGGCAAGGCAGCCCCAGTCAAAAACGTTGAGAGGAAATGTGGTCCCTACGATGCCTCCACTCTGGATGAGAGAATGCCTGACAAGGGGAAATTGTTCTTGAGGTGAAGAGGCTGAAGGAGTTGTAATTCCAGCTGGATAATACACACGGTAAACGAATTTAGTTGGATTGTATTGTCGCCTTGATGCATGTTGCTGTTACATGTCTATCGATAATGCGCCTGCATTGGTGCTAGACTCTGACTCTCCCCCTGTCAATGCATCCGCGCATGTCAATGTTCTAGGCCGAGAAATGTGGCGCTGTGGCGCGGTGATCTCATACTTTGTGCTCCTCAACCATCACATGCTCGTCCTTTTAATTAGCGGCCAGGCCGTGGGAAAACGGCAAAAGGAACGCCGGAAATGTCATCAATTGCCGTGGTGCTGGCCAGGGCATTGCTGCAGATCACCAGACAACAACAAACACGGCGCGATTGAGCTGATTTGCAGTGTACATCATCGATTGCTCTGTCGATCCGATCTCGATCACGGGATTACAGCTACAACTACAGAGTTCGGCTTACGATGCTTGTCCTCGGCGCGCTGCAAACTCACTGAACTCTCGACTGAACCGAGACGAACCGACCCACTGCTTACACGCAACGTGTAACGTGCACCGACCGACGGCGGCGGTGACAGCGACAGCGACAGCGTAATAGCGATAGCTACAGCTACAACAGCTACAGCTACAGCAGAGCTGCCCCCGTGAGATGGTCTGGAGCGTCATCAGTCGTTCCTCGGCGTAACCGTAACCATGGGGCTCGTGCTGGCTGTCTGTAGGGTGGTGGTGGACGTGGCTACTTTCTGGCGCAAGGTAACGGCGCTCTCGTTGATGCTCCCCATCGCCATGATCGTCTTTCTGACGCCCTTGAAGAAGCTCCTGAGCTGGTACACGCGCAAGAACCCCGTCAAGCTGTGGCTTGAGCTGCTGCGCAATGCAGAGACGTTTGAGGAGTGGGAAGAGGCGGCGCTCCATCTCGACAACCTCTTGGGGCTCGATCTATGGTATGCAGATGAATTAGCCCGTCTTTATCCATGCACCTGATAATCGTACTCACCATTGCTGTCTCTGAATAGGAGGAATAATCCAACGTCAAAATACTACGACTGGGCGCTCATAACAGAGCGGCTAGACTCGCTCATCATCGCACGAGAAGAAAACAACTACGAGCAGCTCGTCAACCTGCTCCGGTCGGGCCTCGTGCGCAACCTCGGCAACATTGCCGTACCAAAACTATACAACCGATCCTTTTCTGGGACCAAATACTTGATCGAAGAATACATTGCTCAGGTGGCCGAGTCGGTCGAGGACATCAGCGCCCTTCCGACGAGTGCTGCTTCGAGCTTGCATCCGAACGAAAAGGCGTTGACGAACCAGATGAAGTTGGACTTTATTCACGACACGAGGCAAGCGTTTGGGCGGACTACTCTGGTCCTTCAAGGTGGTGCAATCTTCGGTCTGTGCCATCTCGGAGTAGTCAAGGCACTGTTTCTTAGAGGCTTGCTCCCGCGAATCATCACGGGCACGGCAACTGGTGCATTGATCGCTGCGCTGGTGGCAATACATACAGAGGAAGAGCTTCCAGGCGTTCTTCGGGGTGACGGTATCGATCTCAGTGCCTTTGCGTCCAAGGGGACCACAGAGGATGGTCAAATCCCTGCTGAGCAATCTCTGAAGTCAAGATGGGAGACTCTCTTGAGGAGAATTCGTCGGTTCTCGCGAGAGGGTTACTTCCTGGATGTCACCGTGCTCGAGGAGTGTGTTAGGGCAAATGTTGGTGACTTGACATTTGAGGAGGCATACAACCGCAGCAAGAGAGTACTTAACATAACGGTGGCTACGGATGGTCAGGGGGCAGGGGTACCAACTCTTCTAAACTACATCACCGCCCCGAACGTGGTATGTGATAACTAACGAACCCCCATAAATCTACTGTTACTGTGCTGACGTTGATAATGACAGTTGATTTGGACGGCTGCAGTCGCCTCCAATGCCTCCTCCCCATCTCTATATGGTCGCTCCAAAGCTACAATCTTGTGTAAGGATGCTCACGGCAACATTGTTCCATGGGCCCCGGCAAACACGACCGACTTCCGTCATTGGACGCATGCTTCCTACACAGACCGCGACTCTCCCCTTCGGCGAATCGCCGAGCTCTTCAACGTGAACCACTTTATCGTCAGCCAGGCAAGGCCTTATCTTATTCCCTTCTTACAGTCCGACATGCATGGACCGTCTTTGCTGGAGACCCGAAGCAAGTCCACACAACTCTCGGCTTTCCTCGTTCGAGTGGTGGGACTCGAAATCAGACATCGTCTGCGGCAACTGGATTCGCTTCGTCTCCTACCGGCAAGCATTCGCCGTTTTCTTGTTGACGAGCAAGTGCCGGCAGCATCGATGACGTTGGTCCCAGAGGTGACTGCTGGCGATTTCGTTCGCCTGCTTGAGACGCCCACGCGGGATACCTTGAACTACTGGATATTACGCGGCGAGAGGAGCGTGTGGCCGGCGTTGGCGGCTCTGAGGATACGGTGTGCTGTAGAAAACGAACTGGATCGATCATACCAGGTGGTGCGGAAACTCAAAGCAGGAGACCTGCGGCGCAAGGGAAGCATGGCGGCGTTTGTTGACAATGGGCGTTAGGATGGCAACGGATAACTTTGGGATAATACCGACTTTTACTTTTCTTCTTCTTCTCTTGTATCTTTAGTATATACCTTGTTATGGCATCATCTTTAATGTGGATTTAGGAAGGTTTACAGGGGGGGTTTATCAGGTAGGCGCCGAATCGTATATAAGCCATTTTAATCGGGGATTTTTGCCATCTACGGCCAGAGTGAAGGCCATAACTCGGAGACTTCCTTGATAAGAGACGTATCTTGGCCTGGACTGTATAAATAGGAGCTACACTGGCCCTGATTTCTGCCGTCCATCTTATTTCATTTCTATATATGCACCTCACTTGAAGATTAAATTGTGTTTACAGTGAATTACAAGCGACCCGAATTTCACCTTGGGCTCTCCCCGACATTGACGCCACACTCATTCACCCCCTTTATCAACACATTTGCTTCCTTTTCTGCTGGAAAATCTCTATTACTTTTCATTTTATTTTTGGACATAACGATTACCATTTCCAACGATACATTTCTTGCTACACACTCGCCTGCGCCATGTCGTCCGCTTCTGGAAACGATGAGGCTAAACGGCCCGTGGCCTCTTTCATCTTCTTACCTGACACGAGATCCTCGGGAACAAAGCTACTGTACGAAATCCAACAAGCGTTTAAGCCAAAGACGTTGGCAGACATTTTGGGGCCCGCGAGATCCGTCATGCTTGACCCGCCGTTTTACGACCCTCGGGAGCCAGGCAAATTCTATGACCCTGCTCTTGCAAGGCGCTGGTTCTTCACTGACAACCCGATCGGCGCCGACGAGACAGCAACTGAGAGCCAATGGAAGAATCTTAGTTGTTGTATCAGCGAGATCAAGGTGAAGGTCTGGCAAGAGGCTAACATAGTCGGTCGAGAAAACGTTTTCCTTGTGGGGTTTGGAATAGGATTCGCGGTTGCGACGGCGTTTCTCTTGCAGATGGAAGAGCCCATTGGGGGCCTTTTCGGCGTTTATCCAGTGATGCCATTTCACGTGGATCTGAAATACATTGCTCTAGATGGACAGACTAAGGCAGTGGTGAACTCTTGGCCGACGATGTCAGATGAGGATGAGACCAGATCTGAAGCCTCGGCTGGGACTCTTGATTTCGATCACGGTAACGAACAGACTCACGAAGCGAGACGCGCGCGAGTGATGGGATTCTTCCAGTATGTCGCGTCTTTTTGGGAAGCGCCGACTCAAAAGAGATACTGCGATCGTTTAGACGCTTCTACACCGGTGATATTGCTCCACGGCATGGACGATGAGCAGATTCCCTTTACGTACGCAAAGGAGGCCGCGCAAACGTTTTGGAATCTTGGGTACAAAGCCACGCTGGATTACAAGGAGGGAGAGGGCCATGGTCTGTCTCGGAACATGATTGGGGAGATTATTCACCATTTCATGAAGCACGGAATGGGGAAGGAAGAGGTGAGGGCGCATTTTGCCAATCTTCTTTGGGATGGAGCTTTTACTCCTCCAGAGGTGATAAAGAGGCCTAAGAGAGAGGATTCTGAGTAGACGGCGGGAAAGGGGGGGTTATTGCTTCGAGTTGCTTAAGAGAAAGGATTGTTTTATGGTCAAGTATGAGCTTGAGGAAGGAAATGGCGTTGGATCTTTGGAACGATTGACGATTTTGCGTTGTATGGGTGAAGTATCTAAATATACATGCATTAGCTGTGGCTCATTGTTACACATAGATAGTCTGGAAATCTTACAAACATTGCTGAATCGGTTTGGCTAAGATGGAAGAAGTTATCACTGGCTGTTCGTCGTTCCAGTCAAACAACTGCCCAGGTGGTTTATGGGTACATGTAGGTAAGGGGGGTGCACCAAAGCTAGCATATAACTTTAACGCCCCCTCGTTAAAGCCAAAACCGGACGATGCTGAACTCAAAGTCGATGAGATTGTGATCGTACATGATGCAAATTTAACTAATGCCTACTCCACTAGATGACTCATATATCTTGCAACATTTTACTTCTGTAGTATCAAGGTTGATAAGAGGCGATGGCACTATGGCTTTGGTGGCTTCTATATGCTTTGCTATCCGATCACAGCCATATACAAAGACAAGTTGATGCTCATGGAAGAACGTAGCCCCCGTCGATGAGAACATCACTACCAGTCATGTATGTCGATGCATCACTAGCAAGATACAGATACAAGGCCTTGATTTCCTTGACATGGCCTTGTCTGCCGAGCGCAGCCATCCGATACGCCTCATTGATGGCCAAAGGATTGGCACCCATCTTGGTGTCGAAGAACCCAGGCGACACTATGTTGACTCTGGCAAAGTCTCGCCACTCACGGGCTAGAGACTTTCCAAAGTGCGTGACAAAGGCCTTGGTGGCGTTGTACACTGGCTGGTCCACGGGCACGTTGACAATGTGGCCGCTCATGCTGGACGTGATGATGAAGTTGCCGAAGCCCTGACTTTTGAAGATTTCGCCGGCGTACTTGGAGCAGAAGACTACGCCGTCCACTGCTTAGATGGTAAGCATGGCGTTGCAATGTTTTGATTGGGGAAGAGGATCGGCATACAGACCATTTACGGACATTTGCTTGCGATATTCGTCTAGCGTCTGCTCTAGAATGGGTCGCGAGATTGCCATGCCTTTGAAAGTGTCAGCATTGATGCTTCTCGCAGCAACATTGGTAGGCCATTCACTCACCCGCGTTTGCAACGAAGACATCAATCTTGCCAAAGTCTTGGACTACTTTGGCAATGTTTCGGCTCACCTGTTCGGCTCACCTGTTCGGCTTGAGAGACTGTTGAATAAGTTAGCATCCTCTGGGAGCTCCAATAGTAGACACACTGCTACTTACTGTCGACTTGATATGCGGCGGCTTTGACCTTGTAAGTCTCGCCAAGGCTCTTTGCTTTCTCCACGGCCGCATCGTTCCTTAGTACCAGTGTAAGCCCGCTGTATCGTGGATAGGCATGATAATCTTGGGGAGCTCATCGTACGAATTATACCACAGAGCAACGTTTGCACCCGCCTCCGCCATCGCCTCAGTCACAGCAAGACCAATGCCATCTGCTGCTCCAGTAACAATGACGACCTTGTCTCTCATCTGAAACTGTTCAAACACCTTCCCCGACGTCTCTGGGACCGGCCGCGGGAACCCGGGCGGGACCTTGGTACAGTCTTCGGTTGTCATGGACATGTTGAAGCAGTTGATATGAATGAATCTAAAGCATCTCATCCCATGAAGCAACCCCTCAACGGGGTCTTGAATACGGCATTCGGAAGACCCACCCCGCCCCGGGTGGCTGTGGGCCGATCGACGGACAGATCGAAGCTAGAACTTGACTGTTGGGCAAGAGATGGCTTCGTAACGGAAATAGTAGGCAATAACAGATATTTGTTATGATAAAAACCATGGGAGGAAGTAAAAGTCATACGGCCAGTGGCACCTTCTTCAGTAATAGTCATCAACCGAACCGCTTCTACCAGAATCAGCGACTTTTTTTCTTTTAGAGAAAACCGACTGCAGCGATGAATGACACTTCATCAGATGATAATCCTGGGAAGGTTCTAAAACGGGCCGGAAAGCTCTCTAAACTCGGTTTAGTAAACGCATTCAAGATAGCAGAGTGGTCTTCATAAGACGTCTTTTGTTATATATTAATGTGTAGACAACGGTTAGCAACGACACTGAAAAACTTCTTGTCAGCTCAACTTCAACCAACCCGGAGCATCATGATAGTCGATTGATCCAAGCGGACTAACTTTGAATCACTTCTAATCTCGCTTTGCCTGCCCACAAGGTCCACATCCACACACCGACTACTATGAGAACATCAACAAAACTAAAGACAAGACTGCCTCCAAATATGAGGCTATGGTATGTCCATGCATTTCCCTCATCCAAATGAACAACCTGACACACTATCGCCCACGGTAGGACATACAACAAGTTGCTTGCTAAGCTCTGATACAGGTACCACTTGGGTCTGGTTGCTTGCAAAATGGTCGCAAGCTGCGTCGACATTGCATAGAAGATGTAGCACCAGTCAATGGTCCGCCACATGTGCGCAGTAACATCGGCAACTTGACTCGATCCGCTGATATAAAGTGCAAACGGCCGGGCGCCAAATGCCGAAAGGAAAATGGCGATGGGGACTTCGACGAGGAGAGCTATCACAAGTGATCGTAGAGCAGGGCTAATGAGACTGAAAATCTCTTTCCAACCTGCCTTTGGCCTCCGGTTGTTGACTCCGATCAGTTGTCGCCACTGTCCCCATTTATGGCCGATGAATTGAAGAGATGTTGCCTCGAGGGCTTGTACAGGAACCATGACCAGTCCCCAGCGGATGGTGTTGAAGACTCCCCAGGCAGTGGCGTAGACTGATCCTAAAGAAACAACGGTGGTAACGAGCCAAAGGTATAATGCATTTCTGATGGCCGACTCGGCGAAGAAGATGAGTCCAGGCTTTAGTAAAACGCGCAGTCCTCGGAGCGTTGGCGAGAGTGACCTGTTGCTCCTTGTAACGTGGTCGTCGAGTGGGAACTGACTACCTGTATGCTTCCGCCACGTAGAAAAGCTCACGAAATAGAGAAAATAGGCCAATCCTGCCAATGCGGCAGTCAGGTTACAGACCAGTTGAATGATCCCCTGCATATTGACTGTTGGCTTGAACGAGCCGACATGATAGCGAGAGATGATCAATAAATCCAAGATTATATTGACGGCAAACTTGATGGAGCTGATGACCAGCGGTACATCAGGCTTATCCAACGCTCTCGTTGCCGATGCGACAGCTGTCTCAATCGCGCCGCTCAAGACCGTGAACGAAGTGATGCGCACATACGTCAAGCTGGCCGCCCGAACTTCCTCTGGCACAAAGCTGTCGGCGAACTTTGGGGCAGCGCCGAGAAATATTACGCTTAAGAGGAATCCCACCAGCGACTGGAACGCAATCAGAGTATGGGTCAGCTGGAGGCGCTCAGAAAGGCTTCGAGATGCCTCGTCTCCAATGATGACCCAGGCGGCTCTTGGGAGGCCCTCGTTGACGGCCTCGGAAGCGGTGTTCATGTAGGTGAAGGCGTCTGTTGTTACGACCATTGAAGAATCGATGTTGGCGACCCAGAGCTTTGAGAGCGTTCCATAGAGGGCGGGGAGGATGAAGGCTGCGACGTTGAAAAGGAGAGATCCATAGTAGCGATCACGATGCAAGGCCCGCTTCCAAGAGCTCTTGTCAATAGCGATGAGCTCTGAGTTGATGGGCGCCGAAGAGCTTAACGCATCGGTTTCATGGCTCTCGGGAGTGGGATCTCGACTTGGGCTGGACATTGCCTTTTGCATATTGAAGTCATTCAGTTCATGAGGATAAATGTCAGGCAAGGCTTGACAGTGCTAAAGAAGATGTAATCTCGTTCTATTACACCCCGACTTTGTGGCTTTTTATATTCACATGGATGGGAGTTTATCGCGCGGGGTAACATTGAGGTTTACGAGTAGTCGTATTACTATATTGACTTTTCTCTCTGATGGTGGCGTTGATGTGCTCCCGTTCTGAGGCTGATTGGTGGGACAAGACCGAAAGTGCTTGCAACCGGGTTGTAGGCCGCCCACGCCATGGACACGGAAACTATCTACAAGCGGCCTAGGCTCTTGGCTTTATACAAGTTTGTGTTAGTCTCATATGATTCATGTTGTTTGCTTTCTTCATTGGGGGGTTGTGGCTCGGTTCGTCCATGGTGCGCCTGTGATTGTGATATAGTATTGCTGCTGGAACAGATGAGCTGGTATGAGTAGACTTGAGTGACACAGCGCTTGAGATCCGCTTCGACCATCTAACCAAGTAGAGCTGAGTTGCTGAAGGACTTGTAAGACAACAACTTAGATATCGGTAATATTAGATATTAGATCTTGAAGTTAGCGAAGAATAGGACGACACCAAAGCATTCCATGGGTTGAGACTCCGGATTAGTATTGTAGGGCAGAACTTGCGTATAGACCCTATTAATATGCTGGTCTTCTGGCCTGTTTAAGCTAGTGCTCACTAAACACATAAACAACTGTGGCCGTCGCCGTGCTTTGAACCAGGAATTGACTCAAGGCTGCTAGCAAATAATCGTATTTCTCTACCCATCAAGTACTTCTCTATTTGCAAATGGAACTGCATACACTTTATCCAAGGACACCCCTCAGAGATGGAGACATTCGCCTTCTCACTATCCTCCCCGATGAATGGGCGGCTGATATCCACTGCAAGATCAGCGTGGTCTCCCTCAACGATACCCCAAAGTATGTTACTCTCTCATACGTTTGGGGACCACCCTTTCAAGATGGTACCTTGCGCATCAACGGCCATGAACAACGTATCGGACGCAGCCTAGAGACCTCTCTTCGCTACTATCGCCGAGCTAGATGGAGCATGCCGCTTTGGGCCGATGCTGTCTGCATTAATCAGGCAGATGTAGCAGAGCGCTCTTCTCAAGTATCGATCATGGATCGTATCTACTCGTCTGCTACTACAGTATTTGTCGTTCTTGGAGCTGGTATCAATTTGGATGCCGACGATTATTTCGCAAAAGTGAAAGGGTTGCACAGATTTCGCTTCAGTGTCTACGGTCAGAAATATTTCGAAGCAGTTTCGCCGCCTGCATGGGACGAAAGCAACCCTAAAAGGGCTCCTGATGATGATCAAAAGAGCTCGATTCTTTTTTCCTTCCTAGAAAGAGCTGTCAGCTTAAAGATCAATGACCATCTGAGCACTGTGCCACAATGGGGAGGGACATTTGAAGGATCAGAAGAGTCGCAATATGCCTGGCAAACGCTGATCCAAACGTTTGAAGAATTCACTCAGGAATCATGGTGGGATCGCGTATGGACCCTACAAGAGAGCGTAGTTGGCTCTTCGCCTATATTCATCTACCGAACGACCGCAGTGCCATGGGCCATGATAAAGGAGGCGACTATCAGCATGGGCGCTCATATAACCGACTGCTGCGCCTCATATTTAGCCAATGATGCTCCACCAAGATATGCCTCTGCTGTGAAGCTTCTGATTGCCCACGTTGACAACATCGAGAAGACACGGCGAATATACGCAAAGCTCCGCCATGGAATCAAAAGTGATCAGCTTGTGCTGGCATCGCTCGTCCCTAAAAAGGATTTTGAGGGATCAGTAGCGGTTGAGATCACCGGGAATCTTGACTCATACCTCCTCTACAGATATCTCTGCGTGCATAATAAACGAGATGCCACTGATGCTCGGGATAAAGTCTATGCTCTTCTGCCTCTCATAAAACTTGGGAACAGCCCCTCTTTCATTTATCCTGACTATGGTAAGGGGCTGGAAGATGTCTACATCAACACAGCAAGGATGCTTGTTCAAGAATCTGGCTCACTTGACATCTTGTCTGCAGCAGGTCGGTTGCGAAATGACGAATTCCCTTCCTGGGTGCCAGACTGGTCTATCAGGAATGAGTCTAATGATGATGAAATTCAGATAAACGCCTTGTTGATGTATGATGCTGCTTTTGGAACAAAAGCCTCAGTCAGGTTTCCAGAGAACAACAACACACTACTCGAGGTGGAAGGCATCATCCTAGACGATGTCGCAGTTCTTGGTGATGCGGTCTCAGAAAGGTCTACTGATGAGGAGATGTGGCAAACCATCTTCCACTGGATGCAACTTGCTCATAGTCATTCCCCAAACACGAAATGGGCGGACTTTTGCAGGGCTATCTGCACCGACTTGAGCATATGGCCCGGAGACCAGGTTTTTCGTCGCCTAGGTCCTCTCACCAAAGAAATGATCCAATCTCTGATGCCGTGGCGAGACCCAATCTCTGGGAGACTTACTAGAGATGTGCCTCCAGAGGATCTTCTACAATCATCAGTGGAACAAATGAAGACTTGGTTTTCGGTTTGGCACACTCTTATGGGGTGGCAGGCGCAGCGAGGCATGAGGTCTGCAGCACCATCCCCAACGTTGACAGACTCTTTAAAAACCACCACCTTTCTCAAAAGATTTGTAGTGTCATCAAAGGGATATATTGGGCTTGTCCCATATAATTCAGATAAGGGCGATCACATCGTTTTCTTCAAGGGTTGTCATTTTCCGTGCGCAGCGCGACTGGTTCCTAGGTTAGATGAGAAGATGAAACGGCTCAAGGTGGTTGGAGCCTGTTACATTGACGGTTTTATGGATGGAAAGATCAATGCCCATATAACAGAGAGAGGAACTGGTGCTCACAGTGACTGGGAGACTATGACTTTATGCTGAAAATCATGATGTATTTTTTATGGGCTAAAGACGTGTGCATATACATAGGGTTCTCTGTAATGATAGTCGTTGTCTGTACAATTCAAGGCTGTCTACAATATTATCACTAGACCTTTCAGAGTCCTAGCTTTCTCTTCTAGATAGCGAGATACGAGATAGATAATCTGGGAGCCCGGCACTTGGATCAGCTGGAATTTCCGGGGATCGTCGTGTGAGCCATTTCCCGAGGACTTGAATGAAATATCCTCTGCCCCAAGATAAATCGAGAATCGGCAGACTGCTGATGCATTTCCGCCTCCATTTGTTGCTGCTGCAAGAGCGTTGGGATATTTACTAGACAACGAAGCATTAATATCTGCACCACAGTCAATCAAAGCTGGCAAATCTTGTAGTAGCCTTCCGATGCTGCTACCGTCAAAGCGCTGTCGTATTTGCCGACTTCAATTCAAGTTGCCCCGTGTTCCATCGGTAACTAGCAAATTTCTCCGTTCCCTTGCCGTGCTGCTGCTACCAGGGCACTGCTATAATCTCCGGCCTCACCCAAGAGGTCCACGTCCGTGCCGTTTCTGAGAAGAAGCTTCGCCATCTCGATGTTTCCATCATAGGCAGCATGTTCCAAGGCGTAGGTAAATTTGCATGGTGAACCGCATCCAGTAGATTTCCAGTCACTTTGAGCTATTCTCGTCGGATGAGAGTACACTGACACCAAGAGGGGAAGGGCTGTTTTGGATCTGCCCCTTGACTGACGAGATATCATATCTCATAATATCCACATTTCCACGCTGGAACGCGCGCACCAACCACGATACTAAGGCGTAGACTAACCACGCCACGATACTAAGTCGCGAACTAACGACGATACTAAGGCGTTGACTAACAACAATGCTAGGGCGTTGACCAAGGGCTCCGCAGCCCTTAGCCCAGCTATAAAAGTCTTTTGTATCCGCTGTGAAGCTATCTTGTGATCGTTCCTTGTCCCTCTTCACTCTCTTCCACCAACCCGACTTCCGAGAACCCGACATCCGAGACTCAACGAAAAACAGCCCCGAGCTCAGAACTACACAATGTCGACGGCTCAGCAGATTTGGGACTGATGAGATATTTCGACAGACTTCCCACAGCCGACGCGAACTACTCTCGACATTAATAATACCCAAGTCTTTGGAGTTAGATAGGGGTGATTATGTTAAGGGAACAACATCGTTTGAAGATCGTCTGGAGCTCCATGTTGTTCCCTCCCATATAAGGCTCACTTGAATCATACATTCCCAACAAAGGCGGGTTGGTGGAGTGGTCTAACACGTGCGACTCAAGATACTGTCTTGATTCTTTCGCATCTCGCAAGAGGCGTAGGTTCGAATCCTGCACCCGTTACTTTTTCCTTTTTTATCCGGAGAGAGCTTCAAATTATTCCCATATAACGCTCGTTTTGATCACGAAGTTTCAACAAAGGCGGGTTGGTGGAGTGGTCTAACACGTGTGACTCAAGATGATATCTTGATCCTTCAAAAAGGATTTCACATCTCGCAAGAGGCGTAGGTTCGAATCCTGCACCCGTTATCTTTTTGGAAATCTAGAGCTCTGTGTTGTTCCTATATAGAGGTTGTTTCAACACTATGTTTCCAACAAGAACAGGCGGGTTGGTGGAGTGGTCTAACACGTGCGACTCAAGATATTATCTTGATCCTTCAAGAAGGATTTCGCATCTCGCAAGAGGCGTAGGTTCGAATCCTGCACCCGTTACTTTTTTGTTGTTTTGAGCCGTGTCGTAAGCAGTATTTATGCAGGATCCATATGGTGAGTGATAAGCAACATTTATGCAAGGATCCCGTCCGTATGATGACATGGTAGACTATGCACACTGTAATACACTGGCCTTTTACATGGATCTTTGAAGTTAAGACAGCAAAGTTTCCCATCTTGGAGTTTTAGGCTATGAGTAGAAGACCATCGTCAACTATGACCCAGAAACCGCTTATACGCATGAAGCGGATCATCTACCACACACTCCCCGAAGGATTATAGAGAATATCCTATTGGTCTGGTTACATGAGGTAGGATGCGTTGCAGCTCTCTGTGTATTCACAGCATTCCGAGCGTGAAGTATGCAATATATGACATTACTCCACGACTACAAGTAGTGAGCCTCGAGTCTTCTTTAACTATTTTGCTCTTATCACAGTATGAAACCATGGTTTGTGCGGCGGCCTTCCTTTTCATCACACAGCTTCTCAGCCCAGTCGCCGGTGCACATAACGCTGCCACAACCAGCTTCACTTGCCAATCAGACCTACGGTCACACGGTGGCAGACCTTCAACCAGTCTATAGCAGGGCGGTTAAAGATTACGACCCTGCTTGCCAGCCCGTGCTTCTGAAGATCCCTAAACTTCAATAACACTGAGCGCGCCGTTATTCGGCAAAATTATACCAGTGGTCACTTTTGAGGGGCCATATATGGCGCCATGGACTTAACTCAAAGGAAAGCCTGTGGTTTGGCAGATTGCTATCCTAGCTTTTTTCCAGTCTCAGATGCCGACGTGCGTGCTGGGGAGACTGTCTGCACTTTTGTCGATGCCAAATAGCCTTCCGATGTTACAGTTACTCTCAGGTTTGTGAGACAACTTGGAATCGTTCTCGTGGTTAAAAACACAGGCTATGATGTTCCAGGACGCGGTGCTGTTGCCAATACTTTGGCTCTTCGTGTCTATAAGCTCAAGCATATGTCGTTCCATTCTTCTTTACTACCCGCAACTGCTCCATCTCTCATAGACAAAATGAGAGTGTAATTAGAGTCGGTGTTAATGCAGAAGACGCTGTTGCATTCTTTGGCAAGTAAGGCATGATGATTACGGTCGGTGAATGTCTTTCTGTTGGCATTGCTTGAGGTTTTGGTCGAGGCGGCGAAATCTGGCGTATTGCTAGGTACGGATGTTAGGAACTGAAACTCTACCTGTGGTGCCAGTCGCGCTCCAAGCTGGCCGACTACCTTTTGTATGGCTTCAGGGTGCTGGGAACCAATTAGCTTACTCTTGTCGGTGACTTGAAGTTGTCTTTAGAGATGAGATAACTGGTGGTCAAGAGTGAATCTCCAACGGCTGAAATATGATTCCAGTATTCTGCGTTGCCGATATAGAAGGCGTTCTAATTAGGATAGGGTGCATATGAATCCAGCGTAATGTTCACACTGGGAAGTTGGTGATGAGGTTGCGAAAAGATGCGGTTCGAATTGGCAGCATGTTTTCTTCGGGAGGCATAATGATAGGTTGCTTCAAATAGAGCGGAAGTGGGATCAATACACTTGACTTAACTGCAAAAGTGTGTAGGCTATTTTGGACCCCAGGATACAATGTATTCTTGCGATGGGAGATGCTCCGAATCCCTCGTCACCATACCCATTCACATGAGACTTTTTTCTTGTTGCTGAGGAAAGTTTCAAGCTTTTTGCCAAGTCAATTCAGGACATCTTAAGCATTGGGCAACAAACAGCTTGAGACGGTGTGAAAACACAACATGATGATGAATCATTTGTCTATTCAACATGGGCTGTCGATTGAGGCTTCAACGCTACCTTGTCTACATCAATTGATGGATGTATGGGCGCTATTTCCCCGCGCCCACCAACGAGGATAGACACAAAGAGAGCGACCAGTAATAAAAAGAAAAAACTCCATGTCTCCTGTTCGCAGACAGCGTTTCTTCTACACGAATGGACCTGTGATGCAAAAAGATACAAAAAAGCAAGACTGACGGGTGTGGGATTCGAACCCACGCCTCTTGCGAGATGCGAAATCCTTTTGAGGGATCAAGATGAGAGATTATCTTGAGTCGCACGTGTTAGACCACTCCACCAACCCGCCTTAGCGTCTTTGTTGGAACTCGGAGATTGAAATGAGCCCTATACGGGAATAACATGGAGCTCCGGATAACTCATTTCCATGTCGATGAGATCTGCCAATAAGTTTGGATACCGTTCAACTTGGTGCCTCATAAGGGCGTTGATTTGGGCGTCGTATCCTAAGCGAGGCAATCCCAAGCATGTATTATGCATTACCTCAAGAAAATGGATGTTGCTCCATTGAACTGAACCGCTGAAGCTTACTCTTTGCCGTTATGGGTATATTAGTTACCGGCCCTTTGCTATTACGTTCCGTAATGATTCGACCAAGAGAAGCGTGTGCCTGAAGCTGATATTGCTTCTCATGAGTACTGGGTATTCGTATTCAAGTTCCGCGATAGTATCACTGCGAAACGTACCATTCTTGAGTCACACTGTGAGCAAGCGGAGGAGGGGATTTACTGCACCTACACAAGTGCAGATATTGAGGCACACAGCAGGAGCTCTAAGAATCAGGAGGGCTGCATCACTACTGATACGGTAGTGTCTTGCTTTAATCCTGGGGCAACTCCTGAAGATGTTGTACGTTGATGTTTGGTCATTAAGACATTGCAATCCTTTACTGACTTATACTAAATACGTCACAATGAGTGTATTGAGAGCTCGAATACGGTCATTCTCATTCCGCACGGCTAGGCTCTGGGTGAGGAAAGGATAATCGAGTGGTTTCTCTCGAATAATGTGATGTGTGTTCATCTATTTACATGACTTCGAATATATTCCAAACTGGATTTACGGACCCAAACAAATCATTTACTCAGATAGCAGATATGAATCAAATAATCATCTTCCATTGAGCTTCAGAGCATTTGCATTTCATTACAATATAGATATAAACTCACAAGAACTCACTGATGCTACTTGACACCTGAATTTATACCCTTGTCTGTTTTAAGGGTTTACACAGTATCCGTATCTCAACTTTCCGGTTCTCATGTAGAGCTACTGTGCGTTGGTTTAAATGGCGTCTATTTAAAAGGTCTGTTTGTGCTATCCAATACGATAGCTTATAGGCTGGCTTCATGTTTCAGAACTCGCGTGCACCATATTAATAGCCGTATATGTTACATCGCGTACCCAATCTAGCAGATAAGCTAGCAAAGAAATCAACATGGATTCGCACCCAGGACGCTTAAATGACTCGGTCCAACAGCACCGTCCTTGTAGGCCATGAAAGCCCCAAGACATTTTAAGTACTTGGCTTACCCGTAGATACCTCAGCATATCATCCCATTCTTGTACACCCTTTTGGCTCCTTTCATATAAAATTTATTATAAGAGGCACTGCATATAACAGTTTTGCATATAATATTGAGATACGCAACCTGGAGGCGTGTTAGTCTTTGGATGCCCAGATGAGTTGGTGAACTCGTAAGGTTATACGCACACTTTTCTTTTCTGGGATTGGACCTAATATCATTAGAGGCCTGAAAGCCGACGAAAGAGCCATCGCAGCACAGGGAGTACCCGTAACAACAGTTTCTGCTGGCTCAGCTATACGAAATGGAGAGGAACCTGTAGAAATTACTGTAACAGCGTTCGAGGACCTTAAAAATGAGACAGATGATGCTCTTCGCAAGATTGACTGCAAAGTGATCAAGATTGGTCAGTAATAATCTTATCCACAAACCACTAGATGTTGTAAATTTGACATCTGTGATTACAGGAGCCTTGTTTTCTGTAGAGTCGATCAGAATTGTAGCCAGAAGTTTACAACAAAGTGAACATTTAATGACAGTTCTGGACGCTGAAGCATTCTTCAAAACGGGTCTTGCCCCAAGGCAAGAGGTAGTTACGGCACTCAGGAAAGAAATACTTCCATCGGCAAAGATCCTTTCTGCAACAGTCCCTGAAGTCAAAACACTGTTGGATGAGGCCGGCATCCTAGTCGACTATCCAAAAAGTATACAGGATATATAGTCAATGGCAAACACTCTACGAAGTTTAGGGCCTGAGTACGTTATTATTAAAAGAGAGATACTCGAGGAGGCCGATGGGATGACGACATTGTATTTGGGGTTGTGTGGTGGTGAAGAGCTTCTTATAGTGGCCTCTCGTTTTGAGAACCCAAAACGGCTGTTTGGACCAAGTTATTCCATCCCTCGTAAGTAATTAGAGTTCGCCTACTATGATTCGGACAATAAAAACTAATCCTATCATAGCGATGATCGCGGCATGGCTTCAAGTTTGTCGAAGAGATGATTAAAGGAGGGGATTATTTTGTCTAAGAGCATTTGTGAATAGACCTGAGCACTTATTTAGAACTGCTCTTTTGGCGAATTGATTTGATCAAATGATCGGTAATGCTTCTACAGCACGCGTGTCGAGTCAGTGATTCGACCGAAACGGCATATTTATTTACTTTGATAGTCGAGATACTGGGTTCGCTCGTGAAGAATGATATAGTTTTGGGTACGTTGATCTCGACGGGTCTTACTCCTTCGATGCCATTGAATGGTCAGCATCGACGATATTGACATTATAATCAGCATCACCCAATACCATTGATAACTGGGATGAATCTCATACCACGGATCAACAAGAAACTTTCTTCAATGCTACTATAGGGATTTCTATTGAGTCAACGATAGGCTTACTCGGGTGCTGGCAATTGTGGACTTTGTGCGCGGAGATATTAATTCCGGAATAGTGTCATTGTAATCAACATGCTACAGTTTCTTAAACCATCAAGGCCGAGCTAACAGAAAATAGCAGAACGAATCTGTCAGCAGAGAATGGGATAAAGTTGATGACGGACTAGCAGATGAATAGCTAACAGCCTAGGCAGATATTTATAAGCGGCATTATCAGCTTCATCTATACCTAGTTAACATACCTGATATATCAGGTAAGTAGACTTAGAGAGGTACATGAAAGGGATTAGATTACTTCCAAAGGTTCAGGACCCAGTGAAAGTGTCTTCCCAAGGAGTGGATTTGATCAAACCATAGCCCCATGACGCCAATTCCAGATATGGCGGGTTCGTCTAGTAGTCGAGAGTCCGATAATTCTTCGTTCTTCATTAGGAGGCATGCAATCCGAGCCCGTGCCTCCGTTGCTGCCGATCTTCGGCCTTGTTCGGAGTACCGAACTCCAAACCCGTAGTCGCAAGCCAACAAGTAATGGTTTCAAATGAGGTCCAAAATGAATAAGCATGACCAATACATCCTGACACTTTCACACCGTATATTGTAGCCCAAACAGAGACTAACGAATGTGGTTCAAAATAGAGAAGGCGTGAAGCATAAGGCTGCCATTGACACTGGAGATGAAAAAAAAAGATAAAATTTGCACAGCCTGCGATGAGGACGCTGACAGATGATTATAGGGCATCGCATAATACTGGTAAAGAATCCCCGGAGTTAAGAGGAGAATATCCGCGGTTACGAAGTTGTCAGCTAAGCCCTCACCTAGGTATGGATACGTAATTTTGAACAGAGCCTTGTGTAAAAATAGTTGAAAGGATATATAAGAGCAGGATTTTGAAGGAAATGAATTGATTGTATCATACAGTTATTGATTGGCCTCTTGGCGACTAGACAGCAATTTTCAAATCGGTATAATCAAAATTCTTCATCATGTATACATCAACTTTACGCCCTTTCATATTGGCATATCTCTTGAGGGTAGTTGTTGGCTCATGTCCTCCTTTTAATGGTTCATTTAATGCAACCATTTTGGGCCTTTATCCAGAAAATGCGGATTGGGACCCAGTGCACTGCAAGATATACTTTGGGTATGCTATTCTTGTATCTTCTTGCCCGGTTCTTAGGTCTATATCTGACTAATGGTAGTCTCTACTATAATGCTTCGGTTGCTGTTTACGATCCTTATCGTGACGAATATGAGGAGATCATTATACCTGGAATCACCGGCAATGACGATTACTCCATTACCGGTATAGACTACGATGGAATGGGGTCGATGTACTTTGCAGCCACTTCATATACAGCTTTCGAGGCGACAACCTCTGGAAACCCAGCACTGGCAAATTTCACTGGCCCCAACAGTGTGATTCGATATGATACCAACGACCGTACAATTCGCTGGGTAACGGATCTAGTACCGCTACAGAAACAAGTATTCCAACGAACGGGGAAGCTGATTACCGGGTTCCAAGATATGGCAGAGGATGGTCAAGGGAATACCTACGTAATTGGAACATTTGGCCAGATTATTGTCAAGGTCAACAAAAACGGGACGCCACAAATATGGTACGAGCCAAAAAATATCAACGACACCCTTCTTTCTGGTGGTATTGTTCGATCGGGAGACAAGATTGTCATTAACGATCGGGTTGCTCCGGGTTTATTAACCTTTGACATCAACAAGCCTAAGGGAGTCCCGGTCTATGTGCATCCAGAGGGATTCCCGACTAACTACACTGGCGGAGGGGACGGTTTGATGCTGCCGTCAAAATATGGTGGCAAGGTTATCCTTTGGTCCGACGACTTTTATGGCAACCGCGTGATTGGGAGCAGAAATGACTGGAAAACGGCCGAATATCTCGGTCTGGTTCCTATGGATGAAACCCTAAGTAAAGAAGGTGGCTACACCACAGGCACCTTTGAGGTTGGTCAAACAATCTACTCTTTGACTGAATTCTTCCAGCCAACGAGATCTGTCAAGACAAAGCAGAAATTCCTCATGGTCGATGCGACGGAACAGGTAGATGAGCTTGTGAAGGCTTGGGAGCGCAAGACTTGGTAATGGGTAACGTTTCTGAGGTCACACGCAGGGAAAATAGTACCCCATGCTGATTTTATAACCCGTTTTATCAGCTTAACTATTATGAAGGGCGCTATTAAATACATACGAGCATAGGCGAAGGAAAATTCGGGATCCCGTTTGCTCTCCATAGACAAGCTAGTAAAGCAAATTGCGATGGGTACCTACCAACACCGGCTGTTGTATGTTTTTTGTACATCGAGTTCTTATTTTTAGTAATCAATATGACATGATTTACTTTTTACAAGCAATCAACTAGGCCAGGCCTTGAGACATGACGTTGCTTCTGAGCAATACAATCTTCTGATATTTTGATGTAGAAAAGGTAACCGCATGAATACATCGCGCAACGGGCAATCCATTATACTTCATGCGGTTGTTGGAGTGCTAAATAGTTACGTGTGCCCCCAAAATTAAACTTGATGTCTTTCGATCCCTAGAAAAGCCCGGAGATTTGTAGTTACATTTCGTTAATTTGCGCCGCAGGCTGTCTCGGGAGTGCGCATCTTGCAAACATCCCACGCGTAACCGTGCACCTTGATGGCGTTAGTCACACTCTCAAAATTGAATGATGATTAAATACCCCAGCCGAAATTCATCATACTGTCACCTCTGTGCACCGTCCTAATCTTCTCTTTTTAATCATCGGAAATCTCATAAAGACGGCTTGGCTTCTCACTGGCGTTTGGCTAAACGAACAGCATACGAGCTTCCGCCGGGATGCCTGATATGAACTCGACCGAGCTGATTATGCTACCCTTTGAAAGTTTCATGGGCTCGACTGCTCTGTTCTTCCGTATAGGGCCTGGCATCATCCTGAAAGCTCCCGTTAAGATGGGATTTGATCAGATTGTACGAAAGCGAGACACTGTGGAGCACCACTACATTGTCGAAAAGCAGATCCTAGACAGGCTCGGCACGCATCCGAGAATTGTCAAGTCCGTTTCCCACTGTCCTATGGGGTTTTTAGTTGTATTTACTCTGTGTTCTTAGATTTCTGGGCTCGTACACCGAGTTCCCGACCGGATTGCTCTTTGCAGAGGCTAGCCACGGAAGTCTTCAGAAGTTCTTATATGAGCATGACAACGAAATTACACCCACTCTTCGCCAAAAATGGTTCATTCAGGCTATTGAATCCATCGAGTTCATTCACAGCAAGGGAGTTATGCATAGCGATCTAAGACCCGACAACTTCTTAGTTGACTGCACATCGTCTCAGTCACTTGACTTACGCCTCTGCGACTTTGGCGGATCAACTTGCGAAGACCTCCAGATTTCTGGCGGAACACTTCCCGATTCTGGTTTTCATAACCCGAATGATGCTTGGGAACCAACTTATGCCGCTGATATTTTTAGCCTCGGTTCTGTTTTGTATACCATCATGACGGGTCATTGGCCATTTCGTTCGACTACTGGCCAGTGGACTTCTAGTGAGGAGATGATGGAATATAATGCAAAAGTAGATCGTTGCTTTGCTGATGGTATCTTCCCCGAAGTTGAGGGACTTTTTGGGGGGGATATTATCACGGGGTGTTGGACAAACAAGTTCTCTGACGCTGCAGAAATTATGACACGTATTTCTCAACTTGGAATTAAAGAGTAGTATCGGGCATCGTTGCTTATAGGCAAATGAGAAATGTAGCTCATGTGAATAGTCAACACCACAGAAACTTATGCGTCTCTGCGACCGTATCGCCCACACTTATATGGCTGTCTCCTCGATGCCATATACGATCGCTGACATTGATGCTTTGGTACGCACCTACCTATATATGTCCTGTACTCGCTGTTCATGCTATTGTAGCATCGAACGTTAGCCAATTGCGCTCTAAGTGTCATATATGGCTGTTTATCTTGAGAAAAATCTCAACACTGCCGCTTACAAGATAATTTGACTACATACCTATGTAATTTGACTACCTATCGAACTCTGATTGGTCGGCTACAGTCTTTTTAAAGTGTTCAGAGGTTCTTTCTCACGAGAAAATAGGGGATGCATTATTATTTGTTATTTACGGAGTACAGCGGGTGTAAAGGGGGGTCACAGGGGGGGTGTTGTCATTGCCCGTTAAGGCGTCAGATTGTGAGAGAGCCATCGTGCCCATTTATACAGTCTCCACACCATTCCTACAATGTTTTTAGCAACTGTTGTCCAGTATCTTTACTGGTATACTGCCTTCACTTAGATCCTTGCTTGTCCCATGGATAATCCTATGACCATTCTGTTACGCCGCGCGGGCTACTAGAAGGGTTTAAGGTCGTTGTCCTAACCCTTTCTTAGCTCTGCGCGCGGCACGCCCGATGAAGGCTAGCGAAGAAGAGACATGCTAAATCAGGAAATTCACAGTTGTTCACGATGTAAATGATAGCCATCAGACCGTTACAACTCTGAGCCAAGGAGAAATAAAGTACATTATGACAAATTGGAACTTATTCGTAATGTTTGGGAAGTAGTGCCAACGGGGGTTCTGGGAGGAGAAACAAGTATATAAAGAACCACATCGGCCTCAGTAACTGAACAAATCCAGCAGCAGCTTCTCCAGTACAGTTACTCGATTCCATGTACAATTTTCTTTTACTCAAATATTGCACTTTATATAACCCCGAAGTGGTTTCATCCTCAAACATCATGCCTACTACAATTGCAATCGCTGGTGGTACGGGCAACATTGGTAAGACTATCAGTGACGCCCTCGTCGCTACCGCAAAGTACAAAGTGATCGTGCTTGCTCGTGGGGTAAGTAAACATGTCTCATTGGCCACTTGGTTCTTCCTGCTCTATTGTTACTAAGAATCTCCTTCTGACATGAATGCATTGCAAGGCCCCTAAAGATTTGTCCCCTAACGCCCCTCCTCTGATCAACGTCAACTACGATGATATCGATGCGGTAGCCAATATTCTGGAGGAACACAATGTGCACACCATAATATCGGCCATTAAAGTGATAACTCCCGAATCTGGAGTGTCTGAAGTGAACCTCATAAAGGCAGCTACGAAGTCATCTCCAACAAAGCGTTTCATTCAGAGCGAATGGGGCGTACCTACACCTCAGGAAAAGTAAGCATCCCCAACTACCATCTTTTTCTTTTTCTTTTGTATTGTATACCATTATTTTAATTTTAGCTTAAATAACACTTCGCTAACATGGATTTAATGGATTCGAAGAAGCCTACGCTTGCTACAACATCAAGTGCGTCTCGCCTCGATTGAGCAACTCCGCGAAAGCAATCTTGAATGGACACGATTCTACAATGGCTACTTCCTTGACTATTATGGAATGCCGTACATAGAGACTCATATTTCGGAACAAGTCTCTTTCATCTTTGACATTGCCAACAAGGCGGCAGTCATCCCGGGCACTGGCAACGATCTCGTCTCGTTTACGTATACGCGAGACGTAGCTAGCTTTGTTGTCAAGGCGCTCGATTTGCCGAAATGGGAAAAAGAAATGTTTTGCTACAGTGATAAAGTGACCTTGAATCAGTTTTTAGGGTTGGTGGAAGAAGCTACCGGTAAGCTCCCCAACTCTGGACACCGTTTTGGAACATCTCTTTGTGTGTGATGCTAACAATAAAAATAAAATCAGGGTCCAAATTCAACGTTACCTATGATAGTGTGGAGAAGCTCGACAAGGGTGAAGTTACTGAGCTGCCTTCCAACGCTGCGGAGTACGAACATTTCCCGAAACACATCCTGCAGGCATATTTCTCTAAATTCGGCCAATATATCGTTGCCGGTTTGTTTGATACACCGGCCGAGAAGTCTCTCAACAAGGTATTTCCTGAAGTCAAAACAACCACGGTGGAAGAAGTTTTGGGCGTCTGGAAGGGGAAATAGATGGAAAGAATGGACATTCCACGATCATCCATACTTCATTCGTCGTCCGCGATTGTTGCCTAGCTAAGTGTGAGGGTTACATTTGCTCAGCATTAGTTTCATACGATACTAGGTAGAATATAAGCAATCCACCCTTCTTGCCAAGCATGATCCATATTGGAATTCCCCTACGCCAGTAGAACTGGTGTGCCGAAAACATTCAAGCATGCCTCTACATCCCACATTTCGCTGCTCATGTTTCCTCGATTTTTCCAAACGCTCTCCATGACGCGAAGTGTCTCGCCCAATATCCCAATCAAAGCGGTCTTATCCAACTCGGAGAAGAGATTTCGAAAGGGTTGCTCCTGAGCGCGCTCAGCCATGCAACCAACGACACAGAGCGGCCAGGCGAGTACTCGCAAGTGTGAGGAACCAACCACTGTCTGTAATAAATGAAGCGCATGTGCTACACCAGACCGCACCTCTGGCAACATTGGCTGCCACCCGGAGATAACTACGGCGAGGTATATTTTTGCCGCGTAAGCCCAGATCTTTGTCGACGTTACTGAGAAAACATCAGATATAAGATGCAAATTATGATGATGCAGTCGGCAAGCATCAGCAGAGCGTCACGTACCTGTATCAGTGGTGCGATCATTATCCACATGTGACATACCCTCCTCAAGAATTTGATCAATGTGGCGTGCACGTTCAGCCAATTCTGTCCCAAAAAAGCTGCCCGTTCTCTGGTTCTCCTTTTTCCAGGCATCCAAGGCTGAGATCTCTGCAACGACACGAATGGCCCAATTGTGACAGCCGACAAGTCGAGATAGCCGAATAGTAGTCTCACCCTTAATATATTCTCCATCATCTGCGTTGGTGAGAAACTGTGGATGATACTCCAGTAGCTGTGGTGGCCATCCGAGAGAGGTGCTCGCTATAATGTCAATGAAGAGAAGAATACCGGCGAAGAACCGAAAGCATTCTTGTCTGTTGTCCCAAACATAATGGTCTTTCTTGAGGGCATACAACGGACGCTGAGCAATTTTGCTCAGAATATCGACTAATGGAGATACTGAATTGTTCACACCGTGATTTTGTAATATGTCCCGGAAGAGAGCGACGGTAGGCGATAAATGATTACCCCAGTTGGCCGACCTTCCTACTGCTGTTTCGAAAATGAGAAATTGGACAATACTCTCCATGACTCGCACTTTATCTAACAGATCTGCTTCATCGCCCCGATCGTTCAGCTCTTGTATATCCTGTTGCAACATATCGAAGCACATATCCGCTTGTTGTATGAGTTTGGACCAGACTACTGTCTTGCACATTTCATGCTCGCGTCCTGAATACTTTTCACTTAAAGCAACGCTGAAAAAATAAGCGCTTACACCGATTACTGAATGAAAAGCGACTCGGCTCTGTGCAACAAATTGGAAGATCCAACCGCGCCCGGGATCAAGCAGACTGGTTCGGTAGAATGGGAATAAAAACGGGAACACATGATCCAAGTATCTCATGAGATGGTTCATCTCATCTTCTCCCCAAGACGAGAGCGTCTCTAAGCCAGGCCTGGACTCCAACTGGGGACTACTTGCGAAGTTGAATCCTGGTAGAGTCTCGGGAACTTTGTGTGTACTCGGGTCGACTCTAATCGAGTCTTGGCTATCGTATCCTAATTTGACTGCCGCATTTGGCCACGTCGCATCAATATGGGATCTCGGTTCATTTGAAGAGAGGTCATGTCTCGGGATGAGATTGACGAATTCGGAATCTTCCCTTCCTTGGGCGGTCGCCGCAAAGTTCATGGATACTGCAGAAGCGTGATGTCTCTCTCGACGATAGCCGGCTTGTTGTTTGATCTGAGATTTGATTTTGGTAGCCATAGCCTCTTGCTTCTCAGCTCCATCAAGCCAATCGGGTTTCAGCCCGCCATAATGGCAAGTAATTTGTAGTCCAGTGCAATTGGCGCATTCAGGTCGTGCTTCATCGCATTTTTTTCGGCGAAGTCGACATGTCCAACACCCATCGCATTTCTTGTCCGAGCGGACCATGATGGAAATTCTGTGAGGAGTGAATTCACCGCAAGTTGATGAATATTAGATCTGCAAAGGTTAGTCACAGCGAGATTAAGAGCTAAGACAGCGACTTGTATCCATACCAGAGAAATAGCATTGGCCAGAGTTTGTTATCAAGTACGCTTACTTGCGAGTTTATGAGGTACCAATGAGACCATAGGAGGATTTCGTATGCCATAGTCACATCCATTACTAATTCGTCTAGTGGTTTAATTGCGCTTCTGCGATGCCCCGATATTCATCTACAGGCTTATCCCGCAGTTACCGGCGCGCCATGTGGTTGTGCAATTGACGTTTTGCCCAACAAGCGCGACCCCCAGTCGATCAACTAGACATCTCTCTCATAACTCCATGTTAGATACACCATTAGTCTATACTTGCTTCTTTCCAAGAAATCTGGAAATCTAGAGCACAGCTAATATTAGCTGAGTCTGCTCTGGTTTCACTAGTAAAACATCGGTCCCTCATACGGCTAGCTTCTAAAACGAGGATCATGTGAATAACATGATGACTCGATACTTTCTGCTTTATATGTTTTGTGATATTACGGCTCGGCTTTTTGAGAGAAAGGGGAAATACTCGTATAGGAGAGAAACACGTAGGTAAACTATTTTGGCCACAACCCCGAAATGTATGGAGCAGTCATTTACTAGCCAGAGCTCGTATAGTGAGAGTGTGACAACATGTAGGATTGGGATTGGTAAAACAGTTACCCCATCAAATCCTCTTGAGCAACGATCGGTGAGTCACACAAATCACTTGAAATTGTCGCCGGATAAACACGGGTGAGCCGATTGTGTTTTTGGTCTACTCCCCAACCGTTGTAAGAAGAGAGAAAGAAGATGAATATTTAAATATAACGTCAATACAGCTCCTGTTCTTGATGGATTTGTACTTCACATGAGTTTGCTATGATGGCTCCTCAAAAGATTCAAGTTCGGTCGACAGACGATGAAAGTGGGAAATGTCCATACTTCAGCTTGCAATAACCCCTCCACTAATATGCAATAGCGCTACTTTTGGAATGCTCATGGCGTCTCCTGAACAAGCCAATCAACAAAAGCCTCTGGCAGTCGCTGGACATTGTTTTCGAGCACATTAACTCGTCGACTGCGGCCGACCATTTTAACAATCTTGAGAGCGCTTATGATATCCATCTCAACAATGAAAATTCGAGCCAGAGAATCTCTCCCGAATCTTTTGGCTCGGCCACGGCGTTTCAGTTCTTCCTCCAATGTCTTCGCGCCACGGCCGCATCCTCTGGAGGGCCTCGACGTGTGGTGAAGCTCATCGTTCCTCTGCAAAAGGGACATATCGTGCGGTCGGACATAATTCCTCTGCGTCTAAGAGACTCTCAATTTGTGGAAACAGGAGTGTCTTTCGCGGAGCCTCTTGAGAGCTACAGCGGCTCGGCGATTACGCCCTCAGACAGCAGCAACTTTGTGGCACTCTTCTCGGCTGCCACAGCTGGCTTGATCTTGCACCATGATTCTGAGAAGGAATCCGATGATGAACTTGAAGCACTGTCTCTCGCTGTGGAAGACGAGCTTGAGAATAGGCTCTCATTCCCCTGGATATCGCCCGAGAACATTCGACGTCGAACGTTGGTGTTAGTAGAAGGGACTCGCGCGCACCCCGATAATAGTGGTACAGCGGCGACCATTTATCTCGCAGCCAGAGCTCTTGGCATTAATATGGTGGCCTTGGACAACTCAGGACACTGGTTAGAAGGGCCGGAATATGCGCACTGGCGTGAAGCATTTATTCCCACTAAGCTAACAGACCCCCCAGAAGAGGGCTTCGCCGATCGAATCGTCAAGTCTGTGAAAACTTATGGCAAGCCAGTGGACGGTATCGTAACTTTCTGCGACTCTTATGTGACTCAGGTAGCTCAGGCCGCGCAGCAGCTAGGCCTTCGGACTGCTTCGCCGGATGCACTGCGCACTGCTACGAACAAGTATTTGACAAGCGTGTTTGCAGGGCATCAAGCGTATCAAGCTTCTAGTCCAGAAGAGGCCCTCGAGATTGTTAGCAAAAACAACCTTCCCTACCCTCTTATCATCAAGCCATGCAATGGGTGGAGCTCAGAGGGAGTATTCCGCGTTGATTCCCTCGATACTCTCACGGCGGCCGTCAAATCCATCGACACATCTCGTCATGGGTCCGAGTTTGTCATAGAGAAATACTGCTCAGGGCCGGAAGTTGATACAAACTTCGTCTTGTTGGATGGCGAGATCCTCTTCTTCGAGGCGTGCGACGATTTCCCCAAAACCGCCGACTCCAACGGTCCCAGCGTCGGGTCGCTCAACAACTTCCATGAGCTGAACAGCGTATACCCATCGGCACTACCCGCTCGCGAAATTGATGTGCTTCGCGACAGCTTCCTGGATACGTTACTCAAGCTCGGCCTGCAGAACGGCATTATGCATCTGGAAGGCCGCGTGGAATCTTCGTCGGTTGACTACAAAACGCAGGATGGAGTTCTCGACTTGCACCCTCGCGACGCTGCTTCCGTTGCTCTAGAGCCCACTGCTTGGCTCATTGAGATAAATCCGCGTCCGCTCGGTATGACGGGCTCGCATGTCATTGAATCAACGTACGGAATCGACTATTGGGGCTTAGCTATGCTCATCGCCGTTGCGGACAAGTCTCGCGCTCGCTCTCTTTCTCAGCCATTCAAACATGGAGCCCAGTACACATGTGTCATGGTTTTTATTCCGACGGACTTTCCATCCTCTTGCCAAGGCATCTTTGATTCTGATGATATCTGTGCTGAGCTGAAAGTCCGCAGGCCTGACCTTGCGAAACACATCAGTCGATGTGGTTGCTTCGTCAAACGTGGGCAGAAGGTGGCGCATCCGAGTTCTGGAGTCAACAGCTTTTTGGCTTATTTTAATGTTTTCTCGAGAAAGGGGAGGAGAGAGGCGTTGGAATTGGCGGACAAGGTGCGGGAGGAGGTTCGCTTTTCATTTATTTGAACTCAAGTATAGGACAGTTCTCTACATACTTGTTGCTTATATCTAATATAGCTTGATAATTGTCAGTCGCTCTCAAGACCCTAATCTTAAACTCTTTAGTTATTCAAGATGTAGCAGGCCAAAAATACGAGTAAGATTTCTTAGCCACATACTCTCACTCACTTTGACAACGTTTCAAGTACCGCTAAGAAACAGAAGAGAGAGAGAGCATATATACCGTTATCATTGAATAAGCAGGTCTGCTGGCACTGACTTCACATGCTAGGCTTGTGGGCATTTAGGCCAATAAAAGGAAATAGACAATGTTACTGCGCACAAGAAGAAGAAAAAGAAGACCAACGCATATATCGCCTATTCTTGAATCTCTCATCAAATGTCGATATCATCCAAATCCAGAATTTCTTCTTCCCTTTCTGGTGAAGCATCTCCTGCGTCTTCATCTCCATTATTACCCGTAACTTGCTCATCAAGCCCTGGTCCATCTCCATCCCCTCCCTTCCCGCTGGCCATATCTCGATATGCATGAAACTCAGTTATCTGCTCGAACTGGTGTTCCTTATCATCCCCTTGTGTCGATTTTGTGTGTAATGTATTTACGTGAGGTAGGCACTTTGTACAGACGCCGTAGTCATCACAAGTATTACACTTGAACGCCATGCCGAAAACAGGCTGAGTTGGTTAGCTTCAGATTGTCGCATTGTAGGTGGTTGTGTTGAAAAGTGGAGGAAATTATATGTAGGTAGTTTAAATAACGTCGAGATGATAATTAGAAGACGGCCGGCAATCGAGAAGAAAAAAAGGACAAACTCACAATAAAGCATATGTCACAAATATACCTCTCCTGCAATGCGTATAGCCTTACTGGCCCTTCAGCAATAGTCCCATTCTGCATCTCGTCTTCGGCCCGATCATCTACACCATACTGAATCATTCTGATGATATTATCACCCGCGTCGCACCGCCGAGCCAGATCAAGCGGCGTGAGCTTCTCAATGTGTGTTCCATTCCCCAGCGTACACAACACGTCTCGTTGTGCTCCATTCAGGAGCAGTGTCCTTACAACGCCTGCAAAGTCTGGCTTCTCCGAGCACATAGCGTTCGCCCAGCCGCGATCATTGGGACGCGCCGCCCAGCAAAGTGGTGTCCAACCGTCGCTGTCAGTTTGATTAACGTAGCGCTCTAGTCTCTTTTCATCTTTGAGTCGTGAGATGATGAATTGGACAGTCCTGAGATTCCCAAATTGAGCTGCCCAATGAAGGCAGTTCTTCTGCTCTTTATCCGAGACCATCAAGTCACCGCGATAGGAAAGAACAAGTGCTTGGAAATTGTCCAAACCGTTAGTGGCGGCGAAATGAAGGGGTAACCTCCCCGAGACCGGATCTACTGTGTGAACTTCGGCGCCTTCTTCAATCAAAAATTTGAGTGTAGCAGGGCTGGCGGAACGGCATGCGGCTGAAAGAGCTGTATAAAAAACGCTGCCGGTAACTCTTTGTTTAATATTTGCCTTGTTGGAGGGATTGAGGGCGAACATGCGAGCAATGGCGTCTATTTTCGGGATCTCTTCGTTCCTTGTGCTTCGACCATGTGTACCAAGAACCGACATCAAGGGTGTCGAATAAAGAATGTTCGGTATGGCGATGTTCAAATCGGCACCAACGTCAAGCAAGGCCCGCACGCCTTCGACGTTGGTGCATCGCGCGGCAATACAAAGTGGACTACCCCATGTCGAGGAAATGTTGTCTATATCGATATCCGGCTGAGATAGAAGAAGCCTCAGGTGATCAAGGGACTTGGTTTTTTTAGCAGCTCTATGCAATGGAGTCTCACCTTTGGTGTCCCGCACATTTATATCGGCACCTGCCCTGATGAGTGCATTTAAGTATTGAACATCGCTTCGGTCAACGGCACTATGCATTGCAGTAATCCCGGAGCTGTTAAGAGCATCAATTTTGATACCTTTGCGGAACTCAAGTAGAGTTTTAAGAAATTCAAGATCCTGACCAAGTGCTAGGTGTAAAAGTGTCTCGCCGTAGAGTGTGCCATCCAATTGTGCCCCATTCTCAGCCAGAAGCCGTGTGAGGGAAATATTGGGGGAGTAGGACCTATAGCAAAAGCAGTTAATACATGTATTTCGCATGGTTATTGAAAAGGAAGGCATGGGTAGTCTTCTTCATATCACAGACAACCCAAACGCCCCGTACGGGTGAAGGTATCAAGTTTCCGCTTACACTGCATCAAATATGGGCGCCCAACCGTCACTATCCTTGTGATTGATGTCTGCGCCTTTCTCTATGAGTATCTTGGCAACTTCCACTCTACCGTATGTTGAGGCTCTATTAATGGCTGCGTTGCCGTAGTTGTTGGTGAGGTTGACATCTGCGCCGGATTCCAAAAGGAGTCGTACAATCTTGGGATGAGAAAGAGCATTGAAAAGGAGAGGCGGTTCACCAGAAGCGTGGGCTGCGTCGATTTGTGCTCTTCCCTTGAGTAGAGCAGCGACGACGTCCACGTAACCCCCTTCAATGGAGTAATACAAGGCAGATTTCTCCTTGTCATCCAAAATGTCAATATCGGCACCACTTTTCAGCAGCCATTGGACCAGATCCAGCTTGCCATACCGCGATGCTGTTATGAGAGCTGTCTGCCCGCTGTCATCTGTTGCATTAAGATTAATGGGCCGGATCCCAGCGAGTAGAGCGTTACAGATAGAGAGAAGACGTGAGGTTTCATGGTCAGAGTATGCCATCTGGACCAATAGCGGGGGTTTGAAGTCGGGGTGATTAGGATCGGCGTTATATCTGAGCATAACCCGGACGCACTCCATGTCGGGGTCATTGACTACAGGATACCAGAGCCCGGGATTCATTCCGGAGACACCTGTGGCGTTAACATCGGCACCTCTGGCCAAAAGCGTCTCTATAGTTTTTGGATAGCCCATAAGACACGCAGTGGTCAAGGGCGTCGAGGGGTCAATATCATTCTGTACTTCGTTAACATCTGCGCCCGCATCAACGAGTGCGCTTATAGAATACCAGCAACCCCATTCAGAGGCAGCCCACAGAGCGGTACATGGCTTTTTGTCTCTTATATATGAAGAGTCATGATTGAGATACTTTTGAATCACATCAACATGGCCCCGGTATGCCGCAACTTGGAAGCATCCATACTTGGTTGATAGTGGTGCTTCTGAGGTTGCACCTCGAGCAAGTAGAGTCTCAACAATGGCAGGATGGTTCAGAAAAGATGCCATATAGAGAATTGAAGGATAATACCCTATCATTGGCTCGACACTTGACGTAATGTTGACACCTACGCCATTGTTAAGAAGTGCTTTTGTAAGGTCTACCATGTTCAACCATACGGCTGCCCATATTGCAAAGCGGGGCCAGCTTTGTTCAACATTATTCCACTCAGAGTGAGAAAGCACACCCTGTACTATGTCTAATGCCACAGTCTGGTCATTCGCTTGAAGGGCTGAGAGCAGAAGCTCCATACATGCGGAGACCGAGAGCGCTCTTGGTCGAAAGAGATTCAGCACCTCGCTACCCCTGCCGCCGATGATGGCTGAGCACATACATTGTACCCGCATTTTTTCGGTTTCAGTGTTCAACTTTTCACAGCTAAGAAAGCCAAAGCCGACACAAACTGATAACGCTGATTCAGGGGGTATTGATGTCCGGGATAGGGGGTTGCTCATCGCCCAATAAAGCTTCGCCCAAAGTGTCGAGATAGTTGCGGTTGATTTATGGAAGAAGAACGATAGAGCTTGTGCACGATAGTCAGATGAGCATTTGGAGAGATGATAAGGCAGCGCCTGTACTGCGTAGAGAAAGAGTCCTTGATCTTTTGGGAGAACCGATGTGACTACTTTGAATCGCTGTTGTTGTTCTTGGATTGTGAGTTCGTGCTGGAGAACGATCTTACTGAGCGTCACAACCGAATTATCTGACTTTAGATAGGCAAAACAGAACTCGGCCAATTTTTGATGCGCCTCATCAGCAACTTCATTCCATATGTAGGATTCGTCGTCTGTGTTGTCAATGAAAAGGCTCATAATGTCAGCACGGATGGCTACTTGGCCGTCTCTCAAGTCAATGAGCATACGAAGCCAGTGTCTCAGTTGTCTTCCAGCCTCCATCGAAGTCTGGGTTGAAACATGCTGCACTGAAGGCTCTGGCCCGGCGTCATTGGAATTGTTATAGTACTCTACAGCTGTGACAAGCTCTTTAAAGCTTAGGGGACGATAGCTCCACAGTAGCCAGCTCAAAGCCCAACGAAGTTGGTCAGACTGTTTGTCTGCTTTGAGAATCTTGTCCAGGGCTTGTTTGGGTGTATCATATGGAGAGATCAGTGATAGGAGGCGTATGAACTCATACAGAGTGCGACCAGATGGGTTATGTGGCCAGCCTGTATGATCAAAAAGAAACATCATTATAGTATCCAGGGTAGTTGACCCCATGGTGGAAAGTCTGTGCAAGTGCTCCTGTATTTCTCGTCTCCTATCATCGTTGGGGCAGAATCGAATAGAATCAGCTGCCAGGCTTTGGGTCTCGGATGAATTGTCGGGGATATAAGCGTTGATGTCAAGTCTGGGCCACCGTTCAAGCTCAACCGCCAAAGCATTTGGCTCCCGTGACGTTATCAACAACTTAAGCGGACATTCCATCTTATTCGCTAGGGTCGAATAGCATTCTAAGAATTTCCTTCGACTATCCCTGTCGCATTCGTCAAAATCATACAAAATGATAGTGACTTTGTAATTGAAGAAAGAAGCCCAAAATGCTTTGAATAATGAGATACTTGACTTATCAGTCCATCCGCAGCCTAAAAGATGTAGAAAAGTCAGCATTCCGAGGGCTGTAGCTTGGGTGTTAACGTGTGCAGAGGCTAGGAAATAGACACTGACCCATGAGATACAAATTTTGGAGAAAATGGAATTCTTCATTGATGGTAAGTGTTTGATTGTCAGAAATTATTTGGACTAGAATGGAGTTCATCATGTCAGGGATAGAACGCCGTTGGGGGTCTCGCGAGTCAAAGCAGAAGTACAAATAGGATGAGAAGCTATAGTCTTCTCCCTTTCGAAGTTTGGCTATGCCGTTGCGCATGACTTGATCAGCTACGCTGTGTATAAGACGTCGAGAATGTCCTTGGAGGTACAAGATCTGTGAATCTCGAGAGCTGTCCCAGTTTACGTGTTCTTGTGCGTCCAGAGCTGGTTGAAGTGTAGCAACTTCTCTAGGGTCAAGTTGCGATATTCGTGGAGGGGCTGTGAGGGTCAGAAGAGTTTGCTCGATGGGTAGCCAATGAGGGTGAGAAGCCACATCTAAAAAAAAAAGAAACAATTTTTTGTCAGCGTGTGAGAACCCTATGAAAGGCTAGAACACATACTCTGCATTTTATGAGCAACCGTGCTGCTTAAACCCGGAAATCGTGATGCCAAATCGTTCTTGCTCTGTTCCTGGATTGCAGTTTCTGAAAGCAGTCCCATTGTTGCAGTAAAAGCATCCATACTCTTGATATATGTTAATACCATCCATAACTCTCCAAAAGAAATTAAGAAGAAGAAATTTTCTCACAGAATGTATCATTCCTCCCTCGTCTTCCCCCGCACAGAGATGTATGATGCAGGCGCGTAGGGCAATCTTGGAACCAATAAAGGCCTCGCTAGTCTGAATTGTTATATCTGCAAGATTCTCTACGGTGGCTAGTTCTACTGCGAGGAGACGATGTGAGGTGTCATCTAATACTCCTGACAGAAACTTCCAGAGTGTCGATGTCATTCTCGGTATATCCTTGCTCCGCTGCGGACAACCGGAGAAGATCTGAAGATACTTTATTAAGGTATTCAAGAGATAAACGGCAAATTCAAAGCAAATTCAAAGAACCTACCACTGTCGACGTGTTCCAAAAGATGCTGGAATATTTATTCCGGAATCCCGCAGCAATGGAGAGGGCCTGTTTGACTACGAGAGCACCTAGATCATAAGCCACGAAGACGATGGCTTTCCTTGTATCCTGTGTTGGAAGTTAATAAAGCGCTACCGTACTAGTTTATTACAACTAACCTGGGTGCCCAGTTGTGTTGCAGCTAATACATCACGAAGAAGACGCAGTGCTTCTTGTTGAACGAACTCTTCAATGAGGTCTCCCGCTAGGAAGTTAGAGAGATCACTCTGGAACACAAGCTCCTTCCTCTCTATTTCATCCATCAAAGGAAAGAACTCTGAGAGTTTGTGTCTATCATCTATTGGACGCAGGACGGTAAAATGCACTACACTGATCACAATATCTCATGTCAGAGTTTAATCGATATAATATATTGATAGTAACCAATGGGCAAGAAAATGCTCGGATACTCACTAAGTGACTGGCGTATTGATGTTTTGATTCCCATCCGAGGGTGGCTCTATAGCTTTGTTTATAAGTCTTTCATCCAAGTTTGTGTCGCTATCGCTGCTCGCTGAAACATCATGTTCAACTTCGCCCAATTCCATTGTATTAATAGTGACAGATGAGTACGAGGAGAAGGCCAAGCAAGCTTTTGAGTTAAACGTATCAATTCAGAAATACAATAATAAGACAACTACAGTCTTCGGTGGAGAAAGTTGATCATTGTATTGCCTTAACCTAGCAGAATGGGGATAAGGGAATGAAGATAAAGCCTCGTCCGTCTACTCTTATCGAAGCGGGGGCTGTTGTTCAAAGTACATGCCTGGTACAAAGTCCTTTTGGGGGCCAGAGTTCTTCATTAGCAAGTTAAATGGTAGTAGGAGCGAATAGGTTGCATACGGCAGCCAATACATTGCCTTGCTGCAATGCAGCCCCTCTTGCTCTTGGGTGGGTAACATTGCCCTCTCACCGAAATATAAGCCAGCCTTGCTCTGCACCCAGATTGAAGAGGGGTTAGGCTGCTATGAGCCCAACAAATTGCTCTCAAGCAAATCCTGCCATGTCTGGCTGCCCAAATCTCTTCCAATGGACGATTCTGACTTTGATTCTGAACTGTGGGTTAGCGGAGAGGAACTTGATTACGACACAGAAGATGAAATTGCGCAGTACGCACCGAGGGTAGAATCTGCCACGTTTTTCCAGCTCGAATTAACCTTGGATGCCGAAACTGGAGGCAAGTACTAAATCATCTTCATCACATTTCTTCTTAAAAATCCAATAGCCAGGTTAAGCGCTGACAAGTTGCTTGGAAGATTTTCATACCCGCGGTAGACCTGGGGAGATTCAGCGGGAGGTGGCCACCGAATTCTACGGTGGTCGGAAGAAGAGACCTGCCTTCAACGTCAGCGCTGTTGCCAAAGCCATCATTCACGGAACCCTGGACGAAACTTCAAAAATACCAGCTACCCTCCTAGTATATGACTTCAAGTTTTTGTCGCACCGATCCACACGCATTAAGGATGCCAGCATCTCGTTTGAGTTTAAGGCGAAGAGAGGCAGCAGTAGCCTCGGACCAACCGTCATCGCCGTCGCTCCCTACGCCAAACACATTATGCTGAGGACTACCGAAACCGTAACGAGAACCATCAGTGGCGATGCCGGAATCCAAGGCGGAGCCGTTGTGACTGGGAATGCCAATGTGCATGTTGAAAAGACGGTTGAGAAGGTCACAACCCACGCAGCTGAAGTTGTGGGAGATAATCCCGCCGACGAATGGAGCAACCGTTTTCTTGCCCAGTGGTCTCTATCAGAGAATACTTCGCAAATGAGCGGCATAGTATCGCTTTTCAGAGCTTGTATCCTTCTCACGCGCGACAACGACGAAGAGTTCTACCTTTATCCTACTGTTCAAGTGAAGCCCGACTTGAAGAGCCAACTGAGAGTACCACTCTGGGGATTTCGGCGGCCTGATGATCCCATCAGGATTGTCCCGGCAAGCACTTCACTCAACAGGCTGGAAGGTAATCTCATCTCAAGTTCTCACTTGAGCTCTGGTATAAATAATCTGTGGGACTGTACCTTTTACTCTACATTTGACGATGCCATCAAGGCTTCGAAGCCCCAAGTTCTAACTCAAGATGGTGCTGAACAATCTGTGATGACAGTTGTCAAAGAAATCAAGTCAGCAGTACCTTAGGTACTATGAATAAGCACCGCAAAGATAGTCACATCAGTGCATTTTTGGTTGTTTTTGAGATTTGCAAACTCCTGACCCATGTCTTTGGCTCCATTGGAATAATGTTGTTTGATTTATTCGTTCCTTCTAGTTAGATGCAATACCACAACAATATTTCGAGCCATCGATGAACTTCAGCCTGAGTGGACAATACCATTCTTTATGCTGTAAATCTTCTTGGTGATTCGATCAAAACATCGTATCAACCGTTTCTCTTTATGATACAAAGCTATTAACACCCATCGCCTTAACTAGCTCTCTTCTATGGTGTACAAGGGGCAGGATTGTAGAACCAAAAGCGGGCACATCGCTCTCGTTACATTGCGAAGGATTGATGTTATCGTTCAGCTTCAAATTATATTGCATGAGAAATTGGCACAAAAATCGCGCATTCATAAGTACATCTAAAGTACAGTTACTTTCAACCCCTCACGCCGCTTTTTTCCCATCAAGGGGAAATGGGCGGTGCGGCTGAACCCAAGTCATCCGCTTTGCATCCCACATTCTTCTACATTTTTCTTTCTGTATTTTACCTTCATTCGAACAATTGGCTCAGTGAGCACGCCGGTGAGAGATATGTCTGACATTGGCGAACTAGAACTTGAGTCCCTCAACCTAAATGAGCCGGACCAAACTGAGCACCTTGGAACGGAGGCCAACGATTCTTTAGAGATAAGTGAGGAAGAAAAGACATGGAAAAGCCAAGACCTGGATCAACAATGTAAAGATGTGTTGAATCTTTTATCGCAAAACAAAAGATGCTGGGACAGCAATAATGGAAGTGGAGATATTCCGCCTCTCGAAGAGTATAAGAAGCAAACACTCGCTGAGAAAAGGGGGGATAGCAAGGATCTTACTCGATTGACAGCACTCCATGTCCTTGCAAGATCGAAACAAGAGTTCTACCAGGCTCGCAAAGATGTCAGGATACAGCTGGTAGGGTATCTCCTTGAGAATCGAGCTAATGACTCAGAGGAGATTCGATCCTCGGGAGCAGTCAATAAAATGCTAGTCTTTGAAGTGGCTTTATACTACGAGAACGATGAATTCATCGAATGTGTTGAGGAGTGCCTCGGCAACAAATTTCAAGATTTCCTTCATCTTCAAGACGATGAGGGGAAGAATTGCATACATCACCTTTTCTCCTGGCCTCTCGAACGCTGTGGAAAGACTTTACTGCCGCAAAAATCAGCAGAAGAAAATATGTTATATCTGAATCAGCTTAGGAGACTTGCTCTCAAGGCCAAGCCGCAAACCCTTGCGACTGCAGACGGTAAAGGCAACACACCAATTCATTATGCTATGCACGTTAAACAGTGCAACGACAGGGGCGATGATTACGCCGATATTGTCAAAATCCTAATCATAAGGGCTGATAAATTCATGGTCAATAATAAAACACTCTTTAATAATGAGAGGGAGTCTCCCATTATGTACTTGCGCAATATTGTCATTGCCACCAGAGAAGAGGGGAAAAAGAGACAACGGGCGAATCAGAAAGAGCAATTGAACCAGAAGTCCGTCTCGTCCGCCAAAGGTCAGAAGGATCTCAATCAGGTCCAAAGACCGGAGAGCCGAGCAGAGAGCCAAGTGGAGGAGAGCGGTCCTTTGAAGAAATCGCTGAAACTCGCGAATCAAGGCATTTCCATGACAGGAAAACAGAATATTCGGAGCCAGGTTATAGGGGATCAAATCATAAAGAATCATGGCCCGATCATGAATCACTCCATCTCCTCAATGGCAACTGGCCCCTTTCCAGAAGGGCACCGACTGCAGAAAACGGCCACCTCTGAGATTTCCCCAGACAGCACTTTGTTTCAGCGCCAGCACCAAATGCTACCGCCTGGTAGGAAACGAGAACCACCAATTCCAAGTGCCCAAGCAAATGACGGTCTAAACGCTGGGGATGCGAAGCTGGCAAGAGTGAACGCAGCCCCTACAGCGACCACAGCGACTAATAGTCAGAGGGCAACTATACTCCTATCCGACTTTCTCAAAAAATACTACACAGGCACAAGGTCAGACTTAGATGCCCGTGATCTTATATACGGCAGAGGTGCCGAGGGTAAGTTATCTCATGTTACTTTAGCTCGGTCAATCCTATTAGAGTCCTCATCGAATCATTAAAGTGCTCCCGCTAACATGGCGGCCATCCTAGGTTGGGCTACTAATTTGTATTTTGATGCAAGAGGCATCCAAGAGACTAAGAAGATCTTGGAACTTTTGGATCGGATGAAGGCTGGTGGGTTCGGCACCACCCTTTCGTATGTCAGTATTCCGGCTATTCGTCACATTCCGACTGTTCCGTCGACAGCAGACAATCTCGACCCCAGGGATCGAGGTATATCACTCGAGAATCCTCGGCCTGGTCGCACCGATCTTATAGATGTATTCAATAAACTACGCGAGCTCAAGGTGACCCAAATTTTGCGATTAGAGGTTGAAGACAGACAAGCGCCCTCACATATGGATGCAGCTATTGAGAGAGCAATTCAGGGACGGGACTCGGCAGATGATCAATTCTCCAGGCGGCCCATTGGTGTCCATACGTGGTAAGTTTACAGACTCTATCATATCAGAAGGACCTGCGTCTCGTACATCTGACTAACGGAGCAACTAAGGGATTGGCGCAAGCCTGATCTGAGCACCGATGTTATCGCTTTCGCTGCCCCTACTGTGAAAGTAGTAAATTTATACTGGAGTGGGAATCAGACTGTTTTGAAGTCCTGGGGATGTAGTGAAGGCATTCCGAGGTTGCATACAACCACAGGCGTAGAAAAAATCTTCATTCATGCATCACCAGTACGTCCATCGTGTATCTGGTAGACTTCTGCAGCTGGACAGCTTGTACTCACAATATTTTAGGGTTTAGAGACTACGGAAAGAATGAAGACAGCTATCAAGCGATTTAAAGAGGCTTTGAAGGAGATATTTCCAAAGGTGGAACTCGTCCGCCCAACTTCGGTGAGCTGTGATATACCCAAAAATATAGATCTCTCAGACCATGCTAACGGGATATTTATTATAGGGCAGAGAAAATAAAGACAGGTTGAAAACTCCCACGGCACTTGAAGAATCATTGAAAGAAGGATTCTCAAAAGTGGTTGAGATCGAATTCACTTATCATATAGGGGATCCATTTGCCACCATTGATGCCAGCGAAGAGACATCCGACTACCTGGAGGATGATCCAGCTGCGAAACAGCATGTCTGGGTCGACGCTATGGACAAGTTTCGTAGCGCTTTGACCTCAATGCTACTCTTGGAGAAACTTTTGCCGAAAGATAGAGTCAGGGTACGTAGGCGGAACTTCTTTGTTGCAGCACATCCAGCTTACATGCCATCTTAATCCGGCCACAGATTGCCCTGATCGATGATGGAGTGAACCTCGGTAGTGTCGACATGTACGGTGGAATTGTTAATGTCACTGGTCTCAGTTTTCATCCATCTGACCGGCAAACCGAGAACCCGTGGCATTGTTCCAGTGGCGGTCATGGAACCGTCATGGCCAATATGATTTTGCGTATCAATCCATGGGTCGAACTCTTCGTCATCAAATTACACTGCGGAATATCTCACAACCAGGGAAGAACCATCTCGGCTCGTAGCGCAGCCGAAGCTCTGCGAGCTGCTATTGCCCTCAATGTCAAAATCATCTCAGTGTCATGGACCATCAAGTATCGAGGTGCAGCTGGGACAAGCCTGGCTCCGAACGAAAGCGGCCCACCCAATTCGATGAAGAAGGATGCCTACACCGATCTTAGAGAGGCTGTTGATGAAGTCAAGAAAAATGATATTATCATGTTCTGTTCCGCAAGTGATGATATCCAGACCTCTGCGATGAAGGCACTCCCGTATAGTCAGCAATCCGAGCACATCTTCCGCATCGGCGCGGCGCTCTGGCTCGGCCAGCGGGATCCAACGACAGAGACTCCAGATCGAATTGATTGGGTTAGTAGACATCAATTCTCTTGCCACCTCCTTGTCCCATAATTAAAAAAGGGGGGGAAACCTCTTAAGTGAAAGTATAGACTAATCTGTCACAGTACTTCCCAGGCAACCAGGTCGCCGAAGCCCAGAACCCTAGATTGCAGGGCCCAGTCAAATATCATGATGGGTCTTCTGCTGGTACAGCTCTAGCTGCGGGCCTAGCATCTCTGATAATGTACCTCGCAAGGCTGGTGCAAGGTCGGTTTACCGAGACCAACAACATGAGCGAGGCAAAGGTATTTGAGAAGTTCGCCAAAGACCTAGAAGATAGGACGAAGATGAAGCAGGCGTTAGATATGATCGGCAAGAAGGGCAACTATCAGCAAGATAAAAAATACTTGCCCGTATGGAGTACTTTCAACCCTGCAACTGAGGTGCTTACACAGACCAAGGATGTCGGGCTGAAATGGGAGGAGCTCGCGAGGTTGGTGAAGTCGCTTTGCTCGGAGCAAGGCGGGTGATGAGCGGCTTATTCAATATCTTCCTAGGCATTTTCGTAGACAGTTTCATCCTGGATATTGACTTATTTCTGAGTTAACGACCTGCGAGTCGAGGAACTAAAACTCATTCCCTCTCTACCTTGTATATTATTCGGTTTTGTCTTGTTACGTACATTTTCATTGATGTGATTCGAGCCTTAAATAAGACACAGCTTACATCTTTGTCTAAAAAAAGTATTGGAGGCACCTCCAGCTGTTCCTAAATGGATTCTTTTCAAGTTGCAACTAGTGCCACTGTGAAGATTTTTGCCAGAGATATAGGCTATATATATATATATATATGCTCAGGTTCACAATCAATCAGAATCATGGCCGATATGAGAGCTCCCAGCGCCTCGTCCAAGCACATACGACCATAGGTAGTTGAGAATTCGGGGTCCCGTCAGGGACTTTTCTTGAGTGGAATGTCTGTTATCTTTTTACATTTTAAAAAGAAAAAAGAGTCATGGATGCATTCCGTAGTTGGGTATTAGTCGTGGTGGGCAATAAGGTACATAGTAATAGGTGAATGCACAAGTCCAATCCTAAAAAATGTCAATTGAAGCCAGCCGCTGCGCTGTTCCGGTGGCCTTGTAATAGCATTGATTTCTGTCAACTTTGTCTCGTATACGGAGTAATAGCTGAAAGACAAACTAGTAGCAACCTTTTCCGAGCTGTGAAGTTGTGTATTTGTAGTAGCGTACATATATTTATCGAACTTCACATAACACTGCAAAGTGGACAGCTATGATGGTTAACAGCAAAAGATACAGCAATATGAAAGCATGGATGTGATGCTATATAACAACAAGGCGCAACAGAGACCTGACTATGTGCTAGATTCGCAATGGGATCGGCCATACTGAGGGCGTTTATCGTTCCAATCTCTCCATCCTTTTCATATAACTTCTAAATACAGCATTCGAGTACTGTAAGACAGCCTGCATCTAGTCGAACCGGACTGCAGAGCGGCCTATCACAACAGCTACTCATAATATCCTTCAGGAAATACAGCCTCACGATTTCAAATGCTGCCGGTGGAGGTGGTGCGCTAATCTGAAGTCTTGCTTTCACCGCCGCTTCGAACAATTCTTCTTCACGAGTAAGCTAGAAACCTCTGTTAGCAATATGTAAACCGGTTTATAAATTTTCACTTTACAGACTTTGATCATTGCGTTGGCCATATTGGCCTCATCCCTACTCGTATATTCAGCGAGCGCAAGATCGATACTGGCCGCATTGGCCTCCTGAACACTTTCAAAGAGTTCGTCATAATAGCTATAATATTGCTTCAAATATCGTTATTTAGCCTTATGAAGTATGTTTTTTTTTTTTTTAAATGAAGATGGCAGACGAACTTACAGTAATAAAGCCCGCGCTATTAGGATCGTGAGAAGTCAAGTAGTTGGTAAATGCGTTATACACTTCGCTAATATTACCAATATCCTGTACTAAATCGGCAGGAGTAAGTTCAGCATAGGCCTGAAACCCTAAAGGCGTAATAAGGGCCCAGGTAAGAAGTCGGAAGAGCATTATGATGGTGTATTTTGGCAAATATAAAAAAGATATGCAGTGTTCTTAAGTTAACAGAGTGAGGATTTGAAATAAGAAGCGGGATATTAAGTAGTTATGAGTTATTAGTTGAAAGGTTTGGAGGCATATTCAGCTGAGTGACGCCCTGCAGCTGAAATATTGGTCATGTGAAGGAAGTTTGCCACCTCAACTGAGACATTGCCTCGCTTATTTCAGCCGTTGTATCCTTGCATTAAACAGAATTCGCAGACAGGTTGACAGGCAAGAGAGTAAGAGGGCGAGTGGGGGATAGAGAAGCAAGGACAACAAAATGGATATTAAGTGTGTACAGCGTTACAACATAAGCGCCTTTTGCCACTATACTCAAGGAGATTGCTTTGGTCTGTGTATAGTTCTGCCGCGTGTGCTTAAAATTTGTTCATTCCCTGTTTTTGGTCCCGTCACAGAAGAGATGGCCAAGGCTGTGGCAAATTATTCGCCGCAAGGGAGTCGTGGCGTTACTTCTAGACCCACGAGAGGAAAAATATCATTATTACAAAATAAATTATTAAAACAGCAGGAAAAAGATTTCATCTTTAGCAAGCAAATAATAAATTTATTTCTTACGTCTAATGATGGGACAAACTAGTGTACTTGTGGGAGTGTATTCACGTCTAGTGACGGTATGGATGCTTTCCCCTCTCAACTCTTTGTTGTATATACCTACATGCCGTTGGTTTTGTCAATCTAAGGCGAATCGCCAGTCTAGATCAAGCGCATACGATCATATCCATTAGAGAATACGGGATCCCCGTTAAGCACTCCCCCTGAGTGTGGTGCATTTATGCCTGGTGTCAAAAGACGTCAAATACGGCGTCGCATGATACCATCTTAAGTTGATCAACGAACCCTAGCAAGCAAAGCACAGAAAACCTAAGACTAAAAGAATTACAAACATATGCGCGTTAAATTATACACCTGTTCTTTAACTATCTGCTATAATATCTATATTTCTTTAGTATCTACTGTAATATTCATACTCCTTTAATATCTACTATTAATTCTATATTTCTCTAGTGCCTGCTACTGCATTTATATTCTTATAGTAACTGTTACTATTGTTCTATAGTAAAATTCGGGTGCTGAACGTATGCACTTCTTTATCTTGCGGTCTTGCTTTTTCTGACCTCCGCTTGGGTGCGTGTTAATTTAGCCAGCGAACCCTAGCTGTTGTATCATTGTCCACTCCCTTTACTGTCAATTCTATTTTTGTTTTGCACTCCTTTCTTAGTAAGTGCTCTGTACATATACTAATCATCTTGCAACCTCCAGCACATATGACCACAGGTAGTGGGAAATTCAAGGTCCCTCAAACTCTCGTCTTGGATTAGTGATCTGCCGTTTTCACTCCAGGCCTCCAACGTCGGAGCCTAATGACCGCTGTGATAAGATCCCTGTATCCACCACTGGACCATTAACATATCTGATCCAACTAAATGACATCGTGAAAAAGTGATATGGACTGCCTTCAGAACCGAGAACCGAGTATTGATCTGATCCTGGCCAGCTTTCGGCAAGCTGGAGCCATCAAAGCTCAAATTATCTCATAAGAACTCGGATACATGACGGGACTCTCTCACACTGAATGAAATATAATGATCATGAACCTCGGAATCAAGCACATACGACCATAGGTAGTGGAGAATTCGGGGTCCCGTCTGCTCCCCCAAGGACAAGCCACTAACCGGCAGATTAGTAGTTAAGTGGGTGACCATTAGCGAACACCGGCTGTTGTATGTTTTTGCAATTTTTTTGAAGTTTCGGTTGCTGTGTTGCGAGCTGGAATTTGAGTCCGAGTTATCGAGGCCCTGGCACATACGACCATATCCATTAGAGAATACGGGATCCCGTCTGCTCTCCCAGAGTCAAGCTAATGAGAGACAGATTAGTAGTTGAGTGGGTGACCATCAGCGAACACCGGTTGTTGTATGTTTTTTCTTTTTCTTTTTCTTTGTTTTTCAATGCCAGATCATGATCGTGTTATGCCGTATATTACAAAGAGCTGAGTTGAGCGGTTGTGGTGTGATATTTCCGTATACGGCACATGGCTGCAGTCAGCTCGGCTAGCCCAATCAACTCAATCCTGGCTGACTAAAAAATTACAGAAACTCAGGGGTACAAATGCGGAGCGCAAATACGGAGCGCAGCAAAGACTCGGTGTTTGATTGTCGGGATTTTGTTTAGACTTACATTTAGCTCAGTCCACTCACATGCCCATGGAATTCCGTAAGCAAATCATGCTTCAAGATTCCACACCATCGTATTCCGTTAGCGATCTAGCGATCCTTCACCAACACCTCAACCGGATTCTTCTCGTTCAGCTCATCCGCTGTAAATTAAAACCGGCTCCATTTTCCCCTTCTTGCTTCTGACGTAAGACCTATGTCGAGGCTAACTCTGTCTTTCAACCGTCTACAATTATATCATAGTCAACGCCTGTGGACGGATTTTCACCGCCTCGAGACATTGACAGACAACCGACATTAGCTTGGCCCCCTGCCCTGGATTTTCTTAGTTGCTCCAATAACCTCTTCACAACACCTTCCTTTTGCGCATGAGGTCATATGGTGAGATTCGTATATTTATTAGTAGTTGTATTCTTCACGTCAGTTAGGAAATGTATATAAGTCGGCTCTTAACTGCTGGTTTAGTTCCTCTTCACTACAACTCTTTGCAGCTCATTCCTCTTTAACACTTTGCTCCAGTAACCAGTCAATCTACGACCATGATGGGCATCAAGAACGTCGTCTTGCTCTCTATTGCAGCCCTTGCCCAGATTGGCAGCTGCACACCTACAGGCCAAATTGAGCCACCCATCCCAGAGGTTTGTAATATTACACAACATCCAATACCATCCTTTACTGAACAGTACATATAGCTCGCTCGTCGTGCGCCAAACACTATCTGGATCTGGGCTGGCCCGTAAGTTCATTTCAGTGCTGCTAGTCTGCCGAACAACTACTGACTTGTAAAAGTAACTATACCGGCCCAAGCCAGAGTCTGACTTACAACTCCGTTAATGAATGCAAGGCCATTAACTGGGAGACCATTGGATCAATTTGGTTGCCCGATAGTAAGTTTCATATCTGAAAGCCTACAATATTGACTGCTAACACAGTTCTCAGACGTTGTCTGCACATTCACCGTCAAGCCCGGCGACTGCCAGGATGATGTTGGCAACTTCCGATCCCAGACTATCTTCCCCTCGGGCCTGGCAGATATTCGCCAGTGGTACGAGCCAAGAGTGCCCGCCGATATCACGGCTTACTGGTTCCACAACGCCCGGTCAATCCAGTGCGGTGGAGCAAACTTTTAGAGGAACGGCCGGAATAATTACTTCCATGTAGATTTGAGCGACTATTTGATAGTATATAGTAAATAATTCTATTAGATCTCACAGACACAAGCATGATGAGATCCACGTCATAAATTCCAGTATAGGTGCCAAGCGCGGGACCCGGGACAGCAATAGAGAATTTTGGCGCCGTCGCATCTGGTGCTCTATGTACATGTAACCAGTGGATACAGTCCCAGTATCCTCCGTACAAGTTCAAAAGGCCCATTCATTGCAATGTTCCTTTTTATATTAGGAGACTGTGAGGTGTCCGTAACCTTTTGGCTCTTGACTGTACAAAGTACAGCACGGACGTTGGTAGTCGCATTAGTATTACTAGGCAGGTTCAATATGAGCATTCCTCTTGGCTAGCCCCCAGTCCACTCAAAGCACGGATCCTGTGCATACAAGTACAATTTTTCTCTGCTCAAACACTGCCAGAGGCCGAGGATCTTATAACTCATTCTCTATCCCTTTACAAAGCTATGCTTGGAGGCTCATCATAATCGGTATGTGGACAAATATATTGCGGCATGTCCTACCTCCGTATACGAAGACCGTCTAATAACTCATCACAGCCTCGCCACGCCCTCGGACGCACGCCCACCCACGATCGACTATTGACTACTACCTCGAACGTACTCGTATTCTAAAAGGCTGACGTTCGCTACGTCCCATCAAGCGTCTGAGAATAATATCCAGACCTCAGTAACGCCGAGATACGGTTTCCGAAGATACGAAGGCCCACATCTCGGCATTTCGCCTCCCTTCCCCTTCCAAAACACTTTACCATAACCCCGGGCGGGCTCGACGCTCGGCGTGGTCTGATAGCCACCGATTTGTGGTATGATGGGGTTTTCAGACCTGCCCGAAAGGGTTCGTTACGATATATATAAGCGAGTGCTCGTGATAGCACACCCAATCTATCTTTTTCAAGACAATGGATCTCGAGTGGAGAGATTTGCGCCCGATATACCCATACGCTGGCTCGCCTTATTACATAGCAATGGACAGATATCTCGCGAGGCACGTGCAGTGTTATACGGTATGAACCGCTTTACTTTGGTGGATACAACGCAGCAACAAGTTGGCCTCCTTCAATCCTTTTTGGACCGCATCGGACCTGTGAATGCAAATCTGCTCTCTCATTTATGTATCAATTTCCCAGTGGTGGAGAAGAGGAAAAGCCAATCCTGCGAGATCGAGCTCAGAGAAGATGGTCGGCAGAGCTTGAGACTTCTTCAAGAAAAATGTGCTAACCTAACGACACTGGAAACCTTCATTCACAGCAATAATTCTGATTTCTTGACCGAGCCATGCGAGGACAATCGAGCCAAGCAGGATAACTCACAGTTTATTCGTGAGGCATTGCTGCGAGTTGATGCGCAGCTAAGAGCTATTCCTTCGTTGAAGCAGGTCATCGTCAGAGTCTATGTGGGAACCCTGACCCCTTCGGTAATGGATATGATGCGAGGGCTCGGATGGGTTGTCGTGTTGGGCGACCGATAATATAGTTAAACAAGAAATTGGTGTTTATTGAATGAATCTGGGTTGGTCGGTGGTATAAGGCCAAGTCTTCTCAGAGCTTACAGCAGACGCCGAACATTGACATATTCCTCAGAACTTAAAAGTCACATCTATCAGCCAATGAACCTAGGTCGATGCGCACATCAAAGTCTCTTGAAACCCTAAGAATGAATAGCATCTTTGCATTAGTAGAAATGGAAGTCATCTATCCTGGGGGGATATCAGGTTGGACGAACTACGGCTGAGTCCACAGAATTCAGGAAGGACTCGACTCAGGCAAGTGTGCGGGGACTGTGCTTCATTCAACAGCTCGTTTCTTGATATTTTTTTAATCCGGCTATCGCTATGAAATTCCGAGGTGGTTTCTACAGACACTCTCGCCATCAGTTGTGGCCCAGGTTGACGCCCATCCAACAATTCGGCCTTGAGCTCTGCCATTTGCCGAGCTCTATCTGTTAATCGGCGGATAACTGGTACGTAGTTCTTGCTCACAGCTATGCATAGAAACTTATTGCCCCATCGGCCCCTAGTCATGATATCTAGCATATGATCAATGAGGTCAAATACCACATTCCATCTTTCGCGATATTTGCCGGAAGCACTATTAGACCATCGCTTTATGACTAGTTGAAAATACTCAATGTTCTGAAGATGTTGACCGATTTTACTCTCGAAGAGAAATGTAATTTTAGCCTGGACAAATCATCCCATTGGAGAATCTGATCCGCAGCACTCATAGCTGTATTCGGGAGATATTGGTCGCTCGTCGAAATCTAAGCTCTCGAGCATCTTTCGCAACATGGTTTCCGAGCCGTAGAGCGACGTAATACTGAGCAGATCATAAAGACCGCTGTCGAATACGAATCTGGACTTGATCGTGCAATCCAGACGGCAATTCTGTGTAATCCAGTTATGCAGTCAGGTTGGCCCTGCTTGCGGCTCAAAAATCCTCAAGCAGTAGCTGCCCAACAATTGAGTTACCCTGATTCGAGGACACCCATCATGACTTCTCAAACAGGTACAATTCGACTGTTTGAGCATCCAATCCTAGGATAGGGAGTGGCAATACTTGTTTGGCCTGCGTCTTCCAGCCCGCTTGATCAAGAAGGCCAAATACTGCGTTCTCGGAAGAGTGCCGGGGCTTCGTCCCAACAAAGACCTTGGTCGTGAATGACGATTCCCCCTTGGCCTTGGCCTTGTTCACATTAGAAGCATGCAAGGCTGACAGCGTTTCGACCAAGGAGAGGAGCCCATCTTCGTTGTACGTGCAATCGCTTAACACGATTAGATCCCAACGCCGGGCTTGAACTTGCGGCCCGAAACGGCCTTTCCTGCCATCCTCCCAATCCAGATTCTCGTATAGTAGTTGGGCGGTGTCTTCTCCAGTCTTGTGAGTCTTATGTTGCAAGCGAGAAATATTACATCTTGTCCGGGCTTCTGCATCTTCCAAGTCGGTCAGCAAGACGGTACAACCTCCAGACCCAGCCGGCCGCATATGTCGAAGCACAGAGAAGAGACCAATGCCCAATGTGCCAACACCGCAACCAAGCTCCAGAATGTTCAATTCGCCGGCAGTGCACAATATGTCTCGCATGGCGGTCATGGTCACCCCTTGATTCGAAACGTAGTTTTTGCCTGCGGGAATGCCGGCGACAGCGCAAAGTGTAACAACTCCTCCATCCCAGACATGGCGAGCCATGCTCTCACCCAGCTCTTCCTCTATCTCGAGAAACTCTCCTCTTTCATTTGTGCCGCTCAAATATAGCCTGCGTGTACAAACGTGATCATCATTATGCCCCTTGATGCGTAATTCCGCCCATACAGGCATGATTAGTCCCTGCCCAGCCTCGGCCAGGACAGAGTTGGTTGAATCCATGAGTATGCTCTGCACCCCCGTCGCTGAAAGCGCTGGCTTAGCACTGATACATATTTCGGTCTTGGAAGAGGCCGCCAACGCCTTTATAAACTGTAAGGGAAGATTGAGGTTTGGCTTGAGGATTCTCATGCCTGGCTTCCAAACCAGCTGGCCACGTCCAGTGAGAGCCCACGTCGTCTTGCCGGAGGAGGACGCCACTTCAGCCGTAATGATGATCTCGAGAGGTTCTTGCACAAAGAGAAGCGAGTCGCTCAGGTCCGTATTTATTGTGATGACGAGGTCTAGTCGAGCCTTGGAGCCGCTTGTCGCCAACTTGGGCGGTGCAAGAAGGCGTATATAGTGCATCGTTGACAATTTCGCGCTGCAGACCAAACACAAAATGCTTATGAGAAACCCAGAATATCCGCTGCACTGCAGAAGCTGGCGGCCTGAATAAGCATTCACCGACAGGCACTCTGTGTATGCAATGGATCGTTATGTTATGAAAAACTCACGGCCACCATTGTGCAGGCTTGGAGTTTTCGCTGCTGAAAATATTGATCGGGTGCATGTGGAAATCACAAGGTTGAGGCTGATTGAAGCTTCTGATTGGTTGGAAAAGGCGGGCTTAGGATCAGCTCTGGTATTGAATTGCCCAACTACTACTTTCTGGGGGGAAAAACTCCCAGCGTACTTTACTTCTTGTACACTCTAAATGTAAATCACTGATATATAATGAAGTGCTCTGGATCTTATAGACACAGGCATGACGAGACCGTGGAAACCATAAATTACGCATAGACACTAAGTGCGGGATCAAGGGCGGCAATGTCTGCCACCGACTCCCTCCATAGTTTGCCAATAAACTCTTCTCCCTCGGGAGTATTGAGAAAAGCAGCTCCTCTATTCATTGTTGTCAGTGCATATCATAATGACATGGTAAACATTTTCAAGTGCACGTACGGATCGACTTTGTTATGCTGCAAAAATTTGCCATTGGTTTCAGGTCCCGCAACGACGCTTGCAAATATCAGCGTTCGCGCTCCCTCGTCCACCGTACGAGCCATAGACTTGCGTACGAGTCCCATTGGGAGCCTGAGGTAAAATGGAAGGTTCTTATCCAGTCCCGTTTGCACAAGGCCAGGACAGGGGTTGTTGACGATGACTTCGGAGGGCGCCAATGCAGCCAGGCGGCGAGCATAAGCATTGACAACAGTCTTGGTATCGGCGTAACGAAAGTATTTGCTAAAACTAGCTTCATCGTCAAAATGGCCGAGGACCGAGCTGTCGGGTGCTATAGGCTTCTTGGAAAGAGTATTCTGCTTAATCTGGGTGGCAGAGCCCGTAAATGTGATGCGTGAAGGCAGTCCTCTAACCGCGGCCGTAGATCGCAAGAGCGGGAACAGCTCAAGAGAAATTAGAAGATGTGTGTAGCAGTTCACTTCAATCGTAGGGAAATAAATCAGCATTTTCTCAGTTCCGTCCAACTGTCGGGCCATGTCCCCTTTTTCTCTCTCACCTTGCATGTTCCGCTCGTGGTTACTCTTGCTTTTCTCATACCCTAAAAATACCTGTCCACCATTGTTCAAGAGAATATCGAGTTCCTTGACCTCATCCTTCACCTTCTTAGCAAATCGAAGTCCAGACTGGTAGTCGTCGAGGTCGAGCTCAAACGCTTCGATCAAGGCGTCGGGATTGGACGCTTTGACGGTAGGGTCCCCACGAAGAGATGCTACGGCATCTTGTCCTCGAGCAATAGAGCGACACGCTAGAATCACGCGAGAGGCGCCCAATGTAAGGTATTGTCTGGCAGCGTCGTACCCCAGACCAGCATTGCCGCCGGTGATGATGACGGTTTTACCACTGATATTGGCCTCGCTGGGAGTGGGAGGAATAGGAGGCTGACCCATCGCACGGTATAAGAGGACAGAGTCGGATTTTGATCGTATGGGAGGAACAAAATCTTATGAACGATAGATGTGTATACATATAATGTGTTGGTGGAGCAAGTCCATGGCCTTTTTATAAATCGGGAAAGGCATGGCTTTCGGAATTGGTCCTCGATTTTAGGCAAACGTATAAGATGTAGAAAGAAGATTGTGTCAACCCCCGCCCTAGAGTAGGATCTACTTACTATCTCCCTGCTTTCCACAGATCCCCGAGAGTCTTGGCTCACCGAGTGTTAGCTGAACATCTGAAGCAACTAGGTGAATGTAGATACACTAGCAACGGAATAGGCAATGCTGGACGGCCTGTTATTGGTGGTCGAATACAAGTATTCTCAGTCGAAGGATTCCGCACTTTGTAAGCAAGAAGATGGAATAAAAGTATGCCCCACATGATTGCACATCCATTTCCACCTCGTCGAGATCCAAGGCAACTATTGAATGCCGGACAACTCCACTGGTTAAGCGATGTACATAACCCTTGAAACTCCGCTCGCCTTTACAAGTGCCTCATATCTATCCTGATCCGATCCGCAGCCAAGTCCGCAGCTTAGCACCTAACAAGCTCCAGGTAGACGTCGGCAGACGCAGATAGGCGACAAACATGGGATTCGGAGTGCCTGAACACGATACAAACGCCGTTACCCAATGACTGATATCCGACTAAATGGTTCATATTGAGAGTGTTGGAGATCCAACTCCGCAATGAAAGATGCCTGAATGAACTTCAATGTTGAGGGATACCTAATTATCTCAATTATAGTAGCACTAATATAAGCGAAGTATGGACACCGTTCAAGAAGTGAGTAGACCGACGGAGAACAAGGTGCAAGACATAAATACAGATGTATCACTGTCTGCAGAAGATTGGATTTGGTTCAGCGTAAACAATGAAAAGATCTCTCAGGTAATACGCAGCTATACGCAGCTATACGCAGCTATCATGTGCTTTCTCCCCTGCTCATACGCTTGCTTACTCATGTAGCATCTGCCGAGATGCTTCTTTAAATTCGACTTTCCCCTTTATAGAACGCCCAGCTTTCCACCCTACTTCTAAACGCTAGGTATTGCGCTTTAGTCAGTCTTATTCACGTCATCATCATACTAACATCTCTCTTTAATGTGCAACATCAAGATGGTGTTGTGCGGCAGATCATTACATCTTGGATCCAACTTCTCTCGGGTGTCCACGATTGAACTGGCATTCATATTCGCTACTTTGAATCGGCACTAGATCAAAACACTTCTTAGGGGGGAGAGGCTCTTTCACATCCATGGCCCCAATCAACGACTCGCGTACCAAGTATATACACGAATGCACTTAGAGGTCTGTAAAACTCGAATGTCGTGACAGCGATAACAAGACGGAATGTCCCACAATTGTCTCTCCAATATACCGCACAGGTAGCCGCATGTTGGAGAGGGTGCATACCAAATGCAATTATGAGTCAGTCAGTCAACACACTCGTGGTTGAATCCTTCATGCTCCGCTCCTTAAGATGCGACAAACTGGCAGATATTATCATTTCTCATTTCACATACTCTTCATCTAACAATTTCTTCATCTCTACATCCACGTATTGCCTCGCCCTCGTCGATCATGACTGACATCAACGTTCTTACCATCACCGCATCTGAGCTCGAAGCCAAGCTCAATGACAATTCCATCACCAGCAGGCAGCTAGTCAAGCTCTATCTCTGCCAAATAGCCAAATACAATGGATACCTAAAAGCCGTCATCGCTGTGGCGCCTGAGGATCTTTTAGACAAGACAGCTGCTAAGCTTGATGCTGAACGAGCTGCAGGCAACGTCCGCGGGCCGCTACATGGCATTCCGATTCTTCTCAAGGTGCTCAATTCTCGTTTCAATATTTACATCCTCAAGATACATCTCATGCTGATATATGCTATCCTTCCAGGACAACATCGCCACCGTCCCAGAGCTAGGGTTGCCCACTACCGGCGGCAGTCTTGCGCTTGTCGGCTCCAGGCCGAGGAAGAATGCAGAAATTGTTGACCAGGTAATAAAGATCAGAAAAAATCTCAAGAGGAGAGTCCTAACCTATCCAAAGCTCATAGAAGCGGGCGTCATCATCATTGGCAAAGCAAACTTATCTGTGAGTCATCGCGATGCAGGTGCGCGGGCAACCTTTCCTAACTTGTCTTAGGAGTGGTCTGGGTACAGGTTTGTCTGCCTTTCCTAGCAAAAGGAATGCCGCTCATTCCTCATCAAGGTCGAATAAGGCGAGCTTGGGGTGGTCTGCTGTGGGCGGCCAGACGCAGTCTGCATACGTCCGGGGTGGCCTTCGCGAAGATGACTCCAATGGTGGCCACAGTGTAACTCTCACCTCCACAAACCGCTCGGGATGGCACATGTCTAACAAGTAGCTAGAGCCCTGGAGGTTCTTCCTCCGGCTCTGCCGTCGCAGTCGCTGCGGGATTCTCGCCCATTTCCGTCGGGGCCGACACCATGGGCTCTCTCATCATGCCCAGCGATAGGTCCGCATTGTATACCATGAAGCCCACCGTGAAGATTGTGTCGCAGGCCGGCATCATTCCCATCACTCTCGAGCTAGACTCCGCCGGCCCTATGGCCAAATCGGCCTTGGACCTCGCGAATCTTGTTCAAATCCTTGTAGATCCGAGCAAGACGACGATACCTCGAGGTGGATACAAGACCGCCGCGACTGGTTCATGGGGCGACATTCGGATCGGCATCTTGGAGCCTGAGAAATGGCTTTTTGAGACGGAACTCGTCAAGTACGAAAAGCAGGCGACCGATCAAATGGTATAGCCCCGTCATGTCAATTGTGCTTCCATGACTAACATCATTGCCAGCTACGAGAATGGAAGCAGGCTTACGAGAAACTGAAATCTGTAGCCAAAGTTGTGAAACCTGTGACTCTCATATCGCTAGAAGAATCCACCGATAATGGAAGGATTAAAATATTCAACGCCTTTGGTAAAGTTACGCCAATTGATACGCCTCAGAATATGTCATTGACTGCCATTTAGACACAACTTTCAAGGATCTCGTAAAAGATTATCTCTCGGGAATTGACAACAGCAAAATCCAATCACTTGAGGATCTTATCGAGTTTAATGAAGCCCATGCAGACAAGGAACTTCCCCCAGGCGAGTCAATACGTACCTACGTACATGTGTGTATAGAGGAAATGATCTCAAAGTCTAATCGGTTACGCAGGTGCAGACAATCAAGCAGCTCTTCTCAGAGCCGCGCAGGCGAAAATGACCGATGATGAGTACAACGACATTATGAACAGCGCTCGCGAGCTCTCTGGTAAGAAGGGAATTGATAAGACACTCGAAGAGAACGAGGTCGACATCATCATCGGACCCGGAGACGGTCCAATGTTTGGCATTCCCCTCAAAGCAGGTGAATTGGCCGAATGCAACTCCAAAAGACTGTACATGTCAATCTAACAGATGGACTTTAGGCTACCCAGTAGCGACGGTGCCTCTTGGCTATCTCGAGTTCAACGGGAGGCCCTTTGGCATGCAAATTACGGCCAAAGCACACCAGGAAGCTCTGCTGATTCAAGCTCAGAGCGCATGGGAGGCGACTTTTCCAAAGCGCCAGCCGCCACCACTGCATGAAATAGCTCTCAATTGAGATTTCACGCCAGTGAAGCTGTAATACAACTTTGATCTCAAAATTATAAACAAGAGTGCCATTACACGCATGGTTTGTACATGTACATCATAATAGCTGACCGAGTTAATCCACCGGTATTATCCATGTAACACACAAGACATCGCGCCTCGTGAAGATTCCCGTAATGAATGAGATCTCAAGCATACCTCGGTGTAATGTAGCACCACCGGCAACATCAACTTCAACGACACTCACATTCCGTCTCACACATCACGGCACCTGAAGCGGGGCGCCGAAGCGGAAGCCTCCGCATACGGCCGAAGATCCACTACAGCTCATGACTGAGAGCTTCAAGCAAAATCTCATCTCCATTGTGTCGCGTCTCATGTTATCGTTATCCAACTTACACATTTTGTAGTCCAAATCTTTTTTCTCTTTTCATCTACCTTTCTGCACTCTGCAAATAAGATTCAGTCGCCCAAAAATAGCTCTCGCATACAAACGGCGACCCGAGTGAGCGTATTTTGTTCACAACAAAACGCCACAAATCGGCGGCTAGTAGATCACAGCCCCCACCTGCAAAATTTCATCACTGTTGTTGAACTTAGATCTTAGTCACTCACCTATCCACTCATCAACTACACGCAACCCTTTAGATATAAAAACAAAACCGTCAATAATCGAACATCAACGTCAGGGCAGAATCACCACAAAAAGAAGAAAGCCCACCATGTCGTCCTCCGAAGCCATCACCTCCATCTCCCTGCAGTCCCTGGAGAAGCTCTCCACAGGCAAGGTCCGCGATCTCTTCGGCCTCGACGACAAGTCCCTGCTCTTCACTGCCACCGATCGCATCTCGGCCTACGACGTCGTCCTCTCCAATGGCGTCCCCGGAAAGGGCCTCATCTTGACCCAGATCTCCGCCCATTGGTTCTCCGTGCTCGAGCAGAGAGTGCCCGGCCTGAAACACCACCTGCTATCCCTGTCGGCGCCGGCCTCAGCTCCCTTGACGCCGGAGGAACGTGGCCTGCTCCGTGGTCGAACCATGGTGTGCCGCCGGCTCAAGGTGTTTCCCATTGTGAGTTGTTGCCGGCGACATGTCTTGGGCACGAGGTGCTCTATTTTTATCGACAGACGCGCAGACCGCTGATTCTTTGCTTCGACGTTCTAGGAAGCTATTGTGAGAGGCTACATCACCGGCAGCGCCTGGAGCGAATAGTACGTTTCTCCTCATCTCGCCTCATCTCACCTCACCCATCTAGCTTCATGCTTGTTGGTCAACACACAACCTTGAGCAATCAGCCATCATAGCATCGCCACCGGTCACCGATCAACCCCCGGCTCTCTTGAACAAAGATGCTAACAATCCTTGTTCAGCATCGCCCACGGTACCGTCCACGGCATTCCTCAGCCTGCCGGGTTGCAGCGATGCGGCGCTTTCCCCAACGGGCCCATTGTGAGTTAAGGCTCTCCTCGTCCAATGGTCTTCTCTACTTCCCAGTCTGTTATCACAACTCACAACCGCCACCGCTTCCTTGGCTTCGCCCTTCAGCTCAACAAGGACTCCTCAAACTGACAACCAACAACCAGTACACCCCATCCACAAAGGCCCCTGCAGGCGAGAAAGATGAAAACATCTCCCCCCAGCAGGCCGTCGAAATCGTAGGAGACAAGTATGCCGCCCGCATCCAAGAGCTTAGTCTGTCGGTGTACAGCGCCGCCGCCGCCTACGCCCGTGAGCGCGGCATCATTGTTGCCGATACCAAGTTGTGAGTTTCTCTCGCCCCGGTCTTGCTATTACTCATGCAGCTGTGAATCCTTCCATTGCGGGTCCCCTATGGACTTGTACAACTGACCGATCACCTTGGAATTGCCGCTCTCTACATGCATGCCCTGAAACCTGAATTCTCATCATTTCTCGCCTTGCTGCCTGCCGGACTGTCAGCTAATAGCTCCATGCAGCGAATTCGCCCTTGACGAGGCTACCGATGAAGTCGTCTTGGTAAGGCAACCTCTCCCATCACATGTCGGCGGCGGGTTCCTGAAACCCAGCCAGGCTGCCTCTGAATGGATCCCAAAATAACCATAAACTAACGTTTCACACAGGTGGACGAGGTCTTGACCCCGTAAGTCGTATAAGCCAATCACTCACCCCATGCCCTACCGGAATGATCGGAGAGCTCTTGGAAGATCCAGGATTGTGACTTGTCAAGTGCCGTCGCGCGCAGCATCAAAGAACGCTCCTGTTATTTTTTTTAATCAAAAACGCCTACTGACACCCAAACCAGTGACAGCTCAAGATTTTGGAATGCAGCCGAGTGGAAGGAGGGTAGCGAGGCCCCTTCGTACGACAAGCAGTTTGTCCGCGACTACTTGACCAGCAACGGACTCAAGGGCAAGCCAAATGTAAGTCACATCGCACAGGGTTATTCCCCTTGGCTAGCTCCTATTCCCCGATCTTCGCATGGGGAAACAAAACAATCCGATGTCACGATATGAGGGGGAGGGTCCAGAATCCAGCCCCCCTGACTCGTGTCACCAACATGTCACTGACTGATGGGTTCTAGGTCGAGCTACCCGAGGCCGTCGTCCAGGAGACAGCGCAAAAATACAAAGATGTGTTTGAGAGGTGGGTACTCGGACAGCAACTCGTCACAACTCACCTACTTGGACGCGAAATCAAATGCTGACCACCAGAGCCAATAGACTGACGGGCAAGACTCTGGACCAAGCTCTGGCCGCCTTGGAAAATTAGAGTCACGAGAACCTGAAACGCAGCGAGAAATGGGAGGGCGAGACATGCAGAAGAAAAAAATAGCGGAGATACGAGGCGCGCGAGCTGTCAGATTCAAGGTCTAGGGGGGGAAAAGTGGCTTAGTCGAAAAAAAGAGAATCATCCCACGCTTCTTCTCATGCCAAGACTCTCTTTGTCCTGGGTGAATGCTTTTTTTTTTTGCCCGCTCAGGTGAAGTCTAGATCGCGAACGAGTGAGGCGCCCCCCTTGCGTCTCGGACTCTTGAACACAGCTACGAGGCCCGGGCCTCGGCCGTGAGACAGAAAGCTTCGGTTGATTTTGCCTAGCACCCAATAGACAGGCAATGAGCAAATCAAATAAACGGGACGGGGTGGAAACGTTCCAGAAGTCTCAGGCGTCAGGACATTAACCTAGACGCTGATCCCCGTCTAAGGAAGATGGCAGCCCTCGACTCGGGCAGCTATTGGCCAGAATGCCCGTCGTGTCATGGGCTTGTCCTTGTCCCGCACCCCCAGAAGCAGCCCTTAGCTCTGCTTGGGCTCCGTATTAAGTCCCTGAAGATAGCCTGTCGGGTCTTATCTGAACGCGTCTAACCGGGCAATCCCTCCATGGATCCTCAAGCCGGCCTCGAAACCGGGTTCGGTAGTCACTCTCAACCGCTGGCGTTGTAACCCGAACGTATCTACCAATGAGGGCCCATATGTCAACGTCCGCCAGTATAAGCAGAGTCCAGACCACTTGATCTTATGCCAGCGACCGCCGACTGATGGCCTGGATGATTCTAGACCTTGGAATCACGAGAATCTAGGAACAAGAACGCATCGGCGATCCCACAGTATCACCAATCGAGGTGCAGCTGCGGCGGGGTTGGCTCTCGGCCCAGTCGGCTAGCCGGCCACAAGCAAAGCTGGGCATGCTACCTTGGGTGCATGTAGAGTCCAGAACGGGACCTACGGGACCCGGATTCGATGCTGCAATACCTGTTCATGCAACGGAGGGTGCCTTATCATGCCCAAGGTATGGGTTCCTGCGCAGATACACATGTAGTGTGGATAGAGGGGAATGTTCAGCAACAGGCGGCTGCATGAGCAAGCCATGGTACAGCAGATCTATCATATTCTTGTTCTTACAGCCACACGAGGCTTCTCCTTCTTTTACGCAGGTCAGGGATTGCGCCGAAGAGAGTGTGTCAACTTACATGTACGTACTACTCCTGGTAATAGTACCTGTCCGAGGCACCAGCCTACCTCTACCTGTAACATCCATGTGCTAGCTCGCGCACAACGCACACCGGTCCGCGGAATCATCAATACTGTCCGGTACCTGCGCTCGCATCCTTGGGTCATCGCTAGTTGAAACGAGCACGCTACGCAGCTGCAGGATCCAATGGGAAAGTTTAGAATCAAGGGACCGATGGGATGCCCAAGAGGATGGGAGCCATTGCGTCTTCTTTCGTAAATTCGTAAACCCGTCCCAAAGTCGAGTGTTACACAAAGGTTGGTGATGGAGTGAGGCGCTGCAAGCATGTTGCGGTGAGCGAAGCCTGCCCAGATAAAAGTACACCTCAAGTACGTGTAATTAACTTAGTGACGACACCATCTGTCGGCCCGTCATTCTGTAGCTCAACTCATCCGCGTTGCCTCGTTTCATGGATTTGGGACGCGGACCACGGCGGGCGGCAACCCGTTCTGGGCTTATGCATGGATGCATGTAGGTTGGCACTTGGGACATGTACCTCTTATTAGCCGCCTTCAAGCGGAGGGAGGTAGCCTTCAATCCCTCCATCACCACTGCAAAGCAGCCTTAAACTGCAGCAATGATCTGAACGTCAGCCGCAAGAACCCGAGGCTGGTGGCGAATGGGCATTAATGATCCATGTGTTGAGTTTGAAACGCGCCCAAGCAAAGGGTTGCCTAGAACACGCATCACATCGCTCAGCCCTGACCGCAACTCCAGCCACCCAAGAAATATGAGGACCAGCACCCGGTTTGTCTGAAGCCAAGAGAAAGGCAATCGATCTGCGTGTACCTCGCGATCGGCCTTGAGCTGAGCCATGCAATACAGCCCTGCAATGCACTCCTTGCCAGGATCAAGGGGCGTGAGTGCCAGTCCACACAGCCAGAGAGCTGTACACAGCAGCCACGGATATTGAGGCGTACCCCCAACCTTGAAGGCACATGATTTGGCGGACACGGGACTCGAGGGAAAAAACCGAGATCCATCAACGTGTTTCATGGCGTTCTAGGGCAGCCGGTACCCCCCATTTATCGCATAGGCCAAGGGGCAGATTCGCATTTCGAGCATCCGACCAGCACGGTAGCCACGCGGTGAGAAAGGAGGATCCAGGCACCAGAGCTAGCCTTGGTGTACAACATGTACAACACGTTGCCGGCAAGACCTGAACATCATCTTTGCCAGACGAGCGTTGTTAGTCCTGTTTGAGTGTTATAGGCCCCTCTCACCCTTGCAAGCTCTTCTCAATACTACCCTCCAGTCACTTGGGTCTCTTTTTTGGCCGCCCCAAGGATACCAATGACAAACCCGTATACACACTGAGTTAGCGCAGTACCGTCTTGCTTTCACGGTCTCGCGCGTCCGTCATTCCGTGAGCCGTCTTCTTCGACACCGCGTCTGACTTTTTTTCGCCATTGCGCGCCATAGTCGATAGACTGTTCCGCCCAGGAGAAAGCCGCACCACAGCCCTTTCGCATAGAGCATCTCCCCCAGTTGCAGCAAAGCCCCCTTGGGAGCCACAAGCTCCAGTGGTCAAGTCAGGCGGTGCTTGGGTGGGGAGAGGAAGAACTGGCGGAACACGCCCCTAGAGCGACGCGACCTCAAAGAGCCACACCGGGGTTGACTGAACTAGTCATCAATGACAATTCCAGGTGCCGATTCGTCAACTAGCAACTCTTTTCCCATTGCCTTGGCTCTCGTTGCTTCTTGATCCGTGCTTTTGGACGCCTTGCCAGAGAAGTATAAAGCCCGCCCCTCTCCTCCGAGTGTCATTCTCAACCTGACCCATCTTGTCTCCAGGCAATCGACATTCCATTTGCAACGCACGATTCTTTCTTTCCGTTCTCCACGCTCACACCCGTTTGACAGCCTTGATTTTCAAGCCACTCGTTTCCAACATGGCCTACCCCCAAGACGTCGACCTCTCCGCAGGTGCATTCCGCGAGCCGTTGGCAAACGTGACCAACGCCGTCGGAAATCCTCTCTTGCTCTCTCTCTCGCAACCCGGGCGGGACGACGTCCAGAATAAAGGCGGACCGACGACCGATGCCAGTCACAGCCAAATCACAAACACCACCGATGCCAACAGTGGTGCTCGTAATGACCTCTCGAGGCTAAACGCCCCAGCACCCCGGCCTGGTCCGGCCTCGACGGATCACACTACCGGCGCTGCTGATGGTAGGAGTGTCTGTAGCATGGGCACTCCAGACTCCAAGACTGGCGATTCTGCGTACGGCACGGCCAACGATCATCACGTCGACCATGAGGTCTCCCACATGGGGCCCTGGGCTCAGGACAAAATCAGTAGCCTGGGCAAAGAATAAGCTATTACTCAGACAAGCAATTGGATCGAACGACAAGCATACCTGCAAACGACACCATGGTCAACAAATCGTCGTTACCGACAGTCGTTCAATCCGATTCAGGGGCACGTGCCTATGCCGACAGTGTCTCGTATGAATCCGGAACAGCAGAGTCTCAGCCTTCTCACACAGGAGAGCTGAGACACGCATTCGCCCGCTCCAACGCAGAAAACATCGAGGAATACAAAGAGAAGAAGAATCAACCACCACCAAGGGATAGAAGGAGAAATTTGAAATGCCCGGACCGTTGGCGGACCGATGCTGCTCGTCTTCACCGTACTTTCCCCCACTACCCTTGGATGCATGAATAAAGTTAGTCGCGACTGCCGTTTTGGATGCCGATGACTTATACCTGGATGAAGAAAAATGACGAAAGAGAAGAAAAAAAGGTTCTCGCGTGTAGTTTATGGGAGGAAATTTGATGATTCGCAACGGCGGCCTTGATGTTTTGTATTCCCCCTTCAAGTTACATCTGCTACTTTAATTACGGAGGTTTGGTTGGTTGTGTTTTTGTACATTGGGCATCACTCTTATAACTACCTTAGCTGCATATATGGCCGTGTCAAAGTGGCACGCCAGAAATGTCTCATACATTGTCCAGCTGCAAGCAATTCAATTTCAAATGCGATGTGACTCCGATGAAACGACTGGTCTGCATCCTCTCAGGCGCAAAGATGCCTTGTGAAACCCATGCCGTGCCGTTTGTGATGTCAATCTACCATCACCAGGATATAGGTAGTACTAGTGCCCAATCCACATCAAATGGTATTCGCGGCCCGGCCAATATGTACATGCACTCAGCCACGGACAAGTGCTAATTTCCAGATAGAGTGTGACGAGAGTTGCATGCTCAATTTACAATCAACAGCTGAGTGCAACCTTGGCAAAAAAACGTGACGAGACAGAACCCCCTTGCAGGGGGAACTTACAATCAATCAATTGACGCATTGAAGCTAAAGGGCACCAAGGCATGGCAGATGAGATTTAGGCGAAATGCCCAGTGTATAGAGTTTTAGTTGCCCGCACTTCAATCTTTACGAAGACTTCTTTACCCCTGACAAATTTACACAAAGTGGACATCGAAATCTAGGAGCAGACTTTCGTATCTCCCAAACTCTGCTGGATTTAACACGAGCGACAAACGTCTTACCACGTGTGCCTACTACGTAGCCCTTGCTTACCTACTAGGTATGTTTCCCGATTTTTGCTCCGAACACGGGGGTAAAAGAAACGGGAAACGGCCCCTTGCGTCAGCTGGATGATATCAGACCGTTGCTGCATCGATCCACCTGTCAATCCGTGTGCAACGGTTCAATTTCATCCAACGGGAAACGGCGAGCCCCCAGTCCCACACCAAAACGTACATAGATCAACAGACAAATCACATTTGCACGCAGCATCGAAATAGGACATCGTTTTGTAGATCAAACAAGTCAAGGAAGAAGAAGTGAAAAAAAACGGGGGATATAATGCATTAGTATACCACTAGAGTACATGCAGGGGCTGACATCATCGTCAAAAGAAGAGTAGGTAATTTTCCATGCAATCGTCAATAAATAGGAAAAAGTTGACAGACGCCGGGAATACGTCCCCCCCTTCTTCCATCCATTTCCTAACAACCTGCCCTGCTGTATGAAGAAAAAACAACAACAACGTAATCTTGCCTCAAGATATTAAAATAACCGTGTACCAGAGAAAAAATCTTTAATGCGCAAAAATAAGGAGGGGACGCTCCCGCTCCCCCCCCCCCCCCCCCCCCCCCCCCCCCCCTCCACAAAATTAAGAGAAGAAGGCAATGGCGAGGGCAACGCCGGCAACGAGGGCGAGGGGAGAAGAGAGGCGGCCAGCGGCGCTTCCGGGAGGAACAGTGGTAATGGCGGGGTTTGAGGAAGTAGAAGCAGCAGTGGTTTGCCTTCCTGTAACCACGAGACACATCGGTTAGCGGGATCTGAAGCGAGCTTTGTACAAGGCAAACAACAACAAGTTTGCCAAAAGAAGTCAAGAAATACGTACCAGTGGTGGTTGTAGCCGCGTGTGTGGGAGCAACCGTGGTGGAGTTGTGCTTGGGAGGGATGGAAGAGTGGGTGGTGCTCGAGGCCTCCTCGGTGGTGGATTGAGCAGTGGTTGACTTGACCAGCGTGGTAGAGTGCTCCTTGGTGGAGGAAGCCTTGGTGCTGGTGGGCTCAGCGGTGGTAGTCTCGGAGGTGGGAGCAGCCGTGTTGGACTCGGCAGCGCTGGAGGCGGCGCTGGAGGCAGATGAGGCGCTGGAGACGGCCTTGCCGCTGCCCTGGTAGGAGAACTGCTGGCTGTAGTTGCTCTGGCCGCTCTTGTCGGTGATCTTGAAGCTGTAGATGCCAGAGGGAAGGTCCTCCAGGGTGACGGTGGTGGAGGAGCCGGTGGCAGAGGCTGTCGCACAGTTGGTTAGCGATTTGTTTGGCAACAGGCTGCGCTACTCAATGAGGAGACAACTCACAAGCAAGAACCTTGACGTCCTTCAGGTTGGTGCTGGCACCAGTCTGGAGAAGAATCTCGCAGCCAGAAGAGCAGCCAGAGTACTCGAGGGTGAAGGGCTTGCCCTCTTGGACCTCGAAGGCAGAGTTGAGGAACTCGGGCTTGGCGAGAGCGACGGCAACAAAGGCCGAGACGGCAGCGACAGAGTACTTCATTTTGAGTTGTTTGGAGGGACGGAGAAAACAAATTCTGAACGAGAGACGAGAAGAAGCGTTTGACTGATGTAGGAAGAGATGGTCAGTTTTCTTTTGTTACGCCGATCGATCAAGCAGCGAGTGTTGACTGGTATGTTGGTTGAGGAGGAAACCAAGTTTCGGGAGGAAAGCATTAGGAATGAGCATGATGAAACAACAGGAGGCAAGGACTGAGCCGTTTCCAGCTGGCAGACGTGCATTCCGTCCGACAGCCAGCCGTCGACCAGTTTCAGCTGTCCTCAAACCATTGCCGCTGCCTCTTCACCATTCACAGCTGGCAAGCCATTGATACAGCTCTGCAAGCACCGTAAAGCAGCCCACCAGAGTGGATTCTGTCATTGCAGAGTTGCTGGCTCGAACACGATGGACAGAATTGACAGCATAGACAGGAAGAGGAAGGAAAAAAAGAAAAAAGGGCAGGGGTAGCTGCGCGCAGGCGATCGATCTCGTTGTGAATACGAGAAACAGATCGCCTTTTCCGTCTCCATCTCCAACCAAAGACGGCAACTATACACAAACACGCAACACCGCAACAGGAAACTCGATAAAAAGATGGAGAAAAAAACTTACACTCAAATGAAACAAGGGCCTAGAAAGCGAGTGATTAGGCAGAGATGGCGAGCAAAGAAAGCAGAATCAAGAGAGAAAAAAAGAGCGAAAGCCAGCCGGAGCAGGACGGCAACGGGTAATTAAGTCTGAAGCAGACAACGCCAGGAGTGGAGCGGGCAGGCGGCCTGGAATTGGACGAAAAGGCCCCCCCAGGAGGCTCCATTTCCAGCATCTCGTCTCGAACAGGGGGCGCGGGAATTGGAGGGGGCCGAGCGCAGCCGCCGTGGTGTTAGCGATCAGTCCAAATCGCCCATCGCGACTTGCCTGGGGGGGGGTTCCAAGGTTGTGTCGGGTGCTTGGATAGCTTCAGAGTTGATCCAAGTTTTCACGTCACTTTTGGCTGCAGGCGGTGCGGGCCTATCAGCACCGCCCAGGAACCCCTGGCCAGCCCTTTTCAGCCCGCCCCAGCGCCACCCACTAGCGGGCAGCGAGCTCTTGCAGCACACCTGAGCTTGTAGGTGCTTGTATGGATCAATGGTGGATGGATGGACAATCAGACTAGCAGGCGCCTTTGGACGAGTAAGATTGAATGGCGGGCTTCCACTGAAATGGATGGACATGGAGTCGAGTGCCTGGAACAGGCGTTGCGCAAGGCCAAGCTTTTCTGTGCCCCCCGGGAAATAACATCAACCTGGCCTAGCGCCGTGTCCACTGTTCCTGGGCTGTCTGTCATTCCAATCTCGCCGGGCCATCAAATTCCACCGGGTCAATGCCAGGCGGCTGCAACGGCACAACAACAAGAGACAAGAAAACAGTGAAGAAATTAGAGCCAAGAGAATGATGGGCAGAGAGACAAGAAGCGCCTGAGTCAGCACCCTGCACAGCGACTAGCCGGAGCAACATGAAGTCATTGAATACATCAACACTGCACTGTAGCAGGTACACACACCAGACACCAAGACTGCATTGCATGCACAGCGCAGGCAGCGAAATTGGCGCCATGGAGTCTGCTGTACCTTGGTCTTGGGGAACCGCAATCCTACGCCTCGCTTACAGCTTTTTTGCTCTCCATCTCTCCATTTCTCCATCTCCATGTCGTGCTGTGTCATGCAATCCAATGCAATGCAAGAGCCTTTTTTTTCCCTTCGGCGTGTGCCAAAAACGAATTTGTCCATGTCATCAAAAGAAACTCTGAAGCTCCGGCAACTCCCAGGGCCAATGGCGACGGCAGAAGCGTCACCATCAGCTCCAAATCCGCCGCCACACTTTGTCGATAGCTCAATGCCACATTTTCGTTGTCAAATACGGGGGACGCCATTGACTTTTTTTCCTACCGACTTCGTGTTTTTTAGGATGTTCGTGTCCATCAGCATCGTCATCCGCGCCATCTGCAGCCTGAAAAGCTTCTTTTTTTCATGCTCCCCCCTCTATCGCGCGCGCGTTGCCGTCTCTCCTTGCCTCTCCTCTCCTCTCACCTCAGACAAGCTCAAGCTTTTTCGCACTCTCTCGTCATCAAAATGTCTTGTTCCCACTGCGGCCTGCAGACCCAATGCGATCCCGCAATCAAAAGCACCGCAGTCCAACCAACAGCCGAGCATCTCCATCCCATTGATCCCATCCATCTATTTCCCAACCCATCAACAAGCCTAATTGCCTAGCCTCTCCCCTAAAAGCCAACCCGCCTCGACGCAGAAAACTCCACTTCATGCCCCTGGTCCGGCTCATTCCCAAACGGGCAATCTCCAGCCCCAAAAACGCCTTTATAGCGTCCGCGTCGCGATCAGCAGCCCATACAATGCATTGCATTTCGGCACATTTCCCAAGAGAGCACAGCACCTCACGCACCTTTGTGATGTTGGTTGATTCAACTTTTTGTTTTTGTTTTTGTCTTTTCTCCATTCGCCTCAAGTTTTCCTTCCTCGTTGCCTAAAGTCCCGTCAGAGTTCGACACAGCCCGCTTCCGCTCCACAACACCAAACCCCCACGACAACTTGTGCAAAGCTCCTCTTCCATCGCAACCTTTTCGCAAGAAAATGTCATCGACTCTCGCCATTATCCCCACGAAATATACTGTAGCACCACGAACAGGCATCATCCCACTGCACGCAGCCCATGGCTAAACTCTGAACGCGCAAACACGAATCCCACCATCTGCACGTTACGCGGCCCTAATAAGTAACAGCAACATCATGCTTTTTTACCCTCTCCCCATCCCATTAATCCTTTAGTGAGAACAATGCAAAACGTATCAATAAGAGGCAATCATGACATTCTACCATCAGTCGTCATCCACTCCCCCCTCCCCCCTCCCCCAGCCGATGCATCGAGGCTGTGCTCGCCCAGGGCGCTCATTGCACCGAAATCACAGTACTCCTAGCCAGAAAATCAATAACACTTGACCCAAAACACAAGGCCCCCCTTTTCCCTCTTTCAACTCATCCAATAGCTTCATCAACAACCTTCAGCTCCGCCCCCCTTTTTTCATTACCTCATCTTTTCTTCTTCTTTCTTTTCCACAACAAGCTTGTTTTCTGTCTCTCAACTAGTAGTAGTAGTATTCGTAGCATGCTGTAATTGGCATCACTCTCCCATTTCCTCTTTTGCCCAAATCGGCATGCCTCTCCTCTTCCCCGAACAACCAATCCCCTGTCTCTCTTTCTGCTCAGCCATCCCCGCAAAATCTCCCAAAGAGCGTCAAGAAGCCAAGCCCATTGGGGCCCTCGCCTCGCTTGGAGGGGAAATCCTGTTCCTGTCTCACATTCCGTGTGGAGAAGAGTAATCGATAGGCAATCTCCTGGCCCCCCCTACCCGACTCCACCGCGTCAGATGGGCGGCTGTCTAGATGATTTCAAGTTTTGTCTTTTCTGCTGTTCGTAGATAGGTAGGTAGTAGTGGACTATGTACTCGTAGCACCCGTGTTCGTAGTGCCGGTACTCGTAGCACCATCTTTAACAATGGGCCACCCCATCTGGATGGATTCCCGACGCAAATTCCAGATATCCTTCTCCGTCAGAAGAACATCAGGATACTGATGCTTCAAAACCTCAATGATGCCCCTCGCCGAGAGATTCGAGTGATGCAGCAAGGCCCTAATAATCGTCTTCTGGGCATCCGTCAAAGCCCCGCGCCGGTGCTCAGGAAAAGCAATAGGCAGGTCGGGCTCATGATTGTGGTCGCCGCACAAGATGCCCGGCACCCACAAGTCGTCCGAGTCCTTCCTCTGCACAATCTTCATCTTGAACGGGCACCCCGTGCGCTTCGTCGTGGACTTGCGCAGGCCCGCCGACTTGGGCTTGTACGCGCCGTTTCCACGCACGCAGGCAATGTCATAGCGACGCGGCTTGCCGTCCTCGTAGCAGGACGGCCGCTTCTTGACCATGGCGAAGCCTTCGACGCGCGCGTGTGCCTGGAGCGCCTGAAAGGCCTCGTCTGAGGTTGCGAAATGCTTGTCGGTTGGGGGCGGTCGGAGAGGCATTTTTTTTTTTGGCGGAAATGTTCGATTGGGGCTGGATGTCGTTGATTCTGTGAAACGCGTTGTCGACTTCGCGATACAGTAGCTGTAGCCACTTAAAGGGGGCAGAATAATACCAGTTCTATCTCGATTCAGCAAAAGCTACAGAAAGGTACTTTAATTTGCCAGCTATTTAACACACTATTTAGTGTACCATCTAGGTACACTCCGACTAGGTAGTTTAGCCAGCTTGCCCCGTCCGAATAGCGTGGGTCGCCAGTAATTCCTGCTAGAGGCGAATTCCTAGTCGAAAATGCTCCCGGCAGTGCCAACACGAAGTTTAGTTACCACCGAGTAAATAGCTCCGCCCTATTTAATCTTGTTGAAGCTACCTATTCATAACATGGCATCGAATCAAAGCCGTAAACGCCGGATAGAAGAAAAGGAGAACTTGCCGTGCCGTCAGGAGATCGGCACAAGCATGACGAAGCGCCCAAGCTCGACTCATTGGCCCAAATACCAGCTGCAATTGCAAATTTGATCCCACCTCACAATCAACGCCAACATCCGTTTGATTTCCTGCCCTTCGGTCCCGTGGGCGGCTTAGCGCTCGTTCATCCCCATAGCCATTCCTTTCCATTGGATTAGACGTTATTAAAGCGAGAGCCAGCGTCTTCTCCATTCTCTTTCTGGACAGACGACACACGATATCACATTGACAACACACGCCATCTCATTGCATCAATTACTACTAGGCCATAGCTGTATTTACACAATGCCGACGCAGCCATCGGTACAATCATGAATGTCCTTGGCACATTCCCTCCGCCCTTGCCTCACTACATGTTTTTTTTTTCCCATCAGCTACCAGCTGAGCTGATTGTTCATTATTCGGCCAGTCCCTAACTCGCTCGTTATGCCAGCACATGAAAAAAAAATGGGAGATAATAGATACGATGATGAATTCCAAATCTTGGAGCACTGGGTATTTTTTTTGGGGGGGTGTGAATGAAAAATGAATGACGCGTTTAGTGCTCCAACAGACGCAAGCTACCCTGAACGACGACGTTTTCGAGGATGGATCCCGGGGGAATGTCAATGGTGCTTCCCTCGGTCGCCACGATGATGACTGTGCCCTTGAGCGTCACGCCGCGGCCCAGGTTGACAGCACCCGTGATGGTCAGGTGGTCAAGCTCCAGCACCTTGGGGATGGAGGGGATGTGCTTCTGGAAGTCGGACACCTTCTTAAAGTCGCTGCCCAGCTTGATCAGAGGGGCGTCGCCGAATCGGGCGGCGCTCATCTGGAGCTGGCCGTGCTTGAGGGTGTACAGGTCGGACTTGACCAGCATCAGGTCGGAGCACGTCTTGACGGGCAAGAATCGCCGACGGGGAACGTTGACACCGTGGGCGTTGTTGAAGTGGCGGATGGCGGCACCGACGGCCGTCTCGAGCTGGAGGATGGAAATGTCCGACTCGCCCTTCTTGTCACCAGGGATGGTCTTGCCGTTGGGGATAATCTCCATAGCCAGCTCGTTATTCTCCACGACACGCTTGATGGCGCTGAGGTTCAGCCAGATGTTGTTGGTGTTGAAGTACTTGAACTTCTTGATGGACTTGAACTCGTTGACGTGCTCCTTGGGCACCTGGGCGATTTCGAGCAGGCGGACGGATCCCTCGTAGTCAATGATGGTACCACCCTTGACGTCGGCCTTGGTCTTGTTGGTCAACTCCATGATGTACTCGGCCTTGGTCTCAACCATGTGCTGGAGGATGCGCAGGTCGACGACGGCGCCCAGGTTGTCGACGTTGGACAGGAAGACGATCTCGATGCCGCGCTCCAACAGCTTGTCGAGAATGCCAGAGTTGTACAGGGACTCGAAAACGTCACCGTGTCCGGGAGGGTACCACTCGGTGATGGACGAGTTGAACGACTTGGGGACAGGCAGCAGCGAGTCCTTGTAGATTCGGGGGTATCTTGACTGGTTGAAGGTGAGGATGTCCACGTTGTGGCCCTCGTACTTCTTGATAATGGCAGCGGTGTCATCGTTTGTGTTGAACGAGTTCATCAGGATGAAGGGCACGTTGACACCGTACGTGCGGTTCAGGTATTCAATCTGACGGACAGACAGGTCGAGGAAGGACATGCCATCACGGACTTCAATGACGGACTTGGGTCCGACGCAACCCATGGAGGTACCCAGACCTCCGTTGAGCTTGAGGACGGCGAGCTTGTTCAGGAACTGCACGGACTCGGTGTTGGCAAGGTCCTCGTAGTCAACGACCTGTCCTTGGGCGGGAGGGGCAATGCGGTCCCAGTCACTATAGCTCTTTTGTCAGCAACCCTCGTCGCATAGCATCAGGGGGGAAGAGAAGGGGGGGGATATAAAACGTACACCGCATTTCCCTTGGCTTTGTCGTTGAGGTATCGTCGGAACAGGGCAAAGAAGTTGTCCATCTCAGTCTCGAACAGCTAAAACAAAATCCAGTGCGTTAGCAGAGCTGCCACGCCTTGGGTTGTATATTATGATTTCTAACCTTCTTCTCCTTGGGGTCCTCAACGGTCTCGGCGAGGTTGGTCAGGGCATTTCGCATCTGGGCAGCGGCGACGTTGGTCGAGGTGTTCTCGAAGGCCTGGGTACGATCGGTTAGCTGGCGGTCACGAAGCTCTTCGCTGGGAGACATTTTGAAATTTCGGTGATGGGAAGGAAGAATCAAAATCAAAATCAAAATCAAAATCAAATCGTGGAACGGGCAAGATGAAGAAGAAGGGAAGAGACGCTGCTTTTGACCTGGGCAGAGCTTGGCTGGCAGTGATGAGAGGCACCATTCTTGCGAGCCCTCAGCAATCAGCAATGCCATCACCTGATGGCAAGTGCACAAAGATGCCAGGTCGCTCCCGCGGCCATTAGTTTTTGCCAGGGCCTTTTTTTTTTTTTTTCAAAACTCAATGGCCATATCGCCTCGCCAGCTGGCGTGATGCGCACATTACCACGGCCAAGGCACAGCCATGAGGGAGGGGTACCGTCATCAAGTCAGACTGCGGGGAGCTTCCCATAGCTATCACGCCAAAGCGGTAGCAAGCTGTCTCTCTTCCCTCGTCGCAAGGGCTCGCATTGCGGTGAAAGTCAAGGCCAATGCTAATGCCACGACGGTGACGAGCAACAGGCCGTAGAACGAAGGAAAGGAAAACGAGGGGCTACTTGCCATGTGACTGCGAGTCTTGCCATGGTGACGCTGCTCAAAGTCGCCCTCGGGGTTTGGCATGAGGTGCGTTGGCAGAGCGCTCTTGACTCCCGCCATTGTGATTGTGTGTTTGCTCGAGTTGGAGTGTTTGCTTGTGAGACGGAGGGGCTCGTACGCGGGCGAGCCTTTCGAATTTGCGGCGGTTCGCAGCTTTTCAATGGAGGAGATGGAGGTTTGGTTTGGCCGTCAAAGAAGGGGGGAGGTATCAGGTCTTAAGGTGGGGTGGATGATGGACTGGCGGGGTGGATTTGAATTGAGCTTTGCCCCAAGCAGGATGTTTAGCCAATCTAGCACGACCCAGTTAATTACGCTGCTGTTGCATGTGCTGTGCTGATTGTGATTGATTCTGTCGTGTTGACGTCAATCAGTGACGCCCGCCAGCAGGCTCACGGCATTATTTTTTTTTTTGCAGGTTCTGACGGTTGGGCGGGAGGGGGGCGAAATCGAAGATGGAGGCAATACGTACAAGAACACAGACACAACAGCGGCTTTAGCTCCCAAAGGCTTATGTTGCTACACGGCAGGCTCAGGATGATGGAATGAGGAGGAAAAAGAGAAGCAATTCTCACGTCCACAGATCGACGGCAGAACCTCTGGCTTTAACAGAAACGGGGCAGCCCCTTTATTATTGGGTCAACGGCTGCTGCTGCAACTTTTTGACCGTAATTTCTGGATCCCATCGTTGCTGTGCTGTGCTGTGCTGTGCTGTGTCGTGTCGTGTCGATTCCCCTGAACAACCACGACGCTCCACCAGCATTTCGCATCGACCTACTAGCAGAAGCTCCGCGCAACTTATCCCGGCCGAATCCCCTCATTGTCAGGAGCCCAAGGCCGGGGGTTGAGGGGACCACCAATCATTCATTCGGGGCTGAGCCAGACCGTCTTCTCCTACCTACGTGTAATGCTATGCTTCCAGGTCAAGTCTGTTTTTTTTTTCGCCGCCGGGCCAGGAGAACAAGGCCCAGCAAAAGCCTGTTCTGAATGCCATCCACTTTGCACAGTGAATGGGAGGTGGGATCCGCAGTTCAGCAATGAACCCCGCCACCTTTTTTTTCCCTTTTTCTTGTCTGCCTGGTTTCACGGCCCAAGCTTATTAACTAAGTGGCCAATTGTGTGAGAGGGTGTTCCTCGTCTCTTTGAGCTTGGCACATGTTACCTGTGCCAGCCGTGCCAATCGGTTCCCAACAGAATACCACGCTTCAGCTGCTTGAGGTGAGGGTTGAGGGGAAAAGAGGCAAAAGCGAGAGAGAAACTAGACAAAAAGTGTGGCAGACAGACTGCAAGAGACTGAAGAGTTTTTTTTTTTTATCCCTCTGCTATCATGGCTTCATTCTCACTTGCATCCCGCTCTTCGTGTTAGGGGTACCTCGCACATGTATATATGCACGACGATATGCATCGGCGCCCAGATGCGATACACAGGCAACGGCAAATCATGACGGAGCCATGTTGCGTCTGGCTGCCCAAAGGACTGCCATTGGGCTGCGTGCCCATGCCGTAATCCCTCAAAGCAGGCAAAAATCCCTCGACTCCCAACGAGATTGAGGCTCTAGACTCTCGCCATGGACGGGTAGGGTAAAAAAGGAGTCGTGGACTTGAGAGGTTCAGGCACAAAGTCATCAGACTCGCGAGTGACATGTCTCTTTTCTTTTTCAGACAACAACGTCTCGCAAGGTTCATCATCTGCATCCTTACTCAGGCAAGGTACTAAAGGCTGCTAGTCGGCACTACTGCCGGCTCTGCTCGGTAGAGGTCATCCGGAAGGCCTCCCGCCTGGCTGAGAGACGGATGTCGTCCAGACAAACAGGAACCTGACCTGGTACTTGTGGCAGCAACAATCGCGCGGTTTTCTCTCTCTTCCTTTCCGCATATTTCATATATTAATATGGCGACCGGATCCCAATCCCAACGCCTCTGGAAGGGAAAATTGCTCAACTCGGAAATGGGACTCGAGTTAGGCATCGACACATTCCCACGATGCGACCTCCGTATCAGCTCCGGAACTCCTATAACGGCCCGGTTTGGCTCCAAACACGTGGGGTTAAGGAAGCATCGGCATTGCTCGGAATCAGCTCAAACAGCATTGGGCAAAGATGAAAGAAGGAAGGAAAAGGGAGGTACTTTGCAGTGTTTTCGTCTATTAGCAACAAGACGAAGGAAGAAGGGGAAAAAAGCAAATATGGTCGTGTAGAATATTGCTTAGTACTGTTTCGCTAACAACAGGTTTGGTCCACTGCAAGAAATGACGATAATTTCCCGCCGTAGCTCCGCCTTCTGTAGAAACTTGTAGCATCGAACGACGGTGCAAAAGCGCCAGTCTCCAAACGGATTCTCCTGACCGGGGGTAAACGTTGAGAAGGAAAGAGAGACAACTTTTATTTTGCAACCTCTTCTTGAAAAAAATCTACTTAATCGGCCTTTTTGCCCCCATCATGGAGGCTGGAGAAGATTGCAGGTGAAGATAAAGCCAAGGTTGCAGATGGATGACCTTTATCGCTGCACGAGTAAAAAAGGCCCCATAGATAGGATCCCGTGCCCCCCAAAAAACATCATTGCAGCGGGCCTCGACGCCCATCAGTGCCGCTGCAACCACTAAACTACGCCCTGTAGCGCCCCGTAGCCAGCCACTCAGACCCCGTGGCGCCGCGCCGGCTCTTGAATGGCCCGTGCTTTCTCCCAGCTTTTCCGAATTTTCCACGACAACGTTGCATCTGGATCTGGGGGCACAATGCAGAAGAAGGCAAAGGAAACATTCCAAGCGTGTAGGAAAATCGCCCAGATAGTGCCAGGACGGCGTCACTTGCCAATGCACGCTGGGTGAGTCCGCGATGACACATTCCGGAGCTTCCAGTTTGCGCACTTGCGGTGGAGCCGAATGTTGCAGAGATTATGTGTTGTGATGGAGAATCTTCTGGCACCAACAGAGCAAACCGTTTGCTCTTATATCGCCATGTACCCCGCGAGTCTCTTTTCTCGCCCTCTTGAATGCCTCTTGCCAACGAGCAGTCCCATCTCTGAAGCACTCCGGGATACCCTGCCGAGACCTTGTTCTTGTTAATACTACCCGGGCAGAGTGGCAACGTTTTCCGTTCCGGTTCCGGAATCCCACCTCGGCGTCCTCCGGCCCACCCTCGGCGTCTCCTCGTCCCGTCCGTGCTGGGAATATCGTCAACTAAACGAACCCAGAAGACACACAAACAATGGGTTCCCTCAACATCACAATCACCCTTCCCAGCGCCAGCCTCCCCTTCTGGCACATCAACGTCCCCGAGACGGAACGCACGCCTCAGTGCCCGCCGTTCCTCGTCGGCCTCAACCCCAAAGACCTCCGAACCGTCTCCACGCCCGACTCGGAGTACCGCACCCAGACATGGGAAGAGGTCAGCTACCTCATCAGGACGAACAACCTGGAGCGCTTCCAGCGCGTGCCCTCTGACCTGCGCCGCTACAAGGCCTTCACCTACCGCCTGGCCAAGATCCACGGCAGCATCGCCAACTTTGTCCTGAGGGAGCGCCTGCGCTGGGACACGCCCGTCGTGGCCCGCGGCGCCCCGTTCCAGCACGACGACGACGTCAAGATCCTTCACAACGACTGGCCGTATGGCCTTGATCGCCGCATCGTACACCTGGTCGTCTGGACCAAGTTTGAGCTCAAGGCGCGCTCTGCCACCGGGGACTTGACGGACAAGGCGAGGAAAGAGATTGACGACTTTGTGACCAAGACGTTCCGATCCCGAATGTCCGCCAACACGGTGAGTGGGATTTGTCCGGGGGGGGGGGGGGGGGGGGGGGGGGGGGGGGGGGGGGGGGGGGGGGGGGGGGGGGGGGGGGGG